TAACTTTAAAATTAACTGAACTGGATTAAAGAAAAGTTGAATATAAAGCAATTGAAGTTGTTAATCATAATACAATTCCAGGAACAATTTGTTAACCACAATTATGATTAACTGAAATCATTGTCAATCCTTTCGAGTGTGAAAGTTTTTTTTATTGTTATTTATTATCATTAACACTTTTGATTTTATATTGAGGATTTTATATTTTCCAACAGATGATTAAGTTAATATTTTTAACAATAAAGTAATTGAGATTTTAAATTTTACCTTCTAACCATAATCAACAAGTCAGTTAATTGTAAACAATTGAATACTTATATAACTGTAATAAAGTTTTCTCGTTGTTTACTCCCGATCATGGATAATAAATTAAACAACAATAATCTTTGATAATATTGACTTTTTGGTAAACAAAAAAGTGTGTGATTAATTTAATTTGGTTAATCAAGATGATAATCTTAGGAAAACTATTGATCCAGCTGAAAGTTGCTAATTGTTTACAATTAATTTACCAAAAAAAAAATTATTAGTAACCTGAAGTTTGTCAAGGATACACAAAAAGATTTGACAAAACAAAAGTTTAGAGCTCGATGACAATCAACTAATTTTATGAGTGTCACCATGTTGACAACTAGTAGATACATTTAACAAAAATGAGCCGACAATTTGAGCACCTTAACATATACGAGTAAATGAGGTTCGAGGCTTAATTATGGTTACAATGTGTTAACACATTGGACAAGGTAAATAGCGATTACTGTGAGTGTCAAGGTGCCAATCGGAAAAAAATTTTGCGTTTTTTTTGGCGTTTTTTTTTCAATCCACTCACTCAACTTACCTCGTTAGGTGCGGTTGATATTCAAATATTACAATGTAATACATTCAATGAAGATCCGTACCAAAGGGTTTGTAATCATTGACACGACTGTAATAATCAATTGAATGATGAATTGACAAGCAAAAAAAAACTGTTATATCAACAATTCAAATTGTGAGCCATTTTTTTTACTTCCAATCAATAATATGGATGATATTGATTGGCACTTCGAATCCTCTTCTCTGTTTATAAGTTTTCAACATTTTCCTCATCTCAATTCAGTGAATTCATTTTGATAATAAAATTATCAACAGTATATAAACTCACCAATGACCTAACAGTGACCACTAATGTTACTGATGAAGTTTTTTTTTTGTGTCCACTAGACTGACCCAAGGTGAATGAACCTTTGATACTTTTGCCTCTTTTTTTATGAATATATTATAAAGATATATAATATTTGATAAGCATTATGATGATTATAATTATTACAAACAGGGAGTGTTGTTTGTTTGTTGGTTAATAACAACTTATGAATTATTATCATCATTTTAAGCGTAGGAGTAAATTGAGATTCATCTTGTTCCGTAAATATTAGACTCGATTATCATTATTATCATTATGGTAAAATGGTCAAGATATGGTTACCTTAACAACAATATAACCAGATTAATAATGATGTTTCAATGAATGCATACCCACAGCATTTTGTTTATCTTATTCCCCCTTGTTTGTTATTCAACAACAACAAAAAAATAAGGTTACTTATATTGCAAAGGTTTCGCTATTTATTATTATGATTGTTGTTGTTGTTGTTGTATTTTAATTCAACAATTTGTTTGTATCAATTGACAAAAATGGTCATCATAATGATTACTATAAAAGGGGAAGGGAAATGTATCTCTCTCTCTTTCTCAGAAGTGGTCAACATATCAGGTAAACATCCTCATCTTATCGGTCATCATAATATGAATTCTATATGATAACTTTTCTGTATAAACGAGAGAAGAGTCAATAGTTAATCGATTGTATCAATCACTGTCAGTTTAATCACAATCAACGAATCTTAAAAATCTCTCAAATTTCTCGATCATCTGATGAATGAGCTTCCGTGTTCTCGATAAATGGTGACAATGAGTGAAAGAGAAAAAAGTTCTAATAATGTAAAATGTTGGGAGTAATTGGAAACGAATGAGACTATCGAGTTGGTTTATTATCGATCGAAGAAGATGAAGAAGAGGAAAAAAGTACATTTTCGAACTTTTTTTTTCTTCCTTTCCTCTTCCCATAGAATTTGAATAATAATAATAATGATAATAATATTCTAATGATTCCAAATAATATGAATAAGGAAGAAAATTAAACATGACTGATAGTGAATTAAATCACAATTATAATGATAATACAACTATGACAATTATTGAAATATGATTATAATGAGAATCAACAAATCAAGATGATTTTATCATTTTTTTACTTCGATTCTTATTAAATTCAAATCTTCACAAGGAAAATGCTGACATATGTCTTCCGTGCCTTACCTGTGATTTTTTTTCTGAATTTAACTCCAACCTTAAACTCACCTTGAGAGAGAAAAATATTCATCAATGATTGACCATCATCATCGCCTTGTTGATGGACAATGAAAGTTGTAGGAGGAAGTAAACAAAGATTCATTTGTGGATAAACAAAATCAATCAGATACTATTGGTCATTTGTACTTTATAAAGGCCAAAAAGTCAAAATGTAAACACGATAATTGTAACATTTTGTTTGTCTTAAATATTTAAACCCCTTACCTTTTCACTGACCAATCGATGACCATTGATAATGTTTACTAAAGTTTCACTTTTCCTGATAATATCCACAAAGGTTTGGCTATCAAAAAGACAAAGTCTCTAGTGTTTACCGTTGATATTATTGAGTTTCCATGAGATTATAAATAGATATTTATTTAGATTGTAGTATCTTTTGTTTAAATGATTAACTGATTAACTTTGATCGTTACAATTGTTTGAATGGATTAAAGTTATCAGATAACTTTTTCTTTTCCAATATTAATTCACTAAGACTTATGTACTTTCCTTCAATACATTTAATTTTTTATGGTTCACATTTAATGATAGAAATGACAAACAAAATGAAATAACAGTTCGTTGAGGCCGCTCCTCGAATTTTTTTTATTTGTACAGATCAGATCATCTCGTTACCACCTTAATATTCAGATGAAAATCTTGGTAGCTCGAAATTTGGAATAAAAAAAAACTTTTTCGCCTCAATCGCATCTTCGCTCCTACTTTTTATGCATCTTATCATCTTCATCTTCATCTTCATCACTTGATCATCTTTGGTTATTTTTTTCTTGCTTTTTCCTTGACGAGCCAAGGCCCTTGGACTTTTCCCTCTATTATATCAACATCTCTCACCTTAAATTTTTTTACATAGACGCTCACAGGATAGGCCGATGTCTCTCTCTCTCTCCAATATATTATTGTGTCTCTGAAGTTTTTTTTCGTGTGTTTTTTAGCTCCAAGGTGAGTTAAGCTGAGCTAACAAGGTACATACACAAAAAACAAGTTGGTTTAATCAAGCGAGAAGCACCATTGAAACGATGTGACCTTTTTTATCGTCATTCTCATTGTTCTTGATCTGATGATATGTCGATATTGATGAAAGCCAAGCCTGAGATGAGCGATTACAACCATAACCAATAAACATACATAAAGACTACGATTTAAGGTGAGGTAAAGGCCACCCTTGCCGTTTCGATCATCGATCGACTTTGATCGAAAACTCATTTTCTCTCTTTATCGATATTATTCAATATTTGGAACTAAAATATTGTTCTATCATCTTTTCAATACTTTTACTTGTTACTTTTTCACTGAGAATCTATTGTCAATTTCTAGATCACAATCAGTCAACTATTTCCTTGTGTCTCATCAATAAATTTAAATCATCATTAATCAATAAAATTAATCAACACGAAAAACGTTTCTTACATTTAGAAATCAAAAAGTTCTGATCTTATTGAAATTTGATGATCAACTAAAAGACATCATCATCATCATCATCGTCTTTACCTGTTACACTTTGAAACCAAAGTGATAGGAACAGGAAACAGGTAATAATAGTTAACTTAGTTTTCACTCCCAACCTTTATCATCATTGTTGTATTGTTATTATTATCATTTAACATCCATTAGTGAGCATTGAGACTGTGAAAATAATTGATGAAAATATTATCAATGAGTATGATTAACATTTGATTGTATTAATGGTGTTTGATCATTGATATCAAAAAATGAAATAAAGTTTCACCATTTCAATTAATCATGGAGAAAGTGTTTGAATTAAAAAGGAAATGGAAATGATACAAATCGTTTTCGATGAAGATGAAGATGAAGATGAAAAGGAAGAGAAAAACTATTTTCTTCTTTCCTTTCCTTTTCTTTTTCTTTTCTTCTTCTTTACTTTTCTTTACTATATCATTACCATTACTCTACAAAGGATGACCTTTAACCCTTTGTATTGGTCCCCTTTTCCTCCTTCAACCTTTCCTCTCACTCACTCTCACTCTATTTAACCTTTAACCTCCGTTTCCCCTCTTGCACATAGAAACCATTATAATAATAGTGTTGTTTCAATTTTCATTCAACCTTATTGGCGATTCTTGATTATCATTAATCAAACTTGAACTGATTATCAAAGTTTCATTTGAAACAATTGATTTAATCATTCAGACAGATGCAAAGAGATTTAATTGTCCGAGTAAATTGTTGCCTCTAGTCTATCGAGATAATCACCACTAATCAATCAATCAATACCAATTAACTGATTAAAACGTGTAAAAGGCCTCACACTTTGACCAGCAATCAAATTAACATCAATTTAACAGTTTTAAACAATTTGAATAAACCAAAACATTTAACAAGTTTCGCGAGAAAAATTGTCCACAATTTAAGTTAATTACAAAATACTGAAATTTAAACTAATTCAACATTTTCTGTCAATTTTATTATAACAATTAAGAAACAATTTTACATCTTACTAAACACTAAATTATTAATCAAATCATTGATTACTGATTAACTAACGACATTGAATTGTTCAAATGTATTAATAATAACAGGTAACCAAAAGTAATAATGATCAACCATGATGATGAAAGTTTTCGAGCGCAATTAAAACCAATCCATCATCGTAATTAAAGTAAATTTACATAATGATTAAAGAAATTGATTAGATTAATCCAGATAACCTGTTGATATTTAATTTCCATAATACCTTTTATCATCTTCATCCTCATCCCATAATCTCAATCTTCATTTTCATCTCTCAACATTTACCTTTAATCCAAAACTTTGACTATTATCGAGATTCGTCCTTTTATCATCATTTTCTCTTTCTTTATCATCATCATCATCATCATCTCTCTCTCTCTCTCTCACTCACTCTTTTGTATGATTCTCTTTCTTCCTTTTCTTCATTCATCTTCTCTTTCTTTTCTCTCTGTCTATATTATTCTGTCGCGCGTTATGAGCACACATACAATATATTATTATTATTATTATTTCCATTAACAAAAGATCCTTGTACATTTTATAATATTAGATGCACATTGAATGAAGCCCCTCGAATGGGCGGTTCTAAGTCCTAACTCGATTCTAGGTCCAAAAAAAAACGATAAACAAAATAGCGATCAACAGACTAACCTAAGCTCATTTCAATTTTAGCAACAGTTTTGATCACTTCGTGTTTCCTTTAACTCAGAATCACAACAACAATCAACAGTTGGACAAAAGTTTATTAGTTTAATTTAGTTTGTTGGACAAAGTTGTTTACCTACACCAATATTGTGAAGTGTTAACAATCAACAAGCAATATTACGGACTATCAACAAAACGGAATAACTAATTAATAATATCAAACATCATCAGCAATCAATTAACAAACTAAGGTAAGAATTTAGAAAAAAAAAAGTTTCTCTCATCTAAATCATTTCCAATTCCTTTGATGATCTTAACTCAATTATCATGTAACAATTGAAACTAATCAAAAGGGTAAATGGTATGATAATACACTAATAATAATCTAAATTTTAAATCATCCAAACTAAATGTTAATTTATTGTCCCTTCTTACTTTCATCGATTCATTTTGATAATCATATTGATCCATCATTAGTTTCATATTAACAGTTCGGTCACCATCAGGCCAGTTCTAGTCCTATAAACGATGATGATGATGATGATAAAAAACTGTAATGACTTTATTTTATGCTTCACTTTGTTGTATATTATTGATCATCATCATCATCATCATAATGATTTTAATGTTGATGATTAAAATGATCGGTGGTAAAAATTGAATAGATCACAATTTTACCGTTCATCCTTCATCCTCATCATCATCATTATCATCAATATCAAACTTAAATCCAATTTGTTTGGTTAACAGTTTTTTTTTCATATTTAACTATATATAGAGATTAATGAACCATCAATAGATTGAAACTTATTATTATTAATTTAATTGTATCAAAGTAAAAGATTAGCGACAAATTAATCCCTCGGATTTCAAGTCTAAATTGTTAATATACTAACCACCAAATAATCATCAACAATTATCATTGTTGTTGTTGATTTTATTTACTCAAAGTATCAAAAGTTTTTTTTTTAATTCCTTTTCTTCATTTTGGTTGATATTATATCAAGAAAATGTCAGATTAATTTAAATCATCAAAGAGATTAACTTGAATCCACCAGAGACATTGAATTGAAATTAAACTAAAACTTGGTATAAACTTTGAGGGCCATTAAGATGATTTAGCTTTTGTCATGCTTTGGGTTGACAATTAGTTAATTGTTACAAATAGTTGTCAATGTTTCTCTAGGGCTTGACAATATTGATGCTTGACCATTGAGATGACCCTTTTCTCATTGAGAACTGAAACTTGAATAGTGAACAATTTTCTCTCTCTTCTTTTATTCAAGTGGTCAATTGTTTTCCATTTGAAATGATAACTTTTACTCTCTCTCTAACTACTGACCATCAATGAGTTATAGTAATAGTTGAATTGAAATTGATTTTTTCAGGTTGAATTGATTCCAGTCTGTTTAACCCTTTCAAAGGTCATCTAAGAAAAAGACCATTACAATACCTTTTGTAAGGTCAACCAATTGTTGATCCTCTCAAGGGACACTGGTCATTCAATAAGGTTTTCAACTCCTTCAATCTCTTTCAAGGACTTGTTCATGGACCATGGTCACTTTATAAGAAATTATCATAGACAAAAAAAAATAATATCATTCCCGTTTCTATTAATGTGTCTTTTTTTCAAGTGACCTGTTGTAGTGACCTTAACGTTTATATATCTTTTCTGTCGCTTTCGTCAACTTGATGACCGTTGATTAACACGCTTATGGTTCAATGAAAGTTACACTTTTTATATTATTATCAGTCGAGTTGAGGCTTTTACCTTAATTGTGATTTACCTTTATTGTTATTATTTCTTGTAATTTGTATCATTTCGCTCCGCTGACCAGTCACTCAGCTTATTGTCCATTCACAATCAACCCTTTACCCTTTACCCCTTCCCCCACCCACTCACAAGCCCATTGTTACTTTACCTGAGGGATAAGATTAATATCATAGATTCAACATGATTTTAAGTGTTGATTGTAATCAATTTAAATTTCCAAAAATGTGATTTACCTTTTGAAATCTTTTAAATCATCATCAGTTTTACAAGGAAGAAAGAGATAAGTCTTTTTCCAAGTTGATTAACATCAATCCACAATCACAGTTACAATCAAATTGATAATCTACGATTGAAAGTCAATCAATAAATTGTCATTGGACAATTAAAAAGGTGTGGTTCAGGTTTGATGGAGGATGAAACAGTTTTTTTTCACAATTTCCTTGATAAAATCTATTACTACCTGTACTTTTTCAATAAAAAATTCAAAGGTGAAAATCAATCAATTGATTTAAAAAAATCATCAAAGGGTTTGGATTAAGATTATGATGTTTTTTTTTTCATCTCAATACATTTGATTAACTTTTTTTCACTAATTTTTTACCTTCTTTTCATTTCAGTTAAATGCAATACCAAATGTCAATGATGCAGTTGCCAATGGGAATGATGATTAACATTGATGATTTAAATTGTTAGTGAATAAGAAGAAACTAAAGCACAAAAAGAAAGAGAGAAAGAGAGACCTCACCTTTCATCTTTAACCTTTTCTATTTCTTTACCTGTTATAATTTGAAAGAAACTAAATTAACTTACAAAATGCACTCACTTCGTCCATCTCAAGAATCGCGTCCATTTATGCCTACGACCATCACTACGACGACAATTATACCGACGACAGTTGAACCTTTTGGAGATTTTTTCGCAAAATCATCTTCCTCATCACCTTATCATCATCCTAATCAAAATCACAATCATCATCATCATAATCATCATCATCTTCAAAGTACTTTGTCAATATCACCAATAACAGATGATTATTCTGATGATAAAACTAATGTATTATTACAAATAACACCGGCAATCACAAGTACCACAACCTTATCACCTTTATTACCTTTGGGTTCATCGATTTCATCTTCACCTTCATCACCTTTATCTTCATCATCTTCATCTTCTTCATCTTCATCAATGTTTTCATCAATCTCTTGTTCACAGAAAAACCATTCAAATGTAACAACTATCACAACCACATCAACAGCACCCACTCGACACTTTCGTAGTCTCACCTTGACACCTTTAACCCCACTGACCACACCTTCTACACCCCATACACCTTGTACACCTTCACCCATGGTTGTGGTCACAGCAACAACACCACCAACACCCACAGTAACACCTCAACCTCATCCTTTAACACCCTCATCATCATCCACCTCAATGTTTGACTCAATGTCAATGTATGACGATGATGAGGAAGATGATGAAGAAGATCAACTTCTAGATGATGAAATGATGATGATGATGATTGGTAAACCAAGTGAGATGGAAGATGATGAAGATTCATCTCAACAAACAAATCTAAGCTCATCAATGAACCAGAATAACAATGAGATGACGATATCATCAAGCACCAATAAAACCAATAAGAAAACAAAAGGAACCAAAACCCGACGGACTCGAGCTCGAAGTCCAACCCTAGTAAACAAATTAAAACGTAATCGTCGGGTAAAAGCAAATGACCGGGAACGAAATCGAATGCACAATTTAAATCAAGCTCTTGAACGGCTTCGAAAAATATTACCACAAACCTCAGAAGACACTAAATTAACCAAAATTGAAACACTTCGATATGCTCACAATTACATTTGGTTCCTTTCCGAGACAATTAAACAATCTGAAGACGATTCACCAAAAACCAATGAGAACGATTCAAATAATGAACTTAATCATCAACTTAATCTTTACCTTAATCATTCACATCTTCACAATTTGTCCAATACATTTATCAACGAAATCCAATGAGAGATAATCTCTCTCTCTTTTGTCTAATCTTATCCTCTTTAATACCAATGATTACACCAAATTAACAATCAGTTATCATATGAAACAATTAACAATCAATCATGAAACAATTAAACCAAATGATGAATCAATTTTTTTACATCTTACCTTTTTTTTTGTATTTACCAAACAATTAACTTTTGATAAAATTGAACCTGTAATAAATAACTGTAATTGTCTGATTGAAACAAACAAATTTAATATTAAATTGCTATTAAATTGTAAACAATTTGTTGCTAATTTCTCAATAACAGTTTAGCTAAAGTTTTGTTTTTCTCATTGCGATTGATAATAATACAAACTCGTTGGGATATTATTAGTTGATTGTAAAAATGAGCTTAATTACAATGAGAATGAGTTAATTGTATACAAATTTGGTTGCTAATTGTTCACAATCTTGATTTGATTCGTTTACAAAGTGAGGTTGAAAAAAGACCATAGATAATTGGATTAGCAGCACTATTTAGTGGAGCCATTGATTGTATGAATGTTGATATCGCCACAGTAGTTTGATTGTTTGGTATGAACCCGTAGACTTGAAGCAAATCCCATACAAAGTATGGGGACCAGCAAAGGATGAAAACTAATTGGAAATGATTAACAATTAATTGTTCAATTTTTCATTGAGAAACATTTAATTACTCACCTAACACAATTACCAATGTCATTTTAATTGTTTTGATCTTTGCCTTTGGAATTACTCCTCGAGATGAAACTTGGCTCTTCATTATACTTACATCATCTTCACTGGTCATCAAGTTAATTGCTGTACAAAATTATACAAATGATTTAACGGTTAATTGTCACGTTAAAAGTTTGATTTGACTTTGTTTTTCTAACTCTCATGATCTAATGGCTTTTATTTGATTGTTTCAGGTCAATGGTCAACAATTAGATTTGGTGAGAAATTGTTTTTCTTGATTAATTCTTGGTAATTTGATAATTTGATGATATATTATTACCATTAAATGACAATTTACTTTAATGTATTGTACTTATTAGCTATTAATTGTTGGTAATTACGGTAACATTTCATGATTTAGAAATTGATTGTTACCATTAATAGATAATTATTGATACTTATTACATAGTTATCGATGATTAGGTCAATGGTTTCATTTAATTTAATCACAATCTCTACTCTTTGATTAAAACTAAATCATCAAATTAATCTTATCAATCAACTATTGCCATCTATTGATGTTGAAAGTAAATTTCTAATTTGATTATTGTTATGATTATAATTAGAGATGGAAAAGTTGACAATAAGTTTTAATTGTGGTAAATATTGAAATTAACTTACCTTTATAATCTGAATTAGGATATTTTGATTGTTGGAGTTGTGATGATGAAGATGAAGATGATAAAGGTGACAATATTTTCTCCATGGTTTCTGATTTACAGTAATTTTCATGATGATTCTCAGTGATTAAATTACTTTTTGACCAAATAACGTGAACAATTGTACAATAACAAACAGTAATTATAATCGCTGGAATAAAAAACAAGGTGAATGCGATTAAGGTCAAATATAAACGCCAACCCAATGGGGTCAAAGTGATCCAACATTGGATGTGACCCTTAACCTCAGTTTCAGAATTTAGAAATGCTGATGGAATAGCAAATAGAAAACTCAAAATCCAAGATATTATAACCAATCGACGAGCTCGAGACCCTTAAAATATGAACAGATAGATAATTAATTACAATCAATAAATTACTAAATGAATGAATGATAATTCATTCATAGTGAAATTAATACGAATCAACATTGATTAGTTGGTCTAGTCAGTGAGAAAATAGCTTAAGGTCAATGTTTAATTATATCTAAATTATTTATAGTTGTGATTAGTTTGATAATCAAGTGAAAATTAGTTGATTAAGACGATTAATCAGTTAATTGTGATGTTGACATTTGGTATAAAAAAAAGTTGATGATTTAGTTTTGTTATTCAATGAAATGAACAAAACTTTGATAAGGTCAGTGAATTATGACCAGAATAATTAAGTTATTATTATGTTGTTATTATGATTGATTTTGATTTAATATTAATTTGATTATGATTGATTGTTGGGTTATTGATTTAATTGTTACTCACAACTTGTTGAAAAATTAAGAGGATTCGTAACAGCATCGTAACGGTCAATCGAGACAGAAACCAAAACGTAAGTCGATGAGTAAGTTACCAGAACCTGAGAAATAATTTAATTTAATTGTTAACAATTTAAATTGATTGACAAACAAACTTAATTTAGAGATGTTCTTGTTCAATGTTAATTAAATTATCAATTATTTAAATTTAATTCAATCGATAACCTATCTGAAAGGTTCATCAGTTATTGACCTTGGTCAACTAGTGGTCAGTTGAAGGTTATGATATTGATTATGATGTAATATTATTCAATTGTCAAATTATTAATCATAATCAATGTAATTTTTATATATTATAAATAAAATCTAAATTGTCTGATTGGTTAACATGTTAATTGTCACTTTTAATTGATTGTTGAGATTGATTTTTATTGCCTCGACTAACCCAATTGATTGATTAAATAAAGTTCCGGAGCAAATCACAATTAATACCTAATTGTGATCAAAGGATTATCATTATCAACTGATAAGTTTCATATTTGATTGTCTAATAATAGTAACAATAATTAATTAACTGTCAATAGCATTGACAAACCAGTCTCGTTAATCAATTACTGATCATCAGATTAATTTATCATCAAAAAAGTAAAACTTATTATTAAGATCAACTGTCAACAGCATCAATGATTATCATTAAATCAGCTCATTAATCATTAATTGAATTAGTTGATTATTGATTTTTTCGTTCATCATCAAGTTAATAAAAGGATAATCTTAATCTAAATTTACTTAATCATTTGAGTTTCAAATTACATGAATCAAATGAAAAAATAATTACAATTTGTTGACATTAATGTTTGTTTGATATTATTAAGGAGACGATCAGATTTCTTAATTGTTATCGATTCAAATTTCATTGATAAACTTTGATTTTTTTTCCATTAATTGGCAAATTAACTATTGAAAGACTCAAGTTAATTGTGATTAACTTACCGATGAAAATTTAATAACTTTACACATTAAATCACCTCCGTAAAAGTCAACGGTCAATCGCCAAATTATATCGGTCAGTACGCTAATCAAGCCAACCAAAAGGTCTGCAATTAATGAATAGATTGTGAGATTAGTTTGATTAACAATCAGTAAATTGTTTGATTGTTGATTACCTGCAATCGCTAAATGCATGATGAAAAAATTCATTCTGCTTTTACGTTTCTTCGAGATGATTAACGTAATTAAAACGGAAACATTACCAACCAGAATAATTATGAACAATATACAAAGAAAAGTTAATTGTTCAGTCTAACGATGAAACAGAATTAAGATTAAATTGTTGGTTATTATTAAATTGATTGAAAACAAAGAAAACATAATCATTTTAATCATAATGAAAAACAGTAATCACAACGAGTATAATATTAGTAATTGTTAAGGTTGGTAATTTAATCTGATAAATTGTTATTAAATCATTCGGAATGAAACTGGAAACTATTAAATGAGTAAAAAAAGTTAAATAGTCTGTGAAATTTAATTCATTCCCGTTGATTATTAACTTTGATTAATATAATTAATATAATTTAACTGTATCAGTTTGTATCTAAGATTAACAATTGAACAAATCAATGGATAATATTGATAACAATTAACAATTATCTTGATGTATATATTAATATAATTGCAAGAGATTTTCAAATGTTAATCATCTTGGAGTAACTTATTTACATGTTAGTTAATTGATTGGTAATCACAAATCCGATAATCTGAAATTAAATTATCCCAACGATTAGGGTAACAAATGGTGAACATTATTACCGATAATCATTTATTTTGATTCCTTGAATTTCATATATTATCATCATTATTTAGTTGATTGATGATTCTGTAAATGGTTGTTATTTGTAACATCATCATCATGATAATCATCAGAATCATCATGATATTTTCATCGGATGATTTTTTCTGTCTTCCTTTCATCATCATCATCATCATGGAATCACAACAAAATATCATCAGGAACCAAGAGGTCAAATGATGGCAAATATGATGATGTGGAGGAGGAAAAAAAGATGAGGATGAAACAAATGATAAAAAGATTTCAATGATAAATACAATTCTATTGTTACTATTGTTCATTTACTGAATAATATTTACAATCAAATGTTGTTTTCATTTTTTGTCATTAATCATCAAACAGATTAGATTAACTTTACATTAATTTGTAATCAAATCTTTAAACGTTGTCATTTAATTGGAAAATTTTCACAATTAGAGGGCAACAATTAGTTGTAATTCAGTTTTGGTTAGGTTGGTTTGGTTTATTATTATTCACATTGAATTGATTTAAGTGTTAATTGTTGTTTACTCACTTGAGTTCAATTTTACAATCGTTTTATTATTTGATTGAGGAAAATTTTTCATTCATGATGATTAAAGGATTAGATTATTTTTGTAAAGTTTTAATTAAAAGTTTTGTTAATCTTACCTTGTAAAAGTAGTAATGGTAATTAGATTCATTTAATGAAGATTGATTAGTTGACTTAATTGTTGACATTTCTAATTGTTGGTAATAGAAATGGTTAGAGAAAAATTAATCATTTGTTAGAGATTTTTTAATTTTTAATGAGTTGAAAAGTATTTTGATTAATATGGAAGCGAAAATTGTTAATTGTGATCATTGGTGTTGACTGAATCACGAACAGAATCAGTGTTAACTGTCTAGTTTCAAGTTTTTTTCGAGTTTTATCCAATGTTTCTCGCTCGATTTAACTTCTCGCCGTTGAGTTTCAGCTTCAGCCGAATGTTTATCAGCTTCAACTGGCGAATAAGATTGTGTTTACCAATCAGCTGAGCTTCAACCTCATTCATTTTCTCAAAGTGATCGATCAAAATGTTTAACATCATAGAGAAACTTGGGATTAGTGGGGAAACGCGACAGTTGAAACTTGGAAAAAGTTTCCAAAACCATCGGGCTAACCGAGGATCGAACCAACCACCCGAAGGCCTTCACACGATTCGATACGATTTCAAACCAGCTTCTGTTGACACCACCAAAAGAGCAGATATAGAGTTTGGTGAGAATAATAAAGTGACGGTGGTTATGCCGAATGTGGACTCATCGTCTCTGCCTCAAACCGTTTTCAAAGGTTCGAGAAAACCTCACCTCAAGGAATGTGTTCTAATCATCGACAATGAAACAGGTGAATTAACATTGGAAAGATTGACCAACAACATTGCAGTTAAAAAGACTCGAGTTGAAGGAGGCTCGCGACCTGGAATGCCGAGGCCTATCACGCCTTCGTTTGAAACTGGACAAGAGGAGAAAAGTGGACCTTCACCTTCATCGTCGATTAACAATTGTATCACCAACACGAATACAAGTGTTGATAATTCGATGAATTTCGATTCTATTGTTAGTTCAGGATTGGAATTGAGTCAACAGAAAATGGATCATGGATCTTCAAGTAGTGATAATAGTGATTCTTCAAGTGATGAAGATGATGAGATCAAACAAACGCTCAAGGAAGGAATGAAAAGTTTGGAAGAGGAAAATTCATCAAAGGCTAATTCATCTTCGTCTTCTGGGTCATCATCTTCTTCGGGCTCCGAGAGTAGCTCAGATTCTGAGGACGAACCCGATCCACCCACGGCTTCATCGATGGCGGTTCACAACTCGAAACCCAAACAAAGCGCACCCACGGGTCCACCTTCGGGTTCACTTCTTCCAAGTATGCCCAATATGCTGAGTATGCCGAAGTTCAGCCAATTAAGTAAGTCTATTAATCTTTGTTTAGTTGATTGCTTTGAGAATTTAACTTTTCCGTTCATTTTTACAGGTGAAGATTTGCAATTAAGTGAATCTGGAAGTGACAGCGATTAATCAAACGTGTTCCTATTTTTGCATTCCGATTCTAATTCGATGTCCTTTTCTTAAATGTAATAAACTCTTTTACTATTGTAACTCTTTAAGTGACAATAAGAAAAAAACAACTGATCAAGATTTGAAAAACAAAACTCATTAAAGACTTATTTTCACATAAATAATATCAACTCAGAAAACGTTTTAATTATTTTTTTGTGTCAAATAAGTTGAATGGTAGATATACAAAGACAAGATAATGGATCTAAGATTCCTTCATTTCTCTTAATCGTCTAACGGCACCACGAACTGTGGCAGCAGTGGTTGTACTGAAAACATAAGCACCTCCAGCGACTGTTTTACCACATCCACGGCAAGACCAAATACCAACACAAGATCTTTTCATGGTTTCCTACACACAAAGAGAAAATAGAAAAATAAGAGACACAAAAATTAGAATGGTTGTTTAAGAATTGGTAAGAAAAACACTGACAATTAAGAGACAATTTAATAACTAGTTAACTTACCTTTCCACAAAAAGTACATGTGTATTTAGCATGTTGGGTAACTTCAATTTTCTTGACCATCTTTCTGAGAGAGGCTCCATATCTGGTACCGTATTTACCTACTACTCCTACTTTCTTAGTTCGTTTTGCCTTAATTTAGGTGAGAAGTAAACAAAATCAATTAAAAGTTATGAATGGATCTAGAAATTAACAATATCAAAACTTACCATTTTAATAAATTATTTTATTAATTACTAACAAAAACTAAATTAAAATGATGCACTTAAATTACAACAGAAACAAAGATTAACCAAACACAAATGAAACTCTTTCCGCTTCCGAATCATGTAAACATTACATTGATATTCTGCCATCTGGTCGATGGAAAGTAAACTATTTCTACGAATTTTTAATTTCTAATCTAATTTAATTTCCCAAGTTAATTGTCATTTTAAAACTCTAATTTGTAACAAATTGTGACAAAAACTCTTATATGGTCATGTAACCATTTGATTGTAATCATTATTTAATCGGGGTAATTAATCAAAAGACTTTTACTTTTAATTGAATTCACGCCCTCGAATTGGGATAAAGTGTGTTAAATAGCCTTTCAGAGTGTTAAATAGCTTGGGTGGTGTGCTTTTTGTTTATCTGAAACCTTTGAATTTTAAGTTTTTAACTGAGCTTTCCAATTGTTTGTCACAACTTATTGTCTTTTTCTTATCCGTGTGTTTTTTGTTTCAATTTAATTGTAATCAAAATGATGATGATGCCGAATATCACTAATCCTCTGAAGCCCATTCAGGTCATGAAACCGGGTGCTGACGAGGAAAAGGCAGAAGCAGCAAGAATTAGCTCTTTTGTCGGTGCAATTACTGTTGGTGAGCTTGTGAAAACCACCTTAGGACCGAAAGGAATGGATAAAATTTTACTATGTAGCACCAGTAGAACCAACAAGGTCGAAATTACCAATGATGGGGCAACCATTTTGAAAAGTATTGGTGTCAATAATCCTGCTGCCAAGGTTCTTGTTGATATCTCAAAGGTAAATCGATTTTCATTTTTTTTTCGTCTCTTCGTTTTTTTCGGTCTTTTAATGTGTTTCTTTTCTGTCTTCTCTATTCTCTTCTTCGTCATAAGACCCAAGACGATGAAGTCGGCGATGGTACAACAAGTGTCACTGTTTTAGCATCCGAACTACTTAAAGAGGCTGAACAACTCATTAACATGAAAATCCATCCCCAAACAATTATCAGTGGTTGGAGGAAATCGGTCGCTGTGGCTCGTAAGGCTTTGGAAGATGTTGCTGTTGATGACAGTGCTGATGAAGAAAAATTCAACGCACATCTTTTAAACATCGCCAGGACCACCCTTAGTTCTAAGATTCTCTCACAGCACAAAGAGTTTTTCTCTAAACTCGCCCTTGATGCTATTCTCAAGCTAAAAGGATCTGGTAACCTTGATGCAATTCAAATCATTAAGAAGCCCGGTGGTACTTTAACCGATTCATTCTTGGATGAAGGATTTCTCTTGGATAAAAAGCCTGGTGTTAATCAACCCAAAAGAATTGAAAAGGCTAAAATTTTGATTTCAAATACTCCCATGGACACCGATAAAATCAAAGTATTTGGCTCTCGAGTTAAAGTGGACTCTATAGCCAAAGTGGCTGAACTTGAATTGGCTGAAAAAGAAAAGATGAAAGATAAAGTTGATCAGATTCTAGCTCATAACATCAATGTTTTCGTTAATCGTCAATTAATCTACAATTATCCTGAACAACTGTTTGCTGATGCTGGTGTGATGGCCATCGAGCATGCTGATTTTGATGGTGTTGAAAGACTTGCTCTTGTTACCGGAGGTGAAATTGTCTCAACTTTTGGTAATCCTGACAAGGTTAAACTCGGTCATTGTGATCTAATTGAAGAAGTTATAATTGGTGGTGACACTTTGCTTAAGTTTTCAGGTGTCCCTCTCGGTGAAGCCTGTACTATTGTCCTTCGAGGAGCAACTGAACAGATCATTGATGAAGCCGAACGATCTCTTCACGATGCTCTTTGTGTCTTATCACAAACAGTCAAATTCCCAAAGATTATCTATGGCGGTGGATCAAGTGAAATGCTAATGGCCAACGCTGTTTCCAATCTCGCCTCTGAAACACCAGGTAAAGAGCAATTTGCAATGGAAGCTTTTGCCAAAGCTTTACGACAATTACCAACTATAATCGCTGACAACGGAGGCTATGACAGTGCTCAACTTATCTCACAGCTGAGAGCACTTCATCAACAGGGTAAAACTAGTTATGGACTTGACATGGAAAACGGAACAGTCGAAGATATGGAAAAATTGAACATTATCGAAGCGGCTGTAGTTAAACGACAAGTTCTTCTCAGTGCCGCTGAAGCCGCTGAAATGATTCTACGAGTTGATAATATTATCAAAGCAGCTCCTCGTCAACGTGACCCAGACCGTCGTGGACATTAAATTGTCATCTAATCTAATTAATACCAATCAATATAAATATTGAAGTAAACATTTTCTCTACCAATTAACCCATTGAACTCTCTCTCTCTCTCTCTCTCACTCTTTCTAACCTCGATATCAAATTGATAAATTAAAAATTTTGAATTAAATTATTTTCCATTTGTCATTTTGTCATTTATAATCAATTAACAGATTATAATTAGATGTTAATTACCTAATCAAAAGAAAAGGATTAACAAAAAATCCAAATGAAATTGAAAGTAACCACCGAGTGTTTAATTCACTAATGATCAGTTCTTTATGATTATCAATCGAACCAGTATCAGGTAGTAAAAGATTATATAAGAGTAAGAGTAGATTAATTGTCGATTAAAAGTTAAATTGTAGCAGAAAATCTCGTTAAACTAGTTAGTCTTTTGTAATTGAATTCAGTTTTTTTTTCTTCATCTTTAGAAGCAAAAAAAGTTTAACTTCATCATCCGAATTGCTCTGCTTTTTGATCGCGATGAAGATAAAGATGAAAAAAACATACGAACTGAGAGTTGATTTAAGGTGTTGATCGAGATATAGAGCAACTCACTGATCTGAAGTATCTTGATTAACTAAATTGTTGAAAATCATCCGAAACCTGTTGACCCGATATTGAACATTCATCTCATTCTCCTCCTTCTCATCCTCCTCCTCTTTCTTATCTTCATCATCCCTCCTTTCTTTTTCCATCATCATCTTTTTTTTCTGATTATTCTGATTATTGTTAATTCTAATCATCAACTGTCGAGTTGATTTCGTTTCATTCATCAACAAAGTGACTTTCAAACAAAATGAATTTTCATAATTTTCTTAATTTACTCTTTTCTCTTTGTGACAATTTGGTCGTACAAACGTGCTAACAATTACATTTGTTACTTGATTTAGATTACGTGCAACAATTAACTTTAATAGCTTGTTAATTCTCTGCACTAGTTTAATCTTAATTAATACAATTAACTTTCTCATCACAAAAAAAGCAAAAGGAAGGAGCGGTCATCGATCTTGGCTCTACTGTGAGTGGACCTAAAAGTAGCCAATTGTTTTTCCTTTAATTGTTCATATTTAGAACCTTTTAACAAGTAATCAACTAAATTAACCTTTTTCTCGGTCTTCTCTCTTTTCCCTTGACTATTAATATCATTATTTTATTTGTGTGTCTACTAATTGTTGGGTAAATTAACAGTTTGCTTAATTTTCTGGTTACTCCATTTTAATTGTCCTCCTCTCGAATCTTAATCATAACATTAACTTTTCTTCATTAAGTTTTACTTTCTCTCACTGGATTGTTATTATTATTTAACCATCAACACTTTTCTCTGTATCCAATTGTAGTTTCAATCAACAATCAAATTTGTCCAATGATTTGTTAATTATTTGGAAATGATTTACCAATGTGTTCATTTAAATGATCAACATCAATATACTTACAATTTACATCGTTACAATTGTTATCCTTTTTGTTTTCTTTCATCAATTAGAATCTTCAAATCTTCAAGTTTAACCAATTTTCCAATCAATTAACTAACTGGATTATTGAAAGAATAATTAAATCATCATCATCAAGTGATAATCGAAAGTGTCAACACCTTAATCAACATCAATCGAATCAATAATTGACCGGAAGTTTGGAAAGAAAATTTTCCAAGTTATTCCAATAAGATGAACGTAATTGTTTTCCAACAAAATTTATCTTAAATTGTGATTTACCTTTTTTACTACAATTAAGTTGATTATTTACAATTAAGAATTAGCTTGATATAAGTTATCCCATTTGGAACATTGTTTTTATTTCAACTGTTTTGTGTTCAATTTTTAATTGAAAAAAAAAGACAGAAAAAGTTGATTAGTAAAACAACATGAAATCAACTAATTATTACATTTTATGGATATTGATTGCAACAATTATCACCATTAATCAAGCTAACAAAATTGGATTAAAAGATAATAGTACTTGGAGTAAAAAAATAGTAAGTTTCAATTTCATTTTCTAATTGTTAATCAATGGTTAATCAACGAAAAGCAAAAACTGATCAAATCAATCATCCCAATCAATTGTAAGTTATTATAACAGCCATTTGTTTAATTACAACATGAGCTCACAAAATGATTAACTTGATTGTTATCATTTGATTTACTTATCTATCAAAATCAATTAATTCCAACAATCAATTCAATCAGTAATTACCTGTTATTGTTGTGCTGTTATTGCTTCAGGCCAGTTAATTAAGATACGATATTTACCTTGACCAGCCCAACAATTAATTGTTACAGATTATCATTCAAAGAAAAATTTCAATCAATGGCCTTGAGAGAGAGAGAAATTAATTAATAGCAAATTAACAATTAAACAATTTACAATTTACAATTTTCTACCAACAATCAAATATATTATCATCGTTAAATTGATTCATAGATGAGTTTAATAATTGTTACAATATTTATATTGATAAACTTACAATTTCAAGGTTTTTCTTGATCACAATCACAATCACAATCAACATGATGATATTAACAATCAAGATAATAAATTGAAATGATAATAGTGACAATGAAAACAGGTAGAGATGATTATTAAAATAATGATTGTTATCAATATAATGATTTAAGATTATAATTTAGCTTAATGATTAACAATCAAGTCTATTGCCCTTTGATTACCTTTAATATTCATCTTGATTTAAAGTAATTAGGTGTTTGGGTAAACTTTTTTTTCTGGTTTAAACTTCAATCACATTTACCTGATAACTTTTTGATTGTGAACCCAATTTAGCTGTTAATCAACTAATTCACTTTCCAGCATCTTTTTCATCAAAACTTTTAATACTTAATCATTATTATCATCTTTCTCTACCTTCATCATCAATTTTAGATTATTACAATTTAAATATACTCTCGAACCTTGTCTAATAATATATAATAAATAATTCTCACTTTTATTGATCGACAATTTAATTGTGATGACATTTAATTTAGAAGAGAATAGAAAAGTTTGATTAAAAGTTTTGTTTGTTTATCCAAAGAAATTGATAAATTTATCAAATGTAATTATGTTATTTTTGATATTCTTTGATTATTATTATTATTATTATTCTTGATTGTTGTTGATTGTTGTTGATTGTGATAACAAATCGTTACTGTTTATTGTAGCGGTTAACAATAAATTGCGTGAAGTGTATTGATGATTAGTAGGAAAAAGATGATTAGAAAGTTAACAGTAAAGTAATTGATGATTTCTAATCAAAATTATAATAACGTTTCAATGAACGTTTACTAATCGTCAGAACGAATCATCGTTGTAACGTTATCACGTCCGTTGATAACGATTTTTGTTTGTTGAAATAATAATTTCGCTAACTAATTGTTACTTTATCATTATTATCACCACCTAAATCATGGTGATAAACAATCAACAAACAATAACATACCTTACATTCATAACTAATCCCAACCCATTATCATCATCATCATCATCATACTCAATGATTATAATCCTGTTAATTAAGATAATTGTTTTCTTGTATCAACTGTATAACCGATTGATTTGTTTCTTAAATCATAACGATTGTCACAATTAATTCATTTAATTGTCTCATCAGGTCAAATTGTTTAACTCATTGGGAATCATGATAACCTTATTCCAATGAGTTCTCAGAATGAACAAAACTTTCCTTCATCATCTTCATTTGATTAGTTGATTAATATCAATTGATTTAAGAGAATTGAAATTTTTCCCATTTCAGGTCAACAATTAAAACTAAATCATTTAAATTCTCTATTAAATTGGTTATTGATCGTCTTTATATCAGACAGATTTATTATTAACTTCTTCTTTCTCATTGTCTGTCTCTCGAAATTATTTAGAACTGAATTAGAAATTTTCATCGAACTCTCGACTTTCACATCGAATTGATGAAAAAAAAGTTCACAAAGACAAACGATGTTTATTGATTGATTGTGAAGAAAATATTTCTACAACAATTAAATTGTTTCTCCAAGAATCAAAATATATTGTGAATATTTTGATCGGTAAAAAAATTCATTGAACCATTTACCTTTTACCTGAGTTTTGAATGAAAAAATGTCTGATCGCTTTGAACGAGGTCAAAATGTTTAAATTGTGAGGATTAACTGTTGATCATGTTGTTAATGATTTAATCACTTTCTAATTAACGTTTCTATCTCTCTCTCTAACAACATTACAGAATCAATGTAAACTCATGAAATTAACAATTAAATTTGATCATTGCTGATGATAATTTAGGAAATTATGATCAAGTTCAATTAGAGTATAATGATTAACAATTAAGTCCATTTGATGATTTACATCAATTCTCATCTTAACAGTTAACCTTGTTAAACTTTTAATCTCCCCTATTAATTAAACGATGAAAAATTAGGAAGTAAATTAACTAATTGTGATGAGGTCAAGTAAAAGTGAGACAAATTATTATTAGGGAAATGAGCTGATAAATTGACCATGAAAGTTACTTGAAATTGAAGCTCAATTTATATTCACTTGATTATGTTGATTGAATTGTTAATCTAACGCATCTCAATCAATGTAAATGTTTAATGTAATTACAATTAGTGTTTAATTGAAAAAAAAGACAGTTAACTTTTGATTCGTTGACATCGTTAGGTCAATCTTTAATTCACTTTCTTAATGATTAGTTGATTGTGACGAAAGTGAAAAGAGAGAAAGCAATTGATAAGTTTAATTTTAATTCACTTAATGAGGACAAACAATTGGATTAGTAATCAATTCATTAATTGAATGGATAATTGTTATTATATCTGTTTAATTGTTGTACAATAAAAAAGCGGAGAAAAAAAATTGATGAGTAATTAATGATTAGCTTAATTAAGGTTTGATTGTGTTAAGAAAGTGATTTACTATTATGATACAAATTATATAAAAGTTTAATTCTAATTGTTCAATTGAATAATTTTCTCATGATTAAAATAATAATAGTGATGTTATTTTTTTTCAGGGTTAATCAAAATTGATCATTATGGTTGTGATTATGATTAATGTTTACCTAATAATGATTGTTTCATATTCAAACACAATTAACTTTTTAGTTTGATGGGTTGTTAATCAAATGATGTAAGAAAAATTAACAATAAAAAAAATCAACAATTAGGTTAATCAAGAAAAATGAATCTACCAAAATGTTGAAACAGTCATTTGATTACCTTGAATGATAATGATTATTATTGTTGATTAAAAACATTAGCCTGATTAAGAAATAAACAATTAGTTGATCATTCATGATAATCAACAATTTCTGTCAACGATAGTTAATCACATTGACCAATCTTAGAGACTCAACACTTGAATAGTAATAAAAGTTTAAATGATAATCATTTGTCATATTCAAAGATAAAGGTCATTGGTGAAAGAACGTGTTTGAAGGTCATTTCAAGAACGTTCTTGTTTATTGTCAAATCTCAACCTTTTACCTGATAAAATAATCAACAAGAAAACTTACCTGATGATCATTTAGAATGACGAGATTCGCATATTTAAATTTTCGTATTCTTCACTTAAATTGGAGTAAATTTCGTCGAGAGTAATGTCAATGCTGTTAAAGTAACTTTGATCGAGTAGAAGATTTTTGACCTCAATGACCTTGAAGTTTTCTATTCCGAGTTCTTCAATATTTAATAGCATCTATACAAAGTTCGACCTCTCTAGAGCGAATAGGTCCTAAGGTATAACTGAAAATCAGTTGAGTTCGAGAAATTTTCTTTTCACTTCCGTAAAATGGGACAAAATATTCCCAACGTATAAAAAGTGTCACCACAAAGTAGATAGTAAATGCTATTTACTGATATTCAGTGAAGCTCTTTAGTGTAAATGGTTTGGCCTCAACCGAACTTCGAACTTTTTATCGAGAAAATGGTCCAGCGTGAAAAGTATTAGGTCTAAGAAAATCTCTAGTGACAATCGAATCAATTTAAGTACCATTCCTTGCCCGTTAACGACCAACAATTAAGCAATTTTGATCCTAATTTACATCCTAATCTCAGGTAAGATAATCCTAATTGTAACTTCCCTTTTTGTCTGAAATTTACTGAACAAGCCTTTAGTTTCATCTTAATTGTTTGCTGTCTGTTGGGTTAACCTGAAAATTTAAATTACGAAAGTGAAAGCAAATGATTAACTTTTTGTTTCTGGTTGATTGTTTCAAGAATTAATTTTTTTCTCTCTCTCTTTCTTGATTAATCATTACGTTGATTCTTGTGCTTTTTAGTTGAACTTTTTTTTTTCTTTAATCATTTCAAGTTATCATGATGATCATCATGATCATCATGTCGACGGGATGTAATAATAACCTGTTGTGATTAAACCATCGTCTGAACAGTTAACCATTTAAGTATTTAATCAAATGATTAAAATTGAAACACGAAAATTAAAACCCATTTGATGCTCATCGTTTTTATTTTTATTTTCTTATTGACTTAAGAAAAAGTTTAATCATTAAATTTGATCAAAGTTAATTAATACAATTTGATTGCAAGTAATCATAATGATTAACCCTCAATAATTAATTTCTGTTTACAATTATTAATAATTGTTAATAGTAATTTAATTAATGGTTAAAACTTTGGTTTTAATTTTGGTCTTGTTGGTGTTTGATTTTCACGATTTTTGCTCTCGTTTGATTGACAGTGATCTTTAAAAGTTAATTGTTGCAATATTATATTGATTTAATTTGTTTTTCTTCAGGTGAAACGACGTCTTAATCATGATGATCAATTGTTGGATGATTTAAATGACGATTCAGATGGAACATCATTTTATTTTCTTCCACCGAAAACGTTAAGAGGAACAGCGAATCGATATGTTTCTCGATATATTCAAGAATCGAGTGCTAATGGAAATGGTGATCTCTCTTATTTAGAATCAGATGAAGAGATCAAACCATCTTCATTATCATCGACAATTAATTCTGGTCGATCATCTATATTACCCAATGGTCGACCAGGTCGAATGCGTGTTCGTAGGGTTGAACAATCTTCAGGCGATCATTTGATTGAACCTCATTCAGAATATAATTTTGACGATATTATTGTGCCAAACAGTTCATCTTCATTATCAGCCAAAAGAATCAACCTCAATGTTAATTCAACATCTTCATTAGATGGTAATAGTAATAATAATCAGAGATCTCGACCAACTTCATTTGGTACTCGACGTCGAGTTAAAGTTAAAGAAACCGAACCTAACAGGGAACCCGGAACTGATCCGATATCTCATTTCATGGAAGTTGATATGAAAGAGAATGAAGAAGGAGACAAAGAATTACTTGATCCAGGATCGAGTGAAATTCGTGACACAATTGAGCCCAGAGGCGGTCAACAATTTCGACAGACTCTTCGTAATTCTGAATCACCTGTGAGCTCCATCAATTCTGGATTATCTCTTGATCCATATTCGCGATTTAAAAATGCCGATAATGACTTTGAAGAGCCACTGCCAAGACCTCAGGTGACATCTTCAGATTCTGAGACTATCGGTACTGGTAGACAATCAAATCCTCAATATCGACCCAATTATGAACATTACGAATCACGAGGTGGATCATCATCATCTTCTTCTGGAGGAAGAGATACTATTGTTGGCGGTGGATTAGAAAGTGGATTTACTGGTATTATTCCAGGTTCTTCTTCATCCTCATCATCTTCTTCTTCTTCTCCCTCCTCTTCGTCTTTATCTTCCTCTCGTCATCATCCTTCTCTTATTCGTTCGACTGAAAACTCTGACCCTGTTCGTGGTATTCGTGCTCGTTACTTTAGACCCCAAACTGTTGGTGATTATCGTCAATCAAATCATGCTTATATTAGCGGTAATCGACTTCCAACAATTCTAATTCCAAACCAGGATATACGACAACAACTTCCTCGTCCCTACTATGTGACAACCTCACCACCCACTCTAACATCTCCTCCTCTTTACACAACTTATTCTGATCTAAGTTTATCAGGATTATCTGGTTATCAATCAAACCCGTCATCAGATTTTGACCTTAGACCACAGAGACCAAGTCGAGTTGAACCTGCTCGAAGACCACCAGCCTCTCATTATCGAACCATGGTTGCTGATCATCTAATCGACGAAGATGAAGGATATAATGTTCGAGGTATTACAACAGTCTCACCTCCACCAACCAGGCCATCGACAATCAGAACAACCCGAACAACAACAACCACCACAACTCCATCAACCCCCATTTCGCGAGTTGAACCAATCTCACGAGATTATAATTATGGTTATGATGCTGATCGAACTCGACAACCAAACTATGATTACTCTGATCAACCGATTCACCGTCAGAATCCTCAAGCTAATCAAAGAGGAAGTAACAACAATCGCCAATCAAATGAGCGATCTTATCGAAATCAATTTTATTCCCAAGCCACTGCAACAACAACCTCGACCACAACAACGACGACAACAACAACGCCCAAACCAGTTCAACGATATAACAACAATAATAATTTCGAGCGGACAAATGACCGAGGTCAACCTCCTAATTACAGGTTCGTCTTTATCTGAACTTTTCCTTTGCCTCAATTTTTCACTTCCTGACTAAAAACACACACACAAATTAATCTAATTGACAATTATATTAATCAATATTAATGAGAATAGACTTTACCAACAATTAACATTAACATTTATGATTAACTTATATACAATTATTATTAATAGAATCCATGATCGGATGGATTTAATTGCTTCAGTTATTGGCCTGATTTCATATCGCTTTTGATATTCACTTTCAATCATTAGTTTGGATTAGATTAAATTGTTGCTGTTCCTTTGATTAACTGATTTAAGGTGGGAAAATGTTGATTGTTGACAGTTTATTTGTATTATTATTTTGATGTTTCTCTTGATTAGTAATATAAATATTTTCAACTCTTAATTGTGATTACTTGGATTGGGTTTGTTTGTTTCTTTGATTGTTGCTGATTTAAATGTGATCACAATTCAAGTGTAAAAATTGTTGAAAACAAATTATAACAACAAAATTAACGAAAACAAATTAACTAATTTAACTTTTTTTTCCAACTTATAATTACAATTACAATCATATAAAGTTTGATTATTTTTACCAATATTAATACTTGCTAATAGGTTTGGCTTTTTTAGTTAATCTTTATATACTTTAATTACAATTGACTTGATGAATTAGATTAATTTTGATTAATCAGTATTCAATTTAGTGATTTAACTAATATTTTTATCACAATAATGATTAATATTTAAGTCAATCATTTGAAAATTAGGTTCAACTTTTTTACCAATCATTTTAATAGTTTAATTTATTGATCATTGTTAAATTGTAATGGACAAGATTATTATTAGAGGAAATGTATTTACTATTAGTTGATTTAATTGTAAACACGATTTATATTATAATAGTAATGATAATCAGCATCTTGATGATACATATTTATTAATATGTTGGTCACTTTTTTATTTATTTATTATGTTGTTTAGGTCAATGGTTCCGGTCAATTAAAATAAATTGTTCAATTGTGTTCATTTTGATTTGAAATTGATATTTGCTATTTGAATGAGAAAACAAAATCAATTGTTTATCAAATTGTTTGATAAAATTGAGGTTTTATTTAACTCATGTAATCATGTTGAATCGTGATTTGTTAAATTGATTGTGATTATAATATAAAATTACAGTTATGATTATCATTTAAGTTGAGGTAAAATTATCAAATTGCTGATTATGTAAAAGATTTTAATCAAATCAATCTGATTTTATCTAAATTTTTTTGATTCAGTTCAGACGCATAATCATCAGTCTTGATTGTTAATTGTTTATGTCATTATTTGGTTAGTTGATCAAATTTAATTCATTTTCTAAGGAAAACAGGAAAAGTTAATCGAGTGTTAATCTTGTACCAGAAGGAGATTAACATTAATCACTAATAATTTGTGTGTCAGTTGATTATCAATAATCTTTTTTTTCGAGTTTTTAATCAACTTAATGATAAGATTAACAATTATTGTCTCTATGGGATAATCAATCTCGTTTTTGTTTACTTGGTCAATTTAATTGCTATTTTTAGGTCTGATTATGATTCCGCGCCGATGACAGCAACAGTCGCCCCACCAAATGACTCAGAATCGCCTAATTCTGGATCAGGATTTCGTATTCGACCTGCAGGTCGACCATTAGGTGGTCGTCGTCGACGTAAACGACCAAGAGCTCAAATTGCCGCTAATCAAGGACCAGTGAATGGACAAAATAGACAACCAACAACCACTACAACCACAACTACAACAACCTCCGCTCCACCTCCAGCTCCATATTATTACGATGATTATGATGATAATGAAGATTACGAGTACGATTATCAGCCGACCACCACAACAACCGTTCGTCCTCGACGTAAAGGTAGACGAGGTCAAGGAGGTCGAGGCCGACAACGAACCAGCACAACCCCGTCAACAACAACCACCACAACAACCACAACACCAGCACCCACAACAAGGACACTATCACCAGGCTATAAACACCGAGCCGACAAGAGGATAATTGATTACATGGCTGATCCCAATTTCCCTCATGAATTAAAAGGAGCTGATTTAACTGATTACCCATTTTACATTTCCCTACCAACCGAAATTAACTTTAATTGTGAAGGTCGACATGATGGTTATTATGCTTCCATTGAACATAAATGTCAGGTAACTTTGAACAATCAATTTAATTGCTCTTCTTCTCAATCTTCATTAGTATTATTATTTAATTGTTTCGTTTGCCTTAATTTCATTTTTCTCGGCTCTTTAAATTCACTTAAATAGTAAACATTTGACTTTTAAATTTTGATTGATTGCTGAGAAAACTTTTATAATAAGCTTGATGGCTAAAATAATAATCTCATTTCTCACCTCACAATTAGCTTGGTACAATTTAAATGAATTAAAACAATTGTTAATTACTTTTCTTTTTTTGCTTCTTCTCATTCAGGTTTATCATCATTGTGCCATTGGTCATCGATATGATTTCTTATGTCCAAATTATACTCTATTTGATCAGACAACATTTACTTGTCGTTTCGTTAATACAGTTGATTGTTTGAAATCAGAAAATCATTTTAATCGTAATGACGATTTATATGTTGAAACAACGGAGAAACCGGAAAATAATGATAAACCAAAATCCAAAAGGAAAAGGAAAAGGAAAGAAACAAAAGAGACGAAGAGGAAGCAATTAAATCGGAAGCAAGTTCAAGAATTAATGAATCTCCAATTGTTTCAACACAATCAACATTAACGACAACAATTAATTATACTACTAATAGTAATCATGATAATAGAAGTGATAATTTTAGTAATAAGACAAAAGTGAAAAACAAACTTGATAAAAGATTGAAAAAAGTTTCGTGATCAAAACAAACACCGAAAAAATTGTAATATCAATGCGATTGAGAGATCAACAAGTGGAAAGTTAAACACAACATCAATTAACCGCTAATTGTTTATAATCATTAAATCAATAGATTCTAAATAAATTATATTATGTTTTCATGAGAAGAAAATGTTTGTTCATTATTTTGAAATTCGCACTTCTCGTAATCAATTTATTTCGGTTTCTCTTGTTCTTAGTAACCAAACCGAAATCAGGTCCATATTGGCCTTTCGGGCGACTAGTAGTTCCAAAGATAATCTGTGAAAGATTATTTAGCAATTGGTTCGGACTCATGATGATAAGTAAGTTTGTTTTAATCTATTAATTTGGTACTTTTGATTGAGTTATGCGATTTTAATGATGATAATTTTCTAGCTTGAACCCTCTGTGATTTGCTATTACTCTAAGAAGTTCTGATAATTTCGTTATGATGTTTAGATTTACTTTTTTAAGTTGTCGCTGTTGGTATGATATATACAGTATTTAACTAAAAGGTGATGTGATGTTATAAGTGTCCATTGTATCCATTTGGTGATTTTCTCTTTCCGGTGATCTAAATTTTTGTGTTTTCTTTTCTTTTTTTCTCAAATGGACGCCATGATAATAACTAACTTGAAACTAGAAGAGAGTGAATAGATTTTTATAATATTATGTACCATGCAATCCATTAACTATTTACTATTGTTGTTATTACTCTTTTGAACCAACAATCTTGGATTAATTGTAGTAAAATTTGCTGATTGTTATTCATCATCTATTTTACCATCATCTTTATCTCCATCTTCCGAGCTGATTCAAGATGGTAATCGACCATTGGAAAGTATTGATCTTTCTTTCAATGGGATGTCTTCTGTTCCTGATGAGCTTTTCTGCCAACTTTCCAACTTAGCTGTCATCAATCTTTCCAATAATTTGTTCACCGATGTAGTATCCATTGGATTTTCATCTTCTGTTAAACGTTCATCTTCATCTAAAAACAATAACAATAATAATAATAATGGTAGTGGTCAAAACTCTAGTTGGTCCCATTGTTCAGTTAATTCTACAAGCCAATTGGATTTATCTTACAATCGTCTCGCAGTTTTAACTGAATTATATTCTTATTATTTTTTCATGAGAAGAAAATGTTTGTCAATTATTTTGAACTTCGCGCTTCTCGTAACCAGTTTAGTTCGGTTTCTCTTGTTGCTTAGTAACCAATCCGGAAGCACGAGTGGAGGTTTCATTTTTTTTGTTCTTGCTTATAGTTAATTGTTTTGTTTCTTGGTTGGTTTTATTAACCAAAGTTATCATGCATCTGTATAACATTACCCTGCAAAGGGCAAGTGGTATTACTCATGCCATCCATGGGAACTTTGCGGGTTCTAAACATCAGGAAATCGCCATTTCCAAGGGCAGAACTTTGGAATTGATTAGGCCTGATATTAATACGGGTAAGATTCACACCCTTGTTTCCGTTGAGGTTTTCGGTATAATCAGGTCCATGTTGGCCTTTCGGTTAACTGGTGGTTCCAAAGATTATTTAGCAATTGGTTCGGACTCTGGTCGGATTGTTATCCTTGAATATAATCCTACTAAGAATGTTTTTGAAAAGGTGAGTTGATGTTTTTTTGCTTCTTTGTTTTGATGTTTTTTAATTTGTAAGATTTGATTTTTAGGTGCATCAAGAAACTTATGGAAAAACAGGGTGTCGTCGAATTGTTCCTGGACAATACTTAGCTATCGATCCTAAAGGAAGAGCAATGATGATAAGTAAGTTTGTTTTAATCTATTAATTTGGAACTTTTGATTAAGTTATGCGATTTTAATGATGATAATTTTCTAGCTTGAACCCTCTGTGATTTGCTATTACTCTAAGAAGTTCTGATAATTTCGTATTCTTTTGTTAAGATATTTTTATTTTTGTTGAGTTGCACGTTTTATTGATGCTAATTTTTTATTACTCTTTTCAGGTGCTGTTGAAAAACAAAAGTTAGTCTACATTTTAAACAGAGATAGTCAAGCTCGTCTTACAATCTCTTCTCCTTTAGAAGCTCATAAGTCTAATACTTTGGTATATCATACAGTTGGTATTGATGTTGGTTTCGATAACCCAATGTTTGCCTGTCTTGAAATGGACTATGAAGAAGCTGATAATGACCCAACTGGTGAAGCAGCTCAAAGAACTCAACAAACTCTTACTTTTTATGAACTTGATTTGGGTCTTAATCATGTGGTTAGAAAGTACAGTGAACCATTGGAAGAGCATGGTAACTTTTTAATTTCTGTCCCTGGAGGAACCGATGGTCCTAGTGGTGTTCTTGTTTGTTCTGAAAACTATATTACCTACAAGAATTTCGGAGATCAACATGATATTCGTTGTCCGATTCCCCGAAGACGTAATGATCTAGATGATCCTGATCGTGGGATGATTTTTGTTTGCTGTGCCACTCATAAGACAAAGTCGATGTTTTTCTTTTTAGTTCAAACCGAACAAGGAGACATTTTTAAAATCACCTTAGAAACAGAGGACGAAACAGTCATGGAGATTCGTTTAAAATATTTCGACACAGTTCCAGTTGCCACAACAATGTGTGTACTTAAAACAGGCTTTTTATTTGTAGCCTCTGAATTTGGCAACCATTACCTTTACCAGATCGCCCATTTAGGTGACGATGATGATGAACCTGAACTAAGTAGTGCTATGCTACTTGAAGAAGGAGACACATTCTTTTTCAATCCAAGATCTTTAAAAAATTTAGTTCTAGTCGATGAGATTGAATCTTTATCACCTATCATGTCATGTCAAGTTGCAGATATTGCAAATGAGGATACACCTCAACTGTTGATGGCCTGTGGTCGTGGACCTCGATCATCACTAAGAGTCTTGAGACATGGACTGGAAGTCTCAGAAATGGCAGTTTCCGAATTACCAGGAACTCCTAATGCCGTTTGGACAGTAAAGCGTCGCGCTGATGAAGAGTACGATGCTTACATCATCGTTTCTTTTATCAATGCCACTTTAGTTCTCTCGATTGGTGAGACTGTTGAAGAAGTCACTGACTCAGGGTTCCTTGGGACAACACCAACTCTTGCATGTGCTCAGATTGGAAATGACGCATTGATTCAGGTTCGTAAAACATTACTAATCTTTTGAACGATAAATCATTATTTTTAAGTGTTTCATCTTTCTCTTCTTACAGATTTATCCTGAAGGTATTCGTCATATTCGTGCTGACAAAAGAGTAAATGAATGGCGGACACCCGCTAAAAGACATATCCTCAAATGTGCCATCAACCATCGCCAAGTTGTTATCGCATTGACCGGCGGTGAATTGGTTTACTTCGAAATGGATGTTAGTGGTCAACTTGAAGAATATACCGACAGAAAAGATATGACCTGTGATGTCATTTGTATGGCTCTTGGAGCGATACCTTCTAGTGAACAAAGATCTCGATTTCTGGCTGTGGGTCTTGCAGATAACACTGTAAGAATAATCTCTTTAGATCCTGATGTAAGTAAATCAATAATTTGTTGCCATTTTTTTTCGTTGAATATGATGATTTCCAATTATGTCCGTGTTTCAGCTGAATCACAATGTTGACACTATAATCCTGACTAAGTGTCCAATTCACAAACAAAACTTTATCCTGTTCCAAAAGTGACTCAATTTCTACTTTTTTCCCCTCTCTATTTAGGATTGTCTCTCACCATTATCCATGCAAGCACTACCCGCTACACCAGAATCTCTTTCAATCGTTGAAATGGGTGCTGGTACCAAAGAACTTAGAGATATTTCGAGTGAAAGATTATATCTCAATGTTGGTCTTCAAAATGGTGTACTTTTACGTTCCATTCTCGATAATGTCACTGGTGAACTTTCTGATACTCGTACTCGATATTTAGGTACTCGACCTGTTAAATTATTCCGTATTCAGATGCAAGGTTGTGATGCAGTATTAGCCATTTCCAGTCGCTGTTGGTTACTTTATTACCATCAAAGTCGTTTTCATTTAACCCCATTATCATACGAAACCCTTGAGTTTGCCTCTGGTTTCACATCTGAACAATGTCCAGAGGGCATTGTTGCCATTTCTGGTAACACTCTAAGAATTTTGTCTCTCGAAAAATTGGGAGCAGTGTTCAACCATCAATCTTTTCCACTTGAATACACTCCCAGAAAATTTGCCGTACATCCTGAAAGTGGTAATTTAATGATTATCGAAACAGATCATAATGCTTACACAGAGATTTCTAAAAAAGCTAGAAAACAGCAACTTGCTGAAGAGATGGTTGAAGCCGCTGGTGAAGCTGAGCAAGAAATGGCCGCTGAGATGGCAGCAGCTTTTCTCAGTGAAGATTTACCTGAAAATATTTTCGGTGCCCCTAAAGCTGGAGTTGGTCAATGGGCATCTCTAGTAAGAGTTATTGATCCCATCTCAGGCCAAACGCATCAAAAGGTACCATTCGAACAAAATGAAGCCGCATTTAGTATCTCTATTGTTCGTTTCTCTCAACACGGCGATGTTCCCTTCCTTTTAGTTGGCGTTGCTCATGATCTCAACCTTAACCCGAGAAAAGTTGCCGGAGGGAGCATTCATACTTACTCTATTTTAGAGGACGGTAAACGTCTCGAACTACTTCATACCACGTCGATTGAAGATGTACCTCATTCGATCTGCCCTTTTCAGGGAAGAGTTTTGATTTCAATCGGTAGATTATTAAGAGTTTATGACATGGGTAAGAAGAAACTACTTCGCAAATGTGAAAACAAACACTTCCCTTATTGTATCGTCTCTGTACATGCGATGGGAAATCGTATCTACGTTACCGATGTCCAAGAAAGTGTTTTCTTTGTTCGCTACAAAGCCGCTGATAACCAATTGGTAATTTTTGCTGACGATTCTACACCTCGTTGGGTTACGGCTTCTTGTCTCATCGATTATCAAACAATCGCCATTGGAGATAAATTTGGTAATTTCAGTATACTTAGATTACCTCATGGAGTAACGGATGATGTCGATGAAGATCCAACCGGTGTTAAATCTCTTTGGGATCGGGGATGGCTCGGAGGAGCTTCTCAAAAAGTCGAGACAATTTGTAGCTTTCATATCGGTGAAATTATACATTCACTTCAAAAAACTACTCTAATTCCAGGATTGTCAGAATTGATTCTTTATACTACTCTCTCTGGGACAGTCGGTGTCATGGTTCCTTTCTCATCACAAGAGGAACATGACTTTTTCCAACGAATTGAGATGCACCTTAGAAGCGAAGCTTCTCCTCTTTGTGGTCGGGAGCATCTCTCTTTTCGCTCATATTATTTTCCAGTCAAAAATGTCATCGATGGTGATCTCGTTGAACATTACAATCTAATTGACTTGAATAAACAAAAAGCCATTGCCGAAGATCTCGATTATATTCCAGCCGAAGTTTCAAAAAAACTTGAGGATATGAGAAGTCAATTTGTATTTTAACCTATGAGCTTTTAAAAAAAGCCTCAAATTGTAAATTATTAATGTAAATTTGTGTATTTATTTTGATAAAAATGATAAACTTGCATAACTTTTTCAATCAACTTTATTTTATACACATAATCTTAATCTACAATAATCTATTTACAAATTCACTTATCCTTTAATCTTTCAGCTTCGATTTCTTTAATTTTCCTATTAGTCTCTTCCTTCAAACCCTAAATAGAAATGAACAACAATTAAAACAAAAACGTGACAATTATTTCATCTTTTTACTTACATCTAAAGGTCGATAATATGAATGAACAGCTGATGAACCAAGAAGAATACAAACTCCCATGTAAACAGCTCGAATTACTGTTCTCTTATCAAAATCCATAACTAACAATTAATAAATCACAATTAACAAATCAAACAGTTAAACTGAATGTTCACTTTTCCATCAACAAAAACAAATGTGTTGAGAATAAGCTGATAAATCAAGTCGACGATTAGAAGCCGATGAGCCGATTAATCGACTACTCGGCAAAAGCTCCAATTGAACAACAATTAACATCTTACCCAAAGAAAACTGTCTCTTTAATCAGTCTAGTGTTTTGTTAACTAATCACAATTTATTTTTTCTTCAATCGTTACTTTTGACCTTTAAAATGGAAACAATTAGTTGGGTCCCTTTAGAATCTAATCCTGATATGATGAACAATCTGATTGACAATTTGGGTGTTTCATCTGAATGGAAGTTTGTTGACATTTATGGATTTGAAGAAGATCTTTTATCATTTATTCCTCAGCCTGTTTTGTCTGTTATATTGCTCTTTCCATGTGGTGAAATCGGTTCCCCAGACTCTCAGCCAGAATGTGACCGGAAACCCGACGAAAGCGGCGATTCACCCAAAGAGATGAGTGCAACTTGCAAGGATGAAAATGCGATTTACTTCATGGCACAAACCATTCAAAATGCTTGTGGCACCATCGCCATTATCCATTCCGTGGCTAATGTCATGGATTCTATCACTTTCACCGAGAATTCATCTCTGAAAAAGTTCATCGAAGACACCAAAGGATTAACACCTCTCGCAAAGGCTGAAGTCCTGATGAACACCGCCGTGATTAGTGATACTCTCCATGAAATAGCTCAAACTGGCCAAACCGAAGCTCCAGATCCAACTGCAAATACCGATTGTCATTTCGTTGCACTGACTCACATCAATGGTCATTTGTATGAATTAGATGGACGAAAACCCGGACCAATCAATCACGGGCCCTCTTCGCCAGCAACTTTCCTCAAAGACGCCACCAGAATTTGTCAAGCTTATCTAGATAAAAGTCCACAGTCTTTCAAGTTCAGTGCTTTGGCTCTTTGCAAAGATGTTTAATCATCGGCAATTACGGTTAATCAATTATTCACTTTTTCTATGAATCACATTTGTAACGTTTCGATAATTATTCTTTCATCAATTTGGTTTTACATCAATCGATATGAAATAAACTTTAATTTTATTGTTACTTCTTTTATACCTCAAACATTTGATTATTTACAAATTCGAATCAATTTATTGTTTGTTCTGTTGTTGTTTGGCGTTAATTTGCCTCAATTTCTCTGACTTTTGATTTAATTGCTCCAATTTCGCGATCATCTCTTGTTCTCGTCTCATACTCTTCTCTCGAGTCGCAGCGATTTCCGCTTCCAGTTCAGCGAATTTCTTTTGTTTCTCTTGATCTTGAGCTTCCATTTGTTCCTCTAAGGTCATCAGCTAATCAAGAAAATTTGTCGAGATCATTAAATTAGAATAAAACAATAACTGAAACATAGTAATTAAATCAATCGATTCAACTGAATTTGTGACTTACCTCTTTTCGTGCAGCCTTAAGACTTTCAGATTTTGCCTCAAGTAAACTGATTGTTGATGATAAATTAAGAGTTTTTGATTGAATCTACAAGAGAAGACAATTAAACAATAGGTTAATCTAATTCGATACAGTTAATCACACTAATTACCGTCTCAATACGATTCTTCTTGTTTTAATTTCTTCCATTGTTTTCATTTGGATTTCTTTTGCTTTTTTCAGTTTCTCTTCCATGGCAAGTAGTCGCTCTTTCAATGATCGAGCTTGATCTTCTACCTTTAATCAGAATTAATCATCAGTATATCTCAGGGAAACAATTAACAAATAGATTCAATGATAATTACATTAACTGCTCTTTCTTGGGCGATTCTCGTTAATTGCTCAGCAGTTTCAGCTCGATCTAAAGCTTCTCGTCGATCCTTTTCCATTTGCTCCATTGATTTCTCAATTGTATCCTTCATGATTAATTCTTGCAGGTAAATAACCAATTCACTAAAACTGTTTACAACAATTAACAGGATCGACAGCAATCAAGAACACACAGTAAACAGGTAAATCAAGTAAAAGAGGAAAAAAAAGGTAAACTGATCACAAATTTAATCTTCTAATACTTTTAAGATGATCAAGAATATCTAAACTTACACCAATTGAATAGAATGTGAGTTAATCAATGGTGTTTCCGAAAATAGATTATCTTGGAGTTAATCCAATTCTCTTAATTGCTTTCTACTTGATTTTCTTGTTGGCAGAAACGTAAATAAAAATATAATCCATTTCGAAGTGAATTTCGAATCCTGATCGGATGTAATTTCATGTAAATCGAAACTAATCAACGAACAAGTAGATTATAATTAGAGAGAGAAATTCAAACCATGATTATTTCGTGATCTCCATGAATTCAATGAAATGGAACTACAAATGAAGTGAAATTCATAGCATGATAATGTTTAGAACTCAATGGAACAATTAATAATCAGTGACAATTAGTCGGTTGCGAATCAAGGATTGAGAAAGATTGATATTCTTTGGTTAATATTAATTGTCTAGAGAATCAAGTTGATCGTATTATTCAAATATGAGAAATTAAATTGATTGGTTTTAAAATTATTCCTCGAGTCAACATGACAAGGTAATCGGTGGACATTAAACTCAATCAACAAATGATCAAGACCTTGATTACGTTAAAATTTAATCAACAGTATTACAGAATCATAACAGATTAATTGTCGATCCTATGATCAAATTTTCCTTCAACTTTTCCTCATTGAAGGTAAACTACTCCTTCCAAGTGATTGGTGTTTCTCTTAACAATTTTGTTTACAATTAAGCTGATTATACATCATTAGTAAATTGTTTTCCATCTCATCTGTTTTTATTACATTGTATCATCCTCATTAATCAATTGTACCCAATGAACGATCAACAATTTAACATTGATTAATATTTTTTTTTCATCTCATGTTAACCTACAATTTGTAAGTCGGAAATTAAAATCTTAACCATCAACAATTATGTAAGTTTTAAGTCTTATTTAATTGTGGACAATCAATTTAACAAGTAGATTATTCTCAATTAATCTAATTGTCAACAAACTTTCCAATTAATTATCTTGATTGTTGATAAATTTTCTAAATTGGAAGATAATATTTGATTTAATAAACGAATCGTAATTGTATTAACAAGATTAATCTGAGTTTTTCTTGTGAAATTGTCAATGTCCCAACTATAATCAACAACAATTAAGTCATGAAGATGATTGTTGGGATGCTTGAACAAGGTTAAATTGTGATCTTCTAATTGAGTTAAGTCTCGATCACAATCAAGGTCCAATTAGCGAGGTTAATGTGCATATAAATGTACAAATATTAATAATAATTTGAAGTTCTTATACTTTGCTTACGAGAAATTAACATGATCATGAAGTTTTAACATTGAACAATCAATGAAATTTTCCAAGGTGATTAAGAGAAAACGTTTCTTAAATTGTAAAAATTAATCTTCCGTATTAACGCAAAGTTACAATTTCCGTAACAATTTAAGATCTCATATGTTGATTAACAATGTAAACCAGATTAATTTGTTTTCTCTCGACATGTACATTGGAAATTTGCGTTATTAGCGCTTAGTGGCCTTCGAAAGACAAAACAACAAACGAGAGAGAGAGAGAGAGAGAGAGAGAGAGAGAGAGATAGAAAGATGGATGATAAATTTTTAAGAGAAAAGAGAAAGTCTTTCTTTATCTCTTTCTTTTCTTCATCATCTCCCTCTCTTCCTCTCTGTTGTTTTCACTCTGTTGTTGTTGTGATTTTGTTTAGTTTCCTATGAGTGATGAAACCAAAATGTAATATGACTGATTTTCCTCTTACTTTATGTAAGATCATCTTGAATTAAGTTAATTAGTCACTTTATTAACCTCACCCATTGTTTTAATCTTGATTCTCATCTTTGGTTTAGTCGATAATCATTCAATTATAATTATTTCTCCGCCATCTCTGGTTATTATTTATCTTTTTCCACTATGGGTAAATTGGTTGGTCTTCCGTTTTTGGCTTTCATCTTTGGATCCATTGGGTTTCTCGGTTTGTTTACAATTCCACCGATCGTGAAAACGATAATTAATCAGGTAAATTAAACTAATTAACTTTCATTTTCTCTTAAATATTGACTATTGTTTTGTGTCTTCCATTCCCAAAGAAAGTGGTTTTGAAAAATGGGTCAGTTCTTTACCCATTTTGGAAAGATTTACCTCTTCCTGTTTACCATAAATTTTATTTCTTCAACATCACTAATCCCGACCAAGTGGAATACGAAGGTGCTAAACCAATTCTAACGGAAATTGGACCATTTACCTATCGAGTGAAAGTGTTAAAATCAACAGTCGTCAATGAAAATGGTACAATAAGCTTTCGACAAACCAAGAGATGGTTTTTTGACAGAGAAAAGTCAATAATGGATGAAGAAGTGACCATCAACACTATAAATGCTCCTCTAGTGATAACCTTAAGTCTCTTGAGTAGAGTGTCACCTCTTGCACAGAAATTAATCGAAGACACCTTATCAATTCTGGACCATGGATTTATTATCGAGAAAAGTATCAAAGAATTGACCTTCGAAGGTTATAAAGATGTTCTCATGGCTTTGGGTCCCTTCATTGCACCCGAAGCAACCGCTGGTTATCATGGTAGATTTGGTTATTTCCACCATAAAAATGGTTCTGATGATGGTCTGTTTACTGTTTATTCCGGTGTTAATGATATGAGAAAGATTAACCTATTGACTCGGATTAATGGACGAGAGAGATTAAATATTTGGGCTGATAAACCAGAAAATGAGAGTTCATGTAACCGGTTTGATGATAGTACTTTGGGTGAGATTTTCCCTTCATTGAGAGATAATCCCACGAGAATCATTAAGATTTACACATCAGATTTATCGAGATCTCTTTCACTTATCTATCAAAAGTCCCACTACGCATTCAAAGGATTAGAAACCTGGAGATACAATTTCTCTGCCGATAATTTCGCCAATTCAACTGATTATTCACCTAATAAATGTTTCATCAGTAAAATGACTAGTCATGCCTTTGATGGATCAAACGGAAATTTACCTTCCGGCGTTTTTGATGCATCAGCCTCCAATTTTGGTTTCCCTATTTTCATGTCATCACCTCATTTCTATCAAGCTGATCCTTACTATTTAGATAGAGTTATCGGATTATCTCCTAATCCATTGAATCATTCAACTTGGATTGAAATCGAGCCAACCTCTGGGGCCACCGCAGCGACGACGATCCGTTTACAGATCAATTTAGGAATAATTGACAGCCATTTATTTAAACGAAGTCATCATATGCCGAACATCATTTTCCAGCTCTTTGGATGGAAGTTGAAACTTCACTTACTTCCGATCTTGTGAATAAACTTATCATTGCCAACACAATCTTATCACTAGTACCTACTCTAGTTTTCGCCATAGGTGTTGGTTTTGCTGGTTTAATCCTGTTTATCGCTTTTCTTCAATTGATTGTTCCCCAAAGAAGAATCAGATTTGCTGGTTGTTTCAATATTCTTACTTGTCATCTTTATAAAAGTGTCAAGGTACTTGATTAGATCAATTAACTGTAATCGATCTTTATTTCGGTTTAATCTAAGTTAATTTTTCTCTCTTTTTTACTTTGGTCCTAATTTTGATTTGATTTTCTTTTATTTCATAGGATGACGAGCAAACAATACTTGACTCTGATGAGATCAATGATAATCGAAATGATTTATTTACTAATTGATTCTTAACTAATTGACCCAAACACTATATCTGTGATACTTTAAGTGGCTGTCGCCGGACCCAATTTTTTACCATGGACACAATGAGACAAATTCAATTATGACTTTTTAATGACTTGAAGAAAATATCATGTAAATTAATCTTCATCTTCATCTTTTCTAATCAATAAACGTGCAGTTGAACTTTCCTGATTTTCTGGTTTCCAAGCTTTCTCCTGGTTAATTCTTGAAAATAATGAACTCCAATCAGTTTATCACGAAAGAGAGAAATCAGATAATTAATATTTTCTTTCTCAATCAGAGTAAAAATCACTTTTGCTCTTCGTCCTTATCCTATTGAACCTCCAATAGAAATACTTATCTCTCAAGACTCGAAGGTCAATTGATATTCAATCGACTTTGGTGATAACCAACCACAAGAAGATCAATCAAGTAATGGAAGAGATTTAAATCTCCAAATTAATCTATGGACAGATTGTCATCATTATCCAACGTCATCATCTCTACGAGATTTGATCTTGATTAACAATCGACGTTGGATTTATGATGAACTATCTACACGCAGGGTAACAAAAACATTGGAACACTTTGATTATCTTTATGTGCCATCAAAGATATTGAGAAATACCCTAATCTTAATCTTTTAAACCCAATGAGCTAATAAGGGTTTCTTAAAATTCTGGTTTTCACAGCCTATGGTAATTAATTTTCTCTTCGAATCTTGATAACCTCGTTTATCGCAAGATAATCAACAAACCGGTTTAAAGTTAATCGATGGTTTAAATTGACACCAAAACTAAAAACTCTCTCTACTTCTTGATTAACACAGAACTAAGTAATTCTGAATCAATATTGACTATCATTTTCTAGGTCAATCTAAATCTCTAACTGATCATTTGAATCATGGTGACATTTGATTCAATCTTGTCGTCATTAAGTTTTAATATTAATAGTTATGGTTTAGCGTTGATTATTTTTACTATTTGTCTCTTTGTTTTAATATTTTATATAAATAGACCGATAAATATAATCAGAGTAAGTCATTAATCAAGTGGTTAATTTTTGATTGATATTGAATTACTGTTTTTAATCATCTTCTAGGATGCTAATTGTGATAATATCGCCAATTTGAAACCAATATATTCTTATCCGAATGGTTGGATTGGTGTTTGTGAATCAATTTATCTGAAAGATCGTGAAATTAAACGTGTTGATTTCTGTGGTCATCGAATTATTTTATTACGATTGTCATCTTCCAATAGAAAACCTTATGCATTGGATGCTTATTGTCCTCATCTAGGAGCTGATTTATCGGTGGGTGGAAAAATAGTGAAAAACTGTGAGACTGATTGTATCCGTTGTCCATTCCATGGATGGTCATTCAAAGTTACTGATGGTCAATGTGTCGATGTTCCTTATACCAAAGACCGAAGTGAGTGTGTGACAATTTCTATGGATCAACAACCAAATCTATCAATTGAATTCATAATTTTCTTTACTATTAATATTTAGAACCACCAAACGGAGTAGCAATTAAGACATGGGAATGTCTGGAACTCAATGGGTTCATTTATGTTTGGCATCATAACGAAGGTAAAATTTACGATTAGTGATTGAATTCAATTTCGTTCTAACTCTCATTCATTGTGAATGATTTAGGTCTAAAACCAACATGGGTCCCTGAAGAAATCAAAGAGATCACAGTCAACAAATATAAGTATATGGGCCGAACTGAGCACATTGTCAACTGTCTAATCCAGGTAATGATTACGAGATAGCTATTATACCTGTTATTCACCTAGATAAATAATCGATCAATCGAACTTTTATTTCTATTATTAATTTGCTGCTTTTATATGGCACTAGGAGATACCAGAAAATGGACCTGATTTCGCTCATCTCAATGAGGTCCATGCACCGTCAGTTTTTGCAGGAGGAAAAGTTCAAACTAAGCACAACTTCGTGACCGATTCACTTATACATCGATGGGAAAGTTTCTGGCGAAAGGGTGAAAACGATGAAAGTCACAAAAGTTTTCTAAAATTGAAAACGATGTTCTACCTTTTGGGTTACAAGGTGCTCGTTGTCAAGTTCGACAAGTTAGAACAAGTTGGACCTGCGATTGTTAATCTGCATTTTAAATTCTCAGCTTTCGGGCTCAAATTAGAAGGTTGTTATATTCAAAACATTGTTCCAATTTCAATCCACAAACAGAAGATTATTCATCATTTGTACATGAAACCTTCACTAATCTCTCCGATTTTCGCTCAGTTTCTACTCAGATCTGAGGACATCATGGTAAGTCAATTTTGATTAAATTAATCAGAAATTTGCTAATTTTAGTAAAACTTATTAGCTTTTAAGAGACATCGAAATTTGGAGCAACAAGATTTACCTTACTAATCCTAAATTGGTCAAAGAAGAGGCTCAAATCCAATCGTTTCGCCGTTGGTACTCACAATTTTTCAGCAAACAATCAGGACCAACAATCAAGTTCGAGGATCAATGGTAAACTCACAAAATTTATGCGACAAATCAACAAAAGCTCAGCTTAATTGTCACATTTAACTTGCCTTGTTTAGGACAAACGAATATTTATCAATAATGATATCAAAATTGTTTTAATCAAGTGTATCAGTTCCTTTTCTAATCAAAATATTAATAATTAAATCATTTGTTACACGATCAAGCTATTCTTCTGATACGTGAATTAAGTCATATTGGGTGACTGGTAATGAGAGTCTTAAGAATAGCATACATACCAAAATATTATCAGGACTTTTTAAGTCTACGATCGACTAGAATAGCGTTTAAAGGTCGAAAGCGATTTTCTCTATTTACATTCTGATTGACCTAAACCGTAAAACCTAACGATTTATCCTTTTGGTCAACTTTACATATCATAGGGTATTTATGGATAAAATAAGGGAAATATCATGTAACTAATCTCCATATTAGGGTGTTCTTATCGATAAACTTGAAAGGGTTTCATAATTTTCTGGTTTTCAAATCTAAAATAATTCATTTTCTTAAACTTTTCTCTACGTATCTTGATCTTAATCTCATTTATCAACAGTTTATCGTAAGATAATCAACAAACCGGTTTAAATTTAATCTATGGTTTGAATTGACACAGAATTAGAAAGTTATTTCACCAATACAGACCATCATCTCTAAATCACTAATCATTTGAATCATGTTGACTTTTGGTTCAATCTTGTTGTCATTAAATTCCAATAGTTATAGTTTAGTGTTGATTGTTTTTATTATTTGTCTCTTTGTTTTAATATTGTTTATAAATAGACCAATTAATATAATCAGAGTAAGTCATTAATCAAGTGGTTAATTTTTGATTGATATTGAATTACTGTTTTTAATCATCTTCTAGGATGCTAATTGTGATAATATCGCCAATTTGAAACCAATATATTCTTATCCGAATGGTTGGATTGGTGTTTGTGAATCAATTTATCTGAAAGATCGTGAAATTAAACGTGTTAATTTCTGTGGTCATCGAATTATTTTATTACGATTGTCATCTTCCAATAGAAAACCTTATGCATTGGATGCTTATTGTCCTCATTTAGGAGCTGATTTATCGGTGGGTGGAAAAATAGTGAAAAACTGTGAGACTGATTGTATCCGTTGTCCATTCCATGGATGGTCATTCAAAGTTACTGATGGTCAATGTGTCGATGTTCCTTATACCAAAGACCGAAGTGAGTGTGTGACAATTTCTATGGATCAGCAACCAAATCTATCAATCGAATTCATAATTTTCTTTACTATTAATATTTAGAACCACCAAACGGAGTAGCAATTAAGACATGGGAATGTCTGGAACTCAATGGGTTCATTTATGTTTGGCATCATAACGAAGGTAAAATTTACGATTAGTGATTGAATTCAATTTCGTTCTAACTCTCATTCATTGTGAATGATTTAGGTCTAAAACCAACATGGGTCCCTGAAGAAATCAAAGAGATCACAGTCAACAAATATAAGTATATGGGCCGAACTGAGCACATTGTCAACTGTCTAATCCAGGTAATGATTAGTCAATTGTGACTAGTTTTTTTATCTCTATTATAATTGCTATTTCTACACTGTGGTAGGAGATACCAGAAAATGGACCAGATTTCGCTCATCTCAATGAAATTCATACACCATCATTTCTTTCGGGAGGTAAAGTACAGAAGAACAATAATTTCGTTACTGATTCGCTAATACATCGATGGGAAAGCTCCTGGCGAAAGGGTGAAAACGATGAAAGTCATAAAGGTTTTCTAAAATTAAGATCAATGTTCTACCTTTTGGGTCATAAGGTGCTCGATGTCAAGTTCGACAAGTTAGAACAAGTTGGACCTACGATTGTTAATCTGCACTTCAAATTCTTCATTTTGCGCTCGAATTCGAGGGTTGTTATATTCAAAACATCGTTCCAATTTCAATCCACAAACAGAAGATTATTCATCATTTGTACATGAAATCTTCTTTAATCTCTCCAATAGTTTCTCAGTTTTTCCTCAGAATTGAGGACATCATGGTAAGTCAATTTCGATGATTAAAACCTCACAAAATTGTTAATCCTCTCGAAACTTATTAGTTTTTAAGAGACATTGAAATTTGGAGCAACAAGATTTACCTTCCTAATCCTAAATTGGTCAAAGAAGAGGCTCAAATCCAATCGTTTCGCCGTTGGTACTCACAATTTTTCAGCAAACAATCAGGACCAACAATCAAGTTCGAGGATCAATGGTAAACTCACAAATATAAGTGACAAATCAACAAAAGCTCAGCTTAATTGTCACATTCACCTCACCTCATTTATGGACGATCAACTTTTTATCGATAATTATGTTGAACTTATTTCAATCAAATGTATCAGTTCATTTTATAGTCAAAATGATTAAATCATTCAGAACACTATCAAGCTAATTCTCTGATAAATGTATGAAAAATTAATTAATTTGCATGTTTAAACAAATTAGTCAATAATAGCCAATTAATTCCAATCTTAATTAACAATTAAACTCGATGTTGACCCAAAGATGAAATCATAAGAGGTAATCATCACTTTCTATTGGTAAACTTTAGACACAACCGGTCGAGGGTATTTATGAATACCCCAGAAATATTTGAGCTCAATTTAATCAAATGAATACCAAGTGACCATCATGAGACTCAATCTCTGGTCAGATAATTCAATGAACTTTTTATGATTTACAGATTTTCAGTCGATAAACTTGAAAGGGTTTCTTGATTTTCTGGTTTTCTGGTTTTCTAAATCCAAAGTACATGTACATCTTGAATTTTCGTATGAATATCAAGAAAATTATCCATGAGCTTCGCATGCAAGTGAACGCGAATCTTGGTTATTACGAGAGCGATCACATGAAAAAAAATTCTACATTAATTTTACTCGAAAAATTCTAATTACGTTATGCGTTTAAACGCTTCATCTTTTTGATTTGTTGGTTAATTCATTTTCTTAAACTTTTCTCTACGTATCTTGATCTTAATCTCATTTATCAACAGTTTATCGTAAGATAATCAACAAACCGGTTTAAATTTAATCTATGGTTTGAATTGACACAGAATTAGAAAGTTATTTCACCAATACAGACCATCATCTCTTAATCACTAATCATTTGAATCATGTTGACTTTTGGTTCAATCTTGTTGTCATTAAATTTTAATAGTTATAATTTAGTGTTGATTGTTTTTATTATTTGTCTCTTTGTTTTAATATTGTTTATAAATAGACCAATTAATATAATCAGAGTAAGTCATTAATCAAGTGGTTAATTTTTGATTGATATTGAATTACTGTTTTTAATCATCTTCTAGGATGCTAATTGTGATAATATCGCCAATTTGAAACCAATATATTCTTATCCGAATGGTTGGATTGGTGTTTGTGAATCAATTTATCTGAAAGATCGTGAAATTAAACGTGTTGATTTTTGTGGTCATCGAATTATTTTATTACGATTGTCATCTTCCAATAGAAAACCTTATGCATTGGATGCTTATTGTCCTCATTTAGGAGCTGATTTATCGGTGGGTGGAAAAATAGTGAAAAACTGTGAGACTGATTGTATCCGTTGTCCATTCCATGGATGGTCATTCAAAGTTACTGATGGTCAATGTGTTGATGTTCCTTATACCAAAGACCGAAGTGAGTGTGTGACAATTTCTATGGATCAACAACCAAATCTATCAATTGAATTCATAATTTTCTTTACTATTAATATTTAGAACCACCAAACGGAGTAGCAATTAAGACATGGGAATGTCTAGAACTCAATGGGTTCATTTATGTTTGGCATCATAACGAAGGTAAAATTTACGATTAGTGATTGAATTAAATTTCGTTCTAACTTTGATTCATTTAAATTTAGGTCAAAAGCCAACATGGGTCCCTGAAGAAATCAAAGAGATCACAAACAACAAATATAAGTATATGGGCCGAACTGAGCACATCGTCAACTGTCTAATCCAGGTACTGCTTTCGAGATAATTATAATGTCCATTATTCAGGTAGTCATATAATCGGTAATTTTTATTTCTATTAATATTACACTCTTGTCTTTTGTGCACTATGGTAGGAGATACCAGAAAATGGACCAGATTTCGCTCATCTCAATGAAGTACATGCACCGTCATTTCTTTGGGGAGGAAAAGTACAAAAGAACAACAATATTGTGATTGATTCCATCAGCCACCGATGGGAAAGTACCTGGAAAAAGGGTGAATTAACTGATAGCCATAAAGCGATTCTAACGCTGAAATCGATGTTTTACTTTTTGGATTGTAAGCTATTCGAACTTACATTCGACAGGTTAGAACAAATCGGACCTGCGATCGTTAACCTTTACTTCAGTATTTGTTTGTTCGGCTTTCGATTAGATGGTTGTTATGTCCAAAGCCTCGTTCCCCTTTCAATCCACAAACAGAAGATTATCCATCATTTATACATGGAATCATCTTTAATCTCTCCAATAGTTGCTCAGTTTCTCCTTAGAGTCGAGGCAATCATGGTAAGTCAATCTCGATTAGACTTCAATTTCATAATCTCAAACAATCAATTTCCAATACTCTCAAAAATATTAGCTTGAAAGAGACATTGAAATTTGGAGCAACAAGATTTACCTTACTAATCCTAAATTGGTCAAAGAAGAGGCTCAAATCCAATCGTTTCGCCGTTGGTACTCACAATTTTTCAGCAAACAATCAGGACCAACAATCAAGTTCGAGGATCAATGGTAAACTCACAAAATTTATGCGACAAATCAACAAAAGCTCAGCTTAATTGTCACATTTACCTCAATGAATTTACACCAATCAATAATGTATTTTATTATTAAATTAATTGCAAGTTCAATTTCCAATTAAAATTATTTATTACTCAATCAATCTAAATGTCTGATATGAGAAATTTGTTTCAATTTTAAAGGAGAATTTTGATTTTAAGTCAAAACGATTTGCTTAATTGTTTATAACAATCAATCATCCGATTAGAGAGACATAATCATCATTAAAGAAGAGGAAAAAAGTTCATTCTAATTATCATTCAGCTCTCACCAAAAGAAATAAACTAATTATTAATAAGAAGTAAAACTTTTTTTCTGCTCAGTTTTATATTCAAAAAATGATAGACATTAATGACTTTGTTTACGTGTAAGTAGATTAATTTAACGATAACAATTAACTTTTATACTAATAAGTTCCGATTGTAAATATACAGTCCAAACTGTTGATTGTATTTTTGTTTCGAGTTTTTTTACAGTCGAATGAACCAAAAAGGTTGAATTATAATTTTCGAGGCAAAAAGCGATTTTAACATTAACGCTTATTACGAGAAATTGGCGTCAATCATTGATTATCAGCGAAAACAATCAAATTTGAAAAAGATTGTGATCAATACGTTTCGTTTTTTTTACTCCTTTTGAGATCAACTGTTGTTTTCGTTTTCGTTTTTTCATCTCTCATCGAATTGATCGGCTATCGAAATGGGCCTTAAGAACTTTGGTCACGTTCCAGATGATCTTGTTCAACGAATTCGTGTCAAGTTCCTTGAATATGTTTCGAACCAGGTTACAATTGATGGTCAAGATGAGTCGCTATTCTATCAGGAGGATATCGATAAGATCACCAATGAAGACTGGTACATAAAGCGATTTGTGATCGCTGCTTACAAGAATGAGACTGAAGCCTTGGAAAAGTTAATCGATACGATGAAATGGAGGAAGAATATTAAATTAAGAGAAACTGTTGATAACTATTTTCCAAATGATTTCTATGATTGTGGTGCTGTGTTCCCTTATGAGAATGATATTCATGGTGATTTATCTTTGTGGATTCGTTGTGGTGCTGTTCGTAAGTTTGGTGAATACACTGAAGCTGGTAAACGATTTATGGTTCACCGTTTATTTCAAATCGATGAACTTGCTGGACCTAAAGGTTACGCTTTGGTGATCGATTTTACTGGCGCTGGAACAACCGCTTTACAAAACCTCGATCTGCTCCATCACTTCATCACTACTCTTCACCATCGATTCCCGGCTGGTGTTAATTATTGTCTTAACTATCAGATTCCATGGCTTCTTAAAACGGTTTGGGGAGCTGTTCAATTCTGGATCCCTGAGAAACGACGAGATATTATCCAATTCTCTTATCGAAATGATTTGTACAAATACTTTGAATTGGCTCATGTTCCAAGTTATTTATCTGGTGAATGTAAAAGATCATGGAAAGAAAAGCCAGAGAACTGTCCAACTACCCTCGAATTTGGTCTGTACGAACTGGGACTAACTGAAGACGATGCAGCAAGAACAATAGCAGATTATGAGCACTTCCGTGATTCTCAAATAGTCCCACTTGATCGTGGAGAATATTCATAACTTGCAATATGTAAACCAAATTATTCTTAACCAATATCATCATATCAACGAAAAAATTCAGATAATTTGACTGAGTAAATTATAACTGTAAACTAATCACCTTTCAATGATAATCCAACCAAATTATTTACATAGAGATGAAAAAAGCAAAGAAAACTTTTTACAATTTAAAATTGAAATTCTAGCAAGTAAATAAATTATCCTAATTATTTGTAAGTGTTAACCTAAAGTCCGATTGTCGATTCAATAAAAAATTTCATCTTTTTCCTTAAAATTTGCTAATTCAATCATTGAATCAATTTCGAGTTCGAACCAAAAAATGAGTCGACTAACTGATTAACCAAAAGGTGTCGCTACTTTAGAGTCAAATCTTTGATTCAGAAATTGAATCATTTTTGTTAATGTTTACAAACAATTTGTTGTCAAAAAAAAAGTCTAATTGAAATTGTTAATTTTCCTTCATTTGTCTAATTGTTGTTGTCATTTTTTTCTTTTATTCTAATTGATTTGTGTGTGCTACTGGTTCTTTAATTATGGATTCAGAGGAATTTTTTTCTCACTCCTTGGACAGTTTACTTAATCGTCATGGATTTGAGAAAGTGTCTATTGACATTTACCCAAACCGATTCATTGCTTGTTACAATTATATTCATCGTGACCGATTGGGTAATCAAATGGCTTCTTCATTGATTGAAATAATTGGTGTCTCTGTTGGTGAATTATTGGCTTGCTATGGTAATATTCTTAAATCTCATTTCGATACACCAATTGAACCAATTCGGATCAAGTTAAGGATGAGAGGAAGTTTGGATAAGATTCTCAATCAATTTGAACATCATTTCATTTACCGATTAAAAGACGCTCTTTCCCTTCGGATAACTGACCTGCCCGTTGATGTTTTGTATCATCTCTTGGAATATCTGAGTGTTCAGGACATCATGAATTTGCTAAAAGTCAATCAATCATGGCATCGGCTTCTTGACGATGAATACATATGGAGGAAAATGTATCAATCTACTTATGGTTAGTTTTTTTTTTCATTTTCTAAATATTAGAATAATTTTTCTTTTTATCTAAATTGTTTTCTCTTCTTAACAATGTTTTGATAATTTAATCTACCCACAGATTTGCAATTCTCATTGTATTTGACCTTATTCCATCTTCACTCTGGAATCTTTTAGAATTTTCTCGAATCACAACAGAATCTTGATTCTTGTGTGGGGTAGAACTTGTTGAGAATGAAGAAGTAGTTGCAACGACCTCTATTCCTTTCAAGTTCTAATTGTTTCCAAAAGAATCCAATCAACTTGTGACTTGTTCATTTTCTAAATTTAAATTGTAACATTTTGTTTTCTTTTTTATTTGTTTACAATTTTTAGGTGAATATCCCGAAGTGGAGGAGTATCGAAGCGATGGAACCGCGATCTGTAACTGGAAGAATTTGGTTCTCTCTGAATACATTAAACGAAAAAAAATGGACGCCGAACTAAAATTCACCCAAGAATTGGCTCGAAGAAGTTTACCCGCACCAACCATGTTCCTCGCCCTACCACCAGCCCCGAACATTCACCCACCCGCCCTGGGCTATCACGCAATTCCCCTTCCAGGCCCAATAGGTCCTCCCGTTCTTTGGACTCCTCGTATTCGAAGGCCAATGTGGCATGACAATTAATCTATTGATTAACCGATCAACTTAATCAAACTCTAATCTTATCAACCATCATGACAATTTATTTATTCATCATTCGCATCAACAACAACAACAAAAACACTCCTAACCTTTTGTTTTCATCCCCGTTCATCATCAAATCAACTCACCCGATATTTGACCTAACTGATTGATTCCTTCAAACTCAACATTCAATCAATTCGTTAACTTTAAATTTCAATTGATCAAAATCTATCGTTAATTGGATCAACAACAACATCACCATTAGCAGTATCAATTTATAGTCTATAAGCAATATTTATCCATGTTAAATAATCAATCAATTATTTAAATGATTATTATTATTATTTTTATGCTTTTGGTAAATTTTTCCCTTTAAACAATAGTAATTAATTTCGCGACAATTAATATGTAACTTTTCAATTTAGTTTGTAATTGTTTTGTTTTGTTTTCCAATCAAACTTTTTCTTCATTTGTAAAATTTATTAATAATCTATTGAAACATTTTCGTTGAGACAATTAAATGTAAGTAATAAAAATTATTCTATTCAATTGATGAAACTAAACTTGTAATAATTAATTAATTGTCAATTGTGTTGAACATTAAAAAAAATTCAATTTTTTTCTCAAACCAATCAGATGTTCTCAACCGTATCTTTGACTATAGAGGTTGGTAAACATTTCTCATTCTGTTTTTTACCTTTTAATTGTTGTGACGTTGTCACTTAATCAACTTTCACTATTTTCTGGGCTTCCGAGTTTCATTTTTTCCATTTAATTGATGTTTAAGATGAAACTGATGATTGTGATGACAATTGTGATCATTAAAGTTACCGAAAGTATGTAATCAATCATCAATTTCATTCAATCAATTTCGCTTCAACATCTTCATCTGGTCATAATTTTCGAGTACCAATAATTACAATTTCTAATCAACTGCCATTCGCGATTTGTAAGGTAAGATTGTGACAATTTACCAAGTTAATTGTTCCTTTTAAATAATCAAACTTAAGCTTTTCAATTAATCTCAATTCCTCTCATATTTACATTTGTGTTTTCTTTATATTTTTATAGGTTTTCTTAGAGAAGATTTTTTTCTCTTTGTTTTGTTTTTGTTTTTCCATTACAATTTAACCTGTGGATGTTTTCTCAAGGATTATTTACCTTTCAAATTGAGTTAATTATGGTTCCCCGGTGATTAGGATGCCACTGATTGATCTCTATAAATTTCTATAAAATTTGTTCCATTTAATCATCTTTGATACAAGAGTATCTTTTACATCAGAAACAAAAAGATGGAACAATTAACCATGTTAACCCTTCTCGCCTTCTCCATGTTATTTGGCAGCTATTTTGCTGGAACTGTTCCGCTTGTGTTCAATTTCTCAGAGGAAAAATTACGATTTCTAACCATATTGGGCTCGGGAATATTAGTTGGCACTGCTTTGTCAGTTATTATTCCAGAAGGGGTTAACACCATTTACGCCTCATCCTATGAGTATCAAAATCACATGAAATCATCATCGTCATCATCAAAATCACATTCAGAAGATTCACCTCATTCTGTTATTGGTTTCTCATTGTTAATTGGTTTCGCTTTTATGCTTGTCATTGACCAATTTGCCAATCGGCATATTAACTCTTCAAATTATTCCAGTCTCTCAACTAACGGAGATAATAGTCTAGAGGCCGGAGGAAATGGTGACGGTGATACAACTGTAATCAGATCACCAACAAGAAAAGGTGCCTCATCCAAAGTAACTGCAACTATTGGATTAGTTGTTCATGCGGCTGCTGATGGTGTTGCCCTTGGTGCCGCTGCGACAACATCTCACACCGATGTTGAAATGATCGTTTTCTTGGCAATTATGCTTCATAAAGCTCCAGCAGCTTTTGGTTTAATTACTTTTTTGATGCATGAAGGTTTAGACCGGAAGAAACTTCGTAATCATCTATTGGCCTTTTCCTTGGCAGCTCCAGTCGCAGCTTTTGTTACTTATTTTGGTATAAATCAATCGGCTCAAGAGACTCTTTCTGATTATAATGCCACCGGTGTTGCAATGCTTTTCAGCGGTGGTACTTTTCTCTACGTTGCAACTGTACATGTTTTACCAGAGGTGACACAGCAACAAGCGTTGAAATTGAGTGAACTTTTAACTCTAGTCGGTGGTTCGTTATTACCTTCCCTGTTAACTGTTAATCATCACCACTGAGAGCAAAAGTATCATATCAAGAAAAGGCAATAACATAAGTGATTATCATGATGCTGATCCACGAAATTTGTGATTATTTTTTTAAAATCTTTCAAAAAATATACACATTATATTTCAATGTTTTGTTTTTTTTGGGATTTTTTTCACACTATCACAATTTTAAAGTTACAGCTCAATTGAAAATGGGATCAAATGGCAAAAAAATATTTTGATGACAATACATCAGCGTTTGAGGGATAAATCAATCATGGTTTTGATTTTATCGGTAAAATCATTTAGTTTTTTGGTGTAATCAATATATTTGCCATTCATTAATCGGATTTGTTCAATTGTGGTCCAACAAGCTTCCGTGTCAAGAACTTCTTTAGGACTGTTGGGTCTTTCGATTATGGTTGTTTGTTGTAAGGGACATTTGTCCAACTCGCTGATGAATGATTCAAATTCACTTCTCCAAAGAATATCTTTTTTTAGATTAACACTGAAATATACTCGCAACTTGTTACAATGATCTTTAAATTTTTCCAATTTATCCTGTACTCGGATGAACAAAATTCCCAATTGATGAAGAAAATATTGAAGAACATCATGTTGATTCTGAGAGAAAGAAGCCAAAGATAAACTATCTAGTAGACGATCTCGATCGAGTTCAGTAACTTCCTTGAAATATTCATTAGATTTTTCAACAAGTTGAGCTACATTTTCATATGGATCATTGAAAACAGAATCTTTATCAATAAACCGTTGAACTTCTTGGAGAGCACTTTTCAACCTCAATTCGGCAGTGATAAGTTTAGTCTCTTTTGCTGTTTCCTTTAATTTCACCAATTGGCAATATCTTTCCTGTAATAGATCCATTTGACTTTTTAGCCGTTTGATATTACTTTCAAGATGTTGAACTTCAGCCTTGATTAGTTCATATTCAGCTGGATTGAAAGGACCTGAGGCTGTCGATGAAGAGTATCTGTGAATAAAGTAATCATTTAATAAACAGAATAATTGATATGATTAATCAACCATATCAATACTTACGAGTCAAGTTCCTCTTGTGATACAGGACAAGCTTCAGAAACAACAATATTAATCAAATTATGGAACCATTGATGGCGACCAAGATCATCTTTAAGAGCAGCTTCAAGAGCAGTTAATTCAACTTGAGGAAAAATTTGCTTATCAGCCAATTCTTCAGATTTTAGTAAATTGATCAGCTTGAGAATTGAATCTGTTCTTGTTCTCCGACCAGATGAGATGGTTGACATTTTAAATTGAGAATAATTATTAACTGAAAGCAAATTAATTAAATCCAAATCCAAACAAAAACACTTTTAATTTTAACGAATGAATTTCATTCAATGAAAATAAAACAAAAAAATTTTCGCGGAAAAAACAAGGGACCGTTTTCTAATTAAAAGTTGCAAATTCTTTGAGAAAATGAATCAAAACAAAGTTTTTACTTTGACGAGCAAAAAAATTTAAACTTTTATTGCGAATTTACTTGGGGAATCTAATGGATTCGAACTTATTAACTTTAGTATTTAGTGTTGATTTGCTGTATAATCCTGAACTTTATCTTCATTATCATTTGAAGGTTTTCTATCAAATATTCTTGATAAAGTTTTGCTAATTGGATTCCAAGTTCTAAATGTCCATTTATTGTTATTAGTATTGTTATTGGAATTGGTATTGTCACTCGAAGGTTGTTCTTTGATTATCTTTTCATCACCAGTCCAATTACTCCAGGGAAACTTATTTGGATTATCGGGATCATCAAGATCAGTTGTAAATTCGAGCCAATTTCGATAATGCCAAATATCCGCATACACACCATAAGCCCTTTTAGAGAAAGACAAAGTTTGTCTGGTTATTAAATCGATTGATTGTAAATTTGAATCATGAATTTATTGATCTGAGTACTTACGTCCCACAGGGTGGACCCCAAGAGACAACTCCAATTAGAACATCTTCCTTGAATGTAGAACCTCTAATGACCAATGGTCCACCCGAATCGCCGGGACAGGCATCAACTCCTTTAATTCCAGCACAGATCATACCGTCGAGAAAAAATTTGGCGAAAGTTTTTTTACAATCCGGTTGACTAATTAACGGAAAATCAGCAGTCATCAAAGTGGAAGCGACTCTTTGACCCATTTGTCCCCAACCAGCAACGGTCACTTTTTCACCGATATGTTTAGCGGACGGAGTTGATGGTAAACGAATTGAAAAGATCTGATCACCAAGAGGAATTGGCTCAGTTAATTTGATCAAAGCCAAATCATCAGCATAAATATTTCGTCGATAAGGAACAAATATTTTGCTAACTTCATAAAGTGTCACGTTTTCTTCATCTTTCTGATTTTTTTGATTGTTATAATTTGGCTGAATTCGGTAAGATTTAACATCTTCCACTTTGACACAATGAGCGGCCGTTAAAATCCATGTCGGCGATAGAATCGCTCCTCCACAAATATGTCCAAACCCATGACGAAGTGAAACAATATAAGGAAACGAACCATTTTCGGCAGGTCGACCTCCGATCACTCGAGAGATCATCTGAGGAGATTCGTCATCACCTTCAGGTACATAATCGGGAATTATTCCTCCAGGACCAGAGAAAATTGAGCTGTCAATCAAATCTTCTTCGTAATCGTCGATTTCAGGAGATTGGTCAGTTAAAAATTCATCAAAATCAGAATAAGAATCATCATCATAATGATAATCAGTTGTGGGCATTAATTTTGTAATTGTTGCATCAAAAGTTTCTGTAGTCTCATTAGTATCAATCGTGTAAACCAAATCATTGATAAAACCAAAGCCGATCAATAAAAACAAATTAAACAAATTAAACAATTTGATATTGTGTTGATTACCATGATTTAATCGAGCCATGGTCAAATTAGATTAATATGAACACAGTTTAATGACGATAACATAATTTTAGCCTCAATTACTTTATAATAAATAAATTGGCCATTTTAGGTGTAAAGATTGTTATTAGTTATTAAATTACAATTTATGCCAACTTGGTAATCTATCAAATATGAAAACATATTGGTAATTAAAGTGATTAAGTGATTGATTACAATATATTGAGATTTTTTCATTTATACTTGTGTATTTGTCGTTGTAAATGTAGGATTGATTAACAATTTACATAGATTGACTTAATTGTGTCGTACAATCAAGAGGGGGAGGAGTGTTTCAAATTGTTAAATTAAATTATGAAAAATAGTTTATTAATTTAGCTCTTCGATCAATTTGACAATGAATTGTTAAGCAACATATCTATTTGGCCTGATAAACTCATCATTAGCTTTAAACAAGCTTCTTCGGCTTCGACTTCGACTTTTAATCGTTTGAAAAGTTCTGATTGGATTGGTGAAAATTGAACGGATGAACGATAAATGTCACAGAATATGATTGCCACATCGACAAGAATACGGTTAAATCGAGGGTCACGAATATGTTTAATCAGGAAATTAGCAACACAACGGAAACCTTGTTCATCTCGACCTGATAGAGCGGCTCTCAGGGTTCCTCGTCTATTTAATTCTTGCATCATGCTGACAACTAATCCTGGTTTTTTGACACAACGGACAAGTGACAAGTCTAAGGCTTTTGTGTGATTAAATTTTTTTAACTTTCTATCATACGAGGCTAAATTAAGCTTTTTTCTTTCAACTTCTTTAATCACCACAGTGTCATCGTCCATTGTAGGAAATTGATTATTAAACGCGTCGTCATCATCGTCATCTGGTTGACGCCATTGAAAATATCGCTGTTGTTGTTGCCTCTTTACGATATGAGCATTAAGAACCTCTTTAACCTTTTCCTCGGTTTCTTTGGACTTGAAACGCCTCGAAATAAGAGTACCATCAGTTGCACCAACGTTAAAAGCTTTGGAATTGACAGCGATACTTAACAATTGGGAGGGTACAAAACTTAACGATGTTACAAATGAAAAGTGGGTATCGAAAATTTTAACAATTCCATCCAATGAACCAGTAAACCAGAAATCATTGTAACTACATAAAGTTGTGATTGTTTTACTATGTAAAGTGGGAAAAGTTTTTATCACTTTACCAGCAACTAAATCGATAATCTTGACTGATTTTGAAGCTGAAGCAATTAAGAAAGTTCCTCGGGTGATAACAGATTCCACTGGATTACTCAGGTTGAATGAATTAGTTGGTATATGAGAGTTTTCCCTTAAATCCCATAATTTGACTGTATGATCGTAGGAACCAGAGGCTATCAAAAGTGACCCCTGGTCGAATATACAACCTGCACGGATGTAATCTTGATGAGGTGTAATGTTTCGAGTTGTATCTGTAACGAAAAGTAAAAAGAAACCAAATAAATAAAACACCAATTAAGTATAAAGAGTATTTTTAAAAATTCTCACCTAAACCAATTTCCTGGACCAATGATCCATCAGTAATATCCCATATTTTGATATGTTTATCATCAGAAAAACTGACCACTTGATTATAATTGATAAACTCAGATATACGAACAGAATTGGTATGACCATCAGATGAATTAAATCCTAACATTCTGATAGGTTTACTATTATCAATATCAAATATATTAACTTTTCCCGAATCAGTTGATGAGGTGAAAAGTTTACAATCTCCTTTACGATAAGAAGCCCAATGAAGAGTATCCATTTTTTTAGAAGAAACACTTTGATAATATCTCTTTGATTCCATACTATTAACATTGTAGATAGAAATTCCATCCCTAGCAGTTACCAATAATTCATTGTTGGTTGTATTTAAATCCAATTTATCAATGATTCCCTTTTCTTTGACAACCTTAGGAGGTTCTAAGACATGTTGCCAATATAAAGCTTCCTCTGAAAGATACTCTTTAATCTTGGGCAATGAAACATCACTTGTCCCTTTAAAAGTAGCCATAATCCAAAGAAATTAAAACCAAACACTTTAATCAATTAACAAACACGAGAATGAAAAACAACAATTAAGTTCCAATTGAATCAACAACACATGCTGATCATCAGCTGGTCAGTTAAAATCTCCATCGAGAACAACAGGTGTCGCTTTCGTCGTAGCGGTTCAATTGAACATGGAAAAGAATTTGGATTTGAATTAGCCGCTTTTCGATTTCACCCAAATTTTAGCCAATCGGTGATCGTTAACCAGATTATTTGGTAAACATTTGATTCTGGTTTTGTTTTGATCTTTTTGTATTTCTCTCTCTCTCTCTCTTTCTCTTTGAATGAAATTTTTTATTGAATTGATGAAGTTAATCAATTGAATTTATTTTGTTACTGTTTACAAGGAATATTATGAGTAATCAAAAGCCTGTTGGTGGTGGTGTTGCTCGTACATCATGGATTAGGTTTCAATTTGTTGGTGATATTTTTAATTATGCTGTTAACTCGGTGATTTCTTGGTTTTGGTATTATGTTACACCGATTCTTAAAATTTTACTCCGTAGATGTACAGGATTATGTGAACTTCAACGAATCTGTTATAAAACAGAGAAAGGAGCTCAAAGATCATTGGAAGTTGAAAAATCAATTTACTCTTCAAGACGGAAAGTGATTAATCGTATTTGTGAGAAGCTTGATGATCTTGCTAATAATGGAAGATTTAATTCTAGTAATACCTGTGAAGTTGTTCGATTAGTAGAACATGCAGTTGAAGCCATTTGCATTGAGAAAGATATTAAACCTGCGATTCATCCAGAGTAAGTTGTTCCATTCTTTTAGTATCTTCATCAGCAATCAAATACAATTTAACTGATTTTTGTTTTCTCTTCTTCTTTTATAGATTTGTTACAGCTTTAAGAATCAGTTTTCTTCAAATTTATGGGTACAAAAATCTACAACACGAGATTAATTGTCTTCGTAGTGTTCCTTATGATAGTGATAATCAAGAACATGAGAAAAAACTTCTCCAACTCTGGAATACTCTGAATCCACAGAATCCTCTTAAATCCCGGGTAACCAAACAGTGGACTGAAATTGGATTTCAAGGCGAAGATCCTAAAACTGATTTCAGGGGAATGGGTATTCTCGGGTTAGATAATCTTCTTTATTTCGCAACAAATTATACCAAAACTGCTCGGTGTATTTTACTTCATTCTAACCATCCAAGTCATGGGTAAATTATTTCATCAACTTAATTACTGCAATTGCATTTGTAACCAAAATTTTCTGACTCATTCTCTTGATTTTTTTTCTTCTATTCCTTTTTTTTAAATAGTTTTCCTTTCGCAATAACTGGTATCAATTTAACCTTCATCGCTTACACTCTATTGAACAATAATCGACTCAAAACTCATTTCTACAATAGTCATTTTGGGACAACCTGTTTGGAGGATTTTCACAGAGTCTATTGTTATTTGTTTTTCACTTTTGATAAACTCTGGATAGAGGAGAGGCCTAAAGATATCATGGAATTCAGTCATATTAAAGAGAAATTCATTAATAATCTCAACAATGAACTTGAGAAAAACGAAACCATTCTAAGGTGGAATCCACCGGTTGAGGATGTTTGAAAATTATTCTAATTTGTATGATAAATTAATAAAATTGTATAATAACAATTGGAAATGGATCTTTCTTTTATTTATCTATCATTGGCCATTGATGGGAGATGAGATTGGCAGTTTCGATTGTGCAGAAAATATGAAGATGAAAAAAAAACAATTCGAAGAGAAAAATGATTTCTAAATTTTCGGTATCACTAATGAGACGATTTAGTGACGAGTCATTGGACCAGGACTGACCAGAGAGCTGAAATTCCGGTGACCTTTAGTGTTTTTACCCTCTGAGGTACCAGAACGATCTCCTTGATTGCTTGATACTCCATGAAAAGATTGATTAGAATGACTTTTCAATTCAGTGACACATTTCCAGTTGTCCAAATAATTAGCTAAAATTTATTAGAAGGGCAGAAAAAGAGTTAAGAATCAGCATGTCAATTGGATTTCAGTTCAATTGAGCTTACCTTTCCATAGCCGGACACTTCCGTCGTCCCCTGATGAGGCTAAAATGGTTCCTGTTATATTCCAAGAGACTCTCCAAACCTGAGCTCCATGTTCATTGAATTGAGCGACTTGTTTTATTTCAAATTTTTGATTGAGTTGTGTGTTGCTTGATTGATGAGCAAGATTTGTTGATTGTCCATCAAAAGGCTTAATGGAAAGTATCTTAACATCACGAGAAGCAATTCCAAGTAAATGGTAAGATCTACCGACATTCGGTGCAAAAGCGATATCATGAACTGGATCACTCACAAGACTTATAACTTCAATCTTAATCCATTGCCGGGTATTTTCACTAAACTCAAAAACAATCACTTTACCGCCTGCAGATGAATCATCACTGCCAACAGCAATCATGGGAGGATGAATACGAGATGGATTCCAGGTAATTGAACTCAGAGATATTTTACAATTTATCTCATGTTGAACAGACCATTGGCTTAAGGTCATAACATCAGGGGCTTCATAGATTCTTAAGCTTCCATCTGAAGAACAGGTTGCAAGTAGAAGACCCAAATGTCTTGGTGCAAATTTAACATCAGTTACTGAGGTGCGACTGTCAACAAGAAAAGCCCGACGTACCCAAGAATTTGATTCTCCACCACTTATACTATCAGCTGGTAATTCCTCCCAAATAGCTGCACTCCGGTCAAAAGAACAGGTCGCCAATACTTGACCAAACTCTGGATGAGCCCAGGTAACTTTCCAAACTGATGCTGTGTGACACTTCCAACTAGACGTACAGTGCCATTGACCATCTTCACCAAGATCCCAAACTTTAACACTTTGATCACTTGAACAAGTGGCCAATCGTCTTCCATAAAAATCATAAGCAACATCGTGGATTAAATCCTTATGATCTGCCTCAACATTTCGAGCAACAAACATTTCAATGGATTCTTGGTGTTAAAAAGAGACAATTTTCATCTAATTAAATTGATGACAATCAAACAAAGAAACAATAATGAAACAGTTAATTACAAACCAATTTCCTTAAGAAAACAACAACAATTTGAAAGTAAACAACGAGAAACACCAGATGGCACCAGTGGAATGAAAATCAACCGCAGAATTTGAAAAAAGTATCCATTAGATTTTAAAAGATTCTCGTTAATTTTAATTAAAAATGGTCGTTAATTAACTAAAATGATTCTAATTAAATTCAGTACTTCAACTTCAATCAAAGAACAAATTAAAATCTTAGAAATTGAAAGAAATTTATTTAAAAAGGAAAAATATAATTCTTTTGATAGATAAAGGATCAAATTCGGATCCGATATTAGTAAATTTTACCGCTGAATTTTTTATTTGTTTACAATTTTTGTTATTTCTTAATCGATGGTAATTAAATTAATTTTGTTTTCTGTGTAAATTTTAATTATCCTTTTGTTTGTGCCAGTAGACTATCATGAATAATGCGGATATTCACCGTCAACTTCATCAAAATCAACCTTCATTATATGATGACCTAAGGATCCAAAGGGAATTTTCTTTGACTGATTTAGAGTCAAAGAAAATGAAAATTTTAAACGGAATAAAGAAACATTTTTGTGTGTTACGAATGAAAATACCAAAAAATCTTGCAAATGAGACGATGGGCAGTTTATTCGAAAGAGGTGTTTTCAGTGCTGATGCTCCTGAGATAACTTGTATTGATTCAATTCTAGCCTTGGATGGTACATCTTCAGCCCTTAAAGGAGCCAATGCCCTTCAATCAACTATTCGTGAACATAATTTTCTAAAGCCAACACCTAAATTTGATGACATTTCAGCGATTTCTATTGATTCAAAAGGCGCTGAGAGAAAGAAAAAAGTTCCAGTTAGAGGAAGACTAAACTTCACCTCAGCGAGCAAAAATTCACCCTACAAATCATTGACTAAATCTCGTTTAATATCGGCTGGTAAAAAGCGTAAAGCATCAATTCTAACACCCTGTAAACCGAGTCAAGTTGTTCCTGTCGAGTCAAAAATGGAAATTTTCAATCATGAAAAGTTTATCAATCAGTTTAATGCAATCAGAATCCAATCAATTGAAAGAATAACTGAAGAGAAAGAAAATCTTAAGGAAAGGATAAAGAATAACTTTGATGAGTTAAGGAAAAAAGCACCAAGCCTTGAAAAAGAGTACACAGTTTACCGAGATTCTGGTGAGTTGGAAAAATTTTTCACCAAACACTGTAAACTGTGAAAAAAGACTCAATCACCTTTAATTATAATCTTTATATTGTGTATGTATTTTAATTTTTTTTTTGTCAAATCTTAGTTAATCATTTATATATATATATTTATTTTCTTTAAAAAAAAGAGAAGATACTGAAAATGAAAGATGAAAAGAAAGTAAAGTTAGAAAGAGGATAATGATGAAGAGGAGGAGCGACATCAATTTTGACAGAAAGAGCTAGTTAATGATCTGATTTAACGGATACCTGGAGTTACCTGGCTCAGTTAAACTTTTCATCTCGATCTAAACAGTCACTTTACAAGCACTTTTATCATCACCATCACCATCATCATCATCATCATCATCATTTTCATTCACATCTCAAGACAGAACGTCAATGAGACCTCCCTTTTTAACATTTTACTAATTGTCTTCATTTCTAACTTACTCTTTCTACCGAACACAATCAATTTCAACAATTAACTTTGATTTTGTACACTTTTTAATTCGATTGCTACAATCACTCGCTCTCGATGTTGAAATAAACGACTTGAATCTTTTCATTTGTTTCATTTTCTTAATCATCACTCATCAAAAGTGTTAACAATTTGACCAACAAAAACACACCAATCAAAACGGAGTAAATTGTTATTACATAATTAACTAGTGTCCAAATTAATTGTGATAATATTTTCACCCATTCAATCAGGTAAGTCACTTTGATTAATTGATCTAAATTTATCCAAACTAAACTGATCCAATTGTTGATAATATTACAAGTTAATCTTTACCAATTATTATTGATTGAATTTAAAAGTTTCATCAACAATTTGATTTCTAAATTTGTTATTAGTAACAAATATTATTAATCATCATGTCTGTTGACCTTTAAACAATTAACAACAATCAACTGATAATTTGTTTGCTCGATTCATATATTAATATAATGTTATTATCCTTTTATTTATTGGTTGACAATCAAATCATTTTGAGGTCAAATGATTAAATCAATGACAAAATATCAATCAAAATCATCAGCTTTGTTATCAAGATCAATAAATTGTCGATGATTATTCAATCCTTATAACAATTTGTATGCTTCCTGATTAGTTGTTTATTGGTTTGATTAACTTTTTCTTTAACAATTTCAATCATAATAGTATTGAATTAGAGGTCATCATCATAATCTAATCACAATTAGTTGACAGCAATTCCATTTAATCTTGATGAACAGACTTAATTTGTTTCTCTTCTGTTTGTTACTTTTTGATTGTTAACTTAATCATTTGTGAGACAATTTTACTCATTGATTTAAATGTATTTGTTGTAAATGAAAATTGCAAATCATTGTTGATTGTTGATTGTTTCAAATGTTTCAAGTGTCATTATATTGATTTTCTTGGTGGAACCAAAATGATTAGTTATCTTTTACTCTAATCGATTAAATTAAATCGCAACTTTGATCTTTTACCAGTATACTGATTGTAACAATCTATTCGTTGATGATAATAATTAGTATCTTTTACTTGTTCTTACCAACAAATTATGATTAAGTTTCATTATCTTGTTGATTATTGAGAGAAAATCTTGTTCAAACCAATCATCCGAGAATTAGAGTTGATCTGTTTACATGGTGTTCAACAAGATGGTGCATTTAATTTGAAGGGAAATTTAAGTTGATTGTAGTTCTACAATAAGAAAAACAAAAAGATTTAATCAGCTGATGAAGGAGTTAAACAGCGATAAAAAAGCGATACAATTAAGGCTCAATTGTTAATCATTAACTACAGTTAACCGGATGTAGGTTAAAGACAATATTGTGAAACGAGTTAATTATTAGGAGAAAAAAAAATTTAATCATTTTTTCATCATGAAGACGGAGCTTCAGATAATCGTTATGAGTTGATTTGTTCAAAGAATCAGCATCAAGATCAACAATCAGGATCAATCTTTTTCTCTGGATAATTAATCAATTCGTAATCGAATTGTAAATTGATAAAAAATCTCTGATAAAAAGTTAATCTGATGATTTGTTTCCAAACAAAATTCGTTGCTCATAGTTACTGGTGAGAATTTAATTATCAAGAAAATTGGAATCTTGATGAAATGTTGATATGAATTTCGAGATAACTTGTTATTGAGTAGCAAAAGGATTAGATAAGTTGAATATATGAAATAGTGGAACATGGACTGATTATGATGTATGATCTTCTTTCCTTAACAATTAATTGTGATCCTTAAGAATAATGATGCAATTTAAGGATTTAGATGATTAAAGGAATAGAAGAACAAGAAAAGAAAAAAAGAAACTAGGACAGTCCAAGAGAAAAGAATGAACCAAACAAAGTAAACAGGGCAATCCTTAGATTCGATTGTTGTGTTCTGAATATCGTCTTAAGTGGTCTTCACACAAATTTCCGTTGTACTGAACACCCCCGCTTGTTGTAATCAAATCTGAGGCCATTTGAAAGCCGTCGGAGGGCGATGAATGAAAAGTACAAGGATGGAGGTCAAACCATGACGATAGTACAAAACCGCCAACACTTTTGTATTAAATTTGTTTCCATTGTAGTGTTTCATTAAATTAATTGTGTTGGTCATCAGATTTTCTGTATTAACAGAACAACAACAAAAAGTTAAATTGTCACAATGAGGAAAAACTCTCGATTGATAAGATAAATGTTCTGTAAGTTCATTCACAATCTAATTTGGTGTTGAAGTTGATTCGATGAATTGAAAAGTTCTGATGTAAATCGATAACCATATAAAAAGAGTTGATAAAATTATTCAAATTGTTGTGCTTATTTTCTTGATTGCAACAGCAAAAACAAATGATTTAATGATAAAGTATAGTGGATATAATAGATTAAGCAAATTATCATCACTTATCAATTTAATAAATTCTCAACCTTTCAATGTTATCGATATTGAAGAATAGACTTGACCTTGTCAATGATAGTTCTTGCGATTGAAATTTCAATTACAATTCCAATTCCAATTGATGATTATCATGGTTTTCACTTGTCTTTGTCTTTTCCCAATAACTATTATCATCACCATCTCACTGATGATCAACTATTGTTGAGTGTAAAGGCCTGAGCGCGTTGAACCCTCGCTGGATAGCGTTTCTTTGATTCTAGATTCCGTTGATGGATTCAATAACCTTAACCAGTTTGAGAGATTGTCAAGAAACAAACGGGCTTCTGGTTCCCGTCAACATTAAGTTTCCAGTTCCGATTTTCAACATCTCTTTCAATTTGTTGACCTTTTTATGTGAATGGTTCAGTCGATGAACTTATAATGGCTGATCAGAGAGAAGGAGAATAAAGAAAGACATCAAATGGAAGATGGAAGATGAGAGAGAAAAGAGAAAAGAGAAGATACAAAAAAAGGTAGATCACCAGCGAGAATCATCAAGAAGATTTTTTTTCATTACGATGTGTATCTAATTCTGATGGTGATTTTCCCTGATCAGATTATCCAATTATCTTGATCCTGAGGGAAAATGAAAGACGAAAAAGATTATAAATAAATCATCTAATACAAATGCTCAACCTTAAATTGTAATCAAATTAACTTGAACAAGATTAATTGAGGTGAAAGTTGATTTTTTTTTCCTTGATTAATCAAAATTTTGGTCTTTTTTTGTGGTTTACTTTCACAAGATTAAAGTGAAAGTTGTTAAATTTGATCCTTTAAATTGATTATCCCATTGAAGTAAATGAATTAATCTGAGTGTGTGATTAGCCCATCCTTTTGATACATTAAATTGTTTGCTGTCTGTTCAGCTTGTTGAACAGTTAATCTTTACAATTAGAATGATAAATAACAATAAACACTTAATTCTGTTACTATCATGATCACCTCTTTAGACAAAGGTTCCGGTGAGATGAGCAAATTAATTCATTGACCGCAATTTTCAGCTAAATGAACATGATTCAGTTTTGTTATTGTTGTTAACTATTATCATCATCATCATGATATTTATAATAGTTAACAACAATCATGGTAATAAAACAATGAAGAAACAAATTGCTTGTTTGCTGATTTGCTTTTATAATCAATTCTCCTGAAGAAATTCAGTCTGCTCAGCTTGTTATCGTTCTCCTTTTCTTCATCATCATCATCATCTTCCTTTTATCTCTTTCAATGATTTTCCACTTCCCTTTTCCCTGGTATTGTACTTGATTTAGCTCCACTCCAATTGATCAACAAATCATCAGAAACAATTTACTTAACGGGCTTTTGATTGAAAGAGAGAGAGGGAGCTTGAAATTTCATCTATTCCGCTGAATTTATCTCATCCAACCAACCAGTTAATTCATTTCATCATCCTGATCATCTTAATACTTAAAGTATGTTGATCTTTTAGATTGAGATTCTGACTGAAAAAAATCAAGGTAACCAACCTGTCAATGGAAATAAATTTACAATTGTATCATAACACAACAAATGAATGTTATTTTCTTACAAAATATCACAATTACAATTGCAATCGAATCCTTGATTCTTAATTTTCATCGATTATCTAATCTATCGGAATGATTTCCGATTATTGGGTCGAGAAAACTTTTATAAATCTAATATGTTGTGACCTACTCTTCTCACCGTAATCTCAACAAACTGTTTTTCTTTTTGTTTATCTCTATTTATCTCTCCCTCTCTCTCTCTCACTCACTCTAATTCTCTCTCACCTTACATGAATTCCAGGTAAACGAATTTAATAGTTGCGATTGTGAGTAATTTTCAGGAATCCAACAATTGGGTGATCTTGATGAGAGCGAACAGAAAAAAAATGAATGAAAGATGCGAATCGTGTTTATAACATTATCATCCTCATCATCAGGATGTTTAGAGATGATATTTAATTTTCCATTATAATGTTTGTATGTATTTTTAGATTAATCAACAATCAACAGAATTTTAATTGTAGGTAAATCAACTCGAAACACTTATCGTAAGATTAAGTTAAAACTAACGTGAACCTGAATAAGTGAAAACCAAATAATACAATTAAGTTGATTTACCATTTGGAATGAAATTTATTATGTTTGTCATTTTAGTAATTAAATTAAATTAGCTTCTTAATTGTAACTTGTTATTTTGATAATTTCTTTCAATTATTATCATATCGCATTCAGATTATTATTATGATTAAACTTTTGGATTCACATGAAATATGATTTAATTTGATCAATTATGGTCATGTAATAATTACTAATTATTAAGTAACACGAATGTTGAATAATTACAATTAGAAAATGTAATCAATTAAATGATCCATGATTTAGATTAATACAATTAACAACATTAACAATTATGTAAGTAATAATTAATGTGATGTCCATTTGATGACATGATCTAAATTGCTCTCAATTAACTTACTCTAAATTGTCCTTGATCTAAATTAACATTGAACTATCAAAATTTAAAGGAAAACTTAATTGTTACAATCCTTTTGCTCATCATTTAAATCAATTTACCTCATAGTCTTGTCATAACTGTAAATGATTAAGTTAATATAATTTGTCACAATTTTGTTAACCAAATCAACTGCCCAAAGCTACAGTTGTTGTTTTTTTTGATTGAATTGTTTACAGTTTTAAGTTAATCACAATTAACATAATCAAATACGAGATTAAATCTTCTTTCACTTCTCAATCCAATTAATCCAATTTTAATCATCTATCCTCAAGTAATTACGCCCAATGGTGTCACATGGTTTCCTTAAATTAACCTAAAAAATGAGCCAAAAAATTGAGAAATTAATTAATTTTGATTAACAAGATTGAAAATAAAATTAACTTTTACCTTATTGATTTGATTTCAAGAAAAACATTGATTCAGTTGAGTTAATTAATGACTGCAACTATTAATATTTAGCTCTCGCTCTCGTTTACCTGTTGTGATCTCCCATTTGGTTAACCATTTTAATCAATCAATTGTATTAATTATTAACTCTTTTACCTTTATTATGATGATGATTAAAGATAATGATAGAATCAGTTGGATAGATGATTAAATGAAAGAGAAAATGTTTCTTAACAAATCAGTTGTATTAACTTATATTCTTAGGATTATCTGTTAATTCAATCAAAAGCTCTAATTAAGTGACTCGTGACAAACTAATTAAGATTAGAATAACTTCCCTTTCAGGTCAATTCATGTTTAACCATCAATTGCTTAATTGTGATTAAAGATTAATCAAAGTGAAGAAAAGAGAAACTATTAAAACCAATGGAATCAGATTGTTTGATTAACGAAATTGTTACATGACATTTAACACGAGAATCAGATATCAGATCAAGTGTAATGAGAAGATTAGTTAGCAATTAGCAATTAATGATAATCATACAAATTGATTGTTTGACCCTGATAACAATAATTAGAAAAAAAGGGAAAAAAGTTAATTGTTCCAATGAAAATGATTATGATCATGATATTCAGCTCAACATCAAAGTCATTTTGTCATCTCTCAATAATCAATCAATAAGAAAAATTAACAAAATTATTGACCTTTAATTGTTGGATAATAATTGGATAATTGTTTTATATCAAATTGAGTTAAAGGTTAAGTTCACCATTAGAAATTGATCATTTATATTGATTGTTTATCGACAATTTAGCAAAAAAAAATAAATAGAGAGACAATTTAGTGATTTGGTTTCCATGTAGAAAAAAAATTCTCAAACTGACCAAGATAATTTCGTAATCAAAACTCTGACCCTGAGGGTATTAAGAAGAGAACAGAAAAAAAAGATCTTTAAAAAGTAAAAGGGTAAAACTCAAATTGGATTAAATATTTTTTTCTAATTGTTAACAATTAAAACAATTAAGAGAATGTTAAAAATGTCGAGATTACAATTAGAAAACAGAGTAACTTGTATTATCAGTCGAAAGAAAAAAAGTTTGGTGAAAGTTTCGAGCATCGAAAATAATAGTTGATTTAACTTTTCTCTCTCTCTAATTGTTTTGGTGTTTTTCTGTTTTCTTTTCAGTTATCAGTTCGTAACAATTGGAATCATCAACATCACTATTCAATCATCGTGAAAACATCATCATCATTATGAAGATCAATTTATAAACTTGATTATTAGAAACATCAAATTAATTTGTTGTTCTTTTTGTTCCTCAATCATCCCCAAGAAGAAATGAGATGAGAGATGAGACGAGATGAGATGTATACTACTCATGCAATTGTCCAAAGCTCCGATCATCATCCTCATCACTTCAATTACCTTGTTACATTATTTAGAGCGTGTTCTCGTCGCATCACAACCAAGTAAGTCACAACATTTCCGTTCTTTCAACACCTTCTTTCCTCATGACAATAAACAAATCCTGACGATCAACAACAACACAACACCAACATTCACCTTCATTTACGTACCAATTTCTCTAATTATCATAATAACTTAATAGTGAAAAAAGAAGAAAAAAAAACCAAAATGTTCATCATCTCGATAGAGATGAGATTATGTTTCATGTTTAAATCTAAAAAGCGTGACAACGAATTTAGTTAATCTCTTTAAACGGTTACATCTCTTGTTAATTTCTTCTTCTTAATTGACTAAATACCTTGTTAGAGAATAATAATAGCGATTATATTGTAATTCTAAAGGTAAATTCATTCAGATGAATTCGCAATTTACATGATATGCAACACGAAACACTAAATCTTTTAATTGTTATGTTTAAGTTTCTCTCTCTCTCTTTAACCTTTATCATCCTAATTGTGTAATTTCACCATTTAATCAGTTAATTGTGATGCAATTGATGAGTTTTGTTAAGGGATGAACGAAAACAATGAGATTAAAATGAGTCAGAACAATTGGATTAGCGATCAACAATTCATTGTGATTTATTAATTGTCTAACCTTGAGATTTTGATTCGCTCTTTAAACTTGACTTTGATCTTAATCTTAATTCAATTGATTCAATCACAATTCAGAGTAACTATATCATAACAATTAATCTAACAATCTGAATTAATTAATCTTTTCCAATAATCAACTATGAATTAATGATTGTCCACCCTTAACAATAATTAATTATCTATTGGTCAATCAATGAATAACAATTATAATCTCAATTGAATGAATTGAATAGTAACTAATCAGTTTGAGATAATCAAAGTTGATTAACTTTTATAATTAAAAATCACTTTCCCTTTTATACTTGTCACAATTTTTATAATTAACTAATTAACCTTTAACCTTAATTAGCAAGTAAACAAAAGGTAATAGACTCTAGTGTATTTACAAATTGTTCAATGAATAAGATGAACAATCAAATTTAAATTATGATTAAATCAATTTACTTGTATGAACTCATTTAAATTGTGATACAAATCAAGACTCATCTAATTAAATCAAAAGAAAAGTAAAATTTTTTTACTTTAATTAAGTTCATCGAAACAGTTAATTGATTAAAGTGAATAACTTTGCTTAGCCAATTAATCAGATTGTTAAATGGGCATTGAAAGTGATTAACTAATTGTCACTTTCAAAATGTTCAATTAATTTAAAATTAAATTAAACGGCTCAATAATCTTGATCAATTTCAATCCAATTTATCAAGTGTAACAATTTGTTTAATTGTTTATCAGCATTACTTTCAATTAACCAATTTAATCAATATTAAATCATTTGTTAGATCATCTTAATTGCCAACAATTAAACCTGATTCCCAATCTTAGTCCATCTTAATTTCGTATGTTTAACAAAAGTTATTACAACAATTTATTAACTACAATTAGGTTGACAATTTAAGATAATCAGAAAAAAAGTCATTTTTTTATATCAACAATTAATCGAGTCACATTTTAAGATATTTAATTGTTAATTGAATTTAATGATTGTGGTTATTTAATATGGACAATTAAACCTTCAATAAGACGATTAATAAATGATTAAAAAAAGGCCAATCAAATTAAAGGTTAATCAATTGAAAAAAAACATTACCTCCGACACAATTAGAGGTCATTTTTGATTCTTAATTTAATTTGACAAACATAATCACAATTAACGATGAAGACTCTAAATAATCAGCTGATAAATTGTAATTAAATTGATTCCATTTTACCCTAAGGGTCAAAAGGGAAACAATGGTCAACTTATCTTAACAACAATTAGTTGATTAAGACAAAACAATTAACATTGAAGAGAAAACAAAAAAGTTTCTTCAATCGTTTAGAATCAAAATGAAATGAATGAATCATAATTAGAATCCTAATCCTCCTCCACTATCACCTTCACCTCTTTATAAGATATAATTTGCCCTGAGGGAAAATCATCTTTCACCTCAAATCTTTTATTAACAAATTACTTTCATTTCTCAATTAACTGAATCAAAATATTTTCTTTACTTAAATTTAATTGTGATGAAAATTTATTTTGATAATAATCACGTTACACTGAACCAAATTAACCATTAATATACTTAATTCTAATCAATAATATCATTAATTATAATCTAATCATGATGATGATGATGATTAAGATACTGTTACATTTGCTGCTAATTATAAATTATCATCGAAATACACAAATTAACCTTCATCTTAATATTAATTGTAATTGTTTACTTTTGTTTCTTGGTTAAAAATGTAAACCAATTTTATTTATATTACTATTATTGAGCTCTAATTGTGTTTACTTTTTTTCACTAATCAAATTAATACGTTCAAACAATATAATCAGGTTTCGCTTGTTAAATGTAGGATTCTGAGGTCAAGGTACGTTATTCAATTGCTCATCTACATCTAATTAAGATTTTCATCTCTTCTCACAATTAAATCAACATAATCATGACCTTGTTTTGTCCTCTTTCTATCATCATCATCATCTTTCACAATTTTCATCATTTCCGCTTAATCTATAACCTAAATCCGGATTAGCATCTCTCTCTCTCTCTTAATCATTTGCAAGAGAAACACCTAATCCTGTATCAATTGACGACAATTTAATCTTTCTGTTAATCGGATTACTATTTGGATACCATTTGATTGATCACAATCGAATGACTTGTGTTAATTATCAAATTCAATTAATCGTTTAGAAATAATTAACTTCCTGTTTTAATTGGAAACAAGAAATTTGTTGGCACAACAATTTGTTTTCTTGATGTTGATCAATTGGTGTTGATTAAAAGTCTACATGTAAAGTAATTAATTGTTGAATACTAATCAATGAATGGATTTTTTTTTCTCTCTCTCTCTCTCATCAATTAGATTATCAATCGTCTCATCCAACGGTTTATCCTCCCGTCGTTCGTCATCCGGGAACATGTACCTTCCAAAGGTCACAACCCGCTTGTACCTTCAGTCTCCTCTGCTATTTAGCCGGCGGCGTTCCGATCGAGGGCTGTGGGGGTGACATCTCTGTAACGTGCTGTATGCTTTACAATCCAAGTTCAAGTCAATCAAATTTTGCGAGCGATTATTCAACAAGCAATTTACCAATTAATTCACTTCCACCGGGCATTGAATTGCCTAATAATCATTTGACATCACCTCGTCTTCCATCATCTTCATCTTCACCTTCTTCATCCTCTTCCTCGTCATCTCTTTCATCACCATCTTCATCTCCATCAAATTCACTGATACCTTCATCTCCATCATCATCTTTATCTTCTCGTGATCATTCATCTTCATCTTTTCTTCCCCCTCATCCTCCTCCATCATCATTCGATGATAACAAATCTTTAGATAATATTTATCGAAATACAGTTCGTAGGTCAAGACCTTTACCTTCATTTTTAAACAAAGAAAGACATTCACGTAATTACATCGGCGATGATGGTAAGTGATAAATCATTTGTTTAAATGCATCGAAATCAGAATCAAAATTAACTTTTCTTTCAATCTAATTAACAGTTTGTGGTAAACCGATTGCTAAACCAACAAGTCGAATCATCGGAGGCCAAGATGCATATTTCGGTGAATTTCCTTGGCAGGTCAGTACCAATACCATTTTAAATCGTAAATTAAATCGATTGAATTACTAAAAGTTTTGATCCCTTTAGGTTCATATTAAAATTTCAAAGCACCAATGTGGTGGAGCTCTGGTCAATCGTTACTACGTTGTAACTGCAGCTCATTGTATTTATCAGTAAGTTACTAACGAAGACTAATTGTTGAAGGTTAATCCATATTAACTAATTTATGTTCTCATTTATAGAGCACCTTTAGATCAATTATCAATCATAATCGGAGCCCATGATATCGAAGACCCTCGATACCAGGAAGAACCACCTCAATACTACAGTGTAACCGAAGTGAAAATGCATCCAAATTTCCGCTTCTCCGCATCTCATCCAGATCGATATGATATCGCAGTCCTTAGATTGGACAGAGCAGTTCGATATTCGTCCAATATCTTACCCGTTTGTTTACCACCCAATGGATTTAAATTTGAATCTTGGTACGGGGTCGTTACTGGTTGGGGTAAAACCGATCCCGCTTTAAGTAAGTGAACAAATTGATTGATTATCATTCAATAATCGTCGACTTTTAATGATAATCAATCTCACATCTTAATCTGTCCAGGTAATCGTTATGGAACAAGATTACTACAAAAAGTCGATGTCCCTGTAATTAACAATGAAGAATGTGAAAAGTGGCATCGAACTCGTGGAATTAACCTGAAAATATTTCCCGAAATGATGTGCGCTGGTTACGAGGATGGACAAAAAGACGCTTGTGTGGTAATTAAATTTAAATCTCTTTTATGATAATCACCAATTAATGAATTATTTGTATACTTTATCTTCAGGGTGATTCGGGTGGACCAATGGTCATTTTCATAAATGGCCGATGGGCTCTGGCTGGTATAACATCGGCTGGGTTTGGATGTGCACAATCAAGACAACCAGGAATCTATCACCGAGTCTCACACACTGTTAATTGGCTTCTATCAAATATAAATGATTAGCAGACTGATCAATTAATACGAACACTGGTCATGGATATCGTGCCATCGTATTCAGATCGTTCAAAGGAAAGATCCTAAATCCTAATTGTAAATCAACTATTCAATTCCAAGCTGAATATGTGCAGTTCCATGCGAATCAATCCCCACCATGTTAAAAGACTGTGGCTGAAGATAATGTCATCCAAAAAGACGATCAAATGACCTCAATTGTCCAATCGTTGACCTTTTTTTTCAGCGCAAATCGATTCAATGTCAACCAATTTCAATCATTTCGACATTTTAACTCTTTTTTTACGTAGATTATTTTTTCAAGATGAATAATTGAATAAATTAATGTTCTAAAAGTCAATTCGATACATGAATCTTTTAAAGGATTAGATTTTCATTTCAATATCCAAATTGATTGGGTGAAAATTGAGGCAAAAAAAACAATTTATTAGCAAAGATTGAGATTGAGAAACAACAACAAAGCGAAAATTGTAAACATTTACATTAAATTATTGATCTTAGATAAAATTGGTTATATCTAATTGTAGTGGATAACATGATGATTAAATTAATTAAAACTCAAATGACTTAACAATTGATTATGGTAAACAATCCCATAGGATTTGTTTTGTATCTTCAGTCAGAGAATCGGGAAATTGAATATCAAATACGATAATTAGGTCACCCCTTTTTTCAATATCCTTTGGATGAGGTAATCCTTGATTTGGAATCTTCTTAATTGTATTCGGTTTTACAATGTCAGTTAATTTCAAGTGAATTCGACCTCCGGTAATTGTTGGTGCTTTAACCATACATCCACATAGAGACTAGGAAAAGATAATTGTTATTAATAGGATTTAAATTAAATCTGATTGTTTGTAAAAATTTGGCACATTAGAAACAAATAATAAAAAAATAACAACTATTAGACCAAAATAATTGATAAATCAAAGTTTATGGGCTGATTGTTATCAATAGATTTACAATCAATCTTTTTCATATCAATTATTGATTTAGAATAATATTAATGACAAATAAATTTCTATATTTAATTGGATTATAAATAATATTAAAAATCAATAATTCTCTGAGTCTTTTAGATTGTAATTTAGATAATTAGCAGAATCAACCTATTCCTTGATTTAGTGAATTGGAATACATCTTCATCTGTCTGACAGAATGAGATCATGAAGACTTTCAATAGAATGAGAAAAGTTCTAATAGTTGACATAATTTGAAGTTAAATTTTGTAGTCATCATGATGACGAAAGTTCTGTAAAAAGTTATACAGAGTTACTGCTGATCATGGATAAATATATATCATCAACTAAGTGAGTAAATTACGATTAGCAGAAAAGTGAAATAACAACAAGTAAGCACATGATAGTGTGTGTTGCAAGTTGAATATGAAAGAAGAAGATGATGATGAAGATGAAGATGATAAGTGATAATTTCTCTCTCTTCACTTTCTATTTCTCTTACCTCTCTTAAACTAATCTTGGCAATATATTTAACATCAACGCCTTCCCTTTTAAATAGAGGATCGGGTTTATCTTTTATAATGAAAACAATATCAGCTGGAATTCTGTTCGGATTTTGATCACCTTCTCGTTGGAAAGTGATTTTGGTTCCGGCCTTCCAACCAGGTTTAACGTTAATTGTTAACACTTTGTCTTCTTTACGAGATGATTTACCATCAGAATTTAAAATTTTCTTGGTTATCTTCATCCTTTTTATACAGCCTTTCAGTATCTCTTCAAGTGTCACGAACAGATCATGTTCAATTGGTGCATCTTGTTTTAAACCAGATTTAGTCCTACTATTTACATTGGTTGATCCTGGAGTAAATGAATGTGACCTAAATGGATTTGCCCCACTCCCGCCGTTAGTACTTGATCGAGGTCCTAAAAATGGTCCAAACCCATCGGTTTCCATTAGATCGTCATCCAAATCAAAAAATTGAGGTTGTGGTCCTAAACCACCAAAGTTACTGTTAAAAAGAGGAAAACAAAAAAAAAGTTTATTAATCAAAATTAAATTGTTTAGTAAATTATTTTACTCGAATTACATTTTGGCTTTTAACCAAATATGTTATCAAATTTGTTTCATTTATTTGTTTGTTTGCACATCATTGAAGCTCAACATGTTCATTTAAATTGTATTTAGTTGAACAATTGTTTAACAATCTTAATCAACATCAACAGTTTGATTGTTAACTTGTTTAATTACACTTAATTTGGTACTGAAATCAAGCTAATAATCTTTACATCAGAATAAACAATCAAGAATAATGTTTAAAGGTTAATTGAAAAGCAAAACCAAATTGAAAATTCGAAATAAAATTGCAGCTTGACCATTAAATGAATCACAATTAACGATTAAACATTACAAGGTTACAATTAATTAACTCAAGTGAATATTTATTTCTATTCGTGTCTACCCTGTACCATGATGATGGTTAACATGATGAAGCTTTTGGAATGTATGAAAAGGTATTTTTGGAATTGGGAGATATCGTTGTTTTAAACAATTCTGGCCGATATTTACAATCTAAAATCAATGAGAAAGCAAATCAACTACAATTAACAAGGTAAATTGTCTTCCACGTCAATTGTAGTGAAAATGATCGTTTAAATGAACGGTAATTGAAAACCAAGACATTTAAACAGAATTAGTAACAGTGATCCAACTATACATAAGTTAATTGCTATTAACTTTAATAAGTTGGTTAAATTAGTCTTGTTTTTTTTTACATTGAATGAATCAGACAAAAATAAATTTATTTATGTGTGACAAAAATAAATCAGGAAGTAAAAAAATAGCAAAGGATAATAATAACAAGCCACAGTTTCGCATGTTTAAGCTAATTAACTGAGCAAATCAATGAATTACTACTAATCAAATGAAGCAATTGTGAGTAGCTTTTTTTATGTACATTTGATTAATGTAATCTGATTGTTGGGTGATCATGATTATGGTCAGAAAGGGAAATCAAAATAACCTTGAAAGAGAAATAAAAAATTGTGTTGATATTTGTGAGGTTGATTGACATTAGCATTAAATTAACTACTAAGAGGATTATAAGAGGATTAAATGTTATCCTGAGAATAAGAATAAACAATTTAATTGATTAGATTTAAGTTAATTACCCAAAAAATGCTTCGAATGGATTTTCTGAGCCGAAAAATTGTGCAAACGTTGCTCGTGGGTCCCCATGGTAAGTGTATGTGAAATGAGTTCCACCGGTGTGACCTGAAGAAGGTGCAGATCCACGACCTTTTAAACCTTCTTCTCCACACATATCGTAAACTTGTCTCTTCTCTTTATCCGATAAAACATCATAGGCCTCAGCGATTTCCTTGAACTTTTCTTCAGCTCCTGGTGATTTATTCTTGTCCGGGTGAAATTTGAGAGCCAATTTTTTATAAGCCTTTTTTACCTCTTCTTCAGTGGCATTTTTAGATAGACCCAAAGTCTTGTAATAATCTTTACCACCTTTTGGTGTCATTTGTTCTCGTCAAAGTTAATCAGTTAATTGCCTATTTTTCTTTAACCAATTTGTACACTTTGTTAACACAAAAACCAAGTATTCAGGTTAACACAAATAAAGATGGAAAAACAAAACAGAACAAGAAGAAGAGGAAAAAAAAAGATTGACTGATATTAGAAATGATTTAAAATGGTTAATCTAAGAATCACTAATAGTAAAAAGTAATATAACTGTGAACACTCAAATGATTAAGAAAATTAATCCAACATGTTATCGATTTATAATGAGAAAACAATTGAGTCCAAATGATGAATTTAAAGTCACTTTAAAACTGTTGGTTGAAATAGAAGAAGAAAATAAACTGAGTAATTAAATAAGAATTTGTTAGAGAAATATGAAGATGATGACGAAGAAGAAGAAGATGAAGATGAAGAAGCAAAAAGAGGAAAGCTTTTGGCAAATATTACAAAAAGGATGGTTCAATTGGTTCAGTGAGTTGATCATGAAAACACAACAACTTGTTGAACATTCAGTTAATTGACAAGATGAAACATTCAGTAGAAAAGATAATCAATTCAAAAAAGAAAAAAAAAATTCTTCATTAATGGTACGAAAAAATTCCATCAGATGGCGAACCGAGCGGAGAATTAAAGGTTAACCATGTGATAGAATTGATTGTGTAAAATTTGTTAATTTGAGTGATAATTTACCTAAATTTATTTGAATTTTGTATTAATTTGGAAATATAAGTGACTCGAGAATACCTGGAAATAAAAAGGTAAAACAAAACAACAATAATTGTTGATGAAAATACGAAAAAGGAAAATGTGCCTTACCAAAGGCTTGAGGAAAATATATTGATGGCTAAAGAGGTTTTAATAGACCATTTGGAGAATATTAATGAAATTAGTAATTTTAAATTACTGATTGATCTTTTATTAGATGGATCAAATTGGAAAACTATGAATTATGTAACTCGTGTATCTTACTATTATAAATTCCATCCCAATCCCCATTACCTTATAAGCGGTAGTCTGAACCGCGAACGGTTAATTTGAATTAACCGGGCTCAATATGAGGCGCTGTTGAAGCTTAAATATCATGTGATTGGTTATTCTTTTGTTGTTTCTCTTTGGAGGCAAATCTTTCTTTCTCTTGGCACTTAGCATGTTCTTCCCGCTCTTGTCTCTCTCATTTTCCTTTTAAAGTATTAAAGATCTTGGACCGATGGAATAATCAGTTTTTTCTTATTCTTCTTCTTTTGTGTAATTGTTTCTTGCTTAAGTAATTTTGTTTTGTCTATTTGTGTTAATATTTTTCTCTATTCTCAAAAATGTCATCAATAAAAAAGAAATCGGAAGTAAAAGTGACACCTAAATGTCGAACAATTGACAGCTACTTTACTAAAAAGAAGAAAATTGTCACCGTGGCCAAACCGAAGAATCTTAATCAACTTTTCAATAGTGTTGCCAGAATTGAGGAAGGACCTTTAAAGGGATTACCAACCACTTTACTAGACAAAATTAAGAGTAAAAAAATTGACGATGATGATGAAAGTCAAAAAGTGAAAATGTTGGAAAAATTACCTGAGATGGTTAAGATTGTTCATTGTTTCTTCCTAACTAATCCAAAGCCTGTAAAAATGAGTGTTTTAATTGAAAAATGTATCTCTTCCTATTATACATACATCTCAATTCCTGAAACTGAGAAACAAATTAGATATATTTGTGAAATATTTCCCGATTGGTTTACAATTATCACTCTGAGGAAAATTATTTATGTCAAATTACTGGATAAAAGTAAAACCATCAACTCAATGATTGAAAAGATCAAGAATCTCCAAAATTCTAAACAAAAATGATCAAATTAATCATCAAATCAATTAATATTTATACAAACAAACAAAAAGAAAATGACTTATACACTTAATGACGACAACAATAAATATATTATTTTCTCAATTAAACTAATTAGTCTTTTAATTTAAAAAACTCATGAGAACGAACCAATTAATCGACCAACAGATGTCGCGATTATCGTAAATTCGGTCGCCATTATTGTTTATTGTTTTCTATTGAGAATTTGAAAATTGGTGAAGCTTTGGTTAAATTAATTTCTCTTAATTGTTTGAATCTTTTTTTCTTTTCTTTTTCCAAATTAAATTGATTTTCTTAATAATCTTGTGTATTGTGTATTTGGTCTGTTAAGTGATGGCATCAAGTAGTAGAGCGAAACAAGAATTGCCGGAAGATTTGTCTCATGTTGAATTTGAGACAAGTGAAGATGTTGAAGTGATACCAACATTTGATGGAATGGGTTTAAGGCAAGATTTACTTCGGGGTATTTATGCCTATGGTTTTGAGAAACCTTCAGCTATCCAACAAAGAGCAATTAAGCCGATAATTAAAGGACGAGATGTTATCAGTCAAGCTCAATCTGGTACTGGTAAAACTGCTACATTTTCCATTGGTATTTTACAAACAATTGACACACAAATTCGAGAGACTCAGGTTTTAATTCTTAGTCCAACCAGAGAATTAGCAGTTCAAATTCAAAAGGTAATTCTTGCTCTTGGTGATTATATGAATGTCCAGTGTCATGCATGTATTGGTGGTACAAATCTTGGTGAAGATATTAGAAAATTAGATTATGGTCAACATGTGGTCTCTGGTACTCCTGGACGTGTTTTTGATATGATTAAAAGGAGAAATCTTCGTACAAGATCAATTAAGATGTTGGTTCTTGATGAGGCCGATGAAATGTTGAATAAAGGTTTCAAAGAGCAAATTTATGATGCTTATCGGTACCTTCCACCCTTCACTCAAGTTGTTCTTGTCTCTGCTACATTACCTCATGAGATCTTGGAGATGACCAGTAAATTTATGACCGATCCAATTCGTATTTTGGTTAAACGTGATGAACTTACCTTGGAAGGAATCAAACAATTTTTCGTAGCCGTAGAAAGAGAGGAATGGAAATTTGATACATTGTGCGATCTTTATGATACATTAACCATCACCCAGGCTGTAATTTTCTGTAACACAAAACGAAAGGTTGATTGGTTGACCGAAAAGATGAGAGAAGCAAATTTTACCGTCTCAGCGATGCACGGGGATATGCCACAAAAGGAAAGAGATGCCATCATGAAAGAATTCCGTTCTGGTCAAACTCGTGTTCTAATTACAACCGATGTTTGGGCTCGTGGTATTGATGTACAACAAGTTTCTCTTGTTATCAATTACGATTTACCAAATAATCGTGAACTTTACATTCACAGAATCGGCCGATCAGGAAGATTTGGAAGAAAAGGTGTCGCTATAAACTTTGTAAAGACCGATGATATTAGAATATTGAGAGACATCGAACAATATTACAGTACACAAATCGACGAAATGCCAATGAATGTAGCTGATTTGATCTAATCATCTAATTGATCAATCCAATCACACGATTGATATTTGATATTGTTTACTTTTAACAAGAGTTCAATTTGTTTCAATTGTTCAATCCTCATTTTCAACTCAAACCCCAATAAACACACAAACAAAAGACATCAGCCAAAAAAAGCTTTATTGCCGCTGCGAATGTTTTTATTTCTTCTTTAAATAATTAATACGAAAACCAAGCAAAAAAACAATTGATTATTTTTTCCTTTTAGCCTTGAGTTTCTTCAAAGTTCTCTTCCTCTGTCTCGGATGCATCCAAACTGGAAAAGTACCATTTTCATCCATAAGTGTTTTCGAGTTACGTTTAGGCTTTTCGACCTCCATTAAATCACCTTCACCATCTATCACAAGACAACAGAGAATAAACCAAGCACAAAGTTACTCAAACTGTTCTAATAGCAAATAAAAGACAATTTTCTCTTACCTTTATTATCCTTATTACATTTGGGTTCCAATTTTTTCCCTTCAATCTGCTGAGCATTTGTAATCTCAATCGTTTTATCATTCTCAGCATTTGCAAGCATTTTCTTCAACCGATCTTCCTCTTTTTTACCATATCTAACTCGCTTGATGGCTCGCATCTTACGTTTAAATTTACTCCTCAGTGATTTGGCCATCGTTTGAAAACAAAAGTAAACACAAATTTAAACTAATTAACCAACAAAATTAAACATTTAATTTTACCATTTAAACTGAAAAACATAAACAATGTGCTTTCAACTGATCGGCTCAATGTTTTCATCATCGATATCGAGACTCGATCGATACTATCGATACTTTTGTGTACATTTTTGTTGTTTTCATTTGGGAAAATTAAATCTCTTTGTGATATTTTTCATTTCTCGTTAACTGTCATCTAATTGTTGATAACTATTAGATTTTCTATCATGTTTTATCACATTGCTCTTGAACATGAAGTTCAACTTCATCCGAAGTATTTTGGTCCACAACTTTTAGATGTTGTTAAACAAAAGCTTTTCAGTGAAGTCGAAGGCTCTTGTACTGGTAAATATGGTTTCATCATCGCTGTGACTACAATTGATCACATTGGTCATGGTTTAATTCAACAGAATACTGGTTTCGTTTTATATCCAATCAAGTATCGTGCCATTGTATTCAGACCATTCAAAGGAGAGGTTTTAGATGCTGTTGTCACCCAAGTAAATAAAGTTGGTATTTTCACCGAAATTGGACCTTTGTCTTGTTTCATTTCTAGACATTCAATTCCAGCTGATATGCAATTCGATGCCAATCAATCACCGCCATGTTATAAAACAGTTGACGAAGATATTGTTATCCAACAAGACGATGAGATACGATTGAAAATTGTTGGTCTAAGAGTTGATGCTAAAGACATTTTCGCCATCGGTACTTTAATGGATGATTATCTTGGTCTCAATTGAAGCTCTTTCTCTCTCTCTCTCTCTCTCTCAACAATCCAGTCATTCATCATCTTAAATTCATTCAAATGTTGACCTTTTTTCTTTCTCTTTCCTTTCCTCTCTTCTCATCAAATCGAATCAACATCTTTTCATCTTTTTATTTTACATAAACTGTTTGTTTGAAAAATGAAGAGAACCGAATAAATTAGCTCATACAAATCAATTGGAATCATGTTGTAAAATAATTGGTCAAACCGAACCACTGAGAAAGTTGATTATTTAATTGATAAAAAAGATTCGAGTTAACAATCAGTTACAAGGACAGAAAAGAGAAATTTTTTTTTTATATAGATGTAAAGTGCAAGTTGATTGAGAAAAGAAATTAAATGAAAACCATAATTTAGTTCCTTATTATAACATATCCTGACTTTTTCTAACACAACGTGCTACCTTCCTTTTGAATTCGGCTGGATTTTCACGCCATTCTTTCTGTAAAGGAGAAGAAGAAAAAAAAGATTCCAATCAGTAATCAGATCACAAGAGAATTGAAAACAAAGAAAATAATAGAAAAAGTAAAAATTCCAAAACCAATACTCACCGCAGCATCTACATTGGCTGGCGATTCATCATTAGGATCAGCTAACATTGAAATAACAGAAATCATAATCGTTTCCACAGTATGAACAGGTAACCAGCGTTCAGATGCTTTCTCATATCCATATTTATCATCACCAGGTTCATGGAGAATACTAATACAAACAGTTCCATTCTTATCAATATTCGGATGCCAAATTTCAGTCAAAAATTTCATCTTCGGTGGCCTTAAGGGATAATCCTTTGGAAAGGATAAATGACACTTGAAAAAACCACCTTCATACAATGTATCTGGTGGACCGATAATTAGCACTTCCCATAAATAAATATCATCATCATCAGCAAGACCAGCAGAGAATCCTTCAACTGGATTTTTCTTTAAATCATTTAATTGTTTCTTCAACAAAAGTGCTGATTGATGTTCACCCATTGAGTAAGTGTAATAAATATCAAAATAATTGTTTCAGTGTAAATATCACAAATAACCCACAGAAAGAGAGAGTAAGGGGAGAGTGAGAGAGAGAGAAGGAAGGAGAAAGAGTGAGAGCGAGAATAAGAGTGAGAGAGAAAAGGTAACTGAGAGAGAGAGAGAAATAAATTAATAAAATGTGTTATTGTTTCTTCAATTGGCTTCACTGTTCAATCCAAGAGCTTCAGTGGCTCTTAACAAGCTCAGTGGCTTTGAACACTATTAACGCGCTTCATTTGAGTAACTTTCTGTTTCCAAATGATTTAGTTCACAATTAACTGTTACCAAATCACCTTTACACTAATTAGAGGTTGACAAATGTTCTTCTCATCAATTTGATTCTCTTTTTGTTCTTCACTAATTGTTCTCGCTTATTCATCTATTCGTCTCTCTTTTTGAATGAACCGCGAATATTCAAAATTCTTTTGGCGGTTTATCTTTGGGAACATTTTTCTTTTCTGTAAACAAAATCTTCTTATGTTTTCATCTTTTGTTGTTGTTGGTTTTTCTTTAATTTGGTTAATTTTTTGGTGATTTTCTTTTTCTATTTTTTCTATTTTGTTGTTTCATTGTTCTGTTTTCTTTAATTGTCCAGATCATGGATCGTACGCTTAAAGATGCTGTTGATAATTCTCCTGTTCGTCAAGGTGGATCTCAGGGGAAATTTTCTCGGAGTAAACAACTTCAATTGGAATTTAAGTATAAAATTATGAATGAAGAAATTCGTAAATTAAAAGAATCAGGTATCAATAGTAAAGAGGTTGTTGAAAAGTCTAAATTGTTACGGAAAAAACTTAAACAAGCTAATGATTTGTCTAAAACTGCTTTTGATACTGGTTCACAAAAGTGTATTGAATATGATGCTGAATATTTTTTCAATGGTGCTGAAGTTAATCATCTTGTTGTTAAATCACTTCAAGTGGATAGTCAAGTATTTGATGTGCTTTTCTTTGCTGAAAAATTGAAAACATTCATAGCTCCAGATTCTAGGATAAGGTAAGTTTACCTAAAATTATTAACCAAATCTCAATTCTAACCTTTTTCTTTTCTATTTTCTATTCTAGAGATGAAACCATTGACGATAATGATTTATCCATTGAAGACTTTTATGAGCTTGGCAAGAATTGTGGTCATTTAGTAAATTCTGCTCCGATACTTACTTATTTATATGGTGCATTTGAACCTGGTGAAGTGACCATACCAACCAAACAGAGACGAGTTGGACCTGGTAGACAGAAATTAGTGGAACCAACAGATGAAGCTAAAAAGCCCAAATCTAAAGAAGGAATTGATGATAGTGATGATCTCAAAAATGGAAAAGAAGTTGAAAGAGTTTACAGTAAGCTTAAATCGATATTCGATAAAACCAAAGAGCCTGTTCCGTTTTTCAAAGCGATGGTTAAGCCTGATTCATTCTGCGAAACAGTTGAAGGAATTTTCTATTCTGCATTTTTAATCAAAGAAGGTGTTGTTTCTGCTAAACTGATGAAGACTTCCAATGGTTATGTTCCTGTTATCGAACCCGAAGATCCCGAGGAGGTGGAAAGATGCCACGAGAGAGTAAGAGAGAGGAGAAACAACGAAAACGATTCAGAAGACGAAAGTGAAGAGACTTCAGCATCGAGTCATCAAAGTATTTTATCTTTTTGCGAAGATGATTGGAAAAATTGGAAAATTCAGTAATCATTGTTAACCGAATGAATCTCCTACATTCTCACAAATCTATGTAATACTCTCAACATTTCAATCATTTCCGTTTCCTCCAATTTTCTTATTCTTTGATTGTAAAAAAAAACAAAACTGTTTCTCGAGGCACATTTAAAGTAAACTGTACAGTTTATATTTGAATTCTAATTGTTATCCAATTTCTATTTAATTCAATCAACTCTCATAAAGAGTAACTTTGCCATATGATATTTCAATTTCATTTCTCATCACAATTAGATGAATAATTGATATTCCGATGATCATCTTTATCCATCATATAATTAAGATTTAAACAAATGTCCATTGATCAGAACTCAATCTTATTCAATCATCTTCTTTACTATTTTTCACACAAGTAAATTACTCGAGTAAATTTGAATTTCAATCATTAAATTTAATTGTGTTTTCAATTTTTACAGGTTGACTTATTTGGACATTCGAAATCAATTATTTCTTTGGATATCGTTAATTGTTATCCAATCGATGATTGTCTTAGAAGTAAACATTGTAATCGATGATTTTCACTTCGAAGTTGAGACATTTCTTTACTCATTTTACTGATTCGATCGTTGAGAGATTCCATTTGTGAGGCCGTTAACAAAACCTCCAATCGAATATCATTTAATTGTTTCTCTTTATCTCGCAATTGTTTCTTTAAATCTTTAATCAATCCATCTTCATCTTTGATAATCAAATCTGCTGATCCATTCGTGTTAATATGATTTGTTGTACCATTTGTATTGTTAATTAAATTAAGTTCAACAAATGGGTCAGTCTTATTGTTAAACTTGTTGTTCAATGCTAACGGAGTTGATGGTAAGGATGATGATGAATCAGATCCATGGTTTAATTTGGTGTTAATTGTTGCCTCAACATCCGACATCGAACCTCCCGATTTGTTTCGAGATCGATTCTTTTTAAATGCTCTTTGAATTGATCCTTTGAACCAACCAGATGGACCCGATGAATCTCCTGAATTAATGGTATCACGATCGCATGAAGGTGATCGTGGCTCTTTATTAGACCTTTTCTTATTCTTATCACGTCTACATTCAATATCGGAACTGGAACCATAACAAGACGGATTACCTTTACCTCCCACTCCATTCAGGTCTCCATTAGCACACTCACGTCTTAGAACCTCAATCGTTGTCTTGAGCCGACCAATTTCCCGATCTTTCTGATCGGTAGCCAGTGAACATTGATAAAGGCGAGATCGAAGTGTTTCCAAAATTTTACCGAAAGTTTGAGTCATATCATTCTGAGAGTAAAAATATCAATAATTAATTAGCAAGAGAAAAAGATAAACAATCAAGTAAATTGCTTCATCAACGAGATTCGAGAAACAAATTTCACCTCAATTTCCAACAATCAGAACATTTGGAATTCGAGTTTTTTTTTCTGCTCAACTAAAATTATCTAAAAAAAGAATGACTTTCCAAAGATTCATCAAGATGAACATGGTGAACATGATGGAGAAGATGAAGAAATTTAAATGCATCATTTACACTTAAATTGTCACTTTGAGAACTTTTTTCTTTCATCTTTTCTCTCAACAATATTACAAGTTTCGAAAGTGGAACAAAATTTTCGCTATTTGAATGTCTATTGAAAGTCAGTGGGTGTAAAGAGCAATAATAACATGGCCTAGGACATTTAATATCTATGATACAAAAATAACAGAATAATCTGAATGAAAGAAAATAACTGAGTAGGAATATGATTATCAGGCAAATCCCCAAGAGCATTTTTCCAATTTAATCCTATTAGATAAACAGGATTACAGATACAAGGAAAATATCATCATGATTAATAAGATTCTGTATTCTCAAGTTAAACTACTAGAAATGAGTGAAAAAGTGACACAAATAAATAAACAACAATCATTTCTCATCTCTCATCTCATTGAAACAATTTAATGTTAACAATAAACTTGGTGATTACAATCAAACAAGTAATCAGTACTTACACTATTCTTAAGTTGTTGAGTCAATGTTTCCACTTTGTTATTGGCTCGATTCAGATCATCTCGAAGCTTTTTCACCTCTTGGTTATGCCTCTCCTCGGTCTGTGGTGGTAAAGGTTCAGAATTCAGGGAAACGAGAAAAAAGTTCAGCAAATTAATTAATCATTGACACAGAAAGAAAGAAAGAGAATAAGTTCTTGTTCAGTGTGATGTTAATTGTTTTCCTTTGTCAATTTACAGAGAAAAAAATTCTCATCTTTTTCTTTGTATTCGGTTCACAGGTTATCTAATATTGTATCTTAATGGACTATCATTGTCGCTATCAACTATGTAAGCGTAATTATCGCCAAGCTCTGACACGCTTAAGCTAAACCATCAGAATAATTTGATCACACCCAATAACATGGACCATAAGAAGTTATCATTAGTTGAACATAAGGAGATCGATCGTCTCAAAGACTCTCTCTCTCTCTTCCATTGTTACTTTACTATTATACTAGAGATTTACCTGTAGAAAATACCTGTCACCATAAATAAGAAAACACTTTGAGAATAATAGAGAAAAAGTTTGAAATTTGATCTATTAAAACGACTATTATTATTTTCTTTTTGTTAACTTTTCGACTAACATCAAGTTAATACATCAGAGGAAATCAGTCTTTTAGTCACGGCCGATGATTCTTGACACAATTTACGTTCTAATTGAGTGTACGAAAATTGAATAGATGAATTGTGACACCAAGTGGACAACAACAAGTGTCTAAATTTAAGATGTTAATACACTTGGTTACCTATCAAATGATGACGATGATGAAATGCAAGTATCATGAGCGCTCATTAGACAAATGTCATTTGCAACAAGAGACATTGAAAACCATCAGAATGATACTCAGGTATCACTAATATTAGACAATAGGTTATACTCGTCAAGGGAAATACACACATGTAAACAAGATGAGAAAACAGGAACTACGGTTCTGGGCCATTGAGACAAAAAAATATCATCTCAATGTGTCAAAGAAAAACACAAAACAAAACAAAGTAAAAAAAAAGCACAACAATCAAGTTATTCAACCCATCAGAAAGAGGAAGAGATATAATTTATATAATCGATATGTAAGGTCGACCTTAAGGTCACTCATCTTCGTGTCCACTTACCGCGGAGAAAGAAGAGGAACCAGAGAGAAGTGATATTGTTGACCCTCGAAGTTCACCGTTTTTGGATAATCTTTTGATCTGATTAGTTAATGAGTTCGATGCTAATCCATTTGATTGTAAAAGTAATGGAGGTGGAGGTAATTGTGGCGATGAACTGGATTGAAGATTAGCTGAGAGAGGAGGTGGTGTTGTTGGTGAGATTAAATTACCACAACCATTTGCTCCATATGAAGTTAACTCGATAATTGATCCACAACCACCAGTTAATCCATTGTCTTTATGATTAGATGTTAATCTTAAATCAGTTTTAAAACCTAATTCAGCTTCACTTGGTAAAGTACATTTTATGCAACGATTGATTTTATTTAGTAAATTGTTGTTCGTTGAAGGCACTGAAATGGTTGAATTTAGATTAGCAAGTGAATTGTTGTTGTTAATTGTTGATTCAATTTTCTCATTAAAATTTGAATCATGAAAATTACTTAGACTGGAACTGTTACCATTAATTGATTGTGAGTTATGATTTAAGGAAAAGGATTTGGTTCGGTCGATAATTGTTTGATTAAAAGGTGATTCGATTGGTGAATCAATTGATTGTCTACTAGGAGTTGGACTTGATTCATCTTCAAGAACTGGTGACATGTAACCATTTGAATGGATCGGACTAGATTCTGATGAATTTGAACTGAAATTAATTTTTGATTGTTGTGGTAAAGTTGAATTTAGAGATCGATTCTCACCATTAACGGTACAATTGGAATTGATGAGATCGCAACTGCTACTAATTGATCTGGTTGATTCCAAGAAAGATAAAACATTAGCCGATAAATCAATTTTCTTAATTGTTGGATAATCATCTTTAGACTCGTCAAGTTGATTAACGTGCGATGATAATGATAATGTTGATCTCGCTTTGATTGGTTGATTTTCTTCAACAACTGATTTTAGTGATGAATTTTGTTGATTAGATGATGGTGACGATAAATTAGGTAACATTGGCTCTGAGGCTCGGCTAGCGGAAGATAAGCCCAGAGGCAATTGATGGATTAACTTTGAATTAAATGAGGTTGGTGTTGTTACTGTTGCTGTTGAGGAAGATGAGGTTATTATTGATGTTGATGGTGATGATACAGATGATAAAGATGACAGAGATGAAGATATTGGTGATAATGGTGTTGGAGGGTAGGCTGATGTTGGCACCATTACACTGGAAGTGACATTTGAACTAGATGATGATGAGGGAACAGTTGATGATGAAACAGAGCATCCAGTTAATCCAGATGAACTGTAGTTAACTTCATCATCCATCTTGTCATCATATTGAGGATGTTGTTTGGGTTGTTGAAGATGAGGATGATGATGGTTACTCTCTTCTTCTTTTGGGCCAATACCCGATCGACCGGATCCATTGTCACCATTGACATTTTGACCTATTGAACGACGAATAGGTGAAACTCTAGCAACATTGGGCTCCGATCGAGTTGGTACAAGATGAGATTCAACGGTTGGCCGTCGACCTCTTTCAACGATATTTTCACTTTTAGGAGATTCTTCATTCATCTTTGAACTTAAAATTGAACTTCGATGACCAGACAATCCTGTCTTTGGAATTCCTGATGATGAAAGTGGCCTTAGGCCACTTTTATTAATACCTTTCGATAAACTAGCACCGTTAACACTAGACATTGAAGGCGTTTTATGAGAAACCGTTGCTGTTGATGACGATGATGTTATTACCGTTGATCCAGCGACTGGTGAGTTATCAAGACACACAGAGTTTGGCCTGGATTTCGGTAAAGGAATGCCGTGAGCACCTCCCACAAGACCTTTAGTTAAATTGGTTCGAGTGAGATTTTTATTATTCCCGATAATAGTTTTTCTTTCGGGTCCTGATTCATTTTCGGTAAGACTTGGCGTTGAGTCACTTCGATTTGCATTAAGAGTCGAGGTCAAGTTACCAGCGGTTGGTCTTGGGCTATTATTGTTATTACCATTCATGTTAGGAACACCTCGAACTGGACCTGAACAAGAGGGAGTTTTAGATCGACGGGGAGCTTCATCTTCTTTTACCTCTCTCAAAGTTAAAGATCGATGATGATTTTGTATCAGCGATGATCCTGATCTACCGACCGTTGCGAACCCATTATTGACCATTGAGTGTCTAGTTATTTGAGATCGATTAACTGTAACAAGAGATTTACCTGTTGGGGTTGGTGATCCATTGACAGGTAACATATTCGATGTCATTGAAGTTAATCGAGGTGGTCTGATACCTCGATTAGCATCATTACAATTACTATTATTTTGATTACTCTGAACAGATGAATTAGTATTACACATTGATGGTGAATGTAATGAAGATACTGTTGTTGATCCAGTTGTTGTCACTGATGGTGAAGGCACAATTAAATGAGATTGAGTAGATTTACATTTATACACAGTCGTCGGCGAAACTGATCTTAAACTTGAATCATTTCGATTCAATGATAAACCCGTTCCTTGAGTGGATAATAATTTATTTGGTGGATTGAGAAACTTTTTCGAAGGACCAATTGTTGGAGTAAAATTGGAAGAGCAAGTTGTCGTTGTCGTTGATGGATGATAAGATGAAGGTGATGAGGATGATGATGATATTCCATTGAAATTACATCCGATTCCCGGTGAGTTCGATTGATTATTTGGACCTGGAATTTTCGATTCTCGTCTCTGAGGTAATCGAGAGACAAGACAATTGACACTTCCATTAAGACCATTGGTGTTATTTGGCCTATTCAACGTTACTGTTGATGTAAAGCCCGATGAACGATTCTGATGATAAACCTTATCCATGGTCATTGTCACGATCAATTTAACTTCATCTCTCGTAATTATCTTTATATTTCTTTTCGTTTGGGTCGATAAATTAGTTTCGTTTTCCCAAAGTGATCATAATTGTAAATCAATTTTACAATGAAAATTGTCACTTGAGAAAGAGAATTAAAAAAAACAAAAACAAAAATGAGTCACAATTATGAAACTCGTTAGAAATCAGTGAATGAGTTAATCAAGATAATCTTATTCTCTAAGATTATTCCAATTTGATAATCATTAAGATTTTCTCATCTCTCGATTCAAATTTTCATGGATTGAACTGTAATCCAACAACAGGGGGATTAGATTAGAAACTATTACAACGGTTATAACCAATAAAGATCATCATCTTCATCAACTTGTAACTTGAACGGATTTTGTTCAACTAAGCAACTTTGCTATTCCAATGCGCTGTTTCAAATGGATGAGCAGAGAAAGAGAGAAAGAAAGAGAAAACAAAGATGATGATGATGATGAGGGAGAAGAAGAAGAGGAAAAAAAGAGGGAAACATGAGAGTGGAAAGAGTAAGTAAGGTGGAGAAAGGAAGAGAAGAGAGAAGATGAAGACAAAACTTGAAGATGAGAGGGAGAGAGAGAGAGAGAGGAAGATGAAAAAGAAAGTGAATTTAGAGGTATTTAGATGATGCTTTTCTTCATCATCTTCATCATCGAGTGAGAGATAAATACTGGATGAAAAGAGAAAAAAAGTAAGTATAAATAGACAGAGAAAAAATGTCGACAGTGGATCTTTTATTTACTAAAAATAAGTTTCTTTTTCCTTTTCCAATGTTCGTTGTAACTTTTTTTTCCTATTACTTGTCAATTTGAATTAATCTATTACTTTTATCACAATTAACTTTAATTATCTTAATTGTTTACTTTTTGTTTATCATCTATTTTCAATTATCTATTGATAGATTTACCTTGATGATGATATAACTATTAACTTGAGTAAATATCAACAAATAATCAAAGAATCAGAAATGATATTGAACTCGATATGTACAATTAATAATTAGAATCAATTGATTAACGGTAAATATTAAATCAGTTAAACTAAATTAACTCTTAACACTGATAACGTTGATTAAGCTGAATAATCAATAACCATAGCAATTAGTAATTAAATTAAAATGGGAGTTAACAGTATATATTTAATTTAGTTACAATTTTAAATTCAACAAGTTAATTAATTGATTAACTTCAATCTATCAAAGTCAATGTATTAATTGACGAGCTGATTAATTGTAATGATTAATATGATTACTATCATATATTTAATGTTTCAATGTGAATATGAATATGAGTGATTAATTTTAATTGTAACTGAATTTTCAACAGGAAATTTAATTGATTTTTTTTTTCATTTCTGTTCATTTGTTTTTCAAATGAACTTTTAAATTTCAGTAATCAACTAAATGAGGTTAGTTTACTATGATTTAGTTGATTAGTAAATCATTATTACTACAATTTTATTATTAATTGTTAACAGACAAACCTAAGCTTACCATCAATCAATTAGTTAATTTATCATTGAATCAACATTAAATTGAAACCTTTAAAAACAAACAATTTAATAACAAATATAAAAAGTTTCTGTGAATGATAAACAATTAGCTGATTTAATGTCATTGATCTTACCCAGTAATTGATCAGCAATTTATATTTATTTATATATTTTTATGATTAATGATTGAAAAAAAACTAATAAACAGTGGTAACAATTAAGATTATCAATAGATTATATATAAAGTATCACCTAAATCATCATGCTAATAATGAAGGTAAAGATTAATGAAAAAAAAGCGAAAACAATTAAAACTGATTGATTGTCAAAAGTAAACCAATATAATAAGGATACTTAGGATAATATGATTAATCCAATGATGAGCTATGTTGAAATTAGTAAAGTGTAACAATTAGATGAATGGAAGGAGATTATGATCAAATTGATTGTCAAAGTAAATTTAGAGACGATATTCAGGTCAATAGGCTTTTATTGATCGGTGTTTTTTTTAGTCATAACGAAATGGATTTAAAAAGCACATTAGATTATCTTATAATCATAATCATCGGCATTTAATCATTTGTCTGTTTTGTTACCTTTAGATTTGATATCAAAAGTCACGATTCGAGTAGTTTGACAACAATTTAAATTGTTGTTGTCAATATGATCGTTGAAGGCATTTGACCTTAGAAAGAACGAGGAAGACAAGGGAAGATGATGAGAGGATCAAGATGAAGATGATGGAGATGGAATAATGTACATGGATGATGTGCTCTCTCTCTCTCTCTCTCTCTCTTGATCTTTATGAGCTTTTAGTGCCAAAAAGATGAAAGAGAAGATGACAAGTTATCATCATTCATCATCCATAGTGAATTTCAAATGGATTCACAAAATTTGTGTCTTGTTATTAGTAGTCTTTTAAAATAAAGGTCATTGTAACTCTTGTTAAGGGTCATCATGTAATAATTATGGTTGTACATTTGTAAATGACCTTTGTAAATCTTTGTAATTACATTGGTGAAACATTTTAAATGATGTAACAATTATCTTACTTTGGGATTGAGATGTTCATTTTTATCAATCATAATTGGATTTAAAAATTTTTCTCGTCAATTTAGATTACAAAACATGATTACTTTTAGATCGTTACAATGTATTAATCACTTTTTTTTGTGATTAAATCAATGTTTACAATGATTAGCAACTTTTCATTTAATGTAAACTAAAAGATACTTAATAAACATACAGATTAACCTTTAACTTTTCAACTTATAGTTTTTGTCTAATCTTAATCTTAATCTTTCCTCTGGTCACTTAAGATTCATTTTCCTGTGTTAACGTTAATCTAATCTGTGAAAATTGTAAAACCTAATCACAAATTAACTTGACTAAATTGTTTAATTTATTTGCTTCTCCGTCTCAATTTACTGATAATCATTCAATTCACGGTTCTGGTTAATTTCAACAATTAAGTCAATTTCAATGTCATTACTGAGGTTAAATTCATGTTTACATCACTTTTCCAGTGTATTTGCTGTTTAAAATTAACTAAAATAATCAATTAATCAACAAATATTATTAATACAGTTGTAGTTAAATGATTGAATAATTTTCCATAACTTGGTCAATCTACAATTTTGATTGTTTACAATTAGAAGGAAAAATTTGTTAATATTGAACATGAACAATCAACAATCAGATCCTACTCATTAACTGTCATCATCCTACTTTCAACCCAATACATGATCACAATTAATTTCATCTTCTTCTGTCAATCAGTTTAAATCATCACCAATTAACCATTTTAATTGTTGCAATTAAACTCAACTTGACACACACCCAATAGACACAATTTTCCAATATTCTGGTGTTGAATTGACAATAAAATCATTATCATCTTAATTTAAACGATAACAATTATGTTAATCATCACTGAAACACCTTCTTTAATTGTGATTAAAGTTAATTGTTGAAGCAAAGATTTAGTTTATTGAATAACAGTGAAAGTGTTTAATTGTTTAGCCTTGAAGGCTTTTAAGTGTTTACATTTGATTTTTTTTTGTTCAATTAAAACACAATTAAGTTTAAATCGTGTTGAATAGTAATTAAATTAAATTACTCTTTCTTGATTAACTGATCTGAAAATCATCATCAATAGATTGTGAGTCTTATATATAATAATAACAACAATCAAATTTATATTTCTCACTCCTATTAATTGTTGGTACTGTTAATTGTTTCCAATTTTTGATTAAATGGTTAAATCAATCATGATTAAAAGAAATTAAAGTTTTGCAACAAGAAAACTTTTAATTGCAATCAATAAATTGTGTATATATAATTACAACAGTCGTGAAAGTTACTGTAACCGTGATCAACTACTTAATACAATTAACAATTAACATCTTTATTAATATTAATCATTTCAAGTGAATCTTAATCATTACGATTATCTTATGAATCTCAATCATATTAATACTCAATGAAATTTATCAACTTAATTTGATTTAATTTTCCAAGTTAATATCTTCATGTTGAAGTTTAAATTTCCAACCAATTTCAATCATAATTCACACACACACAATTAAGAGATGATTGTTCAATTTAACTTATACGAAACTGTCAACGATCACTTAGCTAACAATTAAAAGATAATTAAAATTGATGAAAACTTTTTTTTTGTTTCTCCATAGACACCATTGTATAAACAACGATGATTATGTTTCCCATTCATCAAAAAACTTAATTATAACAAAAACAACCAATCAATCAATTGAAAAGTAATTATAACATGTAAATATTGTTAATTGTGAAACAATGATTAAGCATAAAAAGCTGAAATAAAATCAACTTGATTTGCTAATCACGATTAAGGTCAACAATCAAAGTTTGAATAAATAACCAAACAGAATCACAATCGCCTCTTAAGGTTACAAAAGTGACCTGTCATGATTTAATTTCTTTGTGAATCAACAATTAAATCAACGGTGATAATAATAACAAATATTCATGATTAATCATGTTTAGGGTCACATTTAATGACAAATGATCAAAAAAACAAAATCAACAATTGATTAACAATCAAATGTGAGTCGGCATAAAGTTGCAGAGGTTAATCAGTAGGAAATACAATTGATTGGAATTGCAATTAACTTTAATCTAGATTAACTTGTTAAAAGTCTGGACCTAATCAGTTAATTATTGTTATTGGAAAGATTGAAATTAATTAGCCAAATCTACTAATCATTCACTAATATTTCATTTAATTACTTTGATAATAAATTGCGATTTGTTAATTATTGACAAACTTTAAAACTCTAATCTAAATCCGATTAACAATATAAAATTAAATTTCTTAAAGTCTTTTGATCACAGTTGATAATCAGTTAATTATTTGGGATTTTAATTGAGAAACAGACAATTTTTCCTCAGCTGATCAGTTAATTTATAAATTTCTCATCTTGATTAAGTTACAACAATCAACTTTAACAATGACAATAAACGGATTACACTCTAAATTATTAACCTTTGATTAAATTGTTACATTGATCTTAGGCAATAAGATGATCATGAATAATTAATAAATTGTTATATTAAATAAATTCAATGAATATTAATAAGATGAGTAATTGAATATACTCAACAATTTGGTTAATAATTGAAGAGTAACAATCGATACAATGAAAATCTGCTTTACAAATCATAATAATTAAGTTAATTGTTACACTGAAATTTAAACCTGTGTCTTGTTGTTGCTGTTCAAATGATAACTTATCAAGTTTACAATTAGTTAATCATTTCGTTGATTAAAGCCTCAAGGTTTTCATTAAATAATACAAAAAGGTGTCTTTTGTTTTAACAAATCAACTAATTATCATTAGTTGATTTAATATCTTCATCTTAAAATGATTAATTCACTTTGATTGATTGAATAACGGTAACAATTTATCAACTTGACTCTCAGGTCAAGGTTTGATTAAATTAAAATTAACCAACAACAACAACAATTAAACATGTTTGTAACCATATGATGATATGATTAAACTAAATGAAATTAATTCACAAAAACCAATTGAATAATTAATCCATTAATTAGTTACCTTACCTTAGAAAGTTAATTTTGATTTGGTTGTAAAAGCACATAAACAATTAACTGTTTAAAATTAAATTCTCGTTTCGATGAACTTTTAATTTCCAGGTAATTAGGATTCTCAATGAACCAGAATCGTAGTTAATTGTTATTGTTTTTAAATGTATCATAAATTTTCCCAGTAATTAAAGATAATCAGTAGATTGCAATTAACTGTATACGATATTAACTATTAACAAATTTCAAACATTTCTCCAGGTAAATTGTTACAATGTTCAGCGTTTTCAAGGTGAATGAAAAAAATGATTCAATATCTTCATGATGGTTCAGTGGATTCTGAATTTTTCATGTAATTGTTTTTCTGCCTCCATCAGCAATAAATAGACAATAAATTATTACTAGTTTTTTGCCAACTCCATTGTGATAGTTATTTAAATCACATTCTGGCAAACATGATAACAATTAAGGAAGAGGAAATGATAATAGGATGAGATTGATATTAAATTTGTCTCATTTTATTGGCAACAATTTAAAAAAATAGTGTTGATATTTTTAGTTGATTTCACAAGGAAGACAAAACAACAAACAATTAATTTTATCAATTGAGTTGATTAATAAACTAATTCACTGACCTGATTGATTCAATTGTATTTGTAGCTTTACTTTGTGTCAAACTATTGGTTGAGTAAATTAATCAACTGATTATCACCTTGATTACTGAGAAAAATATGAATCAATGTGATGAATGAAATGAAAACAAGGAAACGAATTGAAAGTTTAGCCAATACTTTTTTTAATGAGATTTTGACAATGATGAAGTTTATATTACATATCGTGGTAATTGGGTTAATTAGAAGCACTCAGATTAATTAAATGATCAACTAAAGGATAGGAAATTTTTACCCTTTCTCAGAGTTCCAGTGAAACTTGATCCACTATTACGATGACTTCCAGTGCTGCTTCTTGATTTCTTATAAGATGCTGAGTTTCTTAGGTTATGTCTTAAATAGACTTGACAATCTTGAGGTGTTTCCGGTGTTTCGAGTACCGATGATATCGCACTGATCCAGTGTTTCCTCTCCTCTTCCGTATCTGCACTGAACAACCAGGTTCTTTCAGGGGTTTTCAGGATGAATCCATACATATGTTGCTTCAATGGAGCTGGAATCCCAGATGAAATGGCAAATTGTTTACCTTTTTCACCCAAATATATTTCACCCTTAGGAAATGGATCCTTGACCATTGAATGAATAATCAGTTATTACTTTTAGGTCCAAGAGGGAGAGATTTTCACATGAAAAATACTTACCAAAGGATCTTCCAAGTACATTAACTTACGATGGTCAAGAGTAAACCAACGTTTCTTGTAGGAATCGCCCACTTTAGGTCCAGTTTTCCATAGGAGGCCTTCTTTAAGAAAATCTCGAGTCAAGAGAGGTAATAATTCAACCGGTGGACAAGTTGGATAAGAAACCTGAAGATGTTGATATTTAGCAGCTCTAATTGCCATGTACCAATCAATTATCTCCTTTTTTTGCAACAGAAAATTCAAAATAACCAACAATTAACACGAAAATTGGGTAAAAAAGCAATCAAATTAACTTACCTTTCCATCATCAGCATAAACATAAATACTCCTCGTGTTACCATCTTTCAGGTAAGTTAATTGTAAAGCATTTGGACTTTTAATTGTTTTCAGTTTAATTGGATCACAGAAAGTTGCATTTAAATCGGGAATGTTAATAACCGCTTTGGGTGTTTTGCTGCTCTGTACAATGAGAAGATTGAATCAAATTAATCGACGAATAACCAATTCGATTAGAACAAACATATTCGATAACTTACACTTTTTACATAATATTTTAGTGTTTGATCGACTTCTGATAGAACAAATTTTCTTCTCTCAACTTTCTTATCCTTTTTACCTTTTTTCATCAAGAAACCTTCCATATAACCTCGACTATAAACCGTATCGACCTGGTGCATGAACTCTTTACGCTCGTACTTTGCGCGAATCCATTGTTCACGAAGGACACTGGACATTAATTAGAGAAGAGAAATCGATTCCTGTGAAATGTGTAAAGAGATTGACAAGAAAAAGAGGAAAAAGAGAAAAGAGAGAAAAAAAACGTTCGATTCTCCTTACTTTGGATCATCGTGACTTGGCCTTCGATAATAGGGTGGGACATGTTTCTCGTAATGTTCCTTGGCCAGTTCGTTACCATACTGTTCCATGGCTGTTAACGATTCTTGATCCCAATTGTCGTAATCAAATGATTTGGCACTTGAAATGTGTGAACCTAAACCACGATGGATAAGAGCACATTCAGCGCACAAAAAAACACCAATAGTGACCGAAGCCCAATCAGGATCTGAAGGTAATAGGAAAACAATTAACTCCATTGAAGATGATTAAAGATAAACAATTAAATACGAACTTGGATGATCACAATCAGCGCATAAATTGTTATACGGACGTTTAGCCAGTTCCTTTAATCGATTTCTATTTACTTCACTCATAGTTGATTGTTGTTCAGTAATCAACTAATTAATTACCTCGAAATGATGAAAAACAATTAGAAAAAAAAATAATTAACAGTTAATCCAATAGACTCTTAATGTGTAAATATAACTATTGTTGTTGTTGTTTCTTTGCTCTTTCCAATTAATAAAATAATTTCCATTATTAATTATTGATTATCTCTCTATTTAATCACTCAATTTACTATCATCACCTCATCCTCTGTCTCTCTGTCTCTCTGTCTCTCTTTCTCTATCTTTCAATTTCATCCATTTCCTGTTTCACTATTTCCGTTTCATTTTCCTCAGGATATAAAACTATTGCTATGTAACATTTGTATCCAAAAAAAAAGCACAAACAGAAAGTAAAAGTTAACCAGAAAATCAGACAAACAATTACAGTCGATAATCAGACCTGTGGTTGGATTAAAAATCGTGATTAGATTATTATGTTAACATGGTTAATCTTTGATTAAGTGAATCGATGGTTAATCATGATGATCAACAACGATATTCATAAGACAATCACTTGGAATTGTAATCATCATGAAATCGATGAAAGCTCAATGTTTTCCATAGAAAAGTGAATAGGGACCACACACATTAAGATGATTTCTCTTACAAAGCATCTTCCCTTTTCTCTTTCACTCTCTCATCTTCCATCCCAATGGTAGTTATCATCATCATCATCTTCATCATCTTCACCATAAATTACCTGGAGACTTATTTTTTCATGGTAAATAAAACTAAACATTTAATAACCAGGTTAACATTGGAAAGTAACATTAACAGTGAAAAAAAGATGAACCATAAATTTCAATTGATTTATTCAAAGTAAAAACTGTTTTCCCAACTATTAACATACATAATCAATATTAAAGCAATAATTAATATCTGAATTAATCAATGAAGTAAACAAGAAAAAAAAAGTTTACACAATTAAGAGATTAGGATAATTAAGATTAACATTATCACGGACAATTAGTATTATATTAATGATAATGTAATAATTGTATGATAATTAAACGTTGGTAAATTAATAATAATTTGATCATTTGTGCCTTGGATTGGACGGAGAGAAATTATTTTAATTGTGATTAGAAATGGGGATTAATCATTTTAAATTAAGTTCTAATCAACTAACTAATAGGATCTTGGTTTAAAGATACAATTGAAACAAATTGTACTTGTAACAATTAAGGAAATGATAACAAATTCCGGAAACACTGGAACTCTTGATTACTTAGATAAACTTTAGATGTTAATACCTCAGGGTTAATAGGAATTAACATAATATTGAATAGCAACAGTTAGGTAATTGGAGATGAGGAATATGATGATGAAGAGGATGAGGATGATGAAGATGACCCAACCCATTGGAAGATGAATATGTTCACAGCATGAGATTATGAAGAGGAGACAAACAGAAATGTGAGAAGAAGGTAAAATTTGGGTTACCTTTACCTGGACTTTTCTCTCTCTCTCTGTTTTTTTGCTTGGGTGTTAATTTAATGCCTGAGGGTAAAATTGACTTGCAACCAACAAGGTTGGAGGTTAACAATTTACAAGGATAACCTACTGATTATGTTTAATCACCTAAACAATCAAAAAGAGTCACTTTGGTTGATTACTTTGTAATTTACTTGAAAATCTTAATTCTTGTTGCCAATAATTTGATTGATAATCTTACCTGTAAATTTTTTGTCTCAAATAATCAACATAGGAAATGATATTGTTAATGTTTTACAGTTTCTAAGAAATTAGCTTAATTGTTATTTGACGTGATTAACGATTTTGTAAGTTTAAATTGTTGTTCTTTCAGCTCGTTCCTGCTAATTGTTGATATGATTAAGTTTATTTTACCTTTACCTTTATTGTATTTACATTGATTCTGATTCTTGACTCTCTTCAATCCAGATCACAATCAATTTAATTGTTTACAAAATGATGGGAATCAAGATTTTCTTACTCTATCAACAATTTAAGTGGATTTAGGAATCCGCTGTGATCCTTGATTCTCATCATGATTAGTTAATCATGATTAACATTACCCGCCATTGAATTAGATTTAAAATTCCAGGCAAATGATGTAACCAGTTAGAGATTTAAATTGTGATTTCATGATTATCAGAAATAATAACAATTAAAGACCTTGAATAATATTCATTACCATTTGTGACAATCAACAATTTAAACCAATCAATTGTGTAATCAACTGAAGTTAATCAACAAACCGTTTTTTTTAATTAACCTTGAAGATGATTAGACAACCATTAAAATAAACACCAAGAGGTTAATTAACTTGAGCTTAATGAAAGATTAAATTTTTAAAACAATCAAAGCAATCAACAATTAGATGACCACTTTAATCATTATGATAGTAATCAACAAAGAGAGATAAAAAATTAATTGAATGATTAAAATAAGAAACAATTGATTTAATCAGAATTTGGGAAAAAAAAGTTTTCTCATTGATAAAAATCAAAATCTCAAACAAATTAATTAACATGACAAGCTCACAATTAAAATGAAACTCGTATTTGTATTATCAAGATCAATATTAATTCAGTGTTGTTGATTAACTGAAGGAAATTAATTTTACTCTCAATGAGGAACAAGTAGAAACTTTAATTGTTCAGTTGATTATTATTCTCAGGTAAAAATGTACCACAGTTAATGAGAAGATAATTTAAATTGTCATTTGAGGTTTTGTTTGGTTTTCTCAATGATCAGTTGAGATTAACAGTTAACATAAACAATGATTAGAGTTTAATGGTTGGACCAACATAAAAAATATCAACAAGATGAAAGATTATCTTTCTATTTTCGTCTTCCTCTTCATCTTATCCATGTCTTTATCTCTGTCTATTTATATTTATCTTCATCTTTTCCACCTCCCACCTCCTCCTCTTCATCTTCATCTTCATCTTCATCCTCAGCATCTTCTTCTTCCTCCTTTATCATGATGATTCTTGAACAAATTTCTTCGGTTGAAAGAACCCTCGAGTCAACAGTTTTCTCTCTCTCGATTTTTTAACATTCGAAAATAATATTTTCATGGAATAACTTTCATCTCTCTCTCTCTCTCTCTCTCTCTCTCTCTCTTCCCTTCTAACACCATGATAATGATAACAATAGAGAGATGATGATAAATTCAGTGATGATGTTTTCTTAGAAAAAGATTTCAGTTGAAACATGTAATCCTCATGATGAACACTGAATAACAATTGAAATCCACTTTAATATCATCATTTTAATTACAATAACAATACAAATGAAAATTGTCAACATTATTTATCAGGATCAATATGTTAATCGCTATTAATTTGATTGATGCTTTGGTTAGTTAATTTAATTTTAATAAAAACTTTTAACTTGATCAACTTTTCATTGGCTTTAGGTTTTATTGGGACCAATTAGATTAACTAGAGAACCAATTAGAGAACCAATTTAATTAGTATTAATAACAATAATACATGTAGATGATTGTATTAGATTCATTGATTTAATTTTGTATATTTTCACCAGGAAATTGAATGATGATGATGATTATCATCATGAGGAGAGTCGGATGTTGACTTTAAGAGGAGGAAGTTGAAGATGATGAGGTAGAGGGGATGATAAGGCGAGAAGATGAAAGTCTCGTGTTTATCATTAGAAAGTATTAACTTGATTGTTTATTAACAATTTATCAATAAATTGTTAGACCCTAACAAGGTCAGGGTTCTGTTGATTTTATTATCACAATTAATATGATTTATAACTTTCTGAATAGAATCAGTTGTTTATAATCAAATTAGACAAACTTGAGGTTATAATCAAAAGTTTGTTGTATTGACCATCCCATTGACACCTTCTCATTATAATTAAATGTTTCCTCTTAATTGTTACTAATCCTCATTTTCAGTCCATTCACTTTTTGTTTCCATTAAAAGTTAATATTGAAAAAGCAAATACTAGTAGATGAATTAAATTGATGATGACTACGATGATGATGATGATGATGATGACCAGAAAGATGCAATAGTAAGATAGAGTTGCCTGGATCTTTGCCAATTTTGACTCACTCGCCCTTCATGATGAAATTGAAAAGGGAGGATGAAGATGAGTAAAGGGAGAAACAGATTATCCAGATAAGATGTAATAGTGATTTAGAGACAAGATTAATGGTTAAGATTCACTGCGAGATTTATTGTTGGACAATTTTAACATTCGCTCATTTAATTCACTATTTAAATGGTCCGAAAATTGACTAATCATCACAATTTACAGTGAGAAGGAAAATTTACATTCTTAAAGTTGTATTGACCTTTCATTTCTTTTACATGAATATCAACAATTAACTGAAAACAATTAGAGCTCATTGATTTGGTCAATCAACGGGAACCAAATTGATTTGGTTTCCATCTTCATAATTATCATCTCGATCGCTAAATCTTTGGATTATCTTGATTACCCTTTTTTAAGGTTTTAATTGTTTTTCCTTTGTTGATTCTACTTTTTGATTTAAACCTGAATGAGGAAATGTTAATTTAGTTGTTCTCGGTGATTTGGTTAATTTAATAATTTCAAATACTTTTATTGAATAGAATGAGATTCAAAAGATTATCTAATTATTGAGATTGTTATTTTTTCTCCAATAATTTGAAATCTATTTTAGTCTTTGGTGAAACTTACTTATTTGGAATGCATGTTAACATTAATACTGAGTTTGAAAACTAAGAAGAAGAAGAAGAAAAAAGTTACTATTAATTCAAGTGAATTAATGGTGAAACTGGAATTGGAATTACTCAAAACTTAAGCTTAAAAACTCAAACCTTCGACCCTTGAACCTTAAGACTTTGGGTTATATTTTAATTGACAAGTTTCGAATCACAATAAGTTTTGTATGTTCTAAGTCGCCATCTAATGGACATTTGATGAATTTTTTCATTTTCTGCCGATTCTGATAAATTTTAATTAAATTAAACCTGCGAATTCAAAATTCAATTCTGTGCTACTTTTGTTCATCTCATCAAACGAATCGAGTACAAACCAATCTCTTTCTAATTGTCTTTATATCCTTAATAGCTTGATTGAAATGAATTTTGCTTCAAAAACTCAACTGAGCCCGAAGAGATCCTATTAATTAAATGATATTTAAACCCTGAATGTGACCTCCGTTTAATCCAAAATAAGCCCACTCATGATGAAGACTCTTAAACAAATTCGTTAAGTCTTTTCGAAAGTTCTTAAAATATGATAATACATTTTTGGTCTTTCGATTTTTTTAGAACTTTTGAAAAAGGCTTTTGGGAGTTTCTTAAAAGTTTTTATCCCAAAAGTTATTAATTTTAGACGGAGGTCAATCTTAAGGTTGACATGTTCCTCTATTTTAACTGGACTTTGAATCTACCAATTGTTGATAATTAATGTCTATCAGCTTATTGTATTATCTTGTTAATTTGATTGTAACCAGGATTTGCGATGGGATTTGATTTGATAATTTGGTTTATTGAGCAAAAAAAAATAATTTTTAACAATTAAAAATTAACATTATCCATCTTCAAATGTTTCATAGTAACAGTCAGAATTACAGTTAACTTTTAATCATCACAATAATCAATAATTAATAAAGATGATTAAAATCCTTTAGATATTATCCTGTTAATTACAATGAAGTTTCATTAGCTGATTGTTCATTCTTCGTCTTTTGTTTATGGTTAATTGATTGTTGATCATTCTCCTTTGATTTTTGTTGATGATGATGGTTTTAAAGGTTAATTGTTATAACTTTGGTTCGTTAACAGGGTAAAGATTAACAAAATGAGAGTGGGAAGGTTATATTATATATCGAAGATGGAGTTTGAATGTTGACATTAAAGCTTTTTGAATGTAATTAATTATGATAAAAGAAAATATTGTCTCCAACAATTGAATCAAATTTACATCGTAATCAGTGAAATTGTTCAAATCAAAAGCAATTTACATTCATGATTAGATGTAAACATCACAATTACGGTCGTTTGTTGAAACAACAAAAACTATGCAGGGAAAGCGAAAGGATAATTGTTGGAGCAAGAAAGATGAAAGCGTAAAAAGTGATTACAATATTATCAAGCAAATCAATTTAAATGGTTTAACAATTATGATTAAGGGATTTAATTGTGATTAATTTCATTGAATCTTAATCACTATCATCCTCGATAACTAGTTCAACTTCTTCCTCACATGAGTCTTCTTCCTCTTCTTCCTCCTCGTCATCAATTACCGGAGCTTTTTGTATGTAATTAACAGTCGGTTCAGGTTTTTTCACTTGATTAGATGATTTTGTCATCGATGGTACTTTTAATGAGGACGAGGGTGTCGTGGGTCGAGCCGTTGATACAATTGTTACACTGGAAATCGGTGATTCTTTTCCACTCTCACTGAAATCGCTTAGATCTTCTTTAATCCCTTCTTTTTCCAAATTCTTCAAAAGATTTTCAATCTCTTCTTCTTCTTCATCTTTCTCTTTTTCATTGTTCGATTCATCTTCATCTTCTTCTTCCTCCTCATTTCCCTCTTCATCGTCTTCTTCTTCGGCATCTTCTTCTTCTTCTTCGATTGCATTTTCCACGATATCTTTTACTTCATTTAAACCAATTCCAAGTTCTCCCCAATCGATATTCTCAATTCCTTCTTTCTCAAGTTCATTTAATAGAACATCGATCTCTTCATCTTCCTCAATTATATCCATTGAATGAGCGATCTCTGCTTTCGTCTTTGATTTAATGAGTTTCAAAATCTCTGCAGTTGATGATCGGGTTAGTCCCGATTTCTTTGATTGAACTGTTTCGTCTTCATCTTCATCGTCCTCATCTTCATCATCCTCATCCTCTTCCTCTTCATCACTGTCTTCTTCGGTTTCTTCTTCATCTTCTTCATCTTCTTCTTCCTCGTCTTCATCTTCGTCACTTTCTTCTTGCTGCATAATAATGATCTTCTTGACATCTTTCTTATCTTCTTCTTTTTTCTTCTCAATTTTTGTCGAATCTTGATTAACCTGTTGCTTAGATGGTGAATTGATTTTAACCTCGACAGGTTGTGGTGTCAAAGGATTAGATTTAGATGGTGTTTGGGTTGGAGTTGGTGTCGATGTTGATGTTCCTACATTGGAATGAATCTTTTTGTTCTCATCTTCAGTTTTAATTTCCTCTGGTTTTTTGGGTGTCGGCTTTTCCTCTGCTGTCCAAATCGCTCCACCGACAATATTTTTGGGCTTAGGCCGACAGACTCCGTAAACTTTGGGCTTATCTTCAGGTTTACTTTGTGTTGGAGTTTCGTCAAATGTTACACTTTGTTTTCTCATTGACTCTTGTTCACTTGATTTTGATTGCTGATTGTTTATCGATGTAGTATTAGAATTTGTTACTGATGATTTATTGTTAATCGTTTCTTGATTAACTTCAGAACTTTTTCTACCTTTTCTCCATGGATAAACTGGTTCAGTTGGTGCGCTTGTTGTCGGTGTCACTGGTTTTATTGTCGACTCTGATTCTATCTGGTTCTCTTGTGAAGGTCGACGTCGCAACGATGGTCGTAATTGTACATCAGCCGTTTGATCATTTGTTTCTTGTGAAGGTCGACGTCTGAGTTGTCGACTATTTGTCGCTGATGGTGAGGTAACATTTTCTTCATTGACCTCTTGAGATGGACGACGACGGAGGGGAGGTCGTTGCGATTCAGTTGTTTGCTTGGATGATTCGTCTTCCTGAGAAGGTCTTTTTCTTAAAGTTGGCCGAGCGGATTTGACTTGACTGGTAACGACAGGCGACGAGGTTTCGACGTTTTAGATTGCAAAGAAGTAGATTTTGTAGATGGTGATGATGATGACGATTCCATGGGCACAGGAGGAGGAGGTGGTGGCGGAGGAGGCACAGAGTTTGAAGGACTTTTAAACGCTGAAACATTTGGCGTTGCTTTGGAAGTTGTTGTTGTAGATTTAGAATCAGATTTAATCGTTGAGTTATTCTTAATTTCTGGTGATTGAGTTGTTTTCGATGCCGGTGTTGATGGTGGTAAAGTTGGTTGATTTTCTTTCGCTGCCATAGCTGCTTTGAACTCTTTTGATTTAGTTCGTTTGAGTGCATCCTTTTTCGTTGCCCATTTAACTCCACTTTTCGATTTTTTGATCCTTTCATAGGCGCTAAAATCTTTGTGTGGGTCAAATTTAATCTGTGGATCTTTAACCCTTTGTAGTCCCTTCGTTTCAACAGGTTTCCATTTTTTAACTGGACCATTGGAAGGGGCAACTTTTGGTAAACCAATGGAATTGTTTGCTTTAAAACTGGACGATGAAGCATCTTTCGGTTGAAAAAAACTCAGAATTGAGGTCAATTTTTTGGGTGTTGGCTTTTCTTCACTCGAATTATCCTTATTACTATTATTGTTATTATCTTCTCCGGTTTCTGTTCCCCATGAAACACCATTGGTACGCAATTTATTAGGAGTTGGACTGGTAACTCGAATTTTCTCATCTTCTTCAACCTTTTTAAACATTTGAAGTTTGTTCTTAACACTAGTAGTGCCCTTTAACATGGCCTTTTCAGCTTCGATTTCCATCCTTTTCTTTTTGGTAAATGGATCTTCAATTTCGTCCTTTTTCTTGGTTCCATTATATTCTTCATCTAATTTCTTCAATTGTTTCATAAAACTATCATTCGGCTTTACAAATGGACGAGCTTCCTTCACCTAAAGTAGTCAAGAAAGACAAATGAAGAACAATCATTCGTATGAAATTAACAACATCAAATTAATTGTGTAGATTAGTAATTTGTTATTTAGTTTATTTACTTTTCTACATAGAAATTAATCCATCGTTTCTCTGAAAAATGAACTTCACCTACCTCATTATAAGCATCATCGAATCTCCTCTTCTCCTTATACATGAGATAAGCGATACAGATCGCTGATGATCTAGAGAGACCTGGTTTATGGGCATCACAGTGAACGAAACAATTACCCGCAAATCGACCTTGATCGATAAACTCGTAAATATCATCAAGATATTTATTTAAATCAGTTGAAGATGAATCTTCAATTTGCATTGAGTAATAATTGTAATCATCTTCAAATCTATTTTCAACCTCATTTTCAGCAGCATTTATAATATGGGTTATCCCATATTCTTCCAATACTTTCTTATTATGGGCAACATCCTGTGAACCTAAATGATAGCGTAAATAGAAAATGAAAACTAATTAACAATAAAAAAACAGAGACACAACAATTAACTGTTAACAAAAATCTACAAACAGCAAAATGAAAACAATTAAAGATCAACAGTAACAAAGATGATGAAAGTGAAATGAAAGTATTGACAAAGAAACAAACCAATAAAAAATTCAATTGGAATTAATCTCAGTTACTTCACTTAATCACATTGGACAATCAAAATGATTAAGAGAAAATGTTAACCTAGTTGACATTTAAATTCTAATTACAAATCAACTCTTTCATTTGATGTTTTCTTTTGCGAGAAAATTTGTTTCTCTTTCGTAACGAAAGTTTCGTTGGTACATAACCGGCGACATTTGGTTAACCGTTTTCGCAAACAGAACGAAACATTTTTCTTGGTTAATTGTTATTAGATTTTAATTATCTTTTACCAATTATTTTGTATTTTTATTATTCCAAGGAAAAGGTGATTAGTGTTAATTTGTTTACCATGTGATTGTAGTGGAAAAAATTAAATCTATTTCTGGAAATGAGATCAACATGGAGAAACCATTAAGGTAAATATTTATGTTGAAAATTTGAGCTGAAAAAAAATTAACTAATCACTAATCAAGGTTTTCTTTTCTTGTTTTTCTTTATTCTTTATAATAATAATATTAATCTCCTTTTTCTTCATGGATGTTTGCTAGTTCTGGTGAAAACTAATTTAGCTAATTCATCAAATCTGCTAAATCCAAGCATCGTAATAATATCGGTGTTTTTGAAATGTGAAAATTTCGCTTCTTCATAAAATGGATTATGGTTTGTATTGGATTTTCTGTATAAAAGAAACATTGAATTTCAATGGATCGGATAAAATTAACATGAGATTTGTCTCTGTTAAATGTTTGTAATATTTTAATTCTGTTTGATTTGTATTACTGAATCAGTAATACTGATTCTCCTTGGTGATTTGAATGATGAGTATTTTAAAATGTTCATGTCTATGTGTTGGCTTGTTACTCAAGCCAAGATTTTATTTTCAGCTCTTTGCAGAAATAGGAAACAAGGTCGATAACTAATTCTCTAAGAAGAAGGATTTAAAATTAACTAAGAGGGACTATGGATGGAATCAATTGATTGATGAAAAAGAAAATTCCAAATTTGCTCAACTATCATGTTGGAGGAATAGGAAACCATTTACAGCCATTTTTCACCGAGTTTTCAACTAATTAGTCCAGTTCCCATTTGATTTCGTCAGTCCCCGAAAGAGGACAGAAAATTTTCCAATTAGTTCTCAATCAATTACGCAGTTTCGCAATTCATTTAGTCAAGTTTTCGATAAAATTTAAGTGAAACTCATTCAGAATTGATTGGAAAATTTTCTGTCCCCTGTTCGGATTGACGAAATCAAATGGGAACTGGACTAATTAGTTGAATCGAAACCAATTGTTCATCTATTTTTTGCTCCACAACTTACCGATCATTAATCCTGGAATCACAAGACCAACTTGAAGATCTAATTTGGATTGTGTATCATTTGATTTCGATGATTTATTAGATTCGTTATCAAGTGTCTTTAATCCTTTAGCGTTTCGCTTTTCAACAACCTTTTCGCCTAATCCGGTTGTCACATTGGTCTCAACTTTACGTAGAGCTCGTTGAGAAAATTTTTGAATCTCATTGAATAATCCACTGCGATCTTCCATCATTGACATTGGTTATTACGATGGAAACAACAACAATTAACAAATGACGATCACAATAAACTAACAGATTTAGAATGTAAGAAATTAGATAAATATATTTACAAGAGTAAGAGACACTCGAAACATTCACGATGTTATAGAAACAGAAGATTTAATTTGTTCAGCATAGAAAACAATTTTTATAATCAACTAATTATTAGAAAATAACAATAATCAATAAATTGTTATTAGTTGATTATCTCCATTGAAAAACATTACACCTTTTCGAGGCAAAAGATAGAAACAGAGAAACCATTGAGATTATTTCATATTCAACTAAATTGAAACCTGTGTAAAAGATGAAGATGAAGATGAAGATGAGGATAAATAAGATGATGATGATGAGAAAGAAAGAGAAAAAAGTTTAGAGAGAGAGAGAGAGAGAGATAAAACTTTCGCTATTTTTGACTACCATCCAATTGGAAGGTTAAAGGGATTTTGTTTTCTATCATGAGGGAAACATTTCCTCCTCCATGATGAAAATGAAGATGAGCAACGAATGGCCTGTTTCTATCTGAGTATTTTTTCAGAATCAGGATGAAAAATCTTGTGCTTGGAATCGTTTCCAATGTGTAACATTGATGAATAGCTAATTATAGATTTGCAACTTGTTGATTATAGTTTAAGTTTTACAAACGTTGTTCATAATCAAAAAAACCCTCAAAAGTTAACTAGGCCAAGAGCATCTTCATCTTTGATCATCTTCATTGATAATCAACAAAGTTTACAGTTGAAATTGTCTCATCATCTTCGTCACTGTCATTCGTCACCAAGTTTAGTAACTTATACAATTATCAATATCATCAATTGGTACATAAGTAGTTACCATCATCCAATTATTATATTTCACGTTTTTTCATGCAAAACATGAAGCGCTACAAAGATATCAAAATATCAGATTGTTCAATTAATGGACTATAGTTATTGCTAAGCAAAGGCAATACATTGGCCGATCAATCAATTTTCTTAATTATTGGACAATCTTCTTTAGACGAGCTTGATTAACGATGATAATGTTTATCTCGTTGTCGCTTTTGCGGAAGATGAGGTTACGGATGTGACGACAGAGATGGTGATGCTGATATTCTATTGAAATTAATTCGATTCCCGGTGAGTTCGATCGATTATTTGGACCTGGAATTTTCGATTCTCGTCTCTGAGGTAATCGAGAGACAAGACAATTGACACTTCCATTAAGACCATTGGTGTTATTTGGCCTATTCAACGTTACTGTTGATGTAAAGCCCGATGAACGATTCTGATGATAAACCTTATCCATGGTCATTGTCACGATCAATTTAACTTCATCTCTCGTAATTATCTTTATATTTCGTTTCGTTTGGGTCGATAAATTAGTTTCGTTTTCCCAAAGTGATCATAATTGTAAATCAATTTTACAATGAAAATTGTCACTTGAGAAAGAAAATTAAAAAAAAACAAAAACAAAAATGAGTCACAATTATGAAACTCTTTAGAAATCAGTGAATGAGTTAATCAAGATAATCTTATTCTCTAAGATTATTCCAATTTGATAATCATTAAGATTTTCTCATCTCTCGATTCAAATTTTCATGGATTGAACTGTAATCCAACAACAGGGGGATTAGATTAGAAACTATTACAACGGTTATAACCAATAAAGATCATCATCTTCATCAACTTGTAACTTGAACGGATTTTGTTCAACTAAGCAACTTTGCTATTCCAATGCGCTGTTTCAAATGGATGAGCAGAGAAAGAGAGAAAGAAAGAGAAAACAAAGATGATGATGATGATGATGATGAGGGAGAAGAAGAAGAGGAAAAAAAGAGGGAAACATGAGAGTGGAAAGAGTAAGTAAGGTGGAGAAAGGAAGAGAAGAGAGAAGATGAAGATGAAGATGAACAACAATTAACTGAAAACAATTAGAGCTCATTGATTTGGTCAATCATCGGGAACCAAATTGATTTGGTTTCCAACTTAATCATCAAAATCTTGATCGCTTAATCTTTGGATTATCTTGATTACCCTTTTTTAGGGTTTTAATTGTTTTTCCTTTGTTGGTTCTACTTTTTGATTTAAACCTGAATGAGGAAATGTTAATTTAGTTGTTCTCGGTGATTTGGTTAATTTAATAATTTCAAATAATTTTATTGAATAGAATGAGATTCAAAAGATTATCTAATTATTGAGATTGTTATTTTTTCTCCAATAATTTGAAATCTATTTTAGTCTTTGGTGAAACTTACTTATTTGGAATGCATGTTAACATTAATACTGAGTTTGAAAACTAAGAAGAAGAAGAAAAAAGTTACTATTAATTCAGGTGAATTAATGGTGAGACTGGAATTGGAATTACTCAAAACTTAAGAAATATTTCATCGGGAATAATTGGTCATCTAAATAAAAGGAATAATGTGAAAGCACTTTCGTTAAAATTTTAGATCTTTAAGTGGCATTCAACTCGATTCCCAATCCTATTTTGTGTCCACCTCCATGTAAATTTTTCAGGTCAAACATGGATGACATTGTAACCAAGATACCAGGACGAAGTTTGTGTGACAAACCAAGACTCAGATTACTGTTGTTATTAATTTTTGCTCGTAATGATGAAGTGTTATCTAATTTGTAGACACATCCAAGAGCCAATTTAGTTGATGCATTATCAGCCGACCAACCAACAGAAACAGCACTTTCGAGTGATTCATTGACTTTATGGTAAATTGATCCATTGAAATCATTTTTTTCATTCAAACTTCCATGAACAGCATAATCAATAGTATTATAGCCAATTGAAAAATTTGTTTTAACCAGTTTTTTCTGGCTTGGATCGTATGAGACTTGAGAGCCGAAAAGAAATTCTTTTGCTCCAATGACAGCTGATCCATTAACCATTGTTCCCGAAGGAGTAAATTCAACATCACTTGCAAGGTTGATCAAATCTCCTTGACATTTGACAAAAATGCTTCCTTTATGTGCTTTAGTGTCAAGGGTTACTGAATTTCTGCCACCAAGAGTTAGACCTTTGATCAACTTATCTCGATGGGAGATTTCAGCACTAAGATTATTGTCACAATCCCATTTCTCTTTCATGGTAAGTCCATATCTATCATGGGTATAATTGGCTTCAACATTTGCCAACACCTTGTTTGTTTCGTTGTTTGATGATCCAGAAACATTGAAAGCCAATCCTGAAGGTGTTTTAGTCTTAACATCGAGCTTAACTAGCCCAAGATCTAGAATGAAAATAATAAAAACAATAACAGAGATTAACAATTAGAAAATCAATTCTGTTCCAACAAATTACTAAGGAAACACATAAAAAGACAAGAAAAAGACCAGGTTTGATTGATCATAATGTACTGATAGAGAAATTATAAAAAGCTAGCAAATTGTTAACCAATACATTGGATATTGGTCAATTGTGCTTGAAAATCTTACTATTAAACGAAATAACCTGGTTACACTTTAATCCCTTATTTGAATGTTTCCCATTGAAACATAATTTTAAATGAAAATCCTTACGATAATGTTTGTTGAAAATATCTTTGGCCTGATTTCCAAATTCATGATAAGCTGGTGGGGTCATGGTAACCAATGTGATCTTTGTCTTTGAAACACCTTGAACCTTAAACAGACAAATAAAAGTTAAATATGAATAAAGTTATCACTGAAAATACACACAAGGTCAATATAATTAAAATTCTGTTGCAAGTAAACTAATTAAAAGGTGAAACAATTAAAGATACAATTAAAATCCGTTAACAACAGATGATGTGGTGAAGGTGAAGCTCATCAGTTGAACTTTGAATGAACTTCAGCTGAAAATGTCAACTGAATTTCTCAGCTCAAACAGCTGTAATAGCTCTTCAGCTTTCCAAAATTAATAACAATTAAATTCCAACAAATCTAAAAGGTTAATTAAATCATAAAATTCACTTTTGCTAATTAAATTTTGATGAAAAAAATGTTTTCTCTTGATTCAATTTTCGAAACAAATTTATAAACAGAATAATCAAAATTTAGAATTAACGAGCGACATCTATCGAATTAGAATAGAAACATTTTACAGAATAAGAATTTCGACCAATAGATGTCAGTTTAACCTCCACGCCGACAGTTTTGGAGAAAATTTTTTTTTCTATTTTCCAAATAACCAAACACACGCCGCATCTAATTAGTGTTTAATTGTTTGTTTCTATTTTAATTAATTGATTGTTTGTGTATTTTATTTCGTCATTATGGCTGGTGTTTCTCGTAGTATTCCTATTGGTAAGGTTAAGGTTACCGATGGTCCCATTGATTATGTTCAAATCGATGGACTTGTTGTACTTAAGATAATCAAACATTGTCAAGAGGAAGGAGGCGCTTCCGCTGAGATCCAGGGTGTTTTACTTGGTCTAATTATGGATAGACGATTAGAAGTGACCAATTGTTTCCCTTTCCCACGACACATGGAAGAAGATGATATCGATGAAACTGATTATCAGTATGTTATGATGAGACATTTGAGAAATGTCAATGTTGATCATCTTCATGTTGGTTGGTACCAAAGTAATCCTTATGGTAGCAGCCTTTCAAAGATTGAAACTGTCGATGCTCAGTTTATGTATCAAGCAGCAATCGATGAATCTATTGTTCTATTTTATGATCCTGTTCGCACACAAAAAGGTTTTCTTTCATTGAAAGCTTATCGACTAACCAATTTAGCCATTAAGCTCTGTAAAGAAGGAGTCTTCTCACCGGATACTCTTAAGGAGAACAATATGTCTTTCGACAAATTCTTTGAAGAGATTCCTATCAAGATTCGTAATTCTTATCTTGTTAGAGGTCTTCTTTGTGAGATTGAAGAGAAAATGGCTGAAGATGAAGGAAAACAATTCTTGGATATGGGAAGAGTATCAATGTTGGAAAAGACTCTTCATCCATTAATGAAGTGTATTGATGATGTCGCCAAATGGACTAATTATCAACGAAACTTTGCTTTGAAACAACAACAAATTGTTAAAGAAAATTCGGCTCGTCAAGCAAGAGGAGATCCTCCAATGTCCGAAGAGGAAGTTAACAAGTTGATTAAGCCTGTTCTTCCGCTGCAAAGGTTGGAAGCTCTTCTCAATTATTGTCAAACTTTGAATTATTGTCAATTGAGCTCAACTATTGCGAGTCAAAATATCGCTAAACTTTTCATGGCAAAAGGTTTGAGTGAACCAAGTAAACCGGAAAAAAATTAATTTAATCTTATGATTTTTGCTTATTGTGATGGATTATCTGAATAAACCAATTTTCACACCAAAAAAACATTTAATTCTCATTTTGAAGTATACAAGTGTTGAATCTTTGTTTACATGATGAAACAAAAGAAAGTCATTACAGAAAAAATTGATTTAATTTGGAAGAAATTGTTTCTTCTACTTCTAAGATAAAATATAAATACAATCGCTATAAGATGATATCATTTTTAGATTTAGCCTGATGGCGTTGGAAGAAAGCAGTGACCGCTCTCGTAGCTTCAGAATAGGAAACATTTTTCACATATGGATGCATCCATTTGGATAATCCAGCAACGAATTTTTCGAATCTATGGTCAATAAGAAGAACGACTCCATAATCATCTTTATGTCTTACAATTCGACCAATAGCTTGATTTAATGCTCGTTTCATTTGTAAAGTGTACCAATCAGTTGGACTCAATTCCGGATTGTTTTGTTCTTGTAAATATTGTTTTTTAACCAAAACTCGAGGATCTTGGGTAGCAGGAAAAGGTAAACCAACCATCAAAACACCTCGACAATAATGATCAGCCATATCAAGTCCTTCAGATAATTTTCCTCGACAAATACCCATGAAAACAGCTCCTTTTGAATTTTTTTGATCTATTTTTTTCTTATACTCAACAATACAATTGGCAAACTCGTTCTTGTCCTTTGGCTCTTCGAATAGTGTCTTTTTCGCTCTCAAATTAGCGAAGATTTTCCATCCTAGACTACCCTTTTTATCATCTTCATGTTCTCTCCATACTTTGAGTATACTTCCCATGACAGCATATGAAGAAAAAAATATAAGAACTCCATCGGGTATGATGTTGCAAAAATTGACTATAGATTGACCGATAGTTTTGATATGCTCTAAATTAGAGCGATTCTCGTATGAAGTGTTGTAACGGATATTATTGTAAGCTAAAGATAGAGTGTAAATGCCAATTTGTGATTCATTGATGATATGTCTATTTTGTAGTATAACAGGAAACGGAGTCTCTAACTCGATTTGAAATGACTGAAGGGGAGCCAAAGTTCCGCTTGTGATAATGGTACAATGTGCGCCTTTCTTTTGTAGACTATTCAATCCAATGCTGGCACTTAGACACCATAAATAGAGTGTCCAGGGTTTTCTTTGGTCAGTAGATTCTCTTTTGGTAGAGGTCCAACCCTTGAACTTCTTGGTAGCTTGTGAGTAGCCATTAACTTTAGTGTGGCCATTGCTCATGGAGACGCTATTTTCTTCGTTCTCTTTTTCGGTGAAAACTCGATACTTTTTGAGAAATTCTCCTTTAAATTCTAACCATGACTTTTCGTCATCGTATCCATCAGGAAATACAATCAGGAAAAAGTCATTAAGCTTTTCTAAATGAGCAGAAAAAGATGCAAAGTTATTGTTACCGGCGAATAGACTTGCCTCGATGATATAGTTCATGATTTGATCGATCGCCTCGAAAACACTAGTATGTTTTTCAAATGGAACACCAACCGTCTCTAAGGTTTCGAAAATCCATTTTTGTTGGTGAACTTTTTTGTCTTGAACATCTTGGACAGCCTTTTCGACTTCTCCTTGAAACGCAATCAACATATCTTTAAGAAAGGTAACCGAGTTAAGACTTAGACCTTGCATTGCATCGAGAGCTTCTGGAGCCACAGTATTCATAAGATTTGAACTTTTTAAGTGATGGGTCAGAGTTTTAAGTTCTTTGATAAGATATTCAATCGATTCAGATTTCAATTCACCGGATACACTATCTTCACATATTCGCTCGATATTGTGGCCTTCATCAAATATAATAACATTGTTTGCAATCTCGATTCCAAGAGCTTTTCGAGCAGAGGGATCCAACAAATAGTTGTAAGGCATGAAAATAACATCTGATTTTTGCTTCAATATTCGAAGTGCATAATATGGACATACTTTATGCTTTTTACCGAGGGTATTCAGGTCCTCAATGTCCAAAATAGGAGTCGAGTTGAAGTCATCAATGGTTAGAACTTTTTTTTCATACTGCAAATGATATGGACACTGTTTAGCTTTCGTTTTAGCTCGACAAGCATGAGTTTTAGCTGTATTGTTTTCCAATTTTGAAACTTCTTCATTGATACAGAGATTATCTCTACCACCCATCACTAGACCAGGCATGAAATTGTAATGTGATCTTTTCATCTCCTTACAAGCTTGAGAAAGCTGAGCATGAGTTCGAGATGAGTAAAGAACTTTGGTTGTGGGTTGTTCGTTTACAGGACCTTTTTTTTCATCTTTTTTCTTTTCATCTTTACTAATTCCAACCAGGTCATCAGGCTCGGCACAGAGGTCGACAAAGTCTACATCATCTGAACTGGCACCTTGACATTCTGATGTACCATCAAGTGACGGTGAAGTAAAGTATTCAAGTAAAGGTGTTCTATTCTTTTTCTCCAACCAGGATAGAGTAGAACAAAGAAGAGACAGAGTTTTACCGGTACCCGTGGGACTCTCCAACAAGCCATTCTTTTTCTAATGAATAAAAAAAGCTATTAGTAAAAGGCTAATAAACTCGAGCATCATTGAGAAAAAAATGAATTCATTAATATTATCAACAGAGGATAAAAGATGGAGGGAAAATAACGAACCACATGAAAGACGTACACTGATAAACAAACACACAAACCAGCCAATACATGTACAGTTGAACATTAGTAAGAGAAAGAAAAATGAGCCACCCTAAACTCTCAAACCTCACATTGACACGAGTACAAGATGATCTCATTTAAAATGAATTAACATATTAAATGAATCTCAAACAAAAAAAAACAAAATATCGATGTTAATAGAATTAATAATTACCTCTCTAAGACATTTGATGACTTGGCTCATGTAAGCTTTTTGAAGAGGATAAGGTTTGAATGGGAAAACAACATCGTATCCACCAATTAAGGTAGACGTTTCCTCCATTGAGAATTTGAAACAAAAATTGATACAATTTCAATTCCAATGAGGTTAACAAAACCTTAACCCGGAAGAACGAGAGTGAGAAATAAACAAACCAAAAATAAACGAATCACAATTGGTTAAACTAACGAACAACAACAATTAAAGAATAATTAACAATCCATAGTAAGAGTAATTGCATCAGAGATTTTTAGAAAATCCCGGTAGAATAAATTTAATTTCTATTCTTTTGAGAAATTGACCAATCAAAGAGAAGAAAAATGTTCTATTCCACCAGATGGCGCAACTTCTGGCGGTAAATATGATAAGAGAAATGGTTGAATTTCATCATTTCTAAATTGAGAATTAATCATCTCGACAATTACTAATATAATTGTGTTAATTGTTCTTAAATTTGCAATTAAATTTTGTTCAATAATTTTGTCTAGTGTAAGTGAAAAGTTGGTTAGCTGATGATTGTCATTTGTTACCAATATGATAAGTAAAAGATTAACTGTTCATCTGTTGAGATGAAAATGATAATTAATCTGAATAATTATTGTTTGGAGGTGAAACATTTACAATAATTGGATTTATATATATAATACACAAAATAATCAGATCAAAATTTTTGTTTTGTACACATAAAAATCTATAATATGAGAATTAATGAAGAAATAATATAATAATTTATATAAATAGAGAGAGAATGAGGTTCAAACATCATCTCCAGATTGAAGTAAAGGAATTGCTTTGATTTCTGTTTGCATACAAAGATATTCACCACCGACACACATTACCGAAGCACTGATAATGTTTAATATCCACCAAGACCAAGTGTTAGGGAAAGTCCCATTATACATCCAAGAGATGATCAGATGAATAGCATAACAAGTTGCTGAATAATCTAAACATGGTTTAGCTCTGCCAACAAAAGACCATAAATAAAAAGATCTGAATGAAAGAAAAAAAAAAGAGAAAAAAAAGTTGACAGTTAAAACAAACAGATACGAACATTAATCAAAATCATTTCCACCCTTGACAACTTACCCACAGGAAGCATTCACGAGGTAAACTAATAAAGTGAGTAAACTAATTTGATAACTAAAAACGTAAGTTAATGACGGTGATTCAACAGCACAAATGAGGATTGCAAGTGATGAATAAAATGAAGCTTGAATGGTGACAATTTGTGAAGTGATGAGAATTGGATCCCAAACGGTTAACCTAAATTTACCTGTCATTGGTTCCCAAGGTTAGGTGCAAAATTGTGTCCAACAAAAACTAAATTAATTTAAATTACAAAATCTCATCGTTAAAATGATTAACAAACAAATTGAACAAATCATCAAATTATTCATTTCAGATTCTCATGATCAGATGTTCATCTTGTCAACATTTCAATAGAATGAAACTAATGCCATCTAGTGGATTTTCGTGAATCTTTCGAATTAAATTTAATTGTTTAATTAACTCAAATATTTTTTTAAAGACTTTAGATTAGATTGGAAGAATGATATTAATATTGAACTTTGAGGGTTAGAATTTGATTTGGTTGGATTTAGTAGATTGTTTGAAGTTTCACGATGATTAGAACATTAATTTATCATAACTCAGGTGATTACAATGTAACTTAATTATTAGGTAGCAATAAGTTAATTATGATTAATTAAATTGTACTTATTTTGACATTATAAAATGATGTCTAAAAATACTCATTAAATGTACAATAATGAATATCGGAAATCATGAGTAAATGTTTTTAGACTAGTTTGTGATTGGTGATTAATTGTTAGATGGGTTAAGTGTCACATAAATAATCATCTGCTTGGATTGATTAACGTTAATCACTTGGATATAAATACCATAACTCACTGATAGTTGATCATCATTCATTGGTTAACCGTAATCGAGTTAGAACAATTTAATTTCGTGACTTTAATCAACTAAGATCCAAACAAAATCCAAAAAACAATGGAAGCCAAAACCCTCATCGTTTACATTGCCGCTTTCGCTTCAGCAATCGCCTTGGTTTTTGGTAAGTAACAATTAACTTAATCATTAATAACAATTGTTAAAAATTTATAATCAGTTTATAATTAGAAATGAATGAATTTTAACTAATTGAGTTTTCTAACATTTCATTTTAAAGCTGAACCCGAACCAGAGCCTGAACCAATCTTGAAATCTATTGGACTTGATCTTGGAGGTATTCTCGGTTGAACAATCAATTGATTCATTTGATTAATATTAATATTATCAACAGAATAATAAGAAATTAACATGAAATAAAATTAATTTGAAAAGCAATTTAATCAACTCATTTCGCTTTCATTATTTGTATAAAACTCGGGACAAAATGTTTGCTTTGATGAAGATATTTATGGATTAATATTTACAATCGATTTCGTGAAAGGATATTATGATTTATCCAATTTGGTTTGTTAATTAATAACCACAACAATCTTTACTTTGATCAAGAAGTACAATTGAAGTTTCCCTTAACTTGTGAAGTAAAGTTTTGATCTGATCGGGTTCAAATTCTTTATAAAGACAATGTACTTCCGAAGCGATAACATCGGCAATTTGTAAACATTCTTGATATCGATTGGATGAATGAAGAACAGTTTGTAAAATGAAAGTTAATTGAGGAATTTTATCTTTACGAAGAGCCAACAATTGCTCCTTCCTTGTATCATCTTCTTCCGGGTCAATTCGGGCATCAACCAACCAACCGCCATCAACGAAACACAAAACATTGTAAACTTTATCAGCGGTTAATTTAGCTTGAAGACCAAGAACATTTATCCATTGTTCAATGTCGATCTCATGTTGCTTTAAGAGATGCTGATAGGCCACTTTCTCGGTGAATTTGTTACTTGTGGGTGGTTGGGGTTTCTCGGGTTTAGAGTTACTATAATAGGTTAACCAATCATCGAAAGATTCAATTGCTTGGGAATAAGCTGAATAGCATAAATGCTCTCGAATCGCATTATCAAGTCGAGCCGATTTTCTCTTCTTCTGTCCGGCTTTACTTCTCCACATTTTGTTCACTCCATCGATCAGGTTACTTGGAAGTTTTCTAATTGTTTTCTTAGCCGAATCAATTTTAGATGCAAGTAAAAATTGACGGATTAAAGCATTTGATTGGAGTAGAAGCTCAATATAATTGATATTTTCATCAATCGAAAGCCAATCAAGAGCATCAATCTTGACATTATCATCCTCGACTTCAGCAGCCACATGCGAAGGTAACATGGATAGATCACTTTTCTTTATCGAATTGTGTGAATCAACTCTAATAGTTTCCACGACAGTTTTAGTTATGCTCTCAATATCCAGCTCAGATTCCTTGGCTACCTTTAAGGCTAACTGGCGTTCTTTTTTGTCAGTAATAGATTCGAGTAATTTAGCATAAGTGGTGACTTGGTATGAAGGTGGAAGATGAGAAACATATGGAGCTACCAATTCAATTTCTTTCCAATCAATAAGATATTTGATGTACTCTTCGAGAATTGAAATGGCGAAACCTCTTCTAGAGTCGGTTGTTATTTGACCCAATTCGGTCAAGAAAAGAACGAAATGAGCAAAAAATCGACAAATTTGAGGTCTTATCTCGTTTTCAACACCATGATTCCGAATCCAATCAATCATATATTCTAAAGCACCTTCAGTATCATCTAAAATAACCATTTTTTGAATAGTTTGGTGACACTTTTCTTCAGAAGAAATATTCTCCTTCTTAAAACAGGCATCAGCATCTCGAAAAATGTCATCAAAGCTTTTCATATTACTCCAATATTCTTCTGGTAAGTCAACAGAGTTTCTCAGGAAAGTTCTAATTGGTCCCGAGCCTCGAGCAGTGACAATATTTGGTAGATAAGTGTGACGAAGCTCATGTTCAGTGAGACAATCAAGAGAGGCTCGAATAAGTAACCAAAGTCTATCTGACCATCGGGTAAGAAGGGACAATGGAGCTTTAAGATTACCACAAAGAGATCCAATAACGGCAGCTTCATAAACCGATTGATTTGTGTTTTCCATTTGTGAATACTTGAAACATGTATATTTCCAAAGATCACGACAAGCATTACCTTGGACTACAAGCATATCCTCCTCTTCGGTAAATCCTTCTTGAAAATTGAGATCATGGAATGGGACCCAACCATATAATGCAGCAGCTAACCAATGATGACCAAGTTTCTCAGCAATTTCTTTGGCAACATCAAGCCTTCCGGCACGAAGATAACGAAGTATATGTTTGAATAATCGGTTCTCATCTTCTTTATCAAGATCATGTAATGGACGATTACTTCGTATTGGAGCATCAGGATCCATCTCAGTACAATGTTGAATATTACTAATACCAAGCTGACGATTTTTAATACTATGGAGAGTATTTTCCCAGCTATGAGGTCCTTCAGAGTAAAACTCAATTTTATCACAATATTTTTCCGAATCCATATCATCTTGCTCATTCTTTTCAAGCCAATCGATAACATGTTGCATTGTTCTTGCATTAACATCTCGATCCAAAAAGGCATCAATGACTTCTTTGTCACTCATCTTCTTTTGACCTCCATCGACCATCATATCTTCAGAGTCAGACATTTCTAATTGATTGTTCTCTAAAATAAAACGAAAAGAGTGAAATTATTAACAAAACGTGTTGATTCAATTAAGATATGATAAATTTACCTGAAACTCTAACTCTGTCTTCAAAAAGACCTCTGATAAGCCTCCATGAATTACGTTCGGATCGTAAAAGCATTTCCATTTTGGGTGGTAAAGTTGTCAACTCTTTAGGGTCAATAGTTTGACCACTTTTCAGGGACATTAGCACCTGAAGATGATCACAACATTGTTTTTCATATTCTTCAGCTAAAGAAAACAGCTCAAGATCAACTTCAAGTCTTTTCTTTGATTCCAAAAATGATTTAAACAAAGTGTAACATGGAAACACATGTTCCCTAATTTCTGGTGTATCCTCTTGAGGTAGAATGAAAGGAGTAGAAGGACCTGGAACACAATTAACCCCGAACAAAGGAAAGAAAGATTAGAATTAGTACAACAATTTATTAATCCAATTCAAATTTAATGATAGAAAAAAAAGAAACAAAACAAAATTACCTATTGAATGGCGAAGAATTGAAGAGAAAGTACAATTACTGAGCTCAGCTTGTCGACTATTGGACAGATAATTAGCATAACGACTTCGAGAAGATCTAACAGCAGGAGATTGGGCAACCATAGAAGTATAATGACCTGAATTAACAGAGAAATTCAATCTACTATCCATAATAATATTCAATTATAATTAAATTCACAAGGAAATATTAAAATTAAAGCTTAGAAAATGTTTTAACCGCTAACAAAATATGAAAAGAAACATGAGAGAAAATCGATTAACAACAATCGATACAACCGACTATCGATTATTCGAAAAGCGCCAACTTTAAATTTGAAAAATTCTAAAAATTTTCATTATTAATCGAAACTATTAAAGTTAATTAGCAGAGATAATGTTTCTAAATGAATAAAAATTAACAAGCAAAAGCTAGAGAAAAGGTTCTCATAGAAATTTTAAGCCATAATCAAACATAAAGGCAAAAAAAAAGAAGATAAAAAAAACAATTGAGTTACTTTTATGTATCGACAATAAGTTGATTGTTGTTGTTTGATTAAATGATTAATTTAAAATTAAATTACATTAAATGTACAAAAGAAATAAAGTTTAATCAAACAAAAATCAAAATTAAACAAGATTAACGTTGAAAATGAAATGAGAAAATGTTTATCCTCCAAATGGAAAAAAAAAGTTGAATGAAAATATTGAGTAAATAAAATTGAGTAAAATTGAAGTAAAATGAACAAATTGATGATGATTATCATCATCTCTAGATGATAATGATGATAAAGGTGATGAAAAGTAGGTTCATACAAGTGTAAATGGGTTAACTATGAATTCTCATAGTAATTTTATCCTTCGACAAACTTGTCGATAGTTCATGGACCATGAAGATGATAAGGATGATAGAAAGAAAAAGTGAGAAAGATATAAGATGATTAGGAAGATGAAAAGACTTTATTTATATGTATTATTTTATATAAATCACAGTGATTTCCATTGAAGCGAGAGATGATATCGAAGAGATATAAATATTATCATGATAGAGAAAAGTGAAAAGAGAGCAAGATGATGATGATGATAATGATTCTTCAGGAGGAGGGAAAAAAAGTAGGAAATATCATCTAACTGAATCCATGGATTTGAATTTCATTTTCCCTCTCAGTCCATTGAAATCTGAATCAATTTATTTGGACTGGAAAAGAAATGATAACAATTTAAAACCATTTCCTCACCTTGGATTATTATTATTTCCTGTTTTCTTATTTTTCCAGGATAAATAACAAATGATAATAATCAGAGTTTGAGAAAACCATGATTATCATGATGAAATTGTTATGAAAACAAAGACAGAATTTGATGGAAATATATTATTATTACCATAGAAGGAAAAAAAAAGTTCAATATCTTTTATATCAAGTATCCATTTGTTATCATTATCATCGAGACAGAATCTGAACATTCGTCGATTTCAACTTTATATGTAACTCAGTTAATCTCCAATTCTCAATTTAAATTGTTATGATTACTGTTATCATGAAATCTTGAAGACCAATCATGTTTTCCATTCCGAAAAAGTCATAAAATGATTCGAGAGATAACATTGAATATCCTCGAAAAATTTGTCGAAACTTTTATTTGTCCAGAACTTTTTTCTCCTCTTGTAACATTCATAAATATATTTCTTTCTCTACAAACAATAGCCCAGGGAAAGAAAAATATAAATTATTATCGAAAACAATGATAATAATATAATAATTTCATTCCATTTCTACCAATAAGAATATGAAGAAAAATAAAAATGAAATAATTTCTAGAGAATCGTCATCATCATAAATATGTACATTTATCATGAAGAAATCAGTCCCAATATTGTCAGTAAGTTTACAAGATTGATTTGAACTGGTTGATAACAATTCTTACCCTGACATATTATCATCATCAATTTTGATGGCAACATTTTCCTTGGGAAATTCACTCAGAATTTTCATCACAATCCTCAAACATCATGTCTAAATAAAGTAATAATTTCACTTTGATAATAATAATCATCATCATAATCAACGACATAAAGACAAATGAAAAGCTTTTATATTCATCAAAATTATTTAATAAAAAAAGAGAAAAAGTTTTGACAGAATTTTCCAGTTCAATGAATTCAATACATTTAATATTTCTATTACTTTTTCTCATGATAATTACAACATTTACCTTTATTATTATCGGACAATCATGAGAATAAATTTCAACTCCAATTCTAAATTAGAATGCTAGAATTTTCTTCCCAGAACTTTAAGTTTGTATTTCATATATTCTAAGATATTACTCATTAGATACTTTTCCTTACGATGAGGTTGATAAAGAAAAAACAAATTGATGATCATCTCGATCTTCCTTTTGTGCTGAAGGAAACAAAAGATTCTGAAAAAGATGATGATGATGAGGATGATCAATAGCGAAGACAAGAAGTGAGTAATCATGAAAGCAATTGATTCCGGAAGAACTGACAAAAATCTTATTTCTCTGACAATTCGGTTTTCAGGATTCTTTTTTATCATCTTCATCCTCATCCTCATCATAATCATCATCAATTCTTTTCATTATCATTTCGGATGATAAAAAATGATGCTGATGAATGATGTTGTCCTAATTTATCTTCCATCTCCACCCATTTTACCTCCTTCAGTGTAAAGTTATCTGATGACAGAGGCAACAAAAAAAGTCGCAACTCTTATAACTCATATTTGAGTATTTCAATGAGCCAAAGCCTGGAAATGTTCAAAGAAAACAATGAAACCGCTAACATGGGGTGAAGATAAATTTATCATGGTAATAATTTCTCAATGATTTATCTCATCTTCTCGAACAATCAGAACTGTTTTCTGTTCGTATTGTTATTTTACTGATCAATTGAATTTCTGAGCAGTTGATATTTCGCGAGATTCCAATTCATATTCAGTCACCACCAATAAGAATCCTCAATTATAACCAACAGCTTATTTCTAGTTAATTGATAAAGTGATTTAGTGATCGTGCTTAATCATAGACATGATTCAGTTATTATTAATATCATGAAAAAAATAAAGTTGAAAAATGCTTCAGGCTATTAGGAAGCTCAATCATTTCAATTTACTTCCTGTGATAGTCTATTATAGTCATCTCAACTAGAGTAAGCAATACAAAAATCCGCCTAATCAAAATTGGGACAGTTTTAGGACTCGGAGAGCCAAGCTCATCTTCCTCCTCTTTTTCAGCAGCTTCATCGAAAAAACTTAGAGTGATCTTCAAGCTCTCGTCTATCTTTTCTTTGCGATATGCCTAATAAAGATTGAAAAAAAAGACACTGAGCGATCATTGTGATTTGATCAATTCTGTTCATCTCCAGTGTCGTACCGAAATAAATGATAAAATGAAAGTTTAAGTTTAAGTTTAGTTCAAAATTAAGAAAAGATACAGAAGAAAGAATTCAAAACGAATAAACGTTGAAACTCTAAAAGTAAATTATTTCATTAATAAGTTTTAAGGAAAAGGATAAGAAACTCACGATGTTCCTGGTTGGTTCATCTTAATAGCTTCAGAAGGTTCGGTTGAATTTTATTGCTCAGTAAACTCGCGAAAATATCGTAAAGATCCAAGATTTGGAAACTAGATGAAAGCAGGGCATTTCGCAGAGTTTACAACAAGTTTTCTTAAATATCTCGTTATTTTTGAGTGTTCAGATGCCAGATTCAAATCATGAGAATTGTTGCGATACTCAAACGTTAAGTTAAAATGTCAAGGTCATTTCGGTCATTCTGTTAGGATACGGTTTCAAGGTCATCTGATGGTACCAATCATAATAGTAACCGTATCCTAACAGAATGACCTTGATATTGTAATTTGAAAATTGATTATCGTCCAAACTCCCATGGCTCGAGCCTAGGATCTGAACACTCAAAAAAAATTTTCCACGAAAAACTTGTTGGAAACATGGCGAATGACCTATAATTTGTACAGCGACTACTCAAGAAAAAGAATGCATAAGAATGCGAATCCCTATGAAAAAATACTGTAAGAAGATAAAGTCAGTCAATTTCGAAACTATGTTCACTTATGCCAACTAGCAAGATTCAGATAGAACATTTTATTCATACAATTATCGACTTGCAACAAAGTATCAGGTGAATTTCAATCAGTTCAGATTATTCATGAATCTTATCATCGATTGAGTAGATTTTCACTCACATCTCAATAAGAATAACCTATGAGACATGATAACTTCATGATATCTTTTTAAAATTCTGAACATGATGTTGAAACGATCTCAGTGAATAAAATGATATCAAAAAATCCGAAAATTTATTGTTCCAATGGTTCAAATAGAAACGGTTCTTATTTCTTAAAGTTCTCATGATAATATCAACCAGATTATCTGAATGTCTCCAAATTTATATGTTCTCAGATTTATCTGATTAAAAAAATTAATAAAACTGTTCTAGAGGAAAACTTTTAATCGCAACTGAGAATTGAAAGTTTTACAATTGGATTTATATGTTATCGTTGTAATCATCTAAAAGAAATACAATTTGTGGTGATAATTCAATGAAATGAATACGAAAAGTTTTTTTCCAAGACAGAATTTTATTCATATTCAACATTCTGCAAATATTTTCAGTTGTAAAATTTTATTACATTTTCATGATAGAAAAGTTATTATATCACATGATCACTTTATCTCGGTGGTAAAAATTTTAAGCATTTTATGAGGGAAAAAAGTTCATTGACATGAAATTGAGAAAATTAGATAACGATGAATAATAATAACATTGATTAGAACAAGTCAAGATAATTCGAGATATTTATTCATAGAATTGGTAAAAATTTGAAAAGAAGAAAATTTTTCCATGAGCGTCATATTCTGGTGTGAATTTCGGACCATCAGAATTTTTTTATCCTTCTGATAATCCATTTTACTAGTTAATTAGTAACCATCTCATGATATTGGATCATGAAAGTTGATGAAACTTTGACTCTCAAGGTTATCAGAGTTTCTGATCATCCCAAACTCATCATATAGTTGATCAGAGAGATTGAAAGTGAAACGATGACACTCTCAGTTTCCGGTTCCTTCGTTTTTTCCCTTCACATTGTCATCTCCATCCTCATCTTTCATCAAAGTGTAACAAGATGATCCGATATCTTTACGATTGCTTTGATTACTTTTCAGATGAATCTTTAATGTTTAAGCTTAGCTCATGAAGATTTCATGGGTTGATCCCAGAGTTTCTCGATGATCATGATGATAAACGTGATTGAATGAGCACGAAGATAAGAAAGTGTTAAAAAAAGTTCTCTTCTCTTTTTATCGATATCTTTTCATCTAATCCTCGTCCTCATCCTCATTATCATCATCATAGTGTATCATGAGCTCCTTTATCATCATGCTCATGGTTGATTCCATTGTTGTTTCAGTTTTTTTCCTCGGACAAAAACCTTCAAGAAAAATCAAAGATAGAAAAGAGAAGTGAGTGAGTGAGTGAGAGAGAGAGAGAGAGAGATGAAAATAATACATCAATCATCATTAGCTGATGGATTTGTTATTGATTGTAAACTAAATTAGTGATTCTTATAGATTGGGCTCTAAATTGTTCACCGAGACTCCTTCTAATTAGCTTAATATATTGATTGCTTGTAACTATTAAATTGAACAAGAGAGAAACAGAAACACAAATCAACAAGAGATAAACTTTTCTGCTCAGTGGGAAGATGATAATAAGAGAGGGAGAGAGAAGATGAAGATGAGGAAAAAGCAAAAATTCTTGGAGAAAAACAGTCACAAAAAAAAGAGATGAGGATAAAAATAACAACAGCAGGGAGTGAGTTCAGGGAAAGTTCAGTGGGAGAAGAAAAAAAAATCATTGTTACTCTCATATAATGATAAACAATAATTTTCAACAAGCCAATTAGTTATCATATGTTCATCATGGTGATTGTTGTTATATAAAAATAAAGTGTTTCAAGGAAAACAATCAAGGAAAGTTTAACAATTAATCAAAGTGATTACATAAAGATGCATGTAAGTGTTACTCTAATCAAGTAATTGTGAATAAAAATTAATCCACAAGCAATAAATTACAAGGAATTAAAAGATTTATATCATTAAGATTGTGGTGGTTCTCATGTATGGAAAGGGTTAATTGGAATATCTTTTTTGTTTGTAATATTAATATGAAACTCACCATGAGCAATAAATCAGAAAATTGATACAAAAAATTGTATATAAGATAATCCATTAAATCATGTAAGTGATTTAATAATAGTAATAATTTGGTCCCGATCGGTTTTGTTGATATTATATTTTCCAGAATTTTTGTTATCAAAACTTATTCAAGACTTGGTGATACTGAATTCAGGTTAACACGTTTCAGGAAAATCGGTGTATCGTAATCATGGTGATAAGGATGACCTGTTGTCGATGTTGTTGTTGTTGTTGGTCGATTCAATGGTCGAAGTTTATATGTTTCATCGCACGATTTACCATATTCTTGAGTTCGATATTCTTCAATTCTAGATAAGGCATAAGGTGATGGATAATAGATTGATTGATTTCCCCTGATTGACGATAACCAATTCCTGTACCGATATTAATTCCTCCTCCTCCTCCTCCTCCTATTGCATTGCCATTGCCCATTATACCTCCGATTCCTGTTAATTGTCCAACGGTTTCACAAGTCGATCTGATTTCGGTTGATGTTGACTCTGTTTTATAAGGATTACCTGTTGATGAGATTACCGGTGACCCGAGATCACCATTATTGTTATTATTGTCAATCTTGTAAACACTTTCATTGAGTGTCGCTGAAACAGATAGACTAGGATCAGAATTACCACCATTTTGAATATAAGCTTTTCTCATTTGTAGAGAGCAAATAACAATTAACCCAAGAGTCAATACTCCAAGACCACAAAGAATAGGTAATATTAAATTCAATTGTTGGACAACCCATTTAGAGGTGAAAGAGAGCTTATTATTTCCTGATTCACCATCAAGCTCAGTTGATACAGATAAAGGTGGAATAAGTGTTCCATCAATTGTTGTGGTGGCGAAAACAAATTCAGCATCCGTGGTTCCAGCTTCATTTTCCGCTCTCATTAAAAGGTTATACCAAGTGGCCGGAAGAAGATCAGGAATGGTTATCGTTGGTGTTGTCGCAGGAACAGAGGACTGAAGTAAAATCCATTCTCGATCTCCGTTTCGTTTATATTGAATATCGAAGGCCAAAATCGGACAACCATTTGAATGCCAAGCATGAAGATTGAGTAAAACTGCCGTTGAATTTGACTGAAGAAATGAGGATTTATCAGGAGCCACCGGAGCTAAATCATAACAAGAATTACAAAAGAGAGAGAGACAAAATTATCAATCACCTTACCCTGAAATCTTGAATCAAAATTACCGATAAACACTCAATGGAAAACCAAATCAACAACTAATACCCTGAGAATCCAATGAATGCTGACTCAATATTTCTTGACCCAATTCTGATAATCGTAAATGTTATTATATGAGATAACCTTTATCTCCTTAAGATGATGAGGATAATCATTGACATTTTGACCATTGAAAAGGATTAACTTTTTTTTTCATTCTGTCAACATACTAACATTAGTTTCCTTGTCCAATCTGATTTTATTCAATTCTATCAATGAACTTAATCCAACATGTAATAATAACAATTCAACCCTTCCCATCATTTAATTAGTTATCCCAAAGTATTATTTTCACAATCTTCATTAATCATTAACAAGAAAATTCATCATGAAAATACAATTAGATTATGAATACTCTGAATTTCTTGATCTTCTTGCTGAGTAAACACTAACCTGCCAATGATAATTAACAATAAACAATTTAACAACAACAAGATTACAAAATTAAATATATAATTAGGAGGAAAAATATAAGTAGAGACAAAAAAATCTAATTACAAACAATTTAAATGTGCCGTTAGTTATTTAGTTAATTATAGATTGTCATCAACCAACAATCTAATAAATTGTCCTCGTCGTATGTATCATTTAATTACTAACTCTATCTCCCTAATTAATAATATACACACACAATACAATTAATGATACAACCAACAATTATAATTTTAGATCAACGAGTTAACTTGATTGTTGTTAATTAATAATGAGGATAAGTTTCTAAATGAATGTAATGTTACAATAATCAATCAAATGTTGATCATTAAAATCAACAAACTCAATTTATTAATTCAATAAGATAGTTGCAGGTAAATATCATCATCAATTCAACTAATTGCTAATGATTAGTTAACTGTTTCAATGATTACCTTGGATTAGCAGTTTCCATCAGCAATACTTAGTTAATTAGGATTGTTAAAAGTTTCTAATTGCTTCAGATTAGCAGAATTTTCTCTCTCTCTCTCTTGATTGTGATTAACTAATCGAAACCAAAAGATCATGATACTTAAGAATTACTATCAAATATTGGGAGAGTTCATCTGAGAAAAATGTTCCCATGAATAGTTAATTCCTAGATCATTATTCATTCATTGGACTGATAATCTCAAATCTATTAATAGTAATAATATTTTCCCCTGAAAAATCTCAATGTTTCATTTACCATAAGATTATGAGAATTTTAAATCATGGATTAATAATGAAATACTCATGAAGATAATGTAATAATAATGAGATAAGTTCCAATAGAGTTTAAGTTAGATGAATTTTTCATCAAAATTATTGATTATTGTGTGAGAGTTATTGATTGACCAAGACTCTGAGTGAATTTATTTGGATAAAACTAATTACCTGTTCCTTCAGTTCGAGCAATTATCGTATCAGAGTGATCCCCCTGTCCAGCATCATTTAATCCTAGAACGTAAATTTGATATTTTGTACCACATTGGGCCTGATAAATTGTGTAACTGGTCAGAGAATTGACTTGTTGTGAGATCCATTCTTTACCCTCAGCTCGATAAAAGATTAAATATCCTGAGGAAAAAGTTTGGAGAGAAAAAATTTACAGATTAATATCTTATACATGTAATTGTAAATTCTGTTTCAATATCTTACCTGTAACAGGCTCATCTCCTGATGGTTCCCATGAAAGGTCAATAGTTGACGGTGATGAACCAACAACATTCAACAGGGGACTTTTAGGCGCATCATATTGAAGTGTTTCCCCTGACAAAGGGTCACTAAATGGACCATCACCAGCGGTGTTAAAACCTTGAACTTTAACCTCATACCGAGTCAACTTTTCCAATCCACCAATGGTATACTCTTCCCTGGCACCTTTACTCCCACTTGCTGATCCTGAAACTTCAACAGTCTTGATGAAATAAGGTGAATCAATTTCAGCCTTTCGATAAGCAATATGATAACCTGTTATCCTTGGTTCCTTTGAATCTCCATCTGATGATTTTGGCGGGTTCCAGGAAATTTTCAGGATACTTGAACCCTTAGGGGTTATCCTAACATCCTGAGGTGGAAAGACAGGTTCTGTTAAGAGGTAGAGGGAAAAAATAAATTATTGATTGACAATAGTAAATGTTGTTGATAATAATTTTTTTTAATATAAACTGGAAAACTTTTGATAAAAGTTAAATATTCAAAGTGATTTACATATTCAAATAATCATTGAATTGAATGAAATACTCAAATATGTAGACACACACAAAACATTTACCACTCAGATGAAAATTAAACAACTAACAGCAATTTAATTAACTCACAATAATTAGATTAACAGTTTTTCATGAGGAAAACAAAGAGACAATTGAATTTACTTATTTATCAAAAGTTTACAAATAGAGGAACAATTTAAACTTTTAATCAATAATTTCATCAGAAAACTATTTCAATCATGAGCAATCTATTTAGAGAATCAAATCTATTCTAACAATTAATTTAATTATTCAGAAAATTACTAAGAAAACTAATTGTTACAACTTTTGATTAGATAAATATTTGATTAACTAACATCATCATGGTGATTACATTTAAGATTAATGTAAATCTATCAATGGAAAAGTAAATTTATCAAAAGATTATCATGATTATTGAATATTTATCAGTTAATTTTTCAATTCAATGATAACTCAGATAATCAGATTAACAATTATTTTGTTATTAGAAAATGAAAACGATAAAAAAATATCACCAAATGAAATAATAATAATATAATCATTAATAGGAATTATAATTTAATAATAATCCGTTTGAACTATGGGAAGAAAATTAAATTAATCAGTTGATTGTTTTTATCATTTTTTTTAACAATTTCAAAGTTAAAATCAAACTAATTAACTTTTCAATACCTTTTAAGAAGATTATTATAATATAATGTAGTTAATTGTTCATTCAAATTGATTAATTGATTTCTCAACATCCTTCAAATTGTTAGAATTTAATCATTATAATGTTTGTGAATTTGATTTTAATGATTAACATTTTTCTGGTTTAATTCAATTTAAACTTTTAATGAATTGTTTTTCATCATCATCATGTTGACATACCTTCAATTCAAGTAAGCTTAAAAAGTTAATTGCTGTTAATTGTTGATTACATAGAAACGGACTAATGATCATTAATTAGTTTCCAGATGATTAAGGTTAAACTTCAATCTGTTTAATTGCAAATGAATTGAAGGTAATGTTGACATCGGAATCGATAAATGAAATAATGTTCACCTTAATTACCTTTGTGGTGTTGCCATGAAGTTTGACAGAAATGAAAAGTTGAAGGGTAATTAAAGATCATCTAAATTTACAATCTAATTTTATTAATATACCTGAATCATTTTCTACGGATTATCAGAACTGCAAATCAATTTAATGAGCCTGAACATCAAACAGAATCAATTCATGGCAAAATTTCATTGGAACTTTGTTTTTACAATTGAAAGAAATCATGTTTCAACCTTACTAAAAGTCAAAGGAATATTCAACATATCGAAGTGATAATTAATCCAATCAGAACAAAATTTAGAACTGAAAGTTTCAAGCTTGGACTTTATTGAAAAGGGGGAGAGTTCATGAGAATCAATCAATTTTTTGATGATGGAAAAAAATAGAAAACACTTTGCCAACTTTGGAAGACTGAATAATGTGTTTAGCCTCGAGCACATGGAACTTTTTTCGGCATCGTTGTATCATCGTTTTGGAAGAAAAATGAAGATACAAATGATACCAAGCGGAAGTAAATTATGCCTAAAGATGAAGTCAGGAAGAAACCAAATCATAAAGAGGAAGAAAAAATGTCACTCATGTTACAGAAAGAACGAAGATAAAAATTAGATAGATCGATATGAGGCGAAAATTTAAGCTCTCACCATCTTAGGCGATAAATAGCCAAATAATTACAACTTGATTTCAGATTCTAGGAAAAGTTCAGAGCTCAGTTCATTAGCTTCCTGTGAAGAAAGTTTCCCTTGAATAAATATCGATAATAAATAGATATTATCAACTATAAATCTCATTAGAACACAAAAGGTATATAAATCGTTACTAATACAATTATCAATTCTTGACAGGAAAAAGTCACCTTGAAATTTCATGTTCCATAAAATCTGATGGTTGATTGAATGCGGAAAAACTTTCTACTCAAATAACTATTAATTTAAGGAATCGGATGAAAATCACATTGCCTGAAAGTGAATAAAATGAATATGAAGAAGATGAAGAAAAAAACCTTCAAGGTAGAATTGAATCATTTTGGAATCTGAATAACAAAAGATGATAAGCTCATAATCGATTCTCTTTTTCTACCTTTTCATATTCTCATTCAGAATTTAGATTCTCTCATGTCTTACTTTTCTCTCTCTCTCTCTCTCTCTTTCTCTTTATCATCTATTTTTTTTATTAACTTTTCGTTACGAAGCAAGAATAGAGAAGAGTAAAAAAATGTTCGAAAAAGTATCATTTCTTTTCCAACTCACAGTCGAAGAAACATGAAAATGAAGATAAAGATGACAAAGCAATAGATATGATGCTCATGGTGATGATGATGATGATCCAGAAGAGAGAATAGTTCAGTTACAATCAGAATTCAGAGTTTTCTTTTCCCCATTGAGAGTTTACATGAAGGTGAAAAAAATATATACTGAAAAGTGAAATTTACAACATTGATCGGAAATTGATTAGAATCACATTCGTCTGAATACAAATAACATCATCTACAATTTTCATGGTATTATTGTCATTTCTGATTCTATCATGAATCCTGTTTGGATTCGTTTTTTTCCAGAATAAAAGAGCAAAAAGAAAATTCTTCCCCTGAATATTATGCATTCAATTTAACTTGAAACCAAAATTCATTCGTAATTCGTATGCAGGAATAGTTAGATTCCCAATTTGGAATCATTGTAAAACAATGATAATAGAATAGACTATTAAATGCACAATCAGTTGATTCCAATTGCGAAAATTTTTTTGTCAATTTGTATTTGAATTCGAAATTTTTGAATAAAAATATTCTCAATGTTGGTCAGTTTATATTGTTCATCATGAACGCTGAACTTTCAATGATTGATGATTGAATGGAAATCTGTTTCCAATGAGATCAATGAATGATTCTGACAAAATGATATCGATAAGTTATGATTTCATCTGAATACATGATAAATTATTTCGTAACCAGAAACACAGAGTTTTGTGTTTTACTTCACCGAGAAAATAAAAGTTCAACATGATAACGGAAAAAAATAAAATAAAACAGAATTGATAACAGAACAAAAAATTATAATTCTACTTTCTTTTCTCATTCACTTCAGTTGATAGTTGGAAACAAATGATTTTTATATCAGCTTCAATCGAGTATTCACTTCATTTATCATGCAACTAAATTCCTAGTCAACAATAATGATAATATAAAACAGATGATATTCTGATGTTACCAATGGACAGAAACATAGGTCAGCATTCATATTTCGAGTTCATAGAGATCATTTCAGTTCTTAATCGATTACTTATCATGAGAACTTGATAATCGTTTATTCTGAACCAAAAAGTGAAATAAAAACCAGAGACAAGGTCATATGAAACTCTGAAAATTGTCATTCGTTTGTAAAGGTCGATTAAAGAAATATTATTCTCATAATCGAATCTCAATTCGGGACATTGAAAATCGTTAGATATTCTGATCACCACTAAAGAATTCTGTATCTAATAGTAAAGTTTAATTATCATTTCTTTTGAAAAAAAATTGTGAGCTTAAACCGATCAAAATTCACAGAGAAAATTTTTTGTAACTGAGCATTTTCTATGGTGAAAATGGTGAAATTTAATAAACTAAATCAATGAAATATATGATTACGATAATAGAGATAAAAAGAGTTGATAAAATATGAAGAAAATAAATTTTGACATTGGTAATGGTTTTGTCTATTTCTTTCATAGCATTCAGATCAAAATTTTCCCGTTTTCATGGTGATACACTGAATTATCTGAATACTTTCACAACAGGGAATCAAAGCTAACGATGAAAAATAGTGACTATAAATAGGTTCCTTTTAGTTTCCATTAAGTTTACTATTGTGTTTCAATTTCAATCCTAATTATCTCCATTTCTCAGTCATTGTTTATTATCAACAGAAAAAGCCCCATGAAGAGAAAACATCAGCATGAATTCAAAAATATCGGAATATCGATATTTAGACTTAGAGTTATTTTTCTTCATTCATAGTTTAAACCTCATTAAATTACCAATTCCCAAAGAATCAACTGATAAAATGTTAAATTTCGCTAAGAAACAACAGTAAATGAAATTCATTCTTGATTTGTTCATAAGAATCTGAGATTTTCATGAGAAAATAAAGTCTTCTAAACTACCTTGAAGATTTTGTCCTCAATCTATCAAATCCCAGAATAGAGATCATCTCGATCATCGTGATAATAGTTATCCTTTCTCATTCCAATTATCTTTTGATACACTTTCATCTTTTTTCATCTTCTCATCTTTCTTCATCTTCAATTTCTAACCTTTTCCCATTTTCTTTACCAATTTAATATCTTTCAAAGTGTGAACAAAGCAATTGACTGGGAGGTGTAACAATAACATGGAACCAAAAGTCTAATGATAAAAAATAATAATATTAGCTCTCTCTCTCTTCTCGTTTTCTCTCTCTCTCTCTCTCTCTCTTCCTATTATCGCCATCATTAATGAGCAATGAACTTTCAATTTTCCAATGTCTATCAAGTAGAAGTAGAGAAGAAAAATTCTCTATCACAAAATAAGAAATAAAATATATCACAAATAAGATAAAGAGAATCGGTAGTTACTAAAGTTTCAGTCACACCCTGAAAAAAAGTGTTTCACTTGGATTGTGATGAAAAAGGATGAAAAAAAAGTTTTTTCTCACACCATGAAAAAGAAAGGAAGATTCTTCATGCTATCGAAATTAAATTTTCAGATCAGAACTTGGACTTAGAAAGATAAGAAAAAAAAAAGTTTCTTCATTTTTCTGCTTCTCGAATCCTCACCATTCAATGCTCTCTCCTGAAACCATTATATTATATTACATATTGAATCAATTGTGTGAATGGTGAAAGATGAAAGTGAAAAAATAATATTATCTTTATAATGGGTTGAATCAATTCTTTTACCATGAACCTTAAGGCTACTGAACTGATTTACTTTTCACCAAATGATGATATGTACCACCATTATTATCGTTTCTCTCTTGTCTCTTATTTCTCACTCTCTTTTATTATTATTTTTAGAACTTTTTTATCTTCACTTTCAACGAATAGATAAGATAACGGTGAATGGTCTTACCTTTTTCTAATGTTACCTGGGTAATTGACTGGGAAGATTCTGATGACCCAAGAGCATTTTTAGCGATCACTCGAAATTCATAGTTAGTTGTTGGCTTTAGATTATCAATATAGAGAGAAGTTGATAAACCTGAATCTCTTGACTCGGTTACTTTTGTATTCCATGATGACGATGATGATATTGGACGATATTGAACAATATATTCCATTATTGGTGAGTTACCGTTATATGGTTCGGACCAGGATATTAGTAGAGAATCGCTTTTAACTTCACCAATGTTGAGATTTATTGGTGTTTCTGGTGTTTCCTGGACAATTAAACGAAATGTTTTCTCAGCTGAACCAAAAGGATTCGTGGATATACAAGTGAACAAAGCTGAATCACTTCTATCTACGGAACCAATAATTAAATCAACTGAAGAGATTAGATTATCGGAAACGGAAGTTTTCTTATTCTCTTCCATCCTGTATCGACCTCCAATCATCAACTGTTCCAGATCAACATCATCCTTTTTCCATGAGTAACTTAATGGATTATCACCTGAGGCATTACATGTTAATCTAACGGATTCACTTTTTTTCACGATTTTCGATACAAAGGTTGAACCAAATGTCGGAGGACCTGAAAAAATACAAGAACACAAAAAGAACGAGAGAAAAATTCAGATCATTCAATCGATTTGATCACATGAATAAAATGTTGACATCTCTCTCTCTCTCTTAAAGCTCATTAAAAAATGAAAATCTGTCATTGAGAGAGAGAGAGAGAGAGAGAGAGAGAGAGAGAGAATTGTGATAAATTCCTAGTGAAATATTCGAGCATCCAAAAGGATAATTGAGATAAATTCATTCTGTCAACAGGCAAAGAGAGATGGTTAATATAACATATCGAACTGAGAGAAAAATTTATATTAAAATAGCATCATCCTGATAATCAGTTGCAATTTTTTTCTCTCAATATTTTCAGTTCATACTACGATTCCAAGAATTCTGGTAAATTGATAATCGTTAAACTCATACAAAAAAAGAGTGAGAGAGGAAAAAAGATTAATATTTTCACTTTCTCTGAGTATAATTTATCGTTAAATTCATTATGATCACAAGTAATAACCTCATGATATTATTATCATGTTAAATACTCGATTAGTGTCTAATCATATTTCACCAAGAAAAATATCTAAAAAAAATGCTACAACAATTGTTTCCTTTATATAAATATAAATATAACAGAATCTTGTCTTTCTTCAAGAATTTTCAGAATTTTAACAATTCAGAGAAAATCATAAATGATAACTTTTCTTCAACAATATGTATGCCACATAGCATTTAATACACTGAGTAATATCATCATGATATTAATAATAATATAATGATAACATGGCGTGATATGATTACCACTATTCTGATTATCATGATAAACAGAATAGGAAAATAAGTCTTATCCATCATGTTGCTATTATTTTTCAATTCTGCCAACATGGTGAATGGATGAATTTCATTCCCGCTTCTTATTTGGTTTAAAAATTCAAGTGATTTATGTTTCTTTTTTGTGTCATATCAACATTTTATTTCTTATGAAAATGTTTTACTCACAAATCTTAATGATTATCATCATCAAGATATTATAATTCCGTCATGTTAAACAATATTAAAGGTGAAATGAGTTAACAAGATCAAAACCCTAGATTAAAGGTTATTAAAATTCAATATTAAGCTTATCTAATAATATTTTTCTCACAAAGTTTAAAGTGGGTATTCAGGTTATTTGGAAATTTATTTTATCTTTGAGCAAATTTACTCATCTACCCTCATCAATATGAGAACTTATCAATTATTCACTTTATGAATATACGATAATATCAACAGGTAATTCTCAATTTAATGGAGCTTGTTATCATCTTCTTACTGCCAATTCCAACTGATTCATTCATAATTGAACATTACGAGTATTCATATTTAAGCCTGTTTTTCATCATTGTCATGGAATACAAAGAAAAAAAAAATAAGATAATAAAATATTTCATGAAACTGAACTGGTGGAAAAATATTTAGGCGAAAAATTAAACGAGTGAAATATTATTACCATTAGAATAAGGAAATAACGGTAAATGTGAATTGAATGAGGAGGAATAAAAGTAAGAGTAAGATGAAGATGAAGATAATTGGGATGATATCAAAAGAAATGAATCCAATTCAATTTTCAGTTTCAATTCACATTTTGTTTTATATTTTTTTTCCTCATTCACTTAAAACTCAAATGAAGAAACCAATTGAAAATTGGATTACATTCAACAGAACAAATTTGAATAAGTCTTTCACTTAACTTGTCTTTTTTTCTTACAATTTTCTCATCATCTTCATCCTCATCCATTCAAATTCCTCCAAGTTAAAAATATCATCTCACATTTTCAGCTACTGAGAACTTCATCTCTTCCCATCAGAACATTATCTTTATCCTTTTCTCGTGATTAACTTTAAATAAGTTGAACAATCTCAATAATCATTTTCCATCAGCACAAATCAATATCAATCTAATGATATTCAAATAATTATCTTTGATTATTTTCACAGACCTGTGAACATATTAATGTGTTTATCCAACCAATAAAAATATGCAATGCTAATTAATATCATTATTAAAACCTATCAACATTTCGCCTGGTATATCATTATTATCACACAATTTTCCTCTTCCATCCATCTAATCAACAGAATATCTAATTTCATCTTTCAGAACTTTTTCCCATTCAGTTTCCCATCATGTAATATAAAAAAAAACATCACCTTCAAGCAATAACCTTTTACTTAATGATGGAAAAGTTAAGTTTAGTAATAACTGAGGGCTAAAAAAAAGCTTATTAACATTCATCTTGATTGATTCTTAGCATTCAAGATGAATCATCATGAATGGATAAACTTGTGATTCCCAACTAATATAATGTTAATTGTCAGCATTTAAGTTAATCAACAGATTCAAATATCTCTATTGATATTAGATGATTTGAAAATGATAATATTACAAGTTGAAAATTTGACATCAACTTTAAGTTGATTGAAATGTGAAAGTGTTAAAGGTTAATTATATAAATATTATGATCAGTTTTATGAAACTTACTGTGAGCTTTTAAGTTGATAACTTTACTCAATGCTGGATTAACCCCATTCGTGGCTTGGCACATATATTTTCCAGAATCAGATGAGCCAACGAGATTAATGAAAAGTGACCCATTCTCCAGAATATGAATATGAGGATTACTTATAATGGTTTTAAATGTTGCTTTTGCTTCATTGGGATCAACTTCTTCCTTTTTCCAACGAATCTGAGGCTCAGGGAATCCTGAAGCTTGACAGTCAAGTATAACTCGAGCTCCATTGATTACTTCCAAGTCAATTGGTTCCTTAATCCATGTTGGTGAGACTGAAGAAGGAGAAATGATAAAAATCGATTGACATGAGATAACAAAAAAAAAAGCGGAAAGAAATAGAAACAAAATTATTCCTTCGGAAAGAAACTTTTTGAAAAACGAAAACTTTTTCTTACTTCTCATCGAATTTTCTTATTCAGTGCTAAATACATACTCTCAAAGTGTATTTGTTGTATTATTGAGATATCAAGAAAAGAAAATGATAAAATATATTCTCGAACAAGTGAAAATTTCATAACTATTCAATTCATCTGAAAAGTGAATAGTTTTCTACCTTTCTTGTGACATTTCATGATAAAGTTCTAATACCTTGAATTCTGAGCAAGTTCCAGATGTTGAAGGAAAAGTTCATTTTCACCTCTTCCACTCTCAGGAAACATAATTTCTGGAAAATATTTCTCCATGTGACATATGAGCATTTCCTTTGTTTTTTTTAAACTTCGTTCTCTTAACAATTCTCACTTTAAACCGGAAAAGAATTATGATTTTAAATTCAATGGATTCAATTTGAAAAGTTCTCAAAGATTTTTTTTCTCTGCCGTTGTTCAGTTAGATTACAATGATTATATCAAATTTCATAGAAAAGTAAAGAAAGAAACAGAAAGTAGATATAAAAATGAACTTTACTCAGCTTTGTCTAGATAAAAAAAAAGTTCTGATAAAGTTTTGACTAACAATCATATCAAATATATTATCGTATTGAATAGAGTTGACAAAATTGAGAATTGAAAACTTTGTCAGGTCAGATAAAAAATATTGACAATTTCAGATATGATTTATAAAAAAAAGGGTCGACTCAGTATCAGAACTTTTTTCAGTCCATATCTTTCTTATCATGAAAATGGTGTAACAAATGATGATAATAATGATAAGTGTGACAATGGTCAAGATAATTTATCATGTTTATCTAGAGAATTGATTCAGAAGTTTTTTTCTTCTTTTTTTCCATTCTTTGTCCATTCTTCAAAAACTGACATTCAAGTTCCAAGAGAACATTTTTCTTTCTGTTATTGAAATTGATAAAATTTCTCCTTTCTAATCATAATTCTTATTCTGTCCAAAATTCCATGGGTAATAATCAGCTATCTGAATATTTCTTCATGGTAACACACTCACATTATTTCAAGTAATGTTCAAAATCTTTGACAGATATTACATACTGACCACAAGAATGATAAACACACAGAAATACCTTGCAAAGTATATACACAATATCAATCAAATTCTGAGTCTCATACAGAAAAAAAATTCCGTTCAGATTTTCATTATAGCAAAGCTTTAAATTGACGCAGAATGAAAAAAACTTAAACGAAGATGAAAATTAGATAATAAATTATTGATAAAGTGACATGGATAACGGTAAACTATTAGTGTTACAATAATATCATGAGATAATATCTTGAATAAAAGTATCAACAAATTGATTATTTTATATTTTCTCAGTCTGCTGATAATGTGATAAAATTGTATTTCAAACTTTATCTTATCATCATCATCATTATCATCATTATAAAATGATGATTAAATCGATTTTTCTCTGTTCAAATGTCTTTTTGATCTTCTCACACTTTATCAGAATTGCTTGAGATGCTAAAAACATACTGAAGAAAATGCTATCTCTTGAGAAGACCAAAAAAGATCTAGCATTTTATTATCTAAACAGCAAAATGATACAAAAGATTGAAAATATTTTCCAACAATTTTAACTGATTATTTTCAGTGTTACCCTTCTAGGCTGATAATCTAACTCAGGGTGATTATTGAAGATGCAAGTTGAATAAAACAAGAGAGGAAGAAAATGTCTCAGTGATGAAAATGCTGAGATAAGAATTGGAAGATTATGATAACAGTGCTAATGTCTAGTTTATGGATCGGAAAGTTCAAGGCAGAATCTGATGAGTCAAGTGAAAAAAAAGATGAGACTGTTTTGAGTTGAGGTTATTGCTTTTTGATTGATAACCCTTGATTCGTGGTGAGTAGTTGATTTTCAAGAATGTTAAGTCCAAGAATAAGAATGAGCTGCGAAGATGAAGATGCTAAGAAAAGATGATGAGAGAGAGAAAAAAACTTCTCAAATGTTCTGATAGTAAACTGGATGAAAAAAAAACAAACGAGAATAAAATGACCAAAACGAGAATAATATTTGTCAATAATACAAAGTTCGATAGCGAATAATATTAAGTCAAGAGATGGAAAAGTTTTATTTCTCCATCAAAAATATTTCTATTTTTCCATAAAACAATTACGATCTAAACAAATATTAACCTATTAATATATCGAATGATAGTTCGTAATCATAGACAGATAGAGAATCGAATCAAAGTTGATTCTGATTCTAAATAGAAATGAATAAAAGTAAACTATCAAGTTCGAGTTGAAGAATGAATCACCTATTCGAGGAACCTTATCAGTTTCAGGGCTGTTGGAAATTCTTATATATTGTTTGTTTATCTGTATGAGTTTATCTACAGAACTTTCAGAATCATCTGATCAAGAAGATAGAGAGAAATTCCTGAATTGAGAAAAAAATACTTTTCGATACAAAAAGTTAACTCGAGTTATTATAATAAAGTTATCAAGTGTGAAAGCTTTTAGTTTATCTTTTTTTTCACCTTATTTCTTATCTGTTGCTACAGTTCAACATTGCGATCATTAAGTTCACTTTAATGTTCAATAATCATCAATGAATCACTTGGTATATTATCTCACTCAATAGAGAATTGATAGTAAATGAGAACTCGACTTGTTAACTTCTCGAATCAAAGACTGTTTTGGATGAAAAAAGGGTAACCGATTCATTCTGATGCATTTGAACAGACTTGAAGATCTTAGGAAGCAAAGAAATCATGATAAAGACTAAAAGGAGGAAGTGAATGTATTGAAGGAAATGTAGAAATAAGATGAAAAAAATGAATGAAAAAATGTCGACGAAATTAGGAAAAATCGAACATCATTATTCTTACTTTGATGTTCTGGGAAAAAAGTCGAAACAGCAATTTCGTCAGTTCGTCTCAAACTGAAAGGAAAAAATTCCGTAAGAAATTCACTTGGAATCTAATATTTTCAAGGTTCATTCTGATCTAATCCTTCAAGTTCTTGATAAAATAACGGGAATTTTGTGTTGAAAAACCACAGAAAATGAATCATGGTGAATTTGAAACTGTAACGTTTGTGATAAGAATGAAAAAGAATCAGATAAACCGATAATATTGATTTCTATTCATTAACGGAACTCATTGAGAAACTTGTATTCCAATTTAGACAAGAAAAAAACAGCTAAACATGGTAACAATGATTAATGATTACAACCCTGAAACTGAATTAAATCAGTGTAACAATCAATTGTCTAGTATAAGAAGAAAAGTTTAAAGTTAATTGCGAATGAAATTGTTTTCCATCAGCATTATTAATTGTTTTTGATTGTTAGAATTAAAGTTTCTTTCCTTTTTTTTTAGTTAGATTGTTTTTCTTTCATTGAATAATAACAACACCAAAATATAATGAACATTGTAAGTTAATTATCTTGTTCTTGTTCACTATTGTTTTCCTATTGTTAGCATACCTTTAACAATCATCTCAGCGGTATAATTAACACTCGATGCTGAATTTGATGCTAAACAAGTATAATTGCCAGTATGCTGGGTTGTTAACGATTGAAAGGTTATTGTTGATGTGAAACTATTCAGCATTTCGATTCGAGTTCCAAACTCATTTGAGTCCAGTTTGATTCCATCTTTGTACCAATCGATGTGAATCGGCCCATCGCCAGAACTTACTGAGCAAAATGCTACACTTCTCATACCCTCCTCCATATCCTTTGGGAATACAAATGGATCGATCCGAGGACCAACTGCAAAAGGAAAAGATACAAAATGATAGGAAAATATTAGCAAATAAAAAAAGTTCAAATTCGAAATCAATTATCATTTAATCAACCATGTAAATGATAAAACAAATTCCCAGTTAATTTACCATGGAGAACATAATAATTAAAGTTTAATACTCTTTCTCTCTCTCTCTCTATTGGTATGAAATAGATTAAGTTATTCAATCGGTCCAATGGTTAAATGATTTGAAACAATTTCCAATTTCTATTCACTTGATTATTTAAATTTCCACTATTTAATTATCATGGATTGATTCAATTACCATGGAAAGTTTAATGATGATCTTACACAAATGGAAATAGTTGTTAAGTAGCTTGAGTATTTTAAATCTTTTAGCTGTCAATCACAATGTGAAAATACAATTTAATGTCAACTTTATTAATACACTTGTAGGTCAAAGAGGTTCAATTGTGATATCAACAAGCTCAATTCCATCTACTAATCATTCATTTCCCATGAATTACATGAAATATTTTCGGAAATTATTTCAAAACTATTACTACTATTTTAATTGGTGACATAATCACTCAACCTTTGAATAAATTTCCTCTCAATGTCATCTCTTAATTGTCATTGAGTTTTATTCATACTCCAAATTTATCAAACAATAACTATAATGGAAAGTAAAAAATGATCAAAATAATATCAATCAATTGAAATATTGACTTCGTAACACATCATAAGGATAAAGGTCATTTCAATGATCATTTACAGTTCATGATTCCGGTGAAATGTTCATCATATGCTCCTAATAGAATCGTTGTAGTATGAAAAGTGAATTCATTTATCATGTTAACATTAAATGAGATTGGATGAAAATAAACCAATATCAAATCTATAAGTTGAGTTGTTGATAATATTGTGAGATAGCAAAAAACTAACAAGTTAAATAAAATGATAAATAAATAAACATCATGAAATAAATGTGACAATTTTTATCAATTTGAGTAACGATAATTATGATTACCATGATAATATTTTGACGATGGTTTTTGATCATCATCATTAAATTTAAGAGTTTTAAGTTTCAAATATGTGAAAAGAATCCAATTCTGAGACAGTTTCTTATCCATAAATGTAATAATAATACTTTTCTTGGTAATCATAATGATGACCATTATCACCATGATCATGAGTTGATGAAATATATATTAAACTTGTGAATTTCAGAATTGGTTGGATAAAAAAAGTGAGTAGGTGCGTATTTAAGGGATGAAATATGGTGTCAATAAAGTTAAGTAGGAAGACAATATGAGTTGTCATCATCATCATCATTCTCATGAGAAATTCTGTAAAAAAAGATTCCAAAAAATAACAACGATTCAGCTTAAGAGAGAGAGAGAGAGAGAGAGACTTAAATTGAGCTTTATGAGCACGCAATTCCTGCTGAGAGCATGATGATGATGAAGATGCAAAAATGTGAGTAACATGTGTTGTCATCATCATCTCTCAATTGCTTGATCATGATAATATATAATATCTGGTTTGCTCAATGTTTTCAGCGAGAATGAGTTAGTAATTCTGATAATCAATGTTAACTGATGGTCATTTAAATGACCTGATCATAAATCTTGGAATCCGAGTAGAGTCTCTGAAAGTTTGATTCCCTCGTAATTGTAAACAATTTATCATTGAGAAAATTTTCTGTAATTTACTTAAATGATAATATGAAAAAAAGTGATGGTCAAGATTAATAATAACAGTTGTTGAGATATTATTTGATCAAATTTGCTCAAAAATAACAATGATAATCTTAGAGTTCAAGTTATCCTGTTTTCTTATTTTATTGACAGTTTAAGTAAAATGTTGTTGATAATATTATCAGCATCGAGTCGATTCTGATGTATTATATAGTAAATATTTAAGTGAGTGTAACGATCAAATAAAGAGATGGAGATGAAGATAAAGAGATGATCATGATGATGATGATGAAAAACAAACAAAATGTTTTTTTTTTCACCATTTTATCCTCTGATTCTCACTTGGCATTTTCTCTCTTCAGTTTTCATGGTATGAACTTAGATCTTTTTTTTTCACATCGAAAAGATTAACATTCCCTCTTCCCTACATTCTGAGTAACTGAACACTCAGCATGAATTCTGGTCCAATATCGTAGTTGTCGGTCAAAAATACTCCCATGGAAAATGTATAATCGATTAGGTTGGAACGAAAGTAGAATATGAGAGAGAAAACTTGAGGGAAAAAAAATTCTCTATGAATCCTTCAGGTTGTAGAATATAATGATGGTGAGAATACGAATGATAAATCGGAAGATGAAAGAAAGATGGCGAAAAAAAATGAAGACAAAAGATGAGAAAGAGAGAAGAAAAAAACTACTGTCTTCTAATGGATCAAGTATTAAGATGTAGAAGGAATCAAAATCTTCCAAGCTGAATGTTTCACATTCTGTGTTACTTTTTTTCTAGTAACAATTTTTTCTATGATAATATTTACACACACACAGTAATTCATGTTCTTGAATCTCTGAATACCATGGAAATGGTTCTGGTTTACATTGGTAAATTGTTGCATCTATTTTTTCATCATGTATCATGATTGTATATCAAACCAATTATATTATTGAAAAAGAAATGAAAACTTACCCATAATTTTGAGGAAACATTTAGATTGATGTTGAGACTGTTGCTGGAAGTGCGAATGCTTTTTATTACTGTTGCCAGGATAATCTGATGATCCTTTTAGAGATGAACTTAATTGGCAAGAATAATATCCCTCGTCCACTTTACGATTAACATTTTTGACCAACAGTGAACCATTAGTGAAAACTTCCTGACGTCCATTACTAGGAATCTGTTCATCATCTATCATTATTACAATTGTAGCGATAATGATGAAATATATATACAGAAAAAAAAGATGATACAGTAAATGAAAAAAATCAAAACAATGATTACGAAAAGATAACAATGATAATAGCAAATTCAAGAGTATGGATGAGGTAAATTCATGGGAAAAATTGTTCATATGATATTGTGATGATTCTGATAATGATGATAAGATGAAAACTAAACAACTGGGACATCAAATAAACATAAATCACTTGATTCAGTTTGTTTTTTACTCTATTTTCCTGTTGATGTTTTTTGCTTGTTTATTTGATGGTTTTCTCTCTCTCTCTCTCATTCTCAATGGTTACATAATGAGACAATATGAGCCTCATGAACCATTCATCTCAATAAATTGTCCAATTTATCTTAACCAATTTCAAGGTTTTTATATATAAAATCAACAGATATCAACATAATATTTGCAAACGATTTACTATTTATAAGCCAACATTGGCAGAGAGATATTAGTTTAAGGTATTTTCATAATGATTACATATTGAACACCCATTGACTTTGATGCAAATATTATCAAAATTTATTGCATTGTTTTTACCTCATCATTAACTGTCATCATCATTTTTACCTGTATTCTGTTGTAAAAGGTAACATGATAATACAGATAAATGGTAAAATCTAATCTGTAAACTGAATATTTTGTTCCTGAGGTATGAAAAAAAAAGTGATTGATGAAAATGCTACTAAGTTGAAATTGATTATCAAAAATAAAGTTATCAGTTTAGTGACAGTTTTCAGGGAAGAAAAGTGAAAGTATATTTATTATGATAAACTTATTTGTTATTATCATTGGCGATACTTCATCAACTCGAACTGTTGAAAAACAAAGAAATGGACAAGAAAAGGATTAGAAAAAAAATCAACTTTCTCTTTTCTAGAATCGATAGAATTGAACAGAACAAACCGAAAAGATGATGAAAGGAATGATGAAGAGAGAAAATCAAAAAAGAATCAACGATAATCCTTAAAGAATTATATTCTATTCTATTTCTTTTTTGTTTCTTTTTTTCTTTTCTCAATCTATTTCTCTCTCTCTTTTCATTCCAAAAAAAGAAACAACATTCAAAATATCGTAGAAATGTTGAGAAGAAAGCAATGTTCAGTTTAACCTCTCTCTCTCTCCATTTCTTTGGTCAAGTATTAGTATATTGTTTTCATCAACAAGAATCCACTGACCAGTGATAATGTTCAAATTCAAGCCCTAAGTCTCGAGTTGATTTTAAACTTAAGCCATTGTTTTGATTCACTTACAATTCATTCAGCTTTTTACCTAATAATAATCTCAGAACTTTTTCTTTCGTTTGAAATTTATCCATCAAAATCCATCATCAAGATCTCTGATCCTCTTTTCCATCATCATCATCATCATCATCATCATCATCTTAAGTCTATCAGGTTGAATGATTTTCTTTTTCCATGTCACATTATTATCGGCCAAAAGTAATTGTAATCTAAAACTTTCACTCCACTGAGTCCAAAATTAACTCAACTTACTGTGTTAATAAATGTACAAAGAATTGAAATTGATTGAACAAATCACTTGCCCTCAAGGCAAGATTCAGGTTAATATGAAACTCGGAACAAACTTAACATTTGATTAACCTAAAAGCAATGAAAAGTTAATTCACTTTTTCTTTACTTTCTCAGGTAAAAACCAACAATAGTTTTTTTTACTTCGATTCGATTTTCTTTTCTCTCTCTCTCCCTTAATCTTGATAATTTAACCATAAATAATAAATAAATCAGACAGAAATTCAATCTGCAGATACACAGAATTGGTTTATCATCAAATTATCAGAGAACAAGTAATAAAATCAAAACCTTAGAAAATGATGATCTTAATGTTATCACTTTTAGAATCGAGTATTTATCTGAGACTATTATTATTATTATTTACTGGAATCAACTAGGATATTTGATCGGCCCTGGTTTCTTGCTACTTAATTTTCATGATGTCGGAATAAATTGTTGGTTAGTTGATGAGCAAATAATATTGACAAAAGAATCTGTTAGTAAGACGAAAAGTAGAAAAAAAAGAAACATTCTTCATTATCATAATCATCATTGGAACAACATTTTTCTTGGTATATATAAAAGAGATTCTCATTCAATATCTACTCAACTGATTGTGCTTCCACAGAACGAAATAATCTGTGTGTATATTACACTTTCAACAAGGAGAGAATAATGAACAGAAAGAATTCCTAATATCCAGGAGAAGATGAATATCCCTATTAACCTTATATCTCTTCTCCTTTTCTCTTTTGTAACGTACTTAGATTTATATATACAAATTCCGAGCATTTTTGTAACATCTACCATGAAAATGCTCTCGTTTTCTTTTTCTCGTCATCGTCATCATACTCGATAACTGAATAAGCTTGTCAACTCATCATTTCTTTTCATTCACTTCCAGAAAAGTAAAGAGAAAGACAGAGAAACAGACAGATAAATGTCTTCCATGAAGATTAAGAGTATAAAAGAAGAGGAAAGAAAAAAAAAGGAAAAACATTCAAGTGACCCCTCTATTCAGAATTGCATCTGATTTCATCTCTAGATGAATACAAACAGAAATTCTGATAATATCTCTTGCTCCTTTTTCTCGGTCAATCTCTCATTCATCTGAATTTTATCCACCAATAATCATATCCTTTTACTTTCTCAATGAATCCTCTTGTAACCTTTTCATCCAAAATATAAACAACTATTATCATCATCTTCTATTAGTTTCAATTCTCTGTCATGATTATAATCATCTCAATTTGTTCCAATTCATCTTAGTCTACGTCAATTCATTATTAATGAACAAAGAAAAATTGTCCACTATCAAGATGCTCAATAGAATAAGGGAAAAAGTGTCTCAATCTAAAATAATATATTCGAGGGAAACATTCAAATGATAATCATCAAAACTAATAAGAAGTAGATGAATTTAAATATCATGTTATCGTATTGAAACTGATTTCAAATGATTTGGAAAAGATGGAATAATTTTGTACCTTTCAACCAGTTTATCTCTCCATGTGGATAACCATAGACTGGGCAGTAAAACCAAATACTTTCACCTTCTAAAACTGTCCTGTTGACCATTGGCTTTACTCCTGGTTCACCATAGATATTGACTCTTTTTTGGTGGAAACTTTGTCCCGCTGAGTTTTTAGCAATACATTGATAAAGTCCAGCATCTTCTGAACGAACTGATGTAATATTAACATAACTTGTTACTTTATCACGTTGCGAAACAAAATCAGCATAACGAATTCTATGTGAACTCTTTAGAGGCTCCATATCAAATGCCCAAGTAATCTGTGGTAATGGTCGCCCTCGGGCCGAACATATTAACGATAATGATGTTCCAAGAGATAATAATTGGTCATTAAAAGTTTCCTCGAAAACTGGAACTTCATCTATTGTAGAAAGAGAAAGAGAAAATAAAAATTCAATGAGAAGTGAAATAGAAAATCAAAGAAGTGATATTATGCTTATGCAAACAGAACTCGAAAAGAAAACTGATGACACTGAGAAAATGTGAAATTTTCTTTCAATTTTGGTTATAATGATGATAAAAGTTCTGCAAATTAATGAGTAACACAATTACTGTGATATTGTTGTTCCATTAATTTCAATTGAGAGGATAGAGGAGAGAGAGAGAGAGAGAGAGAGAGAGAAAGAGCTGATAAAATAACTTATTGACTCGGACAAATTGAAGGAGAGAAACAATAATCATAATGGTGAAAGTCAATGAATTTTCATCACATGTCACATGATAAAGTAAAAGTGGAATGAAAATTGTAACAACTTTCATCAGATTTTCATTGAATATCATCATGATTCATTCTGTTATAGTTAAAGTGAAAGTTTCATCTTTCAATTAAGATATCGGTTCAGATGATAATGATCAGAGAAACATTTTATCAAGGGAAAACTGTTTCAAACCAGAAACTGAGGAAAGAATAAGAAAAAGAGTTGATCGATTTTGATTTTCAAAGTGGAAACGATTAAATTAACGAGATAAAGATGGATAAGGATAAAGTTAACGATTATGAGAGTGATGATGATAAGAGAAAAGCAAAGTAAGAATAAAATAAAATTGAAGATGCGGATGAAAAGATGATGAGAACACTGAGTATTTAAAGAAATAACAGAGAAAAAAAATACTCAGATAAATTTACTTTCGTCTTCATGGTGATAAAAGTTTCTTCATATCAATTTTATCTGTGATACATTTTTCTTCCTCTCAAACTAAGAATTCATCATCCACAATTCTAAATTGTACCCAAAGAAAATGTCACTATCGATGGTGGGAAAGTATTGAAGAGAAAAAGTTGGACTTTTATCGATTTATCGAAATATTCTCAAACTTTTTGCTCTTCAAACTCGAATATAAATCAGTCATGATATGCTCGATTTCCAAAATTTTCATCTTTTCTCTTTCTCTCTCTCTCTCTACGTTTATTGTTATTCTTAGATCTTTTTTCATCTTCGTTTTTTATTCTATCATCAACTCCCAAGGAAACAATTTTTCCTCTCGTTGCCAATATGATATTTTCATCTTTCTACTTATTCAACTGTTATATTTTTCAATAACAAGTCTATCATATTTAAGTACCACTCATTTACTTGATTATTATCATGATAACTTTAATCATAATATTCACGGCTCAATAGATTATCATGAAAGGTTATTAATTGGTTTCGATTCTTAATAATCCAGGGAACGATAACTAAGATGAAAAATCCACTGGTACAATCATCACTGAGAATATAAGAGAGTATAAATTTCTCCATGAAATTAAATTAATTTCATTCATTTGCCAAGAAATTCATATGAATATAAAGAGAGATAGTTATTAACAATTATCCATGAATTGGAATAACCAAATCAACACATATTCAAACTTTAGTCTTCGTTTTCATGATACTCATTATCATGATCATATCAGAATATTAATTAACATCAACGTTGTACAATTTTCTTAGTGATTTAAATTGACAACTAATTGTTATGCTCCAAAGTAAAAATTGTTATTCTTAAACTCAATTGATTCCAAGTACAATTTATATATAACAATTAAGTAATCATCTGATAAGGGATAATTAATCCAACATTCTAATTAGCAACCAATTAAATGAATAATAATATAATTCAAAGGAAATTAGAGATTTTTTAATCAACTCGAGTCAAGAATTAAAATCTTTTCAAAATGAAATCAATGAGCTAATTCAAGAAAAAAAATTTCAACGTGATGATTGAGGAAACGATTTCGTTAACATGGAAACTGATGCCTAATGGTTAACTGCTCAGTGATAATAATAATAAATATAATGATAATGATAATGTTGATAACATTTAATTGGCTTGTTAATGTTTACCAATTGAAAGTGAACCTGATCATTAGTCTCATGGGAATTCATTGGTAATATATCCTGAAACAATCAAGATAGAGAGAATCGGATTAAGCTAAAAGACCAAACAAAAGCGTAATAGTAAATAATAATAACAATTGTAACATTTAAAGATTGACTAATCAATGAAACAATTAACTAAATAAGTGCGAATTGAAAATTCTAAACATTTCAATCAATGTTGATGATCGTTTTTTTTTATTTGTTTGTTTCCAACTAAAACAATTCTCAGTTTGTTGACTTTATAAATTTCAAATTGTTTCTGAAAAATGTTCAGTGTTGATTGATGAACTTTGATCTTGATTAAATAAGGAAAAAGTGATGATGATGAAAAACAGAATTGTAAATCCTATTCACCACCAATGGAAATATAATTTTCTGCAAGCTAAAAGTTTTCCTATTATAAAACAATAGGAAAACTGGAAAACAGTTCAATAAAAGTTCAACAAAAGATAATCGAAAACATAGTCTATTATTTCACATGAGCATCGAGAAATCGATGTAATAATAATCATTTGATGAACCTGAATTCTCAACTTTCTAATAACTTCCTTCCCTTAATGTTTACTTACGATGTTCAATATAATAGATAATATTTACAATCGAGAATGAGAGCAAAAAAAACCAATTCATAAATCAATTGAATCATAATTCATTTTTTTTTGTCGTGAATCAAATACCTTTCAGAGTGTAAAAAAATTTCCATGATAAATAAAAAGGATCTTCAGATTTCATGATGAATATCTCAAGATAATTTTGTATAAAGAATAATTTTTCAAATTCTAACAATATAATAATAATAATATCTGATTGAATGAATGAAACATGTTTCGCTATTTGATTTAATTGTAATATGATTGGTTCATGTTATTATATAGTAAATCTATTAGAAGCCATTAATTAGGTTTTCTAGTCAACTCATTTACTAATATTAATGAATTGACTTGAATGTAATTATGGGTTAACCAGGATGAATGAAAATCAAGTCATGGCAATTAGTGATTATCATCAATGGAATGATAGAAATGAGGGAAAAGATGGGAAAAATATATATTCTGATAATGATGATACACACAAAAGGATAAATATGATGAAAATGATATTTACCATCAAAATAAAGTTGAATAGTTTGTTGGGTTGATGCTAAATCATTAGAGGCCAAACAAATATAAAAACCTTCGTGTTTACGATCTAATGAAATCAAATCGAGGATAATTGAATGGTGACTGTTGGATTGTTGCTGTTGATGATAATGATGATAATCAGTTTCTCTTGATAATGATGATGTTGATAAAGATGATGAGGATAATGATGATCCCTTTACTGTTGTCAGAGGTCTTGAAGTTCCTGTAAGGATCGATTCCAACAGAGTTTTTGAATCTTTTGTCCATTTGATGTCCTTCACAGGGAATCCCTTAACTGTACAATTTAAAGATAAACTTGAACCTAAACTTATTGGTATTCGAGTGACTCCCACTGATTGTGATGATGATGATGATGATGATAGGGTTGTGGTTGAGGAGGAGGTAGATGATGTTGAACCAATGCCTTTTAAACTTGATACACTTTTACCTGAACCGGAAAATGTCCGATCAAGGTTGACATTATTACTATTTGAATTTGTGGTATACTCGGTGGGTGGAACTGTATTTATAGTGACTTTTAGATGAGAATAGACAGTTAACTTAATGTCACATTTAACTCGACCCAAATTGTTTGATATGATACAACGAAATTGATTTGAATCAGTTGATTTTGGCTCGGAAATGATTAACAAACCATCGGTGATTTTATAACGATGTGGATGAATAATAAGGCCTGCAAGTCGATTAGAACTTAATGAAGATGATGTTAATAATGATGAAAGAGGCACATAGTCATCAGATAGCGATGATAAAGATATTCTTGAATCTGAATTGGAAATCCGGATAAACCATTCATATTTGGATAAAGGATAACCCGAGGCAATACAAGGTAGATAAACATTATCATCACCATCACGAGCACTTATTTGAGGTAATTGAAAAAATATCTTTGGACTAGAAGGATTTTTAGCTTCTATTGAAAAAAATAAGAGAGAGAAAAAAAATAGATGATTAGTAATAGAAAATATGCAAATTCTGAAAACTCTGAATATTTTCATTTCTTTTTTATCATCACCATCATTATTCAGACAATCAGAACTACAAATTCAATGAAATTCATCTCATTTAAATAAAATTTATCACCGAAATCATTGAGATAAATAATTTCACTTCCTTGTCACTACGCTCATTTTTCATGATAAAATTCATGGTTATCTGTATAATAATCAGTAACTTTATCTAATCATCTTAATCATTTATCATATTTTGATTATTATTAATTGTATGTATTTGAAGTATTAATTGTCAAGACAAAGCTAATTGATTAAAGTTAATTTCATCAGTTCCAACATTTTGTACATTTCATCATGTTATTATTATCAAATAACTTTTCATATAATATAATATTTATCATCAAGTAGCTCAAAATTAATAATAATAAAGATAACACCATGAAAAGATATTAATCACCATGGGTCTTAATTGTATTAGCTATTAGTTTTATCATATGATATCAATGACATTATTATAATTAAATAAACTTTGTTGATATTATTATTATTACCATGAAAATAATGAATATTAATATCAAATTTGGTGCGTCAAAGGTTAAACATATAAGTTCAGACAAAGTTCAGGAAAAATTTTCTGTTAATATGATAAGGTCAACTCATGGTAGTAATAATTTTTATCACTTTGCTACTTTAATTTCATGGGTAGTTTTTGGCTAATTGGTCAGCATTAATTTATAATGATAAATTAACTTGTAACTTATTGATGATATTTATTATTAGCTTCAAGGTTAATCATCAATTCATGGCAATTGTTGATGAGATTTCAGTAGAGTTGAAATCAAATTATATAACTGTAAATGTTATAATCATGATAACCACAGGAAAATGTTTTTCTCATACTATATTTACGTTATTAATTCATGATAATAATAATTATTATTATTATGGTTATTACAGTTTCTTATTTGTTTTATTATTATTTTTATTGTTTTTTTCAATTGTTGGTTTTTGTTACTCTTGGTGTTTACATGGTGAATAAATATCAACCCTGAAGATGGAAAATTTTCAATTCTTACCGATAACTGTGAGTTTTCCTGGAGTAGATGTTATACTTGTTCGGCCAGTTTTATCATTTTTAACTTCGCATCGAACTTTGAGATAGGAATCTTCAGAATCAACTGAACGAATGATCAATTCTCCTGAAGGAAGAACAGTAAATTTATCTGTAGAAAAAAAGAAGCAAAAAATTAGTCTCAGAACTTTTTTCTTCAAGTAATATTTGGAATTAATTATCAATATCAACTATTCATGGAACAATCAACCGGAGGCATCGAGAATTTGTTGTAATTTCATCACTTGTATCTACAGAATTTTATATGAAATTCTGATGAATTGTTAGTATATTTTAAAAGAGAATAAAGAAAAAAGCTCAATTCTTTTTTCTTTCATTTCAATTCTCAAGCATCTTCTTGCTAATGGATTGTTGTTAAAACGTTTCGTGAGTAAAAGTTTCACATCTCATCAGTTATTAGAATCTCTCAGAACTAATTTTTATCACCTAACTAATTTTTGAATACTCACTTATCATGAATTAAGTTTATTCGTTTTTTTTTATTCTTCATAATTTACTTTGAATAAATTTCTCATCCCATTTTCATGAATTGTTTCATCATCACCATTAAAATCAACACAAGCACCATGAAGACTCTTCAATGTTTCATAACATTATCATCAACATGGAAACAGTTATCAACACATTTCCATGAACAATTTGCTGATGAAATTAAGTTTTCTTTTCTTCCATTATAACAATAACTGTTTTCACAATCATTTTTTCAACAAAAATTCAAGTGTTCACCATTAACTAGTTGATAAATTTAATCATGAAACTAGACCATGTAGATTTCATCAACAGTTTAGACTTGAATTCAGTCTGATAGATAAATCTAATCACCATCACTAAAATTTTCCCATTGAAATGAGATGACAAATGAACTAATAAAACAAACGGTTGATCTATCGCAACACCGATCGAAGGACAATCAACTTGTTGATTGATTAACCAAATGGTCTCGACAGGTAAGTTAAAAAATGAATCTTGTTTCAATTGAGACAATTAACTTCACATTTAATTAACCAGATCCAATAAAAAGGATAAACACTGAACGCAATTAATTGAAGACATACCTGATCTTTGACATCAGAATTCTGGACTTAATCACTGAGATTATGATGGGACAGGGTGAATTAAGAAAGGTGAACACTACTTAAGTTAAAAGGTCGACTTCAAGGTTACAGGAAAAGGAAATACTTACCAGTTAAATATCTGGTTAACAGTCTAATCAGCAAAACAATCAAGTTTTGATTACTTAAAGCTTTTTATACCTTTTTTTTCAATTGTGATCAGATGATTGTAATTACCTTCACCAATCAACATCAAGAAAATTAAATTGCGGGAACAATTAAACAAATTAATCTGCTTTAATAACTTCACACATCAATTAATAATTTACTAACTATACAATTTGTCTTAATAGCTAAGGTGATCCACTTTAGCTATTTACACCTTTAGTTTGATTAAATTGTTAACAATTAACTATGCAAATGATGATGTTTCTCTTTTACGTGAATGTAGATTAAATATTCAGAATTCAATCAAGTTGAATATTTTTATTTGTTCGTCAGGCAATTTTTCACACTCGGTGTATTCCCAGTGAGCTTTAGATGAACAAAATAATTACTCAATGATAATATTACTAATCAATTACAGTTATCTCTTTCTCTCTCTCATGATTTTTTCTTCGTCCTGATAAAAGTGTATTAATGTTGACATGATACAATGATCATAGTATTAGAAATGAGGAAAATGAAATGATTTTTTTCTTTCTTTCGAAATTCATTCGAAAAGAATTAATCTGTTAGAGAATAATCAGAATAATCTGAATCAAAATACGAATGAGTTGTGATATATATTTACTTATATTCGTCTTATCATCATGTTCATCTTATTTTCTGATTTCAGTGAATATTTTTCATGAGAGCTGTGATTTTTATTCTAATAGAAGTGAAATTGTTTGAGATAAATTTAATTAAGTCAACAGAATTACAAAAAAGAATATGTATTAAATGTTGAGAGAGAAAATAAAGTTCTGAACAAAGGAAGAAAACTGTAAACAGAAAAAGCGAGAAAGTAAATACAATTCTAATGTTCGAACTTTGGACATTTTAATCCAAATATCATCAAGAATAAAGAAGTGACATGAAAATCATGATAAACATGGAAGAAATTTTCTTAATTCTCATTCAGCTCTGATTATCCAGTAGTTCTCATAACAAAACTTTGATTAATTTTCTTCTGCTTGTCTTATATTCCAGTTAATTTGATTAATCCAATTTTTCAAATTTAAGTCATCACAAAATGAATAATCAGCCAATAGCCTTCTTAATTACATAACGTTAATTACAGAAAATATAAATGAACTCTTGATATTTTCTTCACATTGTCCCTATTCATTGTTGATGAATATTGATAATAAAGGTTTACTGAATAAATATCATAACAACCTGAGTAAATATTATATTCTGATTATTTCCATATTTATATCATGCATCTTCTTTGTCAATCATTAAAATACCTTCCGGAAATGGTCAAGTCAATAGTAAATCATATTTGTTCATATTCTGAATGATCGTTTATGTTTAAGTAATTTGCATGGAAAGAAAAGAAAAATTCTATTAAGTAAATTGAACTTGAAGAAAAGATTATCTAAATAGAGAAAATCAAATAGTTGATAGTTGCCCACACCCAATTCCATCACCTTAGGGACTATGAAAGTGATAATATAATCATTGAATAAACAGAATAATAAATTAGATAATAATAATGGTAAATATTCAATAACTGTAAATGTCAAAATCTCAATAATAGACAAGATGAATACACTACAACAGAAAAATGAATAGCAACTTTAATCAACAATATAATTGACTTTTCAACATTCTATTTAAACAATATTTCTTTGTTTCCTAGTAAGGGTATATCAACATTTATACATAATGACAAACACTTGACCTTGTTGACTTAATAACAAGTGATATAAGTGATGAATATACTAACATTGATTGGTATTTTTGGTCTGGTTACAAAGAATATTTTGTCCAATGAATAAATAAATCCTAATAATTTCCCTGGTAATTAATTGTTAGAGTAAGTGCTAGTTTATCCGAAGATTGCAATAACTATCCGTAGACAAAAATTGACATTCATAAAGAGAAAACTAGAAAGATCAAAATTGGAGAACAAGGTCACGATCATGGCGACCAATAAAGATTTAAAATTACCAACATTCTTAGCCTCATCGAGTCAATTGTAAATACCTTCTGTGGTATAAAAATATGACATTAATTCTGCCATTGTCCATTGATGAGGGTGTTGATCTTATCGACTAGTAACTATTGAAAAGGGTTTCATCCTGATCGATTGCGTGATTCTTATCATGCCAAAATAATTCCATTAGATATTTTCTCTGGTCAATATTGATTCTGGCGACAAAAACGAACACTTGAACCATTTTGTAACTGAAAAATTTAAATTTCTAAATTGAGAAGAAGTACATATCAGGACTGAAGGACTTCGTATAATCAGTTTCAAGATCATTGAGGTCATTTCACGATAAACCTATCAAGGTCATTGAGTAATTTTTTGTTCTTTTCAAAAAAACCTTCAAACGACCTCAATGACCTTGAAACTTTTTAAACCAAGTCCTTCAGTCCTGATATGTATCTGTACGAAGCTTAGTCTTTTACAACTCATTGGTTCTTGGCTTTATCAAAAATCTGCATAAAATGAAGTTGAATAGCACTGTATGTTATCATGGTAGGAATGAGAAAATGTTTGTCTAAAAATAACGATTTTTTAGAGTTATAATAACAATAGGGATCATCTGGTAGAGATGATAATTTAATTGACTAAAAAAGACAATCAGTACTTCACAATTTCCTTATTCTCTCTAATCAAAATAAAGTGTTTCCAATTATCAAATGTTTATAAAAAAAATATTCAAATAACTTGATGACGAAATCATAATGCTGATAATGATGATAATCAGAATGAAAATGAGATAATAATTGTCAACTTCCTTTTTCTCTTATATTTTTGATGTTATTCACTGGTCTTTATGCATTTGTAGTTCAATTCTCCGGGAGATGATGCTCATTGAATCTTTTAGCATTTCTCAGATAACATTCATTTGATATTTTTATGATATATATCTTTGTATTTATCATGTTGTTTTCATCTAACATTTAGCAGTATCGTTTTATCCTTATTATCATCATGATTATCATTGGTGTGTGTTCATTGTGTAGATGAGAATGGGAAATTGAAAAGTGAGAGAGAGATGGTGAAGGAGTAAAAATTATTATATGATAAACGATGTAGACAGTTAAATGACATTGATCTTTGTCTCTCATGATATCAATTCCCAGTTCAAAGGTTTCAAAATGAAACGCCATGAATCAAATTAATATGAATGTGCTATGATAAGTTATACCTATTTCTTGTTTCGATTCCTCCCAATGAGTTGAATTAGTATTCTCTTGATTTTTAATATGTATCACTTTATATCTAGATGATGATTGGGATGAGAAATTGTCGAGATACAAAATGACGATGACAAAAATGAGTTGGAATGAAGTGAAAATGAGATAGTGGACATTTTTCATGATAGAGAATGATAGAATACAAAACTTGCTTGCCTTATTATCAGAAGATATGTAACTATAAATATACAGAAATATTCATTGATAAGGTCAGAATTATTATTATATATTTCATCTACTTTTGGAATTTATCATGATCATGATGAAGATGAAGAATAATGATTAGAAGGAGGCGGATTAAAAGGATGTAGGAGATAATGTTGAAAGAAGGAGGAAGATAAAGTCACGCTGAGAGAGAGAGAGAGATGAGTATAACATGGGATATTATCCATGAACTTTTATCTTACAATGTTTGCTCATCTTTTGAATATCATCTGAATCATGATAACTGATGAGGAAAAAAAGGTTTATTTTCATGGTAAAATAGCGGATAATATGTAAAGGTAAGAAAGAAAGGGGATGAATTATCATCATGTTTGATAGAGAGAAAAGGAACTCTGAAAGTTCTGAGTTTTCTGAAGGGAAAGATTGAGAACACGATGTTGAACGATGATGAACAGAGACAGAAAAAGAGTGGATATAAAGTACTGATAATGTCATGTAGACTCTTCAAGAATTTAACCGAGTGCAATGTTACTATTCATTCATTCATTCCGACTATTAACCAACCAAGCAAACTGAAAACCTAAACCCTAATCAAGATGAGAAAACATTTGATTGCTGACTTATCATCATTATCTTCATAATAATAATCATCAACATCTAATACATAACATATCACATATAACAGAATCTAGATACTGACCATACGAAACAATATCTCACATTTATTTCCAGTTCTCTAGATTTTCCCTCCTATTATCTCAATATATATTGTATAACTATTATTATTACTCTCATCACCATTATCATCGTCATCTTTATCTCCATCATCTTCATCATAACTACAAGTGGCACTTGCTCCCAATTAGATGGTCAAAAGGCATAAGTTTTGTCCTGATCATTGACAAAGAGGTAAAATGATGACATCCAAAAGATCAAAGAAAATAGTGAATCCAATATATCATATGATTGAATTTTGGTCGAGTGTAAGAATCGAGGAATCACTTCAATATATTGCAAAGAAGATGGAAAAACTATCTAAACAATTATCGTTTCAGTGTGAAAATCATTGATCAAATTCATTGATAACACTCACTTTTTTTGTTGTATTCTAATAATATAACATTGAAATAACAATCGTATCAGAACTAAATATTAATATTTAACTCCCATTATTTCAAGCCTTTTGTTATATTAATACATCAACAATCACTTTCCATGAAAGTAGATGAAGTTCATGATATTTATGAGAATGGAAATACATGTATTTGTGATGGGAGAAAATTTTTAGGTTCTCTCTCTCTCATTGAAGAAATGTATTCTGAATACTTTTTCTTGAGTCTCTGCTTCAGGGTAAAACTTTTATTACTCATATATGGAGTAATGATCGCTGAATATTATTCATGATGATTGAATAAGAATATTATTTCATGAGAAGTTGATATTTATGGTGTAGATGTTTGGATTTTTTTTTCTCTCTCCTTGAATATCAAACTAAATTATCACAAAAAATTTAATCCTTTAGGTTTTATTGTATGGCAATAATTGAATAACAATTAATTGTCAAGATGATAATGATGAACAGAAATTTTCTTTCAATTTGTGCATTGGTTAAAAATTGATTTGTATTCATGAACAATTGATTCTGTCAATATTTTTCCATGTAAATTTATCTGACTTACCTCGATTCTCTGGAGACTTAAGAGTGATCCCGTTACTAAGATACCAAGATTTCACTCGAACTGAGTCCTTAAGGTGATCTGGAATTTGACATCGAAATAGAGCAATGTTACCTTGGAAGACAAATTCATCGTAGACCCTTGGTTCCAACGAAGTAATTAATTCTAGATAGAGAGAGAGAGAGGGGGGAGAAGATGGAGATGAAAAAACAAAAGAATCCAAGAAATTCATTATCATTCAATGTGAAAATTAGATTATAAAATGAGAGATATTCTGAAAATGAAAGACAAAAGTTTCAAGGTAAATTCAAGTAATCACATGGAATCAGGGGAAATGATGTAAAAGAATGGAAACATTTCCGTTCAAATTATTTTCTAATTAAATGTAATCACAATGATGATTATGATGTTGCTCATAATAAAAATAATAATCAAATAATGAGAAATAATTATAATCGTTTCAGATTAATAAACATAACTTCATTTACATGTTTCGTTTAGCAATTATCTTTATACCCAAGCAACGAGAAAAAAAAAGCTCACCAGTAATCATGCAATCCAATTATTATCACAATTTCACATTGATGGTTGTTAACATGGTTACATTTTACTCAGATTATAATGATGAAGATAATATTGTATTATCTCAGGTAAGTTGACTTGATAATCATTCTTATTCTCATTGTTGATTCTTACATGATAACCAGAATTTGTAAGAATTCATTAAATTTTCAACAATAAAAACACAACCATTATCACCTCTCCTTTTCACCAAGAGGTCAATGAGTTTTTGTCCCATGATAACAGGGCTATTAGAACTGAATAAATATTCACTAGGAAATTCTTCAGGTAAAAGAAATTACTTTTATCTCTTTTTTGTTATCCTGTCTTTTTTTTTCTCCTTCTTTTCTTCATGATGATAATCATTAGAATTCTATTATTATTAAATATACATATTCTTAAGAGTTTCTTCATTCTTTTACGAGTAAAAATCGTATTCAAAGGAAATGATTTACTAAGTAAATTCTGTGGCTATTTACATGGGAACTTATCACGCAATATTCACGTTATCATCCATATATATCTTCAAGAATCATCATCATCATTATCTCAATCACTGGTAAGAATATATATCATGATGATGATGTTCAAAGTTTGCATTGTTACTTTCATTCTGTTATCGTATCAGGTCATGAAAACCTTTGAGTTTTAGATTATCATGAAATTGTTTTCATGTTTCAATCTCTTTTATCTAATCAAATTGATAAACCCAGCAACAATTTATCTGATCAGTTTAGTGGAGATAATATTGTGTATCAAAGATGATGACTGATCACTTAATCAATCAGTAATCAGATTGAGATTTAAGGATAGTTTAATCTTCATCTTTTTTTTTCATGATGATTTGAATTTAAACTACACCAAAGGAAGCATTTTGATAATGAAAGTGAATTTCAATGTTTACTGAGTTTTTGATTCTAACTTAATATTAGAGCTCTGTTGATAATGATGATGAGATAAACAGAGAATCTGAAACAAAAAGGATTGTGATGCTTTTTGTTTTGTTGATTGAAATGATATCTGGGAATAGACTTTGTCTTTGTCATATTGTAATAAGAAAAACATGATAACCAGAATTTAATATTTTTCTTTAAAGTTCTAACAGTTTTTTCTCCTTCTCTTATGTAATACTTTTCATCATCTAATTCGAATCCTCTCTCTCTCTCTCTCTCATCACTTTATCATCTTCTTCCTGAACTTTTTCTCAAAGTCCAATGAGTTGAGAGAAAGTATGACAACAATAAGAGAGAGAGAGAGAGAGAGAGAGAGAGAGAGAGAGAGAGATGGAAAACAAAAAGAGTTACAAGAAGATACAATTCTATCAGTTAATGGATTGGAATAGGAAAAGACAGTGAACAAAAAATATCAAGAATATAAAGTTTCCTTTTTCAACTGAATTTGCCTTTCATGAGGATGAAGACAGAACATATTATTTACAGCATTTCAATGTAAAAACTGAGAGTAAATGATGATGATGATGATGAGGAGGAGAAATGAAAATTTCAACTCACCCTGAATTGATAAAATGAACAGAGGAAAAAAGTGATGTAAACAGAAAAAAATTTTCTCCATAGAGATTGTAACCTTTTTGATAACCTTTTTTTTATCAACTTGAGAGAAAAAGATTGAATGTTTAATATCATCAATATTAAGGTGAAGATAAGATGAGAATATGAGATAACATTGTTGAATAGAGAATTCTGGTGATGATGAACAGAGTCAACATTGACTTTAGCTCTAATTTTTCATAATTAAGTCAACAAGATATTAATTATATTATGTTACAGTCAAGGATTAAACATTATCTCATGATTCATATTAATCGTGTTGATTTGTTTTCGAGTTGACATTCTCATCAGCAGCAATTAGCACTGGAAATTAATCTCATAGTCTTAATAAAGGAAAATGGAATTACTTTTGTTGTTTATAATTTCATCCAATTTTCCGAATGTAATATTTTCTCTTATTCTTTCTAATCTCTTGGTGTTTCTCTCTCTCTCTCTTACCCTGTCTGATGAATTGTCTAAACACTGAGAATCTTGAATTGAAACAGAATTGAAAATACAAGAACAATTTGCGTGCTGAGTAGGAATAATCAGATGAATAACATGTTGAAGAATAAAATAAAAAAGTTCAACAACTATATAGTCGTTTGACTTTTGCCTGTTAATTAATGATTCTAACAGAATCTTAATTAGAACTAAGTTTTAAGGGGAAAAACAAGACAAACAGAAAAAAGAGTTCAATCTTCAAGGGACGAAAACGATTCCATTCAATGTATTCCAAGTTTCGTTCATTATCTTAATATTAAACCTTCCCAATGTCTCTCACTATCTCACTATCTCACTATCTCTCTCTCCAATCTCATGAAATCATCATGATAAAACTGAGAAGGAAAAGAATTTAATTAGAAGAAGGTTCCATCTCTACAAAAGCTACAATAAGATGACATTTAACTTGGAAAATCAATTTAGTAAATCAACTGATTGTTTCTAATGTAAAATCTAATCAGTCAACTTTTTATCGGAATTTTTTTTTCTCATCTCCATTCTAATTGTATGTTCAGTTTCATCTTAACGATTTTCCAACCTAATCAAATTAACAGAGCTAATTGATAAATCTATTGGGAATCATGATCAAATATTGGTTAAATTAATACTTGAAGAACTTGTTTATTATCAAAAATTAACACAATCTAATCATAATTGCATGTGATTAAATGATTGAATAGATTGTTACAATTTAGATTAACCAATTTTTTTTGCTCGCATTCACTTTACATGTAAAATTATCTTTTAATTTATTTATCTTATATTTTGTTAATCATTTGGTTCATTTGGTTGATTAATTAATTACAAAGATGAAACAATCAATTGATGTTAGTGATGTTTAAATTGATCAAAAGGAAAGTCTCATCTGAACCATTAAAACACTTGGATGACAACGGTGAAGACGCTGTTTTAATTGTTTAATCAAATTTACGATTAAGTTAATTGAAGAGTAAACTTTTTTTTGTCTTCTCTCATTCTAATCAAAGTTTAATCAATTTTTGCCATGGTAAAATTGGAGAGTTTGGTATATTGAGAAGGAGTTTGAAATTGAACACCAAACATTTTGGCCGGAAAAAAGTTTATCATGAAATCGGTTTTCGTTGTTAATGTTTCATGATGATGATGAGATAAAATATCTAAGGTAAAGTTGAAATGATCATAATAGTTAGTGAAAGAAAATCATCACAACTTTATTATTCATTTGAGAATTGACGTTCCATTCATTTGATATTATTCAGTTGAATGAATTTTCAAGATTCGATATTTTTTAGCTTCTTCTCAATCTTATCCACTTGTTTACTCAGTTTCAGTTATCACATTGCATGATAAACATGATTGAGAAGTCAAAACTATTGAATTAATGAAACTTTTTCCTTCTTTATACAATATTTACACTTATTTTCACTAAAATACATCAACTGAAATGTTATATTTTGTATATAAAATAATAGTAAAAGTATCATTTTCATGGTAGGAAGAAACTTTTTCACCCTTCAATCTCCATAATATAAATTAACATAGAACTGTGATAATCACCACTTACCATATTCATTTGGAAGTAAAATTAACAGGCCAACAATTAGCGATACTTTACAAGCCATGATTACAATTTAATCCTTAATAATAATAATGATAATTATCACTTGGAACACTGAGATCACTAAATTTATATATCCAGAGAAAACAATTTATCAACTCATGGTGATTTCAACTACAATCCAACAACATTGACATTGAATTTAATAATAAGTCAATTATTTGATGATAATCAATCACATGATTATCAATTTGATTAACTTTAAACGTTTATCAATAGGAAACCGGATAAAGTATCAACGTTTAGATGATGAAAACAACAATTGAAAGTAATAATTTAACTAACAGAAAGTGAATTAAACTAGTTGCAATTGTTGTTGAATGAAATTACATTGAAAGATATCAATGAATTAGATGATATTGATGATGCTACAAAGTTTGATTGTTGTTGTTGTTTTTATTTTCTTCTATTAGTAACTGAATTACAAATGCTCTCGATTTATATATTGACTTACATTTAAAATACAGAAAATAACTAACTCAAAGTGATGAGGATGAACATGAGAATAGGGATGAGGATGATAACTTGACGCAAGTTCAATGGTAACAAACTGAATTTATATTTATAAACTCTAACAGAATTAGCGCCATCTCATGGAATCGTAACTTCGAAGGCTTCTGAATACAATTTAGTTCAAATCGAACTGAAATAAAACAGTATTCCAATATACGATGGAATATTTGATTCTCATAGATATTATCATGGCTTCAGTGAGAAACTTTTCCAATTTAAATTATCGATCTTTAACCTTGATGAGCTGAAAATCATCGATAGAGAGAGAGAGAGAGAGAGAGAGAGAGATTTCATATTCTTTCTCCACTTTCAGGCCACCAAAATCTGATCGAAAAATCAGCAAAATTCATATTCTTTTTCAGCTAAATTCATTGAAAATATTCTCAAGTAATGATCTGGAACCACTTGGAATATGAAACAAATAGAATTAGTTTGTATCATTCTCAAGTTTTGTTTTCTTCTTCTTTTTTCCAGTATAACGATTTGCTGAATTTACTGATCATTCTGAAGGTAAGAAAAGTTAATTCAACCATTGAAAGTTTTAAACTTCTAAATTTGCATCTAAATAAAGTTCCAAGGTTGCGATTAAATTTTTATCAATTGAATCGTTAGAATCTCAATTGACAATTTAAATCAATTAACTATTTAAGACTAAAGGTTTAAGACTTTACCGTATCCTATGATGAAAAATAAACCAAACTAATCATTAGAATCATTTGATTATCATTGCTGCATAAGGATGCGAACCAATCAACTAATTAACTGTAACTAATAAACAAAATTAAATTATCTCCATTAAACCAAATCAAATCAAATTGCAAGTGTAAAAATATTTCATCTTGAATAATCTTGTTGCCCTTCAAGGTATTAGCCCCAATTAAATAGTCATCATCATCATCATCATCGTCATTTCTTATCATCACAAATATTATCATGAAATAGATAAAATTGAATAATAATTTGATTGTTGTTACTATTTTGTTACATCAACTAATTCCCCTGACAAACAATATAACAAAATTTAAATTGTCAAAAAAGAAATGATTAGATAACTTGCTTGACCTCATTGAAGGACCTCATCAATGTTTCTGATGATAATTATCTTTGTCTTCATCAATTGGCTCTTCTTCATTTTCTCTTTCATTCGAACTGGTTCAGTAACCGCCATACCTGTCGCTCTCTCTCTCTCTCTCTCTCTCTCTCTCTTTCTCCTCTCTTCCCTCCTTCTTTATCTTCTCTCTTACTCTCTTTCTCTCTCATCTACAGTTAAGATGCAAATCCAAGGAACCATAACGAATCTTTGATCCTGTAAAGTCACAAAGTAGCCAACGATCGTTACGCATTTACTTTTGACGATCTGTAGGAACGAAAACAACTTTACCCATCTAATAACGAAGTTTAATTTAAACAGGAGAAAAACAAAAAGATGTTTATTCTCAATCGATTTTTATACTTTCTATTCAGTTTTGTGTTAATATTGTGTAAACATTGTGATTCCATTGTGATTGAAGTTAACCAAATCAATGGAATCAATCAATCAACACTTTCAATTGTTGACCAATGGACAAATATTGAAAGTCAACTTTCAAAGGTTTCGCAAAAATTTGTCTACTCATTTCTTTCACCGATTCTCAATGAAACCTTATCAACAATCAAAGTCAATCACCTATGTAAGTTATCATATGGAACATTTCTTCAAGATTTGGCTTCTCTTCAAACTTGGGCTATTAAAAGTAAGTAACAATTAAGATCTTATTCTAATCTCATAGTAATGATAATATTTTACAATTGAATGAACACAATGAATACAAATTCATCTTCTTCTTGAATGGATTATCAACAAGAAAATATCAACAAATTGCTGAGATTATCATTCAATCATAATAATAAACTTTTCTTTAAAGATTTTCTTAATTTTAAGATTAATCAATTGACTTCACTAAAAATCAATAGATTGATCTAATTGTAAGTTTATCAATAATTCATTCAAGTTCATTCAACTTTTACTGCTTAATTGGCAATTAATTTAATTCTTAACAGCTCATAATGAATAATTTAACTGTCTTCAAGTTAATTTACCAACCTTGATAAGTGAAAGTAAAAGGCTAAACTCATTACAATGATTAACCGGTAGTTTCCCAATAAACATAATTGATTAACTAATCACTATGTTCATGTGATAATTAAACCAAATTTTAATCATGGTAATAACTGAAATTATTGTATTGTAATTACTCAAACCATTAGTTTCCTAATTGTTAGGGTTTAAATGATAAAAGATTAACTTGTAATCAACAATATCTAACAACAATCATTTTGATTTTTTAAATTGTGAGATTAAATCAAAATCCGATTATCATTATCACATCAACAATTTAATATTTCAATAGGCTAAACTTAACCATTACATTTATTTAAAATTAAATTGCACTGAAACTAATCAAGATAATCAAATGTCCAGATTTTGTTCAAGGATGAGATTTGATAACAATTAACTTTACCTTTAATTGTTCTGTTGATTATTAAACTGCTAAAACAGGATAATCTAGAAAGACCTTAACCAAAATATGATTAGATAATTAAAAGCAAGTTAAATGAGAAAATGCAATTTAAATGACAAAACAAGATAATTTAGCTAATACAATTAACACAAGAGGGAAGCTAAATATTAAATAATAATTAATGATGAACCGTTATGATATTATCATTAGAATTGATTGTTACATTAATATATTTCTGAAACTTTTAGTTACTTTAATAGCTTTTTTTTTGCTGTTGGTTCGTCACAACGATTTAGTTCAAACGTCAATTGTTATCATGATCGTTTTTATATATCATGACCTTGTTACTTGAACAAAACAACAACAAATTCAGACAATTTTAATGATAAATTAAATTGTTTATTCAGTAATAAAAAAAAGTAAAGGTAGATAAGTTAAATTTGAAACGCATTCACCTAAATTCAATTGTATTCAAAGGTATAAGAGATAAATTGAGATGATGAGCCAAAGTTTTCACAATTAAACAAGTGAACAATTTAAATATGAATAACAATTAGTGGTTGGCCATTTTTCTTGCAGCCAATTAACTGAACTTTGATTGATTCTCTCTTTGAGGTAACGATTGGAGATGAAAGAGAAAAATTTTCGTCAATCGTTATTATTCACCTTCGTTCCAACGATTAAAATTTCTATTGAATTGGTTGTTCGTAATTTAGATTTTTCTTTTGATTTGATTTTCTTTTTTACAGTTTTTGATGCATCAGGTAAATTTCCAATAACGGGCTTAATGGAAGGTAGTAATTCGCATCTTGGTCGTTACGATGAGTGTTTATCTATATCGAAAGAGTTGACGTTGGAATCAAAGTCTACATTAGTAAAGGGACAATATTGTTCACTTCTGGTTCGACCTCCGTTACCTGAGCGACCCAAATGGGCAACCATAAGTAATAAAATCTCATCGCTAGCCAATATTTCATCAGCTGAAAAGGTAAGTCATCAATTCATTTTACTCAGATGTTTTTCCCCATTCATTTCATACAATTAACTTGATTGTTTTTTGTTTCTTCTGGATAAAAATGAAGAAAAAAACATCAAAATTAATCAGCTGAATTTGTGTATGAAAGTTTAATTGTCAATCGTTTTTTATTATTACAATTACAATCTCCCGTAAAATTTTTGACGATAATTGTGCCTTGATAATGATGATGAGTGTTGATGATAATAACAATCAACGACTATTAATTGATTGCTTCCGCAATCGTATCAATATAAGGTTTTCATTTTAATTTTCAACTACTAATTATCATTATAATTTAATTGTTTCAATTGTTTGTGGTTTACTGTTGAATAACAGTTAAATTGTTATTTTATTATCAACATAATTAAGTCAACAGGTTATCACTTTTCTTAATTGACAATTTCATAATATCAGCGAAAGTAATTAAGTTTAATATCAAACAATTAACAAATCATTTTCGATCTTCGTATGTACCAAATGATAATCTCTACAAGTAGCCAGTAATATTATTCTTGTAGGAAAATAATTTTACAGATTTTCGTTGTAATTTCATGAGGATGAACTTTTCCATGGGATATGAAAGATTGAATCTTATTGTTGATTGATCATTTTCTTTGGGTGATAAGCTGATTTGCGTTTAAATGAGATGTACACTGAAGCTTAAAGGTTAGTTTCGTGTTCAGTTATCGTTGAATTGGATAATTTTTGTTTCTCTGTCTCTTTATCTCTCACTCCCCTGAAAGAAGATGAGATTTGAGTTGGCATGGAATTCATGATAACTAGAATACTAATCATAGGAAAAATAAAAACATAACGAAGATTAAATCTTTAATTAGGATTTCAAATAAATCTCTTTATTCTGTATTCATTGGATTTTAATCCTTAACCATTCACATCCAATATCATCTTCTAGTTAATCATCAAAATGATTATCTTTCATCTTCCTCTGTCATCCTTGATTTGCATTTTCTATTTCAATACGAACCTAGTTTGTAACTATAAAGGTAAATATTATTTTCTTACCTTGATTCAAGTTGATAGTTTGAATAACATCAAATCTTGCCAAAGAAAACTATTGATTTTTGATTCAATTTCTTCATTCAGCCTCAGGCAAAATCGATAATAATAAGATACATAAATGACTATTAGCAAAACACTGGAAAAAAACTGTTGCTCTGAGGAAAAAATCTTGACCAATCAAATTCAGATTTTCAATTCACCATGATAACTAATGACTTTTGACCCTACATATCTAATTTTCTTGAAAATTTCCACTTATTACCGATAATAATGTTGATCCTCTGATTGAAAATTTTATTCTAATTCAAACTTAGCAAAACAGACATGATAGACGAAATTTTGTTAATCCAATTATTTTCTGATTTAGAATAATCAAATTTCTAAATTGAAACAATTAGATTTATAAATAGCGTTTCTGGTTTTTCCAATTATTACAAAGAAAACGAGACTAAATTGATTGAAATCAATTATTCCCAAATAATGAGAGGCTGAATTCTAATTGTAACCATCATTATCTTTCATGAGAAATTCAATTATTTTAATAATAACCTTTCTTAATGCTCTATTAAAGTTTTTCGTTTTCTCAGAAAAAAAAGTTCAATTCATTTCCAGTTCTTCAAGTACTCAGCTAAATCGTAACAGAAAAGTATTAACATGATGACTAGAAATTGATAATATCTCTCTCATCTTCAAATTCCATCTTCTCTTCATCGTTATGATAGAAAATAGGTTAATAAAAGTATCTGAAAAAAAACCTTTTTTGATATGAATTCCATATGAATTCTGTGTATCGAAAAGTTTTTAAAACTTGTGAGAAGAATATTAAGAAAAAAACTTCACTTTTTCATGGAAATTGAGACAAAAACTCAATTTCATTGCAGTTTGATAAAGATTCAGAAAAGATTTCTAGTTTATCATATACATTATGATAACAATTTAAATTCTCAGTTTAATCCTCGTTATGTTTATTGTTTCATATTCATGTTTCTATTGGTGTGCTAACGTATTTGCATTTGGAGCTTATTGTAAATTTGATATAAATACAATTCACTTATCATTGAGAGTTTTGTCTTCTCATAAAGTTCTGAATCAAACTCAAATAATGCAATGAAAGCTTTGTCAACATGGAGTAAATAAAAATGCTATCATCATGATGTATCACTTTATCTCTGGCTAGTCTATGATACTAAAATATTAATAAATAGCTAAAAGAAAAGGTAAAAATTACTAAGGTCTTTAGAATAAAATTTTCAAGAAAAACTAAAGTTCATTGAAAATTTTTTACTCAGTTAAAAGAGTATAATTCAATTAGTAGACTGAATCTTTATCAAGCTGATATGACAAAAAGATATGACAGAGAGATGAACATTAAATTCTTGGAAAACTGATTCAGTATCTGATGAATTTTAACCATGATAACGAGACATGAAGTGAAGGGGAATATGTCATGTCAAGTTATTTTCCAGAGGGAAAATTATAACACACAAATTGTTATCTAAAAAGGTGAATTGAATGGTAAATTCATTCATACATGATATGATGTATTCATTTATATCTTTGAACATGAGGATTGAACAATATTTGTATATCTCTCTCTCTCTCTCTTATCAACTCAATGTTCATCTCACATCAGAACCAACTCCCAATTGGGTGTTTGCTTTCCACATATCACCCATGGTACGAAATATTATCAAGAATACAACTGAATTTGTTAACATTATCATGACTATTTACGTTGGAAATTGTTCTCATTTCTCTTATTTTTATCTTTTCATATAAAAATAATCATATAACATTTATCACTATAATTCTGATAGATAATATTCAATTGAATTCTCTATTTTTTTCGCCTCTCTTTTTCTTTGATTCTATTCTTACAAAACTGTCTCTCATTTTCTATTGTTTATGATACTATTTGTTAGATATTATTCACCCAAAAGTTGATTGATTGTCACATTTATTTTCCTGGGGTTAGTTTATAATCAAAATCGTTACACACCTTAGAAAACTGTGAATTCTGAGTATCAATAACACACATAAAGCATAATAAAAGATGAACTTTTGTCTGATTTGTTTTCTAACAATAAAATCATTCAACAATCTATTTATTTTGTCTATTTTAAACAGTATAACACTATGAATACAATTACATAGACACACACACTTCACATCATTGGAATGATAATAATTTTGGTTGGCAAAGAAAAAAGTTTTATCAAAAAGTTTATCGAATTCATATGTTAGCGGAGACTCAGTTAGATTGAAAAGTTATCCCAATTTCGAGTGAATTGTTATTCGATTCCATGACTTCTAAACATGATACTGGTTATAATAGAATAGTTCTCACCCTATGAATATTGAATTGAGACTCGAATTTTTATCTTTATGCAAAAATAAATCACTTACATTTTCATGGTAAATTTTTCGCTTCTCTGATTGAATTGGATCAACTTTTGAACGATCACAATGAACATCGTTTCTTTTTTTCTTCTGTATATTATCCGTTTACTAACTTATCGATTCTAATCGATTTATCGATTAGTCGGATTGTAATAGAATTCACTTATAATGTATATTATATATTCACTATATCGTTGCTTTATTATTAGATCAATATCTTTCAAGTTACATCGGAAATACTAAATTGGTTCGCCATCTTAAATTAATAGAAACAATGTTATTCATTGTCATCATGATTCTTGGGAAAAAAATTTTCTCTTCCATAAATGACATTCACTTTATCGAATAGCTAAAATTTCATTTCAAGTTCTGATGTAATCATAGCACTTATCTTATCATTTATGGTTCAATATGATAACATTTAGTCTCACTTTAGTTCTGTCCCAATGTTATGCTGATTATCATCACTATTATCATTTATGATGATATAATTCAATGTTCAACTTTTCCATGATAATTTTATTTCTTCCCTTTAGATGATTGGTTGGCTTGGTCAGAATGCTCATTACTTTTACTATGTTCCCATGAGAATTGGATTATGTACTTTATCAACATGTTCACCTCATGATATTGAAAGGATAACGAGTAAATTGCTTTCACACCTTAACCTGGAAGGTCAACTGGTCGGTAATGAATGTGATACAATGCAAACTGAATCATCATTTGGAATCACCCAGAAATTTATCCTGTAAGATTTTCAAATGAACCATTAATCAAGTTTCCTTTTGTCTACAGATTAACATGAGGAATAACAACAACAAAAAAACTTAAGAATCCACATTGATCCTTGATAACATTATAATCATCAAGGATAATTAACGATTGATTAGTAAACTCAGTCAGTGTAATTAGTGATAACAGTTGATAACTTGACCATGCTGATTACTGCTACTCTTATATTTGAGTCGGAATATTAATAATTATGAAAACAGAAAACACCAAGATGATCATTATCATCATCATCACATCAATCAGAATAAGTAACTTGTTACTAATAGAAAAAAGTTCTGAGTTGATAGTTGTGATTCTTACAATCAATTCTAATGATTCTCATGTGATCATCATGTTCGTATTATCTTCATTACATCACTTTCTTTATTATTATTGTTATTACTGTTTAGATTCATATTTCTCTCTTACACTCTTTTACTCATTCATGTTCATCATGTTCATCATTTTATTCATTTTATCACCATCATTGAGGCTCCTTTCATGATTATGATAATAATAATAACATATTTCATTATCGATTTCAGAGTTTTCCTAATAGGATTCATTTTATTGGTGATAACTTCAACACTGGTTGACATCAATCAATTGCATCTAATTAAAGGCTTAACAATTCAGTCAATTGGTGATCTGAAGGACGATTCAACTAATGGTGAGTGAAAATAAAGTAAATGGACATTGATGATATTCAATAACTATTGTTATATACACAAAATGTATATAAAAAACTAAGTCAACTCCTTGAGAATCACTTGTATCATTGGAAACGATTGACTAATTGTTTGAGGAAATGAAAGATAAAAGTAATCCAATTGATGAAAATTAAAACAATGTCACATCATTTTGACTGTGACAATTTGTCAAGATGAACAAGTTTCATGATCGTCAATCAAATGTTTCATCTTTTCCACTAATTAATTTGTTTTCTATTCAAAGACAAGACAATTTAACTAATAAGAAATTGTCTTCATTGTACTTGGATTAACAATTAATGTTGTTCAACTAAATATACTGTCAGATTTTAGTTTAGATTGTGCTTCCGTTGATTGAATTTGCGCTCAATTTTTTTTCTCTCCAAGACTGTTACTGAAACCCAAAAGTTTCACTGGTTTTTCATGATTGATCATGATTCTCTCTCTCTCTCTCTCACTCACTCTCTCTCTCTCTCTCTTCTCCAACAATCAAGTTCAATATTTCATTTTCATCATCTTATTAATGGCTTTTGTATAGCAATTTATGTTAAGGGTTGTAACTTGTACTCATGATGATACTGATCAGAGAGAGAAGGAGCTGAATGAAATGAACATAGACCAATACCAGGGAATAAGATGAGAAAATAAAAACGTTGATCATTTGAATTAAGTGAAAGATGAGAGACTGAGTTTCAATAAAATATACAAGTTACACTGATAAAAATCACGAATAACAAGTTAACTTGAGTTCCATTCTCAGCCCAAATATCCCATGGATTTAACATCTTATCATAGAATTGATAGATTTTGGTATTATCATTAAATGCATTATTATAACTTGAATGATGATAGATGATAAAATTGAAGTTAATACAAAATAATCCAATTGATTTCGCTCACACTTTCGCAATAATGCAAGGGATGCTAAGGATTGAGTAGATGAATGAGAAAAAGATGAAGAAGATGACAAAATGAAAGAGAGGGAAAACTTTGAAGACTTTGGGTTAATAAGTCAAACTCAATTCTGAGATCAACTTTTTGGCTTAACTTGATAACCTTTGATGACAACATGTGATTTAATCCTCTTTCAGGATTAATGGAAACATCATCAAATCAATAGCAATTGATGTTTGTTTTTACTTGCAAACAAACAATTTATTGACATTCTGTTCATTTAATTAACTTTATTGAAATGTAACTCATCAGAATTGTAGTTTTATCTCAATTTAATTATTTTTCCCATTTTCTTTTATCAAATATCATAATATTTAGCTTCGTTGCCTTCGTTATCGTCAAGTAATCGATCAATGAAGTTCATTCCAATTCCCTCTTATGGTCATCATCGTGTTATCCGAAAAGAGAGTAAATTTTTCAAAGTTATCAAATGTTTTTCAATCAGACGAAATGCTAAAAGTATATTGAGCATGAAAGAAAATCCATCGGAAACATTGAGTCACATTCATGGTATTCGAGTTATCACCATGACTTGGATTATCTGTGGTCACACCTTTGGATTAGTTAACCATACAAACTACAGTAGGTTAAGAAACAATGTTTCACAAATTGATGTCGGTTTATATTCATTGTGTAGGAAGAAAAACTAATCAATCAAATTATCCACTTTTATTTTATCCCTTTTTCTCCTGGTAGGTCAATCTTTTAATTCTGAAAAAATGTACACTGGTTTCATTTTTCAGGGTCTTCTCAATGCTACTGTTTGTGTAGATACTTTTTTCCTTATGAGTGGATTACTGACCATCCACTCAATCTGGTCCAAAATACAATCTCATCAAAAGATTAACCCATTCATGTATACAATCATGAGATATATAAGATTAACTCCACCCTACATTGTAACTATTGGTTTAGCATTAATATTACCCTCTCTTGGACAAGGTCCACTCTGGAAGGAAACAGTTAATCAAGTTTCAACTTCATGTTACTCTTCATGGTGGACAAATTTACTTTATATTAACAATTTTATCCAAACGAAAAACATTGTAAGTAGTAATATCATTTTCTTCTAATTACTTGACCTTTTATCAATATAATTACAGAGAAATTGATTCTGAGCTTGATTCATTATAAATATAAAAGAAATTCAATCTCATGAAATTAAATGAATTAACTTTAAAATTCCTAAACAATTGATTCAATAATAATCAATGAATTAATATTGCTTCAGTTTCTAATCTTAATAATGATCATTTCCAATAATTTGATGAACCATGAAGATTATATTAGGATGATCAGAAAGTTTTGCACGAAAAGTGAGTCTCAAATTCAACATGTTTAAAATCGAACAATTATTGGCCGAAATTAATTTTTGAATATTAAAATTCAAAGTTTATTGATTGAAAATTATGATGTTGATCAAAATTTTGAACATTTATTCAGGCCAAAATCGCGACAAAATGACCGAAAAAAATTTTTGATCGTTTCTAATGGTGAGTCTAAAGTGACCTTAGAATTTTTTGAAAATTTATCATTCTTATGATAAAATTCAATATTTTACTATAATTGTTTAAAATTTTGAAAATTAATTAATCATAATTGTTGAAAAATTAAATTTGAAATTTCATCTTTTGTTAAAAATCAGAAATTCATCATGGAACCAAAAACTTCCCATTCCATCAATAATGAAAATTTTCTTGATCATAAATTTCTGATTTTTTCACAAAAAAAGATGAAATTTCAAATTTAATTTTTTCCTTAATTGTAATTAGTTAATTTTCAAAATTTTCAACAATTATAGTAAAAATATTGAATTTTATCATGAGAATGATTAATTGCCGATTAAAAAATTCTAAGGTCATTTTAGACCTCACCAACAGAAGTGATTAAAAAATTCTTTTTTTCGGTCATTTTTGTCGCGATTTTTGGCCTGAATAAAATGTCCAAAATTTTGATAAACATCATAATTTTCAATCAATAAACTTCAAATTTTAATATTTCAAAAAAACTAATTCTCTGCTAATAATTGTTCGAGTTTAAATACATTTTGAATTTGAGACTCACTTTTCGTGCAGAACTTTCTGATCATCCTAATATTAGAAAATATATCAACTCAATAGTTTATTGATTATAAGGTTAACATTAAAATTAACTTGTTAATCAATTTTCATGATGAATTCTATTTAAATCATGTAATAAGCTATTAAATGAATTGATTTGTTTTAAACTGAATTGAATATCTAAAGTTCAGAGGTTGAAGATTGTTAGAATAGTGAGAATAGTAAAAGAAATTGAATGAAATTCTCAAGAGGCTTTTATCTAATAACGATAATGTTATAAATATTTTTGACCCGAATTTTGGATTACGAATAATAATCTACACTAAATTACGAAGAATAGAATTTTAAATCAAAAACTTATGAATCAAATTAGTTTCGAGCATTTATCTTCATGTTAATTCTTAATCCTTTCTTACTTTTGTTTTTCTTTTCCTACTATTCCATTGACATTAAATTACCATGATAATGAAATTGAACAAAAATAAAAGATTCAGGTTGAATTTTAAAATGAACAGAAAAGTTAATCAACTCTCATTAACTCAAATCTTTGAGACAATTTTTACTACTCAAATTTCATTTACTTTTCTTTCCTGTAAATTGTTGATTTCATGAAGATTCATTGAGAAAATGAATTCAATTAAATCTCATCGAGTTATCCTTATATAATGTTGTTAACCCTTTGAATACACAAAGCTCCCAATCAATTGATTCACCATTCTGATTATATAATCGTCTCTTTGCTAATTTCTTACAGTGTCTCATGCATTCATGGTACTTGAGTAATGATTTTCAATTCCATATAATTGGACTTATCATTGTTACTATTCTTGTCAGGTAATATAAACTAATAATACATTAATATTAATGACATCTTCTTAATCCAATAAAAATAATAATAATAATAATAATAATGAAGATTATCATGTTTTTCATACACCAGAATTATTTTTCCACAAATTTGAGTTTAATTTACATTTTGATTGATTCATTATTTTTGACTTTCTCTTTTTACAATTATTAGATCAACTAAACTTGGTTTCATTTTAATTACTTTTCTCATGATAATATCAACACTAATCAGCTCTTGGTTAGTAGCAATTAATGATTATCCACCAACAATTGTATCAACATCACCAGCAACACCGTAAGTATTGATTGATCAAAATTTCTCAGAATAACTAAATTAATTTCAACCATTGATTAGAATTGATTATATTGAATAACATGACATCTAAATTGATTGTTAACAATTTTCTCATGGAATTACAATTTTCACCTTATTCGTGATTATTTTCATGGACTAAGAGATATGGAAATGTTTTGATAGACTCAATTCTGTAGATAAAAAGTTCGACATAATTTTAAATTTATGTTCAAAATCGTCAATTCATTTGAATAGTAATGAGTATTCATCACAACTGATTACTAAGAAGGAACCAGATTCTAATGATAATGTAAATTTACTCTCTTATATTGATTGTTTGAATTACTTTTCTATCTTATTTACATATAGAGAACGCTGGAATTTTATATTAGATTATTATTATAAACCTTGGCCTCATGTTTCGAGTTATCTTATTGGAATGATTTTCGGTTACCTGTTGGCCTCTAAAAGAAAAGTCAAATTGTCAAATTTAACATTTACTCTGGTTATTCTCATCAGTGTATCATCAACATTTGTATCACTCTACGGTATCTATCCTTGGAATAAAGGACAGTCCGTTAATCCGATTCTGGGGTCACTTTATGCTTCAACTTTCAGGACAGTTTGGTCGGCAAATATTGGCCTGGTTATATTTTACTTATCTCAGCATCGATCAAGTAAGAATCTTTTTCCCAAATCCAAACAATCACATTCCCTTTTTGATAATACAGTAAATCAGATTCCACATGAAAATCTCAAACTCTAATCAGAAATGAACTTTTTTCGACCATTATTGAACTTGTGTTACAATGAATACTTAATTAACCTAATTGTCTGGTTAATCTGGAACCATATTAACCGTTATAATTATCATTAACTAACTAATACCATCTATGATTTAATCTCAATTCCAACGTCAATGTTTGCGGTATTATCATGAGAAAGTTTCATTTTCTGGTGAAACTTTTGTTTGGATGAAAATTTAGCTCAAAATTATTATTGTTTGAATCTCATTGTATTTTTATTACTTTTATTTTCATATTCATTCATCATGATAATTTATTTTCTCGCAGGTATTTTATATAAATGTTTATCATGGAAAGGGATTATTCCTCTGAGCAGATTAACTTACATGGCTTATCTGATCCATCCTTTTGTTATCTGGTATCATTATGGTTCAATTCGTGAACCTTTAACTGGATCAGGTTATTTTATGTTTCATAATTTTCTCTCCTTTTATTTACTGACCTACATATTATCATTCGGAGCTGGACTCTTCTTTGAATCACCTTTCATTTGTCTAATTAAATTAATCACATCATCATCATCATCACCCTGTTCCTCATCAGCATCCTCACAAACAGGAGATAAACAATTCAACGATTCACAGCAACACCTAAATAGGAAACCACTCGCTAAATTTGTCTATTCATCATAAAGGTAATTAAGTGTATCGGTCAATTACAATAAAAAAATGGCCCAATTATCAACTATTTTTGGTAATTAATCAAATTCCAGGTATGATTAAACTGCCCAATCAATTGTAAATATTAATACGATAACTTTATCTTTTCCAATGAAATAAAACTTTTCAATAATCAATCAAATTCTCTGATTTTATATTCTGAATCTTAAAAGTTGATCAACAATCAACAATCAATTTATCGAAATATTTAACTTTCTTATTATGTAACTACTGCTATCATCTGTTGGTGAAATTCTGAATTGGAAAAAGTTGAGATACTTTTGCAAACCATAAGATGTCACTAGGATATTGATGGAAAAATATCTCAATAAACTTCAAGAACTGGATTAATTCAATAATTTGATAAAAGATTGACCGATAATCTGATCGTTGAACTTCAGAATTGAAACGGAAAACTTTTTGTCAACTATACGATTCGTAGCTAATTTCCAATTCATTTCTTCAATAGTAAACTTAAGTCGACTCTGAGTTTGATTATATCAATTCCATGACTGTTTTCATCATACTGAATGGTGAGTATTATCATTTAGACAAACGATGGTGAAAAATCCATGAGATGGCGCTTAGAACTTTGACAAATTTGTTTCTCAAGTAAATGAACTTGCGTCGAGTTATCGTAAACCTAATCCCCCACTTTTATCCTCATCATTTCAAGTTAGTAGTATTCTGTACCTTTAAATGCAATATATGAATCGAGAGCATTTGTAATTCAGTTACTTGAAAATAAAAAAATTTCCCAAAATTTGTATCATTACATCAAATTGATTGATAATCTCCCAATGTAATTGAATTGATCACCAATTACCTTTCAATTTGATTTAATGATTTTCTTTCAATTGTTACTTTCAATCAGTTGACAAAGTTTTCCTTTCTCATTTTAATCATAATTATCATCATCTTCCCGCCATTAATGATACAAATATAATCATTTTGTTGTTACACTTGAAATTAATCAATTTTATTTGATAATCATGTTGATTCTTACTAATTAACTTATCCGATGTTTAAAATGAACTGATTGTCTGATCACCATGAGTTGATTAATTGTTTTCTCTGGATATATAAATTAAGTGATCTCACTGTTCCAAGTGATAATTATTAAGGATTAACTAATAATGGCTTGTAAAGTATCGTTAATTGTTGGCCTGTTAATTTTACTTCCAAATGAATATGGTGAGTTATGATTAACGAACTTGTCTCTCTCTCTCTCTCTCTCTCTCTCTCTCTCTCTCTTTAATTGTTACATTTAATTTGGTTCTGAATTAAACAATTGAAGTTGTAGTTGATAAACAGTTACAATTAAAGATTCATGCTGATTTACATTATTTATAATGTAAATTATTATCTAATCTGAAACAATTAACATAAAAATATAACACAACTTGATCATGATAATGATGATGAAAATGATAATGAGTTAACGGTAATTAATCAAAGTAAATCTTAATTACTTCAACATTATTATTATCCAGGTTAATCTACAAGATGAGTAGTACTGTTAATTAAAAATGATTAGTTGATTGTTTCCCCATGTTATTAATATTTAAGCTTGATTTCTAATTATTAGATTCATTTTTTAATCAAGATTGTCCACTTTTAATTGTTTCAGGAAATATTCATGGTGTTAACCTCACTTAGTAGGTCAACAAAGACTTCAAGACAATTATTCAAATTAATAAGAGACAAGAACTTCAGTTCAATTAAATTCCATGATTCGTCTTCATCATGTAACATTTATATTATTATCTAAATGACTTTTTCTCTCTCATTCTTACTATTCCTGTAATTCTTGATCTTTCATGGAATAAATCTTAATGTTTTCTGTACAATTTTTAGAATCATATTCCAATACTGATAGTTCAAGAAAAATGCTTATAAGTGATAAGAATAGAAAAAAAAGATTCTTGAAACTTTTTCAGATTGAACTTCATGAGATTGGAACTTTTTTTATCAACTTACTTGTTTTATATGTTCAACGTGATTCTGGTATAATTTCAATTTCATCTCATGATGTGAGGAAAAAGAGTAAAGGAAGATAAAAGTATTTCCAATTTCAATCATGTTGTTTTCTCTCTCTCACCATGTGACCTCAGTTTCTATGAATAAATGAACTTTATCTCTCCCTCTTTCTCTATAAACATTTCAATGAACTTACGACTTGATTTCAATTTTTTCCCAATTATTTAACTACAACTTCCCACCCAAATTACATACACACAAACACATATACTCAAGGATCCGAATCAGTGACTGAACACAATGCGATTCTACTAACAGTTAATCCTTCAACAAATCTTGAATACACATGCAGATATCATGTTAATACTATTAGTAATATTGAACATTATCCAAGTAAATTTGGATCATGACAGCAATTCAGGAAATCTTATATGTAGTTCCTGCTAATTGAATTATCAATTGAAATCAAGGGATAAAAGTCATCGTTGTAAATAATTGTGATGCAAATTAGTTGAAATTTTTTACTATAGAACTCAAATAATAATAATAATACCCACCTAGAAAATTTTCACCCCTCAATGATTGTAATCAATGGTATGAAATCCTGAGAAACAAGTAATCTGAGAAATGAACTGAACATTTTGTATCATGAAAAATTAACATAAAAATGCAATAATATCGTGAAAAACTTATCAGAATCAGTGAATAACTTTTTTTACTTCACTCTAACTGAATGAATAAGTTATATTACTATTTACATGCATACACTTACAACTGATTTTCTCAACAACTTATTACAAGATAATCTCCTGAGAAATTCAGGTAAGAATATGAAATGGAATAGAAAAAAAATGCTGTTGAACATTTTATCACCTCCCTGACTCCCACCTTACGAGTTAATATCCACCCTGAGTGTTTACCGTTAATTTGAATGGATTACATTGTATTTAAATGGGTAAAGTATTTAAAATAATTACTCTGCAAATAAATATAATATTTCTCAGGGGAGAGAACTGAAATTCAGGGAGAAATGAATCATATTTTCATCTCTTAATTTTTTTTTTGCTTCTCTTCAATTGAAATGTTTACCTTTTACTTATTCCCTTATGTAAATGTACTATTGCATGATGATGATGAACACTTGATGGATGTGATATTTAATTTTCTCACAACAATTAAGAATCATTTTTATTTACAATTTATTCAGACACGATTTTCTCAATCAATTCATTCAATTGGATTAAAGTATTAGAACAACAATGATTAAGTTGAATTTAGATCCTCCTTTTTTGTGTAAAAACTTCACCAACATTTCAATCAATGACTTGTAATCATGCAAATGATTCACATGATTAAAATGAGTTAATATCAAAAATCAAAAGTTTCGTCTGGACGTTTATCAATTTCACCGAGTATATTATCATGAACGACAATTAATCACTATTTATATGGTGACGATTCTTGAGCCAGTTTTCAATAGATTTGCTATTAATGATGAAACTTTTTATCGACAGGGGAAAGTTCTGACAAAAGGATCTCGAAAAAATTTATTAGTCTATTAAAAAATGAGATACAGAATCGAATTTGATAATAAAAATGTTCAAGGTATATAACTTTTTGACAGAAAAAATTCAAGAGAGTGTGTGTGTGTGAGAGAGAGAGAGAGACATTCTCTTTGGATGTTCTTCTAATATTTGGATGAAATTCATTTCATGAAAGGGATGAAAATTCTGTTCAACATTGAGAGAATTCATATTCATATTCTAATTCAATTAAACTATATTCGAGGTATTTTCCCTTCATCATGATGCCAACTTTTAAATATCTGTCAACCAACATCACACAAAAAATGGGTATGCATGAAAACGATGTGCAACATTTAACACATTTAGAACATCATCTCAAGTACAATAACCATGTGGATATATTCATATATTGAGAATACTAATAATTTGTTAAATAACATTGTACTCTCATTGTAAATTTACTCTGTCAATTTGCTCCCAAGATGCTAAGAATAACAATGAATTGAATTTAAACATTTCTTTCTTACCTCTTACTTTTATATTAATATATTTATACTATCATACATGTCAATTGTAATCTGCATACCCTCAAGCATAGATACAAGCAACAAGCATTTCCATGGTGTAAATATATTAATATAAAACATATATTAAGTTTTATCAACTCATAATTTGTGGTGTGAATACTTGTGAAATATTCATAATATTAACCATATTGATGACAATTGAATCAGTATGTTGATTGTCATAATTTAATATTTAATAAGCAAAATTTAGATGACACCTCAGATTTTCAATGTGGGTTAACAATTTTTCATTGAGAATTTGCTGTTTATTTAACTGTCTTGAAATCAATTCTAATTTATGATAATTTGATAAACTTTTGGAACTTTTTTTTATATAAATTATTTCCTTCTCAAGTTATTATTATTTTATGATATTAGAAAGTGATTCTGATTACGAGAATGGTAAATGTTACCCCTGAGAACTGTTGAAGTTGATTATTCCAGAAAAATTTGTAGCTTTCGATTGATTTGATTTCTAATTTAATGAGGTAACATTAATTTAGTAGTAAGAGATTAAATCGAAGAGGTAAAAAAAAGTTGATGCTTCAAATTTACATTTCTCATCCTCAAATTAACATGATGATGATTAAACATTAACTTTGGTTAATTGTTGAACATTTACCAAGTGGTTTAATCGGAATTCATTAGCGTGAAATTTAATCACCCAAGCTCATTGTTATTGGACAGAAGTACAGTTAGTTTAGTAATACGAAGGAAGGAAAAAAAATATAATATCTAGTAGACTTTTGTTCATCCTTTTTTTTCATTCATTATCTTCCTCTTTCCATCAACTGCCATGGGCTGGACATTCAACATGATTATTATCATGGTTGCTGTTATTTGTATTTGTATTGAGTGAGATAAAAGATGATGATGATAGGAATGAGAAAGAATAAAAAACTTCAATGGACCAGAAAAACAGGGTAAAATAGAATCAGTAGATTGAAGAGTTTGATAGTATTTATACTGCGATTTGTATCTCTCTCTCTCTCTCTTTCATCATTTCTTTCTCATTGGAATGATTTTCCATTCTAATTATCAACTTTGATAATCTTTCATGTTCATAAATATATCGAATATCATGATGGTGAATATTCAGTTATCCAGTTTCAAGGTTATTATGGAAGTAACAATTTTCTTCACTCGCTTTCAATTGTGACTTTCAGCCGGAAAAACTCTGAAAGTCTCAATCGAGAATGAACAAATTTCTCTCTCATAATTTTGATTTATCAATTTTGTGACTCTATTCAACTGCTATTAGAGGCTAAATTGTATGGGAAAATTTTCCCTCAACTCATTAGTAACGCGAATATAATGTTTCAGGGTATATGTTCGAGGTTTATATTCACTAGAATAAAAATTTTACCCAAAGAAAAAGAACCCTGTAAGTGATAATCCAAGAAAATGCTGATATCTTACAAGAATTTTATCATTTTTTTATCTTCCATGTCTGTAAGTTTCACCATGATTCTAATTCTTTTTTCATCGAACTGTTTTCTTCCTCAGTTGGGAATGAACAAACTTCTCTCTCTCTCTCTCTCTCTCTTTCTCTCTCTCTCTCATTTGTCTATGTATCATTTTCATTCTTTTCACTTTTCATCTTTTTTTCTCGTAATATACATTTTCCACTTACTTTCCAACAATTTACTCTATTTTCTTGGATGAAAACATAGCTCACGAATTTGGTCTGATTCGAAATCCATTGCTTTCGAGTAACGAGAATACAAAATGAGTACAAAAAGAAAAGAAAAAAACTCTAGAAAAGGAAAGGAAAAAGTTTTCATAAGTGAAACTTGGTTTATATTCAGGAACAGAATTGAAAACTGATTATGATGAAAGAGGCAGAGAGAGAAATAGATACATAGTCACAAATGTGGATGAAGAAACTATTCTTAAGAAGAAGATAACGAAGATGAGAGAGGAGAAAAAGTTATCCAGTGATATCAGCAATTTATCAGTAATAATTTGTCTCCCTGGAGATATTATCTCTATTACTATTTTCAGTCTAGAACTTTTATCAGAATCAAGAACTGGGTTTAAACAGAAAATGAGAAGAAAAAAAAGATTCAAGTTGAATAAATGGAAAAAAGTAATCATAATATTTTTGACCAAAGACTTTTTTTCGTTGTATATTCGAAAAAGTATTATTTGTGTGTACGTGTCGAGAAAGAAAAAGGTGAAAGACGAAAATGATGAGTAAAAGATGGAATAAGAATTTCTGATTTTGAATTAATGTTCAGAGAGAGAGAGAGAGAGAGAGAGAGAGAGAGAGAGAGAGAGAGAGAGAGAGAGAGAGAGAGAGAGAGAGAGAGAGGAAAAGAAAAACATTCATGGAACTAAAAATATCCTGAATTCATTAAACATTAGTCATGAAGAAAATGAAATATTCATTGTAACCAAACTGGGGATTTCCTGAATTCCCTCAGTTTGACCTCAGTTCTGGTTCTCTCAAATCTTTTACTTATATTAATATTTATCTCAACTTGGAATAAGCAAAAAAAAAGACTAACCATTTTGTTGTTATTCTTACTTAAAGGTAAACCAACAGATAAAAATGATGGAACTTGTTTATCATGAGATTTAAGACCAAATAAGAAAATCTTTTACCCTCTTACCTTTGATTCCTTCGGCTCCATCATCATCTTTATCATCCTCTTCATCTTATTTTTCACATCTCTGGGATTTGTTTCCATTTAGTTATGTACATACACATATATCAGATATAATGTAAGAAAATTGAATGTAATAGAAAATGTATTTACCTTAACATTGCTTATCTGTTATGGATTGAAAATGCAAATGGATTTCCATTCCCTTGTAGACTGAACATAAATACCTGTAAGTTAAATGTTGAGGGAATGAGAAAGGTGAACATGATAATGTTCATCACCAATCATGATGATGAGAAAACTATAAATTATATCTTAAGTTTTACTCATGTTACACCTTGAATTCAACTGTAACCAATCTCTGTTTTCATCTCCTTCATGATTTACTTTTTTTGCTTCTTCTTCTTCTTGTTCACAATAACTTCATGGATTCAGATGAGAATTTATTTTATCACGGATGACCCTTTTTACTTTGTGAAGAAAAACTCAATTTTTTCATCTTTTCTCTCTCTCTCTCTCTTGACATCATCATTTTCCATCATCTTCTAGAATGCAAGCTCTTAACAAAATGCATATCTCGTTTTCTCTCTCTCTCTCTCTCTCTCTCTCTCTCTCTCTCAATCTTCCACTTCCATCAGTTTCTAGCTCTTTATCATGATCTAAGTGAAATCAGTTTACTCACCTGACTTATATTCACCCTGTAAACTCACCAAAATTACAACTATTACAATTGTCCATCGTTCTGTAAAGTAACATTGTAATCATACCCGAATTCAGTATATATAAATGTCACACAAGTTTCTCGAGATTTCTTGAATTCCTCTGAGAATCATCTTACTGAAAATTCTCATATTCAAATCCATAAATTTAAATTCTCAATTTACATCCAATTGATTAGACCTAGATAATTATCGACTCTTAATTTAACCATGATTGGAAAAATAAAGTAATCCAATATTGAAGAATTGATTGAGAAAATAATAACTCCACTCATCTTAAATATTCAGAATATTTCAAGTCTAATGTGATTTAATCAACCGTTATCTCTCATTCAGTAATTTGATATTTAGTCTTGTTAATATCTGAACACATGGTTTCCCCTGAATAATAATAATAAACAAAATAAATTGTGGCTTCTATGCCATGATTTCAGTTATACTACTGATAACCATATTCTTATAAGTATAAATATGAAAAAAAATTAACTCAACTAATCATAAATTATCATCATCATTATTTTCATGAAAAGTTGACTTGAAACTAATCACTGACCGTAAGTTGATCTTGTAAAGTTTTATGTGAATTTGTTGTTGTAACAATTTACCTTCATGATCATGGTAAAAGTGGATAATAAATATGGAAAAAAATTTGAACTCATGGTGATCATGGTGAAAGTTAAACTGAAAGATGATTCCAACTTTTCTGGTTATGATGGTTAGAGGGTAAAATTTTGTCCATGAAAATGATTATATTAATAATAACATGTATTTACATAGATATTCACTAGTGGATATGATCAAGAGGTGGATTAATAATGATGATGTTTATTAATGAGTGTCCAGTCAACCGATATGTTAGAATGAATCTAATCTGGATTGTTTTTTCATGTGATTATTTGGGAAGACAAAAATTGAGCTCATTTGGTGACAGAAATGCAATTAACTACTGCCAGCATTGTAAATGATTCCAACACTCTTTCAATAGTTAATAATATAATCGTTGATGACAACTTTGTGTTAGATAAACTTTTATCAACATGATGATAATGAACTTTATATATATATATCTGAAGATGGTGATAATTATCTTTGGTCTAAATATGATTACGATAAGATAACTTGTAGGTAAAGAGATGGAGAGAAGATACAAAAAAAAAGTAAAGATGAACAATCAAGATACATAAAGAAGAGATGAAATTAAGGTGTGGATGAAGATGATGATGATGATTAGGATGAATGATCACTATTAACTTATCATCATCATTGTTCATTGATGATTTATACTAATAACTCTCTGAATCAACTAACCATTTTTTTTTCTTTTTCTGTTCTGTTGTTGTTTCTCTGCTACATTTTCGCCATTCATCCTCATCTTTTTTCTTACTCTTGGTCCCATTTGATACCTTTGGTTACATGATTATGGTGACATGTTGATAACAAACAATCAGTTACTCAGGACAGATTAACACCAGAGATTAAGGTGGAGGATGAAAAGGTTTACATTGGATCTGATGTTACTTTAAACTGTAACATTGATCAATCCTTTTCAAATTATCTTAAAGTTTCAACCTGGTTTACCGATGATGGATTAATATTTCTTGTACCAACAACACTTTCAACCTCATCCGATTCCGAAGGTAATTATATTCATTATTCTGATTCATTACTCTAATCTATCATATCAAAAACTTTAACCTTTTTTGTTTATCATCTTCCATTGAAATCTGTTAATCCATGTAACCTTTAAGACTTTTATTCATCAGGATTAGAGGTAGAAATCAACTCTCGATCAATTTAGTGCTAGGGAAAAGGTTTTACAATCAATGTTGTAATTTCATGAAATTTTAAGATCAACGATTGTGATTTATTCAACACTCAGCTTTATGATTACTCTGGAAGTGATTGAATTTTACAATCTAATGTATAATTTATATCGACAGTATGTTATCAATATTATGATTATAATATTTTGATAATCGATGAAAGAAATGAATTATATAAAATCTAGAATTCAGTAGCCATGGTGATAACTCTTGACTCTCAAGTACATGAATAGTAAGTTTATATATATAAGATACAAAGTTAATCCCTGATGAAAATTTACATTTCAAGTTCGAGATCATTGAAACATGAAAAAAAGAAGAAGAAAAAAAAAATAAAGATGAAGTAAAATTGAATAAGAAAAAGTTAAAGTCTCTTAGTCAAAGAAGATGAAGACGAAAAGTAAAAGATGATGAAAGAAAATTTCATTTCAATAGAATCAACGATGAAATGAATGTTTATCATTCCATCTTAATCATGGTTTATCATGAGAAGAGAACATGACAATTTATTCTCCCCAGGGAATTGTAAAACTATCACAGGCAAAGGGTAAAAGAAAAAAGGTAACAAGGTGGATAATTTTTGAAGAAAAAGTTCTGAAAGAAAACAATAAACTTAACAATGTGATATTTAAATTAGTTTTCGCGATTGTTAAGAATTGCAATTAGCTTTTTGTCCCTATTGCTTTTGGTGTACTACAATGCTAGAGATTAGTAAATAACAGTAATCGTAATAATAACAACAACAATCAGTGGAAACTAAATGCAAAAAGATGGAGCAAATTGTTCAAGACACACTGAGAACATGGAGAAAAAAAATGGTTCACTTGATTACTTTCTTGATAACTGTTTTACACCGGAAGACAGTTTTATTTATCATCAATCTTTCATCAAGGAAAAAAAAGTTAATAGAAAGGTATTATTGTTATGTAATACACTTTGGTGTATTCTGTGTGCAAGTAAATCCAAGTTACCAGGAAAAGGTCTAACTTGGAGATTGAGAGGGAAAAAAGATCATAGGAAGAAAACAAAATGAGGTAAGATTGAGAATCGAGAAAAACCTTTTTGGAATATCTAGTGAATGGAATAGAGAATTGAAATTTTATGGTACAATTTTCTTTCTTGCTGTTGCATTGATACAGAATTTTGATCGTTTTTTGATTGCCAATCTTATTCTCTATTCTTGCTTTGGTGTTGTGTTGCTAGAAGAAAATAAGTGAGCAAAATAACGATAAGAAAACAAGTAAGAGAAAATGAGAGCGTAAGAGAGCGTAAGAGAGAGAGAGACAGACAGAGGGAAAAAAGTTCTAATCCAGGGAAGAGAAAAAATATAATAGACTTCTAAAACGTTCCAACGATAACTGATTGTTGTTTTGGCTTTTTTTTTCTTCTGCGTTCTCTTTGGGCCTCATCAAAACTGGATAAACAGTTTTCGGAGAAACACTGACTGGGAGTGAAAGGAAGGAAACAATGGAGACATTTAAGCAAGAGAGCGAGAAAAAAAAGTTCTAACCTTAAGAGATGGGAAAAAATGGTTAATAGAGAAAAAAACTTCTGAAGCCTTAAATGATTGTTCAAGTTATCATGTAAAGTGAATGATATCAATTTCTTGAGAGCTCCAGGCTAAAGCTATCTTTTTCATCATTTTACTTTGATGTGAGTTGATGATGACGATGATGTTGATGAAAGTGATGGAGAAAAAATTGGAATAGATTGTGTATTATTGAATTGGCAGAGAGATGATGAAGGGAAAAAAATTGTTCTCTACTCTGATTGGAACAACTTTATGCTGTATTGTCAAAATGATCTGACAAATTGTTTTCCGGTTTCAACTCAGAATACAGATTGAAAAGCACGAGAATGGGAAGAAAAGGAAAAACAAAATATATTGAGATGTTGATGGTAAAAAATAACTCCAAGGGTGGCTCATATTTTAGCTTCAATCTGAATGGAGAAACCTCCCAATCTACTTTTCCCACCAGCTAAATGAGAATTTTTCATTGAGAAATAGAGTAAGAGAGAGAGAGACTCAAAGCTTCGAACTTACTTTCAGCCTCTCTTAGAATTTCCTTCAAGTCTATGAACTTTTCTACATCACTTTATATTACCAATTGAGACTTGAACTGATTCCAGTAGAGTCTGGAACAAAATAATGAAAGAAAATTTCCAACGAGTAGAAACTTTTTTCCAAAATGAAATCATCTTCCATAAATTTTTCTCGATATTATTAATACTGTATATTCATTATCATTGATATACTTACGTTAACAGGAATAATAGTTTTCGTCCTATTGAATTGAGAATTAAAAATTTCAAGATCGCCATGTAATCTAAACACTAAGTCTCATCGTATTTGACTAAAAGTATCAAGCAAAATTTACAATGAATATCATTAATTGTTAACAGTCATACATTATCATTGTAATCAATTTATTACCATAATGATTATGGTGATCATAGTAAATCAAATCAAACTGATTAAGTAAATAGTAGATGAAAATTTTTATCATTATTGTTATTTCGTTGATGTTGTTATCATTATCATTAATATTATCATTGTTATCATTTGGTTAGCATTTTGTTGAGGGATGGAAAATGGATGCTGAGTAAAAAGGCAAACAATCAATAATCCATCAAATCTGATTTCTTTACATTTACCATGTAAAAGTCTATGTAATTCTGGATGATAGCCGAATCCAGAATACATGATGATATTATTTCTAAGCTGAAAATCTAACCATGGATAACCATTATTCTTATTCTTTCATCTTCTTTATCTTCACTGATTTTTCTTCTTCCTCTTTTTCCTATTAATACATTTCAATTGTATCTATTAGCATTTCGTTGATCTCTCTTCACTTAAATTTATTATTATTCATGTACGAAAAAAAAGTTCATTGGTTTCATGATGTTCAATGTTCTAGCCATGGATATTTCATTTTGAAGTTTTCTTTTCTTTCATAGTTTTCGCTGCAAAACTTTACGAAAACGCTTTTACTTTTCTTCTTTTTTTACTGTTATTTTCTCTCAGAAAAAGGAACTAAATTGATATCGAAAAAATAACTTTGAAACATTAAAACTTATCTACAAAGTTCAGAATTCATCGGTTGTTGAAAAGGTCGAACAATTTGTCAGCGTCATGTTGAGTTCCAGAGGTTGAAGAGAAATGGAAGAGAGAGAAAAAAATTATCCCCAGAATTTGCATGCTCATGAATCATGCAATTTTCTGTTTCTCTTTTTTTGTCAAGATAAGCTAAGAATAGTATTATGATCATGATGATGATGGAAATGATAAGTTAGAGTATGAAAGAAAAAAAAACAGAAAATTCAAGAAAGAATAATGTTCGAATCATTTGTCCCTAATCGAATGTATTTACATGGTGTTAGATAAGAGAAAACTTTCAACGAAAAAAAAAACTTTTAATTATCATAATGTCCATTCGTGTTTTCTTGCTGTTTATCAATCTGAATAGGGATTCGACCTCGAAGAAGACAAATAGTTTTGACCAATGGAGCTCTTTTCATATACAATATAACCCAACGTGATGTTGCGAGAAAATATCGTTGTCAAGTGAGAAGTTTATTAACGGGAGAGCGAATCGATTCTATCGGCTGGTCATCTCTTAATATAATTGGTAAGTGATTGGAAATTAATGGTCTTGAACTCATAATTTGAACTTTTTATTCCAATCGTTCATTTTGTTAGGTCCTTCGAAAAGTTCATCACCCATAGTAAACTCTGAGAGACCCAGTAATAAATATATTCGAGCCCAAGAAGGTGATATTTTGATTCTTAATTGTCCGATAATTGGTTTCCCTCGGCCAACAATTAGATGGTTTAAATATAATGATAATTTCATAATCTCTGGAGATGGTACCAGTTTTAGTGGTAATAATAACAATAAAGGGGATGGTAATTATAATAATAATAATAATGGTTATATTAACACTATTGATGGGGAACAACTTCCGGTAACATCTCATCTCTATCCGGAATCCATTATGGTTATACCTCGACTAACATCTCGTGATTCCGGAAGATATCAATGTACTGGTAACAATACATTTGGTCAGAATCATTTTGAAATGACCATTATACTTAAAAGTAAGTTGATACATTTATATTCACAATAATAATACACATACAAGACACAATTCAAATGACCCTAATATATAATAACCCTGAGCTGGTGGGATCATGAGCATCTTCATCGTCATCATCATCATCATGGTGATAATGGTGATTAAACTCTTCATCCATTCATTAATTAATTTATCATTTATTATTTTGATTCATTTTTGGATCCAGAAAACTGTTCATTTAACCATAATCATAATAATCGCCAGTATCATCTTCATGTTAAACATTTTCCCTGTTCCTAATCTTTACCCATCATCATCATCCCCATGTAACTAATAATAATAATAATCCAATTCTTAAGCTCAGAATTGATTACATTTGACACTCCAATCCAATTACTTATTTGATGTCTTTAAGTTTCCTCTTCCTAAGCCAACAAACCAGAGACAAAGTTGTAGATTAAATCAATTAGATTAACATTAAGAATCATTAGTAAAATTAATATTGATATAATTGTAATGAAACTATTTAATTATCTGAAACAATTAAATAAGAAAACTTTTTTTTCGCCTTCTAAATTAAATTGACTCTAGAAAAAGATTAGTAAAATTGTTGAATCAATTTTCACTTTGGAAAACAATTGTAATATTATTAATATAATAGATTTGGATTACAGAATTAGATTATCAAATTTTATTCACAAAAGTTCATCTTGTTCACTTCCTTGTAAATGTTCAATATCATAGTAAAAGTGTATATACACTTATTGATTCCTCGAATAAATTTTATCAAATCAATTTAAGTAAATAAATTTATCGAGAAAAAAAAAGAAAAGGATTAAATTAAAAATAGAGAGAAACTGAAAAGTTTATTTTTCCATTTGATTTAAATTGATATGATTAACTTATACCAATGGAATTTAAATTTGCTGCTCTTAAATAATAATATTGTTCAAACTAATAAAGTTACATAAGCTCATTTATTATCATGAATACTATGATAATTCTGAATGAAAATGTTAAGCTAATTGTCATCAATTGTGCTGTGTAATTTTTCATGATAATAATAGAGAAGAGAGAGAGAGAGAGAGACATAATTGATTTAATATTTGCTTAATTGTTTCACTCTTTTATAATCACGTTTTCTGGATTAATTTTTGAAACTTTATTCCAACTCAATTTGACTTGATAATATTTTCCATCATCATTCCTGATATCATGTAGACTAATCATCTTGTGAGCCTGTTTACTGCTCCATCACCTTCATCCAACTAATAACACTAAATGACAAACTTACAATTATTATCAATTTAACCTCCTACTTTCAGCTCTGAGCTCATTAATTTCAAGCTAAATGTTTCCCTCTATCATGATAATACTTTCTATCCTTCATCTTCCTCCTCATCATCATTATCTCCTCAGTATCATCAACATCATCATCATCATCTGTAAATGCAAGAGAAAAAAATAACGATAATGATGATATAAGGAAGCACCAATGATAAAAGCATGAGTGAGAGAAAAAAAATGAAAAAAAAGGGGGAAAAATGTCAACAGAGATGCTGAAAATGAACTGAATTCATTGTGATTATCATGGTAAAGTGAGAAGAAGCAAAAAAACAGATGAGACAATGAACTACATTAGGTTGAGGTGGGAAAAAAATGGAAACATTGAAAAGTATATCAAAGGTACAGAACTGAAATAATATACTTTTCTACTCAGTTTCACTTTGTAGTTTACACCATTATCAGAATATGAACATCGACATTTATATTCAAGGGGTGATAGAAAAGTTCATACAAACTGAGAGAGAAAAAAAATGTAATTCTCTCCATTAGAAGCAGAGAATAATTTGTACGAGAAGAAAAAAACAATAATGAGCATTAGAATTTAGTAAAATTGTGATAACAAAAGAAGGTCAAATACAAGAGAATGGAAAAAGTGACTTATCTTGACAGAAGGAATCACGACACTGAAATCGAATGAAATTAATTCATGAGCTTAAATGATTCTATGATACATGTTAATGAGAGACACTAATTAACCTTTCATATTTAATTTTTTTTCTTCTCTTCCATTTACATATTCAACAATAGAAGACCAAAGTGTTTCCATAATTAGTAACAATCCTGAGCCAAACCTTGGGAGTGATGTAACTTTGAATTGTTCCCTGCATACATCAACCCCTTCAATCAACAATATCAACGGATTTGAATATCATCATTTCAATGATCGATCAAATAAAATTAATAATCATAATCCAAGTAACAACAACAACAACAACAAGAAAACAAGCAATATAATCATCAAGGAAGTGAAATGGTTTAAAAATATGAGCCAATTATCCCATGATAATAGGATATCAATCAAAGATGCTCATCAGCTGACAATCCGTTCAATTCGCTATACAGATAATGGGATTTATCAATGTTTCATCAAAACTTATGAATTTGAAGGATCACATCATGAGAAATGGCATCAAGCAAGTATAACACTTAAAATACCAGGTTAGTATTGGAAATTTACATTAAAACCACAAAAGAATAGAGGAAAAAAGTTTTATCAAAACAACAGAAATATATAATAACAGGGAAGATAATCATCATCATCATGATTATAATGATAACTATCATGAAATGAAGCAACTGTTAACCATCATGAGATAATGATAGTTATAATCGAGTAACAATTTAGCAGTAAAAGAAATCAGGGAGAGAGTTTTTTCACTTGGATCAATGAGATTATTGGTAAGGGAACGAATTCAAATACGACATTTGGAAAATTTCATTCCATCATATTCATATTTTCGATATTTTAATGTTCATTGAAATGATAATATTAGTGATGTGCAGTACGATGATTCACCTTAATCGCAAAGAATTATTCCAAATTTTAGAGAACAGAAATTACTCTATTCAACAACATCGCCAAGAACAAATTCTATCAGAATAAGAGAGATAGAGAGAAACAGAGATGTTATTAAAAGATTATCAGTGATTATCTCAAGTAGATACATTTTATCATGAACATTTTTTATCTCCTCACTTCTCTCATTCTTTTCCTTTTTGATTATATTGATATAAATACATCTATTTATCTCACATTTTCCTTGTCTTCTAATCTCACCTCTTCTCACAATTTTAGATCAATATATTGATATGCACTATTATCACAACAGTTTGATCGTCAGAACTTGTGAGAAAAAACCTTAACTATTCTTAGAGAGAGAGAGAGAGAGAGAAACAAACAAATTCATCAAAAATGTTCAAAGTTTCAGCTCATTCTTATTCATTAAATTCAAAATCTCTTCGTCTTTGATTCTTGTCTGATTGATTCAATATTCAATGGTGAAAATCGTAATAGTTTTTAAGACATGAAATTAATCAGTAAGATGCAGATGAAACTACAAGAAGTTTACAGCACAATTGTTCAAGATGAATTGATTATTTAATTGGAACATGTAAATCTCTTTTTCCATGTAATTTCATCTCACTGGGAGTTTTTCTTTACAATTGATTATAAATACAAAGGAAGAATTAAGAAAAAAATCTTAGCTGTACTATTACAATGAGAATCAACAATTGATTGATAAAAAGATTTTAATTAACTTTAAGTTCTAGCAATATAAATGATGATTGAATTGATAATTTGTATCAACGAATTATTATATTGTTGGTTAGATTAATTGAAAGTTTCAATAAGAGAAATGTTCTTTAGGAAAACTTTTTTGTCCCCAGTTACAGTTAACATCGACGGGGAGTCAAGTTCTGAAGATAAGATATGATAATATTATGATAACTTTTTTCTAGTAAGATATTAGATGAGAGAGACAAGGACGATGCAGAAAGAACGAAAGAGAGAGAGAGAGAGAGAAATGAGATGTATAGATGTGATGAGATGATACAGATGAAAGTTTGTTTAGTCTTAGTAGGATGAAGATAACAGGGAATTCAGAATTCATATTATATTGTCATGAGTCTAAGCCGATTAGTCAATTGCTCGCGTAATCTTTACTCATAACAATATAACAATAACAATTTTATTATTTCTTATTCTGTTTATTTGGATCTCTGTTTGTTTCTTGTATTTTTTTTCCTCTCTCTCCTTTTCCATGGTGTATACAGAATAGCAAATAATAAAAATGCTTGTTTTGCTTCTCCAATGCTTGATTATCGTTCTTATCTTCTTTATCTTCTTATCTTCACCCAAGAGATGAGAATAGGATGAGATGTATAAGATGAAGGAATATGTTTCATCTGAGCTTCAGATCAAATTGATGAGTAAACTTTAGGACAGAATTTCATCTCATCTCTACTTTTTTTTATTATTATTATTATTACAATTAAAGATCCAAGGATAATAGTCTAGTTGATTCTCAATTACAATTGATTGTAATTAACTTTCTAAGTATATCAATGTAAATACAATTGATAGATATTCGGGTTAACTTTATTGTTTGATTTCTCAATTGATTTACAATATCTCGACATAATATAAATTGATTCCGCTAGCTTTTATTTCTTGTAATTATACAATAATTAAGAGAATAACAAATTAATAACTTGTATCAAGATAATCCAGCGATTACAATTGATATATTCATTTGTCCCTTTCCTTTCACCGATCAAGTATTCAATAATATTCCAAGGCCAATGTAGTTCAAGTTTCATCAAGAATAAAATAATAAAAGTAAATGTTGACAGATGAGATGGTTTTTGGTGTTAGATTTTGAAAACTAGATGAGGATAACAATTTAATACTTTGTGAGATATAAGAAGAGAGGGAGAGAGAAAGAGAGATTGTGAAGATGAGTGAGCAAGATGATAAGCTACCCAAAGAAATGAGATGAAGATGAGTGGAAGATAAAGAGTAAAGCTAAAGTTTTATATCCTCTTCTGATGGATGAGTTTGCCTCTTTAAATTGACTTTCCTTGTGTCTAAATTAATTTTACTTTCTTTGTCATGGAATAAATGAAAAAGAAGACGATGATAATGATGAAAAGAAAGACAAAGATGAAGAAAAAGGGAAAGGGAAAGACGATGATGAAGATATTGTAACAAAGCCTTGGAACGTTGTCTCCCATTGGGTCAAAATAGTTTCATCTTCATCTCATTTATCGGGATTGGTATCAATTTTAATTCCATCAAGATATTAGATTGTTTCTTTGGGGGAAAACGAAGAAAGAGAAAAAAGTAACGGAAGATTACTCTCTCTCTCTCTCCTTCTATCACTCAGCTGTACTCATCTTCCATGCAATGATGAGAATCATGAGGATGATGATAACAAGAACTTGTGTATTATGTGTGTGAAAAGATAGAAAACTGAGAAGATGAAGCAAAAAGGAAACATAATATGAGAAGAGAAGATGAAGATGAAGAGATTTGTCAAGAGTGTATTTTAGATAGACAGAGGAAGAGAAGATAAAATCTGATAGGATGAAGAAAATGTTATGCTAAAAGATTTGCGAATATTTTCTAACCATCATCTCAGGGAATATAATATTTTCTCAGAGATCCCCTTTACCCTGGTAGGAAAAAGAAAAGATGAACACAAGAAAAAGTCTCATGGTCTCTCTCCATGCATGATATAAGAATCAAAAGAAAATTTTATATCAACACTAGAACTCGAGAAGAAATAATAATAATAATATTCCAAGTGTATGAATAGAGTATTGAGATTAAAATCAAGCATAGAACGATTATCATTATGATAAAGAAAAAAACACAAAATTCACCCTGAATGATATTCGATACTTGAAACTTTAATTTCCCAAATACTTTGATTATTCAATCTAAATGAACATTCATTTGAAATTAGTTGAAATCAAATCGAATCATGTACAAAACTCATCATGTAAATTGGAAAATTCTCTTGAAAACTTTCTACAAATGATATTATCTTAATTATGGTTATCACCATGAAACAAATGAATCAAATCAGAGATAATGAGAGGGAGTGGGAAGGATAAAATGAGAATTCACCAAGAATGGGAGAGAGAGAGAGAAGGAGCAAAAAAGTTCGAACTAGATAAACAGTTAAATAGGCAAAAGGCCAAAGAGAAAAAAAAAGTTGTAAAAAAACCATCAATCAAATGGATGTTTGCATCGATTTTTTTGTCTTTCCATCCTTATCACATTTCATCATCATCTCGATCATAGAACAAAACTTATACAAGTTCGATGAGAAATATATTTATATTATATAAAAAAAATTCTCATTCGAAAAGCTCTTGGTAACATTTATCGAAAAACTGGTGACACCGAGACAAGATTAATCTGTTAATAGAAAGTGTTGAAATATTCAGTGAGAAAATTATATCAAATTAATGTCACCCATACATTCAAAGTATCATCAGTAATAAGATGAGCACCATGAGCATGATAACCACGACTCGAAAGTGATCAGTTGAACCGATCATTTATTGGTAATCGATAGTATTAGTTATTCATGTTAACTTTGGTGAAAAGGGATCAGGTTGAGTTATGAATTCAATATATCGACGATTGTTTTTCACTTTTAGCTCTCATTTTATATCTGAATTTTTTTTTCTTCTTTGACTTTTTAATTAGTCAAATTAATATTCATGTGATTCAGTAAACAAATCATTTCATCAGAATTTTGTTGAGACAATTTATCACTTTTCCTATACTCATTGCTATTTTTATCATAAACACAAAGTGTATTATGTAATATATTAGATGTTATTGAGCATCGAAAAGTATTATTATTATTATTGAATAAAGTTCATTGGGAGTTTAGGAAAGTCTTCAAGTTTTTTTTCCTACTATTCTCTCCCTATCTTTATCTCTGTCTAACTGATTATCATCATTATTATCATGATTATTATCGTTAACATTGTTGTTATTAATGCCAATGTTATTATCATCATTATGATGTCTATTTACTGACCAACAATCGGACATAATCGTCATTGACCTGACTTGAATGGCTAATTTCTCGCTTCATCAAGTTAAAGACTCGATGAAGCCACAGGGTTAGTCTACAGAATGATAAGATCATGAAGAAAGAAAATAAAAACAACAAAAAAAACCAATAATAAAGAATCGTATTGGAATCTTCTGATGGTCAAGCTCAGGAAATAGGAACAGAGAAAGAAAATTGGACCATTGGAAAAAGAGAGAGAGAAAGCGAGTGAGAGAGATATGTTTATCTATCAAAAACGATTTTGACATGGTCTTTTATGCTTGGTTAGATCAATATTAGGTCTCTCTCTCTCTTTCTCTCTCGCTTTATCATCATGTAATGATGATTGGCCTTGTCAGGCTTAGTACGGGAGTGGGAAAATAAAAAATCTCTGTGAGAGAAGACAGAAAATGTAATGGAAAGAGGAAGATGCAAAAAAGTATAATAGTTGCTCACTAAATACAAGTAATAACGGGAAAAGGGAGTAAACAAACGATGAAGATGAAGATGAAAGATGAAACTGATGATGATCAAGATAGATGTAAAGATGAAAAGAGTCAACAAAAAATTGTTAGTTTAACAAAGATCGTTAATGATGATGTTAATGCTCATGATTATCAACATAATCAAATGAATTAGCAATGAATATGCAAGTTAAAGGATAGAATTGCATCTAAGTATACCAAAGATGAGTAAATTTGATTGTGAAAATAAACGATCAAAGATAATAGTCATAAGAAATATTATATTCAATATAAGAAAAATGGTAAGAAATTGAATGTTTATTTCCAGGGAAATTGGAGACTTGGAACGGGAATTGAGATGAAAATTCCAACAGAATTAGAGTTACTCCAAGATTATTATTTCTTATCTTTCTATCTATGGGAATATACAAAGGAAAATGGAATATACTTTCTTCGTCACATACAAATAATATTATAATATATTCTCATCTCAATGGGTGAAAATGTATCATCACAATAATCATGGTAACTGAACATTCACTTTCATTCGGCTATTTCAATACATCAATGAACCTCATGAGAGTAAAGTGCTGGAAAGTGGATGTTCAGCAGGGGGAAAAACCTCCTACGACAATTTAAAGTGAGATAAATTTGAGAGACGATAAAAAGATGGATACAAATGTGAAAAGTTTTAACTTAAAGGGATAAGAAAAAAAAATTCTGGGTAAAGTGTTTTCTGATGGTTAACTCTTGTATCATTGCCATGATCTCATCATAATCACCATGATCATTATCGAGATAATCATGATGATCAATATGATATCGGGCAAAAAGTTTCAAGATGAAAACAAAAACATAAATAATAATGATAATGTTGTGAATGAATTTACAACCGATCATTTTCCTTGTCTCTGTCTCTGTCTTTCTATTCATGAAAATCCCACCTCAGAATATGAATAATGGTGACAATCATAATAATCTATTGATAAATTGTCATTAGATTATCATTTGCAAGTTCTATGGGTGTATCTATGTCTTATTCAGGCTTTTTGGTTTCTATCTCTCTCTCTCTCTCTCTCTCTCTCTCTCTCTCTCTCTTGAAAGACAAATAATCTAATTGGTAATATTTATGTTTCTTTCTCTATTCATATTATCTGACATGGAAACATGACGATTATGATAATCCAGAGAAAGGACCAACTTTTGGAACTGTTTTCCCGGAACAGATAAAAATCACCGGAACCCAATTATCACTCAAATGTCTTGCCTATGGGTCACCTATCCCTTCATTAAGATGGACCATTGATGGTAAACACATTGATAATGGTCTATCTCGGAGTAATCTTTATGGCTACATGACAACAGATGGAAAAGGATTCACATCATTTCTCAATATATCATCACTAACAGTTCAGGTAATCATCATCATCATCATCATATTAATAACTTCTCACTGTCTCATCTTCATATTACTTTTTGTTCACCATCATTCTGAATCATATTATTCCCAATACAACTGTAACTATTATCCACCATGAGCAGTCTTCCCTTTCATGGCGGTGAAGGCAAAAAACTAGAATTCTGTTCGGTTTTTATTTCTTTTTTTCCTTTTCATTTGTAGTTGGTTTTTTTCCTCGCTCACCTTGCATGTCACTTTCATAAGAACAGAATTATTTTCCACCAAGCGATAATTTTCTCCTCTCAAGGTGATAAAATAAGCAAATATCTGACAATGAGTAAATTCTGATTGCCATTTGATTAATCATTTGATTTGGAATGAGAATTTTTTTCTTCTTCTTGTTTCTCATTTCAATTTATTTTCCAATCCCAATTCTCATGTTATTTCTGAGCTTATCGTTTTATTTTTATTTTTACTATTCCATTCAAACGTTTATCTTTTCAGGATGGAGGTACTTATGAATGTTCAGCTGAAAATTCAGTCGGTTCTATATCACATTCAGCAAGAATTGATATAATGGGCCCGCCGGGTATTAAACCAATGGATAACGTGACTGCTATTATGGGTCAAACATATCAACTTTATTGTCCTTATACCGGATATCCAGTTGATGAAGTTTATTTTACAAAAGGTGAGCCCGCTGGGTGATTATTAAAAACACTATCATTTGATTATCAGCATTTTCCCATGTAAAATAATCATGACACTATTCTTATATTGGTTGGATTGAATTTTAATTGGATAACATTTTTGATAATGATAAGTTAACTTCCGTTTCAATATATGATACACCATGTAACATATTCCATGCTGTTAATGTTATTAAATTTACTGTAAAAAAAACTTTGATACACTAAACAGGAACTGGAAGTGTTCAGTAGTAGTTTTTTTCTGCTTCATCCCTGGAATCATTCCCTTAGAATGATAATGAAAAGTTGAAAGTAATTTTTGTTGATATTTTCATGGGAAGAAAAGTTTTTTTTTCTTGCTTCAAGATATACAAAAGTACTTAAGAGTAAAGAATAAATTTCAGAACTTTTCTCAGCTAAACGACTTTGAAATTCTGTGTTTTCTTTTATATTATCAAATGACTCCAATGGAAAATAATGTTATCGTTAGATTGAGTTTAGAGATTCATTTGATTTACCAATCAGTTTAAGAAAGATAACAATTGTAAATCTTATATAAGGTATGAACGGTAAAGTTTGGGAGTAGGTTTTTCAATTGTTCATGGCGACAAATTGACTAGACTTAATGTCACCATTCAAACTAGCAGTTGATCAAAAATTCATGGGCTTCAATTTGATGTAATTTTCAGATCAGTTAGTGATCAAATTAAGATCAAAATGGTTCTTAGCGCTAGTGACCGAAGAAAAATAATAGTTTCTTTTGTAAGTGATCACCCTGAGCTCAGTTTGTATAAATGTGCGAAGCAATTAAAAGGCCAAGATATCGCAACAAGTACCGTTTACAGGATCGGGTCAAAGGTTAGAAATAAAGAAAACCTAACAAATTATGGTAATTGTGGCCGAAAAGCGGTAAAAATGACGCAAAGAAATTTGAATAGATTTAAAAAGATTTCTGAAGGTTGGAATGGGTCTCAAAGAGAATTGGCCTCAAAATTCAATATATCCCTTACCTATTGTCGGGAACTATTAAAAAAATTCGGGATTAAAGCCTGGAAAAGGATCGACGCGCCGAAATCAACACCAGGTCAACTATTAAGACAAAGTGAAAGGTTGAAAATAATGGCTAAGGAAATCGTTCCCGTTAATGGCCAAATTGATCTGATCGAGGACGACGAAAGCTATTTTTCATTGAGTGGCAAGTCTAATAAATGGTATTTATCGAACTCACATCGAAATGTTCAGGACAATATTCGATTTAAGCTCAGATCAAAGTTCGAACGAAGGTTGTGCGTTTGGATCGCTATTTCTAAACGAGGCCATTCTGAACCATTTTTTTTACCGGCTAATTGTGCTATAAACTCTGAAATTTATTCTAAAGAATGTATCGTAAAGAGATTAGTACCATTTATCCGTGAAAATTACGAAAACTGGAGATATATCTTTTGGCCAGATGGCGCTTCTAGTCACTACGCTCGAGGTACTATCGAAACTCTCGAAAAATATCAAATAATATATGTAAAAAAAAGTCAGAATCCCCCTAATGTGCCTCAGTTAAGGTCGATCGAAAGATTTTGGGCCCATTTGAAAACTAAAGTTTACGCGAAAAATTGGTGTGCTAATGATTTCGCGTCTCTAAAAAGAAGAATCAAATCGAAAATTAATGAATTCGATTCTAATTATTTCATTAGACTATTCGCTCGAGAAAAAGAAAAAATCATGTTAGCAGCTGAACGAGGTCCACTTTCTGTAATTCGAAGTTAAAATTAAAAAAATTCTAACAATTAACTAATTAATTGAGCAATTTAAATTATTCCCAACTTTACTGTTCATACCAACATATGTATATGGGAAGATTTTGGCCTCATCAATACTGTTGCCAATCTTTTGAATTATTCTTAATTCATTTAATTACATTCTAGAGAATGATTAATTTTGATTTTCTTAAATCTTTGTTTAATTAGTTTAATCTTTTGTCAGTTATCTTGTGATAACTTTATCTTAATTTGTAATCACCTTTAATCACTCTCAAGAGCTGATAATTAGCTTTAATAATCTTCTGTATCTAGTGATACATTGTTTCAAATTTAAACTTGATAGGTTATCTGTCTGAAACAAAGAAGATGAAGACCAAAGTCTACCTGTTTTATTTTATTGTCAAAGGAAAAGGACACCTTTTCCGCCTTCCCCCTTTTTCATTTTGTAAGATGGTATAAAAGCCAAAGAAAAAGGCTGAACCCATCAGAAGAAGGAGTTTAACATTAGATTCAAATCTATTAATTTTCTTTAATTGTATTAGTCTCTGGACTTATTAAAAATTGTGTTTCAGTAAATTTCTCTAAATTGCCCCAATTTAATTCCCCTAGAAGAATCCTGATTCGAACCTAAGATTAGGTGTTAATATTATTTAACAGTGTGGGACTAATCGGAATCTCCTAGAAGGTAAAAGTTACCTTCCTTGTTCTCGTGAACCTTATTTCTTAAGAAAAATCCTCACACTTGGCGAGGATACCAGGATTCTTCTAAGAAATTGTGTTTCTTTACCTATGAAAGGAAAGAAAAATTCTGTTCCAAGAGTCGCTTCAACTAACTGTCGTGTTACAAGAGCGTCAACTAGGCAACTTGCCCTCGCTCAAGTCAAAAAGATAAGAGCTAAAAGGAACAACCCTCCTTCAACTCGTGTAGAAGAAATTGCTGAATCTTTAGCTAACACAACAATGGCTTGTGAGCTAATTGGTGAACTCACTCAAGATCAATCGGTTGAATTACTTACCCGTTGGAAGGTAAGATTACCCCTACGAAGTCAAGCGATCAAAAAGGTATGTGAAGTCATTAAGACTAATTTACTTCTCTTAGGAGATGATCTTAGCATAGACGAAATTAAATTACTACCACATGACGAGGCTGTAGGTCTGACTCTCCCTGAGTGGATTGTCGAATTGAGAGAAATTGGATTAATGGAATCTGAGATTCAGACTATCCTTTTGAATGGACGTGATATTGATACTCTTAAGAGTCTAACTTCTAGTGAAGTAGATTCAATTGCGTTACCGCTTGGTAGCTTAAAGAAATTCAAGGAATTTCTGAGAACCCACGGTTGTGAACTTCAAGAGCGCAACACTAGTGGTGCGGATGCCACTAATTCTTCCCCTGAAGCCTCTGAGGCTATGATAACTGGTTTGAAGTACATAGCACAAGCAATGAAACGTGACCCTGAAGTCACGGAGTTTAAAAAAGGAGAAGACATGAATGCTTGGTTTAACAAGACGGTAGGTCGTCTTGCCCAAGAAAATGTTGACGACTCAGTAAAGTTAAGATGCTTCCGAAAGGGTTTAGCCCATGAAATTTTACACATGGCTAATTCGATTGATTCGTCAATCACTGATTATTATCAATATCTCGAGACCTTCAAGTCCAAACTTAACTCTCCTGCAATGATATTTGCCGCCGATATAGAATTGAGAAATTTCATTTATGATTTTAAAGATCACCCTCGGATATTTTTATCCAAATTAGAGGACCTTGTGCTAAAAGCAAAAGGAGACCTCACTGAACGAAGTTTCAACTTCGACATTCTATCACACATACCAGCAGAGGTACGAAGTGAAATTTATGCTCAAAATTTAAACACAGATCGTGAATCGATCACAAATGTCCTTTGTAGGAAATACTTCGAGCAACTTAATAAGAGGGATAAGACCAAAGAGCAACCTCGAAATTCACAAAGTTCGAGATATAATCCGAACAATAATTCTCGCGAAGATAATCGTAAGAAAATTTGTAGCGCCTGTAAAAAACCAGGTCACCCTGAAAATAAATGTTGGATCAAATTTCCACATTTAAAAACTGCTTCTAAATCGACAACTAAAACCCTGGAGTGGTAAAATCCACCGTTCAAACAGCAGTTAGTTCCGATTATCCTTCTGAGGATGCACCAATTGAAGGTGTAAGAACCTCAGGTTTTGCTTGTACTGCTATTGCCAATATTCATGAAATGGATATTGTAACCTCAAGGCATGTAGCTACGGCTAAATTAAATTGTCTTTCGCCTGATATGCAATTTATTAGAAGCATGGATGTATTATTAGATACTGGAGCAACTTGTGCTGTATTAGACTCAAAAATTGCCAAAGAGCTTGGAGTTGATATGGTTCGCTTTGAAAAGTCAATTAAAGGTATCGTTGCCGATGTGCAAACGATTGGTTTTGCCTTTGGTGTGTTCAAACAACCAAGTACCGCCGACAGCCGAATTTTAAAAATCCAGATCGTGAAAAACTTTGAACCTGTTTTCCTTCTTGGAAACACCTTTATGCACTTATTCTTCATGCGAATTGAATCAGATGGAGTTCGATTCATTGTTTCAGCAAGAGAACATTTGAATGGCCCACCATTAGAAGCTGAATTCAGATTCAGATTTTGTACCAAAGACGAAACTAGTGGACTGTTACGTTCATCGTTAAACTTACCACCTCTTGCTCGAAATCAAATTGTGGATGGATCACATGGTTTTCCATTCTGCGGAATTGAAGAAAGGTATGAGAATCGACAACAACGAGCTTATAAAGTGCAAACTTGCGAAGATTCGCATCCAGAAATTTTCTTCTCTCGTGAGAAAGAAAAAGTTGATGTTGCCCCATTAACATTCGTTGAAAAATTGAAACAACGAATTAACCCTGAATTGCCAATTGAGCAACAGGAACAATTGATTAATCTCTTGAAAGATTATCCAGATACTTTTAGTCAACATCACAATGACCTAGGAATGGTTCCTACGTCAATTTGTCCAGTAAAAATAGACATTGGAGATAATTTGGTTCCGTACCAAAAACCTTATGGTGCCTCAATTGAGAAACGAAAAGAGTTTCGAAAAGTTCTAGATGAACTTAAAGACGCAGATATCATTGAAGATTCTGATGCCGAAGGAGGATCACCTGCTTTATTGGTTCCACGAAAAAATGGACCATCACGATTAGTCATCGACTACAGAGCGTTAAATCGATTGACA